CAGCGCCCCCAGGTTGTACAGCTGCTCCAGTGCCGACACCAGTGTGGAGGCGGGGGGCGGGTCCATGAAGTCGAACCCGAGCAGGTCGTTGATGCCCATGGCCTTGAGCGTCAGCACCGTCCTGCAGGGGGGGGCAGGGGAGAGGAGGGGAGGGGAGGGAGGAGAGTGAAGGTCGGCAAAAGACGGAGGACAGAAACCTCGATGCGCTCGGTCGCTCCCATGGGCCGGCTACCATGCCTGCATCCCCCCCTCCCTGGTGAAGCATGTGTCATACAGCTTCTTGCCAGTGTGTCCTCCCTTTACACCCCCCCTCCCCCTCCCCTTCCCCTTCCCCTCCCCCCCTCTCACATGGCCAGGTTTGTCCGCTGTATCTCTGGCACACTCAGCGGCAGCATCTCGTTCTTGTAGGCCGCCTCCGTGTACAGGCGGTAGCACTTGCCGGGGCCCGTGCGCCCCGCCCGCCCCGCGCGCTGCTTGGCGCTGGCCTGGCTGATGGGCGCCACCACCAGACTGTCCATGCCGTTCTTGGGATTGTACACCTGCATGGGGGGGGGAGCAGTGAGGGGAGGAGGGGAGGGGAAGGGGTCAAAGACCGTATTCCGGTACCATGCTTACCGTAAACCGAGACGACTTGAGGAAGAAGCCGCCTTGCGTGGTAACACTAGGGAGACATGCGCCGCGCCGCCGGTCACGAAAAGCAAAGCAACACGCATATGGGGTATACGAGCACACATGTTATCGAGACGCGGTACGGGAAACTTACCTGGAAAGGGAAAGCCAATTGCCAGGGTCCGATGGATTGGAGGCGCAGACCAACAGAGCCGCACCAGGGTCGTGTCCAGTGTCCCGTAGGAAGAGGTTGTCATTATGCGGAAGAAATAGGGAAGAAAGAGAGGTAGGGTGCGTTAAGGAGGTGTTAAGTAACAGTCAGGAGGCGAGACAGGAAACGAAAAACATGCGAATATGGCGTGGTAGGGGTTCCTATTGGGGCGGGTTGGGGGGGGGAATTTATAAATAAATGCAACAACGCAATCCCAATCCCCAATCCCCCCAATCGGGTTGGGGGGGGGAGCGGCGGGTTAAGACTACGGTACATAAGCAAGGAAAACACGAGGAAGACGACGCGACAGTGGGATGGGGTGGGAGGCAGCGGCATCCCTAACACCCCCCTCTCCGCCATCCTACCCCGGCTACTTTGTTATTTTCTGTTCAACTTAACCCCCCCCAGCGCCCCCCCACCACCCGCCCCCACCTGAATCTCCGAGGGCAGCGCCGAGAACACCGGCAGCACGATCAGCTCGGGTACGGCAGGTCCCAGTGCCTTGATGCGTTCGTACAGGATCTGGCATGCGGTTTCGATCTCCTCCTGGCCCGTCAGGAAGAGCAGCAGGTCTCCCTCGGGCTCCGACAGGTGGATCTGCAGCACCGTGATGAGGGCCGCATCCAGGTAGTCGGGCTCGGGGGCCTGGGGGGGGAGGGGGGAAAATTATAGATAAGTGCAACAGAACAGGTGGATAGCTGGGATGACATGCCCGTAAGAGGAAGGAGTAAGGAGTAAGGAGGGAGCGGTGAGGGTACGGTGCATGCCAAGCTGAGCACGCGCGCCTGCCGTAGCCCATGTGTAGCTTGGTCCCTTACTCTAGTCTATAAACATGGGTTCCTTATTTCCCCCCCATCATCCTCCTTCTCCGCCTCCCTCCTCGTCAGTTTCCCCTTTTCACCCTCCTCCTCCTCCTCCTCCTCCTCCCTCAGTGCACCTAATCCCCTCCTCCCCCCCTCCCCTTACCTTTGTGTACAGCACCTCCACGGGGTAGGTGCGCCCCGGGATGGTGAAGATGGGCGCATCGAAGAAGTAGGAGGAGAAATTCTCCGCATCCAGGGTGGCGGAGGTGACGATGAGCTTGAAGTCAGAGCGCTTGCGACACACCTGTGAGGGGGGCGGGGGCGGGGGGTGGAGGGTGAGGAGGGGGGCACAGTGTTTTAGAGGGTGTGGCGTCCTCCCGCAAGCGCAATCTACATAAGTTAATATACAACGGTGTTTCAAGCTATTAACACCAACTCCCCCTCCCCCTTGCAGCTCCTCTGCGCTAACCCCTTCACCGCGTATGTACCCCCCCCCCCCACCCTCCATGATGAAGCCTTGTCATCCAGTTCGTCAGTTTTCCTTAGTTATACCCCGTCTCCTCCTCCTCCCCCCCTCACCTCCTTCATCAGCCCGAACAGCACGTCCGTGTGTATGGTGCGCTCGTGTGCCTCATCCAGCACAATGATGCTGTAGGCCGCCAGCTGCTCGTCCAGCAGGCACTCACGCAGCAGCATACCGTCGGTCATGTACTTTATGACGGTCTCGGGGCCCGTGCAGTCCTCGAAACGGATGGCGTAGCCAACCTGGGGGGGGAGAGGGGAAGGAAGGGGGGGGGTGAGGGGAGGGAGCGGGGGGGAGGGAAGGGGGGATCAACGACCACACTGAATAGGGGATAGGAGGCGGCAGGGTGCCGCAAATACAAAGATAGGGTTATAAGACGTAGAGGAGGGAGGGAAGGGAGGGAGGAGTACCAAACGAAAGCACCACAGCAGCAGCATCCAGGCAGCCTTCCCGAACACGCACCAGCTTAACACGGAGGTTGCACTTCCTCACCCCTTCCCCACACCTCTCCCGTGGAATATGCTGGGAATATGTATCCCTATGAACCCCTCTCCCCCCTCCCTCCTCCTCCTTACCTCCTCCCCCAGCCTGCACCCAAACTCCTCCGCCACACGCTTGGCCATACTCATGGCCGCCACACGTCGCGGCTGCATGCAGCCGATGCGCCCCCCCGCCGTGTACCCCGCCTCGCCCAAGTACTGCGTCATCTGGGTGGTCTTGCCGCTGCCCGTCTCGCCGATAACTACCAGACACCACCACCCTGACCGGTTCATCAGCGATGGTGCGAAAGCGTGGGCATACGGTTGCAATGGCTGCTTGGGATAGCGCCAACGGTCCTTCTGTGGAGGCCTCCGTTGAGAAGAAGGCGCGCATCTCTTCCATCCAAATCATCTACATTGTGTGCACGATTGCGCTGTTCGGCCATGCAGCAGTGAAGCAAAATGTGCGTTTACAGCCATGCCAAAACTGTATTGTTTCCGCTTGCGCATACACTACGTTGGTCAGTGCAGTGTTGTCTGTATAGCTATTACATTAGTTTAGGGACGCCTTGACCGTCAAGCTGGCCGCATGTATTCTTCCTCCAGGTTCACCTACTGCCCTTTGGTACCACGGCCGAGCTGGCAGGAGGGGTGGTGTTTATCTTGGCTGCCATCTGGGACTTCGTGGGCCGTAGCTTCACGTAAGCAGCTTACGTGAAGCTGCGGCCCACCTTTTGCTTCACTGCTGCATGGCCGAACAGCGCAATCGCGCACACAAGGTAGATGATTTGGATGGAAGAGATGCGCGCCTTCTTCTCAACGGAGGCCTCCACAGAAGGACCGTTGGCGCTATCCCAAGCAGCCATTGCAACCGTATGCCCACGCTTTCGCACCATCGCTGATGAACCGGTCAGGGCGGTGGTACTGGTAGGACGCTGTGGTCCTACGAGCATTGGCACGGACGGGGTACCTCCTGCAAATAGCGGATGTCAAACCGTGTTACGACAGTTGCATCTTCCGGGTGGCATTTACCGCTGTCAGGAAAAACCAGGTAAGATCCAGCTAGCATTGTCTGGAGGATGCTCGTTCCAACTTGTTGCATAAAAGTGCTTATCATCCAAGCAGGCCCCCTTTCCACGTGAAACTCGTTTACGCCGTTGATGTGACGCTCAGAGGAACACTCTCAGAGAGCAACACCAGGTGGCTCAGCAAACACACCTGTGCGATAAATCCTGGTTGCTGTTCAGGTTGTGGAGCACGCAAGAAAGCGAAATGAGTCAGCAAATGCGTAGCAACTTGTTGGAGAGGGATGGTGTCTGCTATTAAAAGTGCCGAATCCCTGTGCTGAGAGTGGCCTCTCACGCTGACAACACACCTCTTGAAATCAAAGTTGCCATTGAAGCAGCAACACTGCCTCGCCTCAGGCAGTAAGCGTTGCGGAATGTAATGGTAGAGCGTCGCCTTGTCGTCTTATATTTTTTTATTACACTTAGGGGCCGTTTACATATGCGTGACCGTAATTAAAATCCCGCGTGCAGAAATTCACCCGAGCACCTCCAGACTCCGCAATTTCAGCTACGTGTAGGATTTCGATCACGCTCCCAATTCTTGAAAGATCGGGGCGAAAGCGAAACGAAAATTGGGAGTTCTATGCGACAGAAAGTTGGTTTCTGCCTTTTTGATTTTAGTTTCGCGCATATGTAAACGGCCCCTTAACGACTACGGGAAGATGAGGAACCTGTGACAGCGAAAGGTCGCACCTGTCTCGCGCCAAATGCTCGCAGCTCGTACGGCAACCGAGCGACTTTGCTGTGTGCACCTAAGTAGTCCATGAACAAAAACAAAATACTCCAGGATAAAGACTATCGCTCGTTATGCTTCTGAAGGATGAACATCAACGCTCCGTCGGTTGGTCTTCCGACGAACGAGGCAACGATTCAACTCGTTTCCGTGTTACTTCTTGCGTCCACAAAACGAATGAAGTCTGTGTCAAGAGGCCACCTTTGCTAATTGCGAGAAGGCCGGCTGGTATCTTTCGTACCAATGTCCTTTCATCGTTGTCCTCTTGCACATGCTGTTCGGTGCCCTGCAGCGCCCCTGCATGTCCCATTGCGCATGCGAAACTACTAACAGCAAATTCGTCAAGCGTGTGCGCCCTTTGTCGCATGCAAACCTGCACGCCATAGAATGCAAGCTTGCAGGCTTAACTCCCAGCAACGTGGACCATAGCATATCCCGCGGCAACCCAATGATGGCCTCTGCACTTTATGCTTACAACAAAGCCCAACCCGACAGGAACCAGGTGTGCTCTTGCTGCTTTATCATGCAATTGGCCTCAACCATCCATAGTCCAACGCAAGTTATGCAACCCGCAGGTGTCCCCCACCAGGCCATTTTGCAAACCCTGTGCCATGATGGTCTTGCCTCTTGTAGATGTTTCGGTCCGTCTAATGCTACAGCCCATCGCGCTGTCACAGCTACCCCCCCCCGTGTGACCGTCCAGTCCCACAACCGATACACTCGGCCACCCACCGTTCAATCATGTAACGGACAGCTACCGTACGTCGGAACCAAACGACCGGTACGGAGCCAACTGCAAATCAACAGGCGCTAGCTAGTTAGGATGGTCACCATGCACCTTCCACCTCCTCCTCCGCCCAAGCAGAGGGCCCTACAGCTCCCGCCGTGTACCTACACTTGAGCCATGTTGCCCCAACCAGTGGTTTCATATGGTTCGGTACAGTCTTTGACCCCCCGGCACCGACACCGCACCACTTCTTCACCACAGCCGGACGCACTCATGAGACCGCAGCATAGTACACCTTTGTAGCGCCTGCATGCAGCCCCAACCCTGTTCGGTGCTACTCGTGCTGCTACTACTGCTACGCCCATGCAACGGATAGAATGACTACGGTAGTAGTCGAGGCGGTACAGTACCGGCCACACGACAGCACCTGCTGTACACACCTAACCGCCCTCCTATGTACACCACACCTCAACACACCACGCCCTCCACCTCCTGCCCCCATCAACGTCACCGGGAACCTGCTAACATGTAACAGGTACCAGACCGGCAGAGACCGTCGGATGGCAAGAGATCGCACCGTACAGCCAGCAGGGAGCGCAGCGCATCCAGGCCGGCAGAACAGCACCCTGCGGTGCCCCCCCTCCGCTGCACACCCCTGCATCCCTGCCTTCCACCAACATCCCCAAAGAGCCTTCCTTCCACCACCATCCCGCTTCCATTTCTGCCCCCAAGCCAGAGCGCCCCTCGTAAGCCACAACCGCCGCCTCGCTCTTTCCCCGCCACCCCAGCCATCTCAACCACCTTATCCGCGGCGACGCGACAGGCGCCATGCGTTGGGGTCGTTGTACCTGTCGTACAGCGGCTCGATGCGCTCGAAGCGCTTGCGGCGGGAGAGCTTGTTGGGGTCGGCGGGCCTGTGGAGCAGGGGGGGGGAGGGGGGGCAGGCGAGTGGGGGGTTAGGTACGAGTGCATGATTGGGGAAAGGTGGCACTCATGCTGTGTGGTAAACGCCTGATAAGCGAACGCGGCGGCAGTCATGCTCCTCCCAGCCCCATACCCCTCCCCTTCCAACCCCCAACCCCCAACCCCCCCAACCCCGCACCCACTTGAAGAAGCGGGGCGCCAGCTCGGGCAGCCACCTGGGGTCGATGGCCAGCACCTCGCGCATGTACTCCTTGGTGGTGAGGATGAGCTCGTGGTAGAGCACCCAGTCGGGCTGCTGCTGGAAGAGCGAGGAGGAGGGGTGGATGAAGACGGGCTGCTGCTCCACCACCGTCTTGTAGCCCTCCTGCGGGTCCTTGCGGGCCGTGTGGAAGAAGAAGCCCGAGGTGATGGCCTTGCAGATCTTGGTGTAGTTGCGCCCCGCCGACACCTGCTCCAGCTTGTAGCGGTCCATGATGGCGAGCAGCTGCTTGCGAACGTCCTGAGCGCGCTTCATGGAGCGGTCCTGGGGGGGGGGCGGGAGGTGGGGGAGGAGACGGAAGGGGGGCGAGGGGGTAAGAAAGGAGGGGCGCGGGTTGAAATTTGCTTGGAGACGCCAGAGGACACGATACCGGTATAGAAGGAATCACGATAGGGAGGAGGCGATGCACCTAACCAAGCACATGTAGGTAAAGCTGTGTAAGCGGCCCGGCACCCCCTTGGGACTCCTCCCGCCCTCACCTGGATGAAGTTTTCCTTGCACCAGGGCACACTGAACTTTGCCGCCTTCCACTGCTCGTACACCGCCAGCAGGGTGAGGTGGTCGCCCTCGGGCTGGTAGAACTTGGCCTTGCGCTGGTCGGCCTGGGGGGGGGCAGGGAGGGGGAGGGGGGAAGGGAGGGGGGGGAGGATACCCAATGTGTTGATTGACAAAGGTAAGGAGGGGATTAATAGGAATACATATTCCCGCATTATGCTGGATTTTTGAGTTGCACCTAGTCACACTTGTTGGGTTAACAAGGAGGGGAGGAGAGGAAGAGGAAGGAACGCCGCCGCTCTCACCACCTATGCCTTCCCACACCACCCGTCAGCACACAGCTGCCATCCAACTCCCTTGCGATCCACCTCCTCCACCCCCGCCACCGCATCCCCCCCACCTGCGCCTGCTTCTCCCGTGGCCTGTAAAATATGTTTTGCGCGGACAGCATTGCCAGGATGGTGAGGATCTCCTCGCTGCACCCCAGGTCCACACTCGCGATCAGCACCTTGCTCATGGGCGGCTCCAGAGGGAACTCAGCCATCTTGCGACCCAGCTTGGTCAGCAGGCCCTGGGGGGGGGGACGAAGAATGATGCATAGTGAATGAAAAAATCCTCTCTGAAACCCCCCTTCCCCTCCCTCGTGCTTCCGCATGCGCTCACTGCGTACGAGTCGGGATATGGGATTGGGACTACAGTTGCTGCACTTATCACTTATCCTGCCCCCCCCCACACACACATACACACACATGACTCGTCAACGTCGTCATACAGCTCGTCAGTTTCCTCCCTCCTTCCCCCACCCACCCGCCCCCATTGGGACTCCGTTGCTTCACTGTCCATCTATTTCCCCCCCTCCCCCCCTCCTTATAACTTGTATCATTATCACACCACACATTGGAATTTCTATTTTCCCCCCTCCCCCCACCTCCTCGTCCAGCGCCCCCAGGTTGTACAGCTGCTCCAGTGCCGACACCAGTGTGGATGCGGGGGGCGGGTCCATGAAGTCGAACCCAAGCAGGTCGTTGATGCCCATGGCCTTGAGCGTCAGCACCGTCCTGCAGGGGGGGGCAGGGGAGGGGAGGGGAGGGGAGGGAGGAGAGTGAAGGTCGGCAAAAGACGGAGGACAGAAACCTCGATGCGCTCGGTCGCTCCCATGGGCCGGCTACCATGCCTGCATCCCCCCTCCCTGGTGAAGCATGTGTCATACAGCTTCTTGCCAGTGTGTCCTCCCTTTACACCCCCCCTCCCCCTCCCCTTCCCCTTCCCCTCCCCCCCTCTCACATGGCCAGGTTTGTCCGCTGTATCTCCGGCACGCTCAGCGGCAGCATCTCGTTCTTGTAGGCCGCCTCCGTGTACAGGCGGTAGCACTTGCCGGGGCCCGTGCGCCCCGCCCGCCCCGCGCGCTGCTTGGCGCTGGCCTGGCTGATGGGCGCCACCACCAGACTGTCCATGCCGTTCTTGGGATTGTACACCTGCATGGGGGGGGGGAGCAGTGAGGGGAGGAGGGGAGGGGAAGGGGTCAAAGACCGTATTCCGGTACCATGCTTACCGTAAACCGAGACGACTTGAGGAAGAAGCCGCCTTGCGTGGTAACACTAGGGAGACATGCGCCGCGCCGCCGGTCACGAAAAGCAAAGCAACACGCATATGGGGTATACGAGCACACATGTTATCGAGACGCGGTACGGGAAACTTACCTGGAAAGGGAAAGCCAATTGCCAGGGTCCGATGGATTGGAGGCGCAGACCAACAGAGCCGCACCAGGGTCGTGTCCAGTGTCCCGTAGGAAGAGGTTGTCATTATGCGGAAGAAATAGGGAAGAAAGAGAGGTAGGGTGCGTTAAGGAGGTGTTAAGTAACAGTCAGGAGGCGAGACAGGAAACGAAAAACATGCGAATATGGCGTGGTAGGGGTTCCTATTGGGGCGGGTTGGGGGGGGGGAAATTATAAATAAATGCAACAACGCAATCCCAATCCCCAATCCCCCCAATCGGGTTGGGGGGGGGGAGCGGCGGGTTAAGACTACGGTACATAAGCAAGGAAAACACGAGGAAGACGACGCGACAGTGGGATGGGGTGGGAGGCAGCGGCATCCCTAACACCCCCCTCTCCGCCATCCTACCCCGGCTACTTTGTTATTTTCTGTTCAACTTAACCCCCCCCAGCGCCCCCCCACCACCCGCCCCCACCTGAATCTCCGAGGGCAGCGCCGAGAACACCGGCAGCACGATCAGCTCGGGTACGGCAGGTCCCAGTGCCTTGATGCGTTCGTACAGGATCTGGCATGCGGTTTCGATCTCCTCCTGGCCCGTCAGGAAGAGCAGCAGGTCTCCCTCGGGCTCCGACAGGTGGATCTGCAGCACCGTGATGAGGGCCGCATCCAGGTAGTCGGGCTCGGGGGCCTGGGGGGGGAGGGGGGAAAATTATAGATAAGTGCAACAGAACAGGTGGATAGCTGGGATGACATGCCCGTAAGAGGAAGGAGTAAGGAGTAAGGAGGGAGCGGTGAGGGTACGGTGCATGCCAAGCTGAGCACGCGCGCCTGCCGTAGCCCATGTGTAGCTTGGTCCCTTACTCTAGTCTATAAACATGGGTTCCTTATTTCCCCCCCATCATCCTCCTTCTCCGCCTCCCTCCTCGTCAGTTTCCCCTTTTCACCCTCCTCCTCCTCCTCCTCCTCCCTCAGTGCACCTAATCCCCTCCTCCCCCCCTCCCCTTACCTTTGTGTACAGCACCTCCACGGGGTAGGTGCGCCCCGGGATGGTGAAGATGGGCGCATCGAAGAAGTAGGAGGAGAAATTCTCCGCATCCAGGGTGGCGGAGGTGACGATGAGCTTGAAGTCAGAGCGCTTGCGACACACCTGTGAGGGGGGCGGGGGCGGGGGGTGGAGGGTGAGGAGGGGGGCACAGTGTTTTAGAGGGTGTGGCATCCTCCCGCAAGCGCAATCTACATAAGTTAATATACAACGGTGTTTCAAGCTATTAACACCAACTCCCCCTCCCCCTTGCAGCTCCTCTGCGCTAACCCCTTCACCGCGTATGTACCCCCCCCCCACCCTCCATGATGAAGCCTTGTCATCCAGTTCGTCAGTTTTCCTTAGTTATACCCCGTCTCCTCCTCCTCCCCCCCTCACCTCCTTCATCAGCCCGAACAGCACGTCCGTGTGTATGGTGCGCTCGTGTGCCTCATCCAGCACAATGATGCTGTAGGCCGCCAGCTGCTCGTCCAGCAGGCACTCATGCAGCAGCATACCGTCGGTCATGTACTTTATGACGGTCTCGGGGCCCGTGCAGTCCTCGAAACGGATGGCGTAGCCAACCTGGGGGGGGGAGAGGGGAAGGAAGGGGGGGGGTGAGGGGAGGGAGCGGGGGGGAGGGAAGGGGGGATCAACGACCACACTGAATACATGAAAACCACCGAGCAAGGCAATGGGGATAGGAGGCGGCAGGGTGCCGCAAATACAAAGATAGGGTTATAAGACGTAGAGGAGGGAGGGAAGGGAGGGAGGAGTACCAAACGAAAGCACCACAGCAGCAGCATCCAGGCAGCCTTCCCGAACACGCACCAGCTTAACACGGAGGTTGCACTTCCTCACCCCTTCCCCACACCTCTCCCGTGGAATATGCTGGGAATATGTATCCCTATGAACCCCTCTCCCCCCTCCCTCCTCCTCCTTACCTCCTCCCCCAGCCTGCACCCAAACTCCTCCGCCACACGCTTGGCCACACTCATGGCCGCCACACGTCGCGGCTGCATGCAGCCGATGCGCCCCCCCGCCGTGTACCCCGCCTCGCCCAAGTACTGCGTCATCTGGGTGGTCTTGCCGCTGCCCGTCTCGCCGATAACTACCAGACACCACCACCCTGACCGGTTCATCAGCGATGGTGCGAAAGCGTGGGCATACGGTTGCAATGGCTGCTTGGGATAGCGCCAACGGTCCTTCTGTGGAGGCCTCCGTTGAGAAGAAGGCGCGCATCTCTTCCATCCAAATCATCTACATTGTGTGCACGATTGCGCTGTTCGGCCATGCAGCAGTGAAGCAAAATGTGCGTTTACAGCCATGCCAAAACTGTATTGTTTCCGCTTGCGCATACACTACGTTGGTCAGTGCAGTGTTGTCAGTATAGCTATTACATTAGTTTAGGGACGCCTTGACCGTCAAGCTGGCCGCATGTATTCTTCCTCCAGGTTCACCTACTGCCCTTTGGTACCACGGCCGAGCTGGCAGGAGGGGTGGTGTTTATCTTGGCTGCCATCTGGGACTTCGTGGGCCGTAGCTTCACGTAAGCAGCTTACGTGAAGCTGCGGCCCACCTTTTGCTTCACTGCTGCATGGCCGAACAGCGCAATCGCGCACACAAGGTAGATGATTTGGATGGAAGAGATGCGCGCCTTCTTCTCAACGGAGGCCTCCACAGAAGGACCGTTGGCGCTATCCCAAGCAGCCATTGCAACCGTATGCCCACGCTTTCGCACCATCGCTGATGAACCGGTCAGGGCGGTGGTGCTGGTAGGACGCTGTGGTCCTACGAGCATTGGCACGGACGGGGTACCTCCTGCAAATAGCGGATGTCAAACCGTGTTACGACAGTTGCATCTTCCGGGTGGCATTTACCGCTGTCAGGAAAAACCAGGTAAGATCCAGCTAGCATTGTCTGGAGGATGCTCGTTCCAACTTGTTGCATAAAAGTGCTTATCATCCAAGCAGGCCCCCTTTCCACGTGAAACTCGTTTACGCCGTTGATGTGACGCTCAGAGGAACACTCTCAGAGAGCAACACCAGGTGGCTCAGCAAACACACCTGTGCGATAAATCCTGGTTGCTGTTCAGGTTGTGGAGCACGCAAGAAAGCGAAATGAGTCAGCAAATGCGTAGCAACTTGTTGGAGAGGGATGGTGTCTGCTATTAAAAGTGCCGAATCCCTGTGCTGAGAGTGGCCTCTCACGCTGACAACACACCTCTTGAAATCAAAGTTGCCATTGAAGCAGCAACACTGCCTCGCCTCAGGCAGTAAGCGTTGCGGAATGTAATGGTAGAGCGTCGCCTTGTCGTCTTATATTTTTTTATTACACTTAGGGGCCGTTTACATATGCGTGACCGTAATTAAAATCCCGCGTGCAGAAATTCACCCGAGCACCTCCAGACTCCGCAATTTCAGCTACGTGTAGGATTTCGATCACGCTCCCAATTCTTGAAAGATCGGGGCGAAAGCGAAACGAAAATTGGGAGTTCTATGCGACAGAAAGTTGGTTTTTGATTTTAGTTTCGCGCATATGTAAACGGCCCCTTAACGACTACGGGAAGATGAGGAACCTGTGACAGCGAAAGGTCGCACCTGTCTCGCGCCAAATGCTCGCAGCTCGTACGGCAACCGAGCGACTTTGCTGTGTGCACCTAAGTAGTCCATGAACAAAAACAAAATACTCCAGGATAAAGACTATCGCTCGTTATGCTTCTGAAGGATGAACATCAACGCTCCGTCGGTTGGTCTTCCGACGAACGAGGCAACGATTCAACTCGTTTCCGTGTTACTTCTTGCGTCCACAAAACGATTGAAGTCTGTGTCAAGAGGCCACCTTTGCTAATTGCGAGAAGGCCGGCTGGTATCTTTCGTACCAATTTCCTTTCATCGTTGTCCTCTTGCACATGCTGTTCGGTGCCCTGCAGCGCCCCTGCATGTCCCATTGCGCATGCGAAACTACTAACAGCAAATTCGTCAAGCGTGTGCGCCCTTTGTCGCATGCAAACCTGCACGCCATAGAATGCAAGCTTGCAGGCTTAACTCCCAGCAACGTGGACCATAGCATATCCCGCGGCAACCCAATGATGGCCTCTGCACTTTATGCTTACAACAAAGCCCAACCCGACAGGAACCAGGTGTGCTCTTGCTGCTTTATCATGCAATTGGCCTCAACCATCCATAGTCCAACGCAAGTTATGCAACCCGCAGGTGTCCCCCACCAGGCCATTTTGCAAACCCTGTGCCATGATGGTCTTGCCTCTTGTAGATGTTTCGGTCCGTCTAATGCTACAGCCCATCGCGCTGTCACAGCTACCCCCCCCCCCGTGTGACCGTCCAGTCCCACAACCGATACACTCGGCCACCCACCGTTCAATCATGTAACGGACAGCTACCGTACGTCGGAACCAAACGACCGGTACCAAGCCAACTGCAAATCAACAGGCGCTAGCTAGTTAGGATGGTCACCATGCACCTTCCACCTCCTCCTCCGCCCAAGCAGAGGGCCCTACAGCTCCCGCCGTGTACCTACACTTGAGCCATGTTGCCCCAACCAGTGGTTTCATGTGGTTCGGTACAGTCTTTGACCCCCCGGCACCGACACCACACCACTTCTTCACCACAGCCGGACGCACTCATGAGACCGCAGCATAGTACACCTTTGTAGCGCCTGCATGCAGCCCCAACCCTGTTCGGTGCTACTCGTGCTGCTACTACTGCTACGCCCATGCAACGGATAGAATGACTACGGTAGTAGTCGAGGCGGTACAGTACCGGCCACACGACAGCACCTGCTGTACACACCTAACCGCCCTCCTATGTACACCACACCTCAACACACCACGCCCTCCACCTCCTGCCCCCATCAACGTCACCGGGAACCTGCTAACATGTAACAGGTACCAGACCGGCAGAGACCGTCGGATGGCAAGAGATCGCACCGTACAGCCAGCAGGGAGCGCAGCGCATCCAGGCCGGCAGAACAGCACCCTGCGGTGCCCCCCCTCCGCTGCACACCCCTGCATCCCTGCCTTCCACCAACATCCCCAAAGAGCCTTCCGTCCACCACCATCCCGCTTCCATTTCTGCCCCCAAGCCAGAGCGCCCCTCGTAAGCCACAACCGCCGCCTCGCTCTTTCCCCGCCACCCCAGCCATCTCAACCACCTTATCCGCGGCGACGCGACAGGCGCCATGCGTTGGGGTCGTTGTACCTGTCGTACAGCGGCTCGATGCGCTCGAAGCGCTTGCGGCGGGAGAGCTTGTTGGGGTCGGCGGGCCTGTGGAGCAGGGGGGGGAGGGGGGGCAGGCGAGTGGGGGGTTAGGTACGAGTGCATGATTGGGGAAAGGTGGCACTCATGCTGTGTGGTAAACGCCTGATAAGCGAACGCGGCGGCAGTCATGCTCCTCCCAGCCCCATACCCCTCCCCTTCCAACCCCCAACCCCCAACCCCCCCAACCCCGCACCCACTTGAAGAAGCGGGGCGCCAGCTCGGGCAGCCACCTGGGGTCTATGGCCAGCACCTCGCGCATGTACTCCTTGGTGGTGAGGATGAGCTCGTGGTAGAGCACCCAGTCGGGCTGCTGCTGGAAGAGCGAGGAGGAGGGGTGGATGAAGACGGGCTGCTGCTCCACCACCGTCTTGTAGCCCTCCTGCGGGTCCTTGCGGGCCGTGTGGAAGAAGAAGCCCGAGGTGATGGCCTTGCAGATCTTGGTGTAGTTGCGCCCCGCCGACACCTGCTCCAGCTTGTAGCGGTCCATGATGGCGAGCAGCTGCTTGCGCACGTCCTGAGCGCGCTTCATGGAGCGGTCCTGGGGGGGGGGCGGGAGGTGGGGGAGGAGACGGAAGGGGGGCGAGGGGGTAAGAAAGGAGGGGCGCGGGTTGACGTCTGCCTGAAGAAGCCAGAGGACACGATACCGGTATAGAAGGAATCACGATAGGGAGGAGGCGATGCACCTAACCAAGCACATGTAGGTAAAGCTGTGTAAGCGGCCCGGCACCCCCCTGGGACTCCTCCGGGACCCACCTGTATGAAGTTTTCCTTGCACCAGGGCACACTGAACTTTGCCGCCTTCCACTGCTCGTACACCGCCAGCAGGGCGAGGTGGTCGCCCTCGGGCTGGTAGAACTTGGCCTTGCGCTGGTCGGCCTGGGGGGGGGCAGGGAGGGGGAGGGGGGGAGGATACCCAAGATGTTGCTTGACAAAGGGAAGGAGGAGGGGAGGGAGGGCGAGGAAGGAACGAACCGTGTGACATGTAGGCTCCACATCCAGGAGTGGTGCGGGTGAGGGTGAGGAGGTAGGGACAGGAAGGGGGTGGGGGACCGGGATCGGTCCCCGCCGCACTCCCCCCACCTATACCTGCGCCACCCCACCGCCACCCCACCGCCACCCGTCAGCACACAGCTGCCATCCAATTCCTTGCGATTCACCTCTTTCTTCCCGCCGCCCCGCATCCCAGCCCCAGCCCCCGCATCCCGCATCCGTCCCACCCCCCCCACCTGCGCCTGCTTCTCCCGTGGCCTGTAGAATATGTTTTGCGCGGACAGCATTGCCAGGATGGTGAGGATCTCCTCGCTGCACCCCAGGTCCACACTCGCGATCAGCACCTTGCTCATGGGCGGCTCCAGAGGGAACTCAGCCATCTTGCGACCCAGCTTGGTCAGCAGGCCCTGGGGGGGGGGACGAAGAATGATGCATAGTGAATGAAAAAATCCTCTCTGAAACCCCCCTTCCCCTCCCTTCCCCCCCCCCCCCACACACATACACACACATGACTCGTCAACGTCGTCATACAGCTCGTCAGTTTCCTCCCTCCTTCCCCCACCCACCCGCCCCCATTGGGACTCCGTCGCTTCACTGTCCATCTATTTCCCCCCCTCCCCCCCTCCTTATAACTTGTATCATTATCACACCACACATTGGAATTTCTATTTTCCCCCCTCCCCCCACCTCCTCGTCCAGCGCCCCCAGGTTGTACAGCTGCTCCAGTGCCGACACCAGTGTGGAGGCGGGGGGCGGGTCCATGAAGTCGAACCCAAGCAGGTCGTTGATGCCCATGGCCTTGAGCGTCAGCACCGTCCTGCAGGGGGGGGCAGGGGAGAGGAGGGGAGGGGAGGGAGGAGAGTGAAGGTCGGCAAAAGACGGAGGACAGAAACCTCGATGCGCTCGGTCGCTCCCATGGGCCGGCTACCATGCCTGCATCCCCCCCTCCCTGGTGAAGCATGTGTCATACAGCTTCTTGCCAGTGTGTCCTCCCTTTACACCCCCCCTCCCCCTCCCCTTCCCCTTCCCCTCCCCCCCTCTCACATGGCCAGGTTTGTCCGCTGTATCTCTGGCACACTCAGCGGCAGCATCTCGTTCTTGTAGGCCGCCTCCGTGTACAGGCGGTAGCACTTGCCGGGGCCCGTGCGCCCCGCCCGCCCCGCGCGCTGCTTGGCGCTGGCCTGGCTGATGGGCGCCACCACCAGACTGTCCATGCCGTTCTTGGGATTGTACACCTGCATGGGGGGGGGAGCAGTGAGGGGAGGAGGGGAGGGGAAGGGGTCAAAGACCGTATTCCGGTACCATGCTTACCGTAAACCGAGACGACTTGAGGAAGAAGCCGCCTTGCGTGGTAACACTAGGGAGACATGCGCCGCGCCGCCGGTCACGAAAAGCAAAGCAACACGCATATGGGGTATACGAGCACACATGTTATCGAGACGCGGTACGGGAAACTTACCTGGAAAGGGAAAGCCAATTGCCAGGGTCCGATGGATTGGAGGCGCAGACCAACAGAGCCGCACCAGGGTCGTGTCCAGTGTCCCGTAGGAAGAGGTTGTCATTATGCGGAAGAAATAGGGAAGAAAGAGAGGTAGGGTGCGTTAAGGAGGTGTTAAGTAACAGTCAGGAGGCGAGACAGGAAACGAAAAACATGCGAATATGGCGTGGTAGGGGTTCCTATTGGGGCGGGTTGGGGGGGGGAATTTATAAATAAATGCAACAACGCAATCCCAATCCCCAATCCCCCCAATCGGGTTGGGGGGGGGAGCGGCGGGTTAAGACTACGGTACATAAGCAAGGAAAACACGAGGAAGACGACGCGACAGTGGGATGGGGTGGGAGGCAGCGGCATCCCTAACACCCCCCTCTCCGCCATCCTACCCCGGCTACTTTGTTATTTTCTGTTCAACTTAACCCCCCCCAGCGCCCCCCCACCACCCGCCCCCACCTGAATCTCCGAGGGCAGCGCCGAGAACACCGGCAGCACGATCAGCTCGGGTACGGCAGGTCCCAGTGCCTTGATGCGTTCGTACAGGATCTGGCATGCGGTTTCGATCTCCTCCTGGCCCGTCAGGAAGAGCAGCAGGTCTCCCTCGGGCTCCGACAGGTGGATCTGCAGCACCGTGATGAGGGCCGCATCCAGGTAGTCGGGCTCGGGGGCCTGGGGGGGGAGGGGGGAAAATTATAGATAAGTGCAACAGAACAGGTGGATAGCTGGGATGACATGCCCGTAAGAGGAAGGAGTAAGGAGTAAGGAGGGAGCGGTGAGGGTACGGTGCATGCCAAGCTGAGCACGCGCGCCTGCCGTAGCCCATGTGTAGCTTGGTCCCTTACTCTAGTCTATAAACATGGGTTCCTTATTTCCCCCCCATCATCCTCCTTCTCCGCCTCCCTCCTCGTCAGTTTCCCCTTTTCACCCTCCTCCTCCTCCTCCTCCTCCTCCCTCAGTGCACCTAATCCCCTCCTCCCCCCCTCCCCTTACCTTTGTGTACAGCACCTCCACGGGGTAGGTGCGCCCCGGGATGGTGAAGATGGGCGCATCGAAGAAGTAGGAGGAGAAATTCTCCGCATCCAGGGTGGCGGAGGTGACGATGAGCTTGAAGTCAGAGCGCTTGCGACACACCTGTGAGGGGGGCGGGGGCGGGGGGTGGAGGGTGAGGAGGGGGGCACAGTGTTTTAGAGGGTGTGGCGTCCTCCCGCAAGCGCAATCTACATAAGTTAATATACAACGGTGTTTCAAGCTATTAACACCAACTCCCCCTCCCCCTTGCAGCTCCTCTGCGCTAACCCCTTCACCGCGTATGTACCCCCCCCCCCCCACCCTCCATGATGAAGCCTTGTCATCCAGTTCGTCAGTTTTCCTTAGTTATACCCCGTCTCCTCCTCCTCCCCCCCTCACCTCCTTCATCAGCCCGAACAGCACGTCCGTGTGTATGGTGCGCTCGTGTGCCTCATCCAGCACAATGATGCTGTAGGCCGCCAGCTGCTCGTCCAGCAGGCACTCACGCAGCAGCATACCGTCGGTCATGTACTTTATGACGGTCTCGGGGCCCGTGCAGTCCTCGAAACGGATGGCGTAGCCAACCTGGGGGGGGAGAGGGGAAGGAAGGGGGGGGGTGAGGGGAGGGAGCGGGGGGGAGGGAAGGGGGGATCAACGACCACACTGAATAGGGGATAGGAGGCGGCAGGGTGCCGCAAATACAAAGATAGGGTTATAAGACGTAGAGGAGGGAGGGAAGGGAGGGAGGAGTACCAAACGAAAGCACCACAGCAGCAGCATCCAGGCAGCCTTCCCGAACACGCACCAGCTTAACACGGAGGTTGCACTTCCTCACCCCTTCCCCACACCTCTCCCGTGGAATATGCTGGGAATATGTATCCCTATGAACCCCTCTCCCCCCTCCCTCCTCCTCCTTACCTCCTCCCCCAGCCTGCACCCAAACTCCTCCGCCACACGCTTGGCCATACTCATGGCCGCCACACGTCGCGGCTGCATGCAGCCGATGCGCCCCCCCGCCGTGTACCCCGCCTCGCCCAAGTACTGCGTCATCTGGGTGGTCTTGCCGCTGCCCGTCTCGCCGATAACTACCAGACACCACCACCCTGACCGGTTCATCAGCGATGGTGCGAAAGCGTGGGCATACGGTTGCAATGGCTGCTTGGGATAGCGCCAACGGTCCTTCTGTGGAGGCCTCCGTTGAGAAGAAGGCGCGCATCTCTTCCATCCAAATCATCTACATTGTGTGCACGATTGCGCTGTTCGGCCATGCAGCAGTGAAGCAAAATGTGCGTTTACAGCCATGCCAAAACTGTATTGTTTCCGCTTGCGCATACACTACGTTGGTCAGTGCAGTGTTGTCTGTATAGCTATTACATTAGTTTAGGGACGCCTTGACCGTCAAGCTGGCCGCATGTATTCTTCCTCCAGGTTCACCTACTGCCCTTTGGTACCACGGCCGAGCTGGCAGGAGGGGTGGTGTTTATCTTGGCTGCCATCTGGGACTTCGTGGGCCGTAGCTTCACGTAAGCAGCTTACGTGAAGCTGCGGCCCACCTTTTGCTTCACTGCTGCATGGCCGAACAGCGCAATCGCGCACACAAGGTAGATGATTTGGATGGAAGAGATGCGCGCCTTCTTCTCAACGGAGGCCTCCACAGAAGGACCGTTGGCGCTATCCCAAGCAGCCATTGCAACCGTATGCCCACGCTTTCGCACCATCGCTGATGAACCGGTCAGGGCGGTGGTACTGGTAGGACGCTGTGGTCCTACGAGCATTGGCACGGACGGGGTACCTCCTGCAAATAGCGGATGTCAAACCGTGTTACGACAGTTGCATCTTCCGGGTGGCATTTACCGCTGTCAGGAAAAACCAGGTAAGATCCAGCTAGCATTGTCTGGAGGATGCTCGTTCCAACTTGTTGCATAAAAGTGCTTATCATCCAAGCAGGCCCCCTTTCCACGTGAAACTCGTTTACGCCGTTGATGTGACGCTCAGAGGAACACTCTCAGAGAGCAACACCAGGTGGCTCAGCAAACACACCTGTGCGATAAATCCTGGTTGCTGTTCAGGTTGTGGAGCACGCAAGAAAGCGAAATGAGTCAGCAAATGCGTAGCAACTTGTTGGAGAGGGATGGTGTCTGCTATTAAAAGTGCCGAATCCCTGTGCTGAGAGTGGCCTCTCACGCTGACAACACACCTCTTGAAATCAAAGTTGCCATTGAAGCAGCAACACTGCCTCGCCTCAGGCAGTAAGCGTTGCGGAATGTAATGGTAGAGCGTCGCCTTGTCGTCTTATATTTTTTTATTACACTTAGGGGCCGTTTACATATGCGTGACCGTAATTAAAATCCCGCGTGCAGAAATTCACCCGAGCACCTCCAGACTCCGCAATTTCAGCTACGTGTAGGATTTCGATCACGCTCCCAATTCTTGAAAGATCGGGGCGAAAGCGAAACGAAAATTGGGAGTTCTATGCGACAGAAAGTTGGTTTCTGCCTTTTTGATTTTAGTTTCGCGCATATGTAAACGGCCCCTTAACGACTACGGGAAGATGAGGAACCTGTGACAGCGAAAGGTCGCACCTGTCTCGCGCCAAATGCTCGCAGCTCGTACGGCAACCGAGCGACTTTGCTGTGTGCACCTAAGTAGTCCATGAACAAAAACAAAATACTCCAGGATAAAGACTATCGCTCGTTATGCTTCTGAAGGATGAACATCAACGCTCCGTCGGTTGGTCTTCCGACGAACGAGGCAACGATTCAACTCGTTTCCGTGTTACTTCTTGCGTCCACAAAACGAATGAAGTCTGTGTCAAGAGGCCACCTTTGCTAATTGCGAGAAGGCCGGCTGGTATCTTTCGTACCAATGTCCTTTCATCGTTGTCCTCTTGCACATGCTGTTCGGTGCCCTGCAGCGCCCCTGCATGTCCCATTGCGCATGCGAAACTACTAACAGCAAATTCGTCAAGCGTGTGCGCCCTTTGTCGCATGCAAACCTGCACGCCATAGAATGCAAGCTTGCAGGCTTAACTCCCAGCAACGTGGACCATAGCATATCCCGCGGCAACCCAATGATGGCCTCTGCACTTTATGCTTACAACAAAGCCCAACCCGACAGGAACCAGGTGTGCTCTTGCTGCTTTATCATGCAATTGGCCTCAACCATCCATAGTCCAACGCAAGTTATGCAACCCGCAGGTGTCCCCCACCAGGCCATTTTGCAAACCCTGTGCCATGATGGTCTTGCCTCTTGTAGATGTTTCGGTCCGTCTAATGCTACAGCCCATCGCGCTGTCACAGCTACCCCCCCCCGTGTGACCGTCCAGTCCCACAACCGATACACTCGGCCACCCACCGTTCAATCATGTAACGGACAGCTACCGTACGTCGGAACCAAACGACCGGTACGGAGCCAACTGCAAATCAACAGGCGCTAGCTAGTTAGGATGGTCACCATGCACCTTCCACCTCCTCCTCCGCCCAAGCAGAGGGCCCTACAGCTCCCGCCGTGTACCTACACTTGAGCCATGTTGCCCCAACCAGTGGTTTCATATGGTTCGGTACAGTCTTTGACCCCCCGGCACCGACACCGCACCACTTCTTCACCACAGCCGGACGCACTCATGAGACCGCAGCATAGTACACCTTTGTAGCGCCTGCATGCAGCCCCAACCCTGTTCGGTGCTACTCGTGCTGCTACTACTGCTACGCCCATGCAACGGATAGAATGACTACGGTAGTAGTCGAGGCGGTACAGTACCGGCCACACGACAGCACCTGCTGTACACACCTAACCGCCCTCCTATGTACACCACACCTCAACACACCACGCCCTCCACCTCCTGCCCCCATCAACGTCACCGGGAACCTGCTAACATGTAACAGGTACCAGACCGGCAGAGACCGTCGGATGGCAAGAGATCGCACCGTACAGCCAGCAGGGAGCGCAGCGCATCCAGGCCGGCAGAACAGCACCCTGCGGTGCCCCCCCTCCGCTGCACACCCCTGCATCCCTGCCTTCCACCAACATCCCCAAAGAGCCTTCCTTCCACCACCATCCCGCTTCCATTTCTGCCCCCAAGCCAGAGCGCCCCTCGTAAGCCACAACCGCCGCCTCGCTCTTTCCCCGCCACCCCAGCCATCTCAACCACCTTATCCGCGGCGACGCGACAGGCGCCATGCGTTGGGGTCGTTGTACCTGTCGTACAGCGGCTCGATGCGCTCGAAGCGCTTGCGGCGGGAGAGCTTGTTGGGGTCGGCGGGCCTGTGGAGCAGGGGGGGGGAGGGGGGGCAGGCGAGTGGGGGGTTAGGTACGAGTGCATGATTGGGGAAAGGTGGCACTCATGCTGTGTGGTAAACGCCTGATAAGCGAACGCGGCGGCAGTCATGCTCCTCCCAGCCCCATACCCCTCCCCTTCCAACCCCCAACCCCCAACCCCCCCAACCCCGCACCCACTTGAAGAAGCGGGGCGCCAGCTCGGGCAGCCACCTGGGGTCGATGGCCAGCACCTCGCGCATGTACTCCTTGGTGGTGAGGATGAGCTCGTGGTAGAGCACCCAGTCGGGCTGCTGCTGGAAGAGCGAGGAGGAGGGGTGGATGAAGACGGGCTGCTGCTCCACCACCGTCTTGTAGCCCTCCTGCGGGTCCTTGCGGGCCGTGTGGAAGAAGAAGCCCGAGGTGATGGCCTTGCAGATCTTGGTGTAGTTGCGCCCCGCCGACACCTGCTCCAGCTTGTAGCGGTCCATGATGGCGAGCAGCTGCTTGCGCACGTCCTGAGCGCGCTTCATGGAGCGGTCCTGGGGGGGGGCGGGAGGTGGGGGAGGAGACGGACGGGGGGCGAGGGGGTAAGAAAGGAGGGGCGCGGGTTGATGTCTGCCTGAAGAAGCCAGAGGACACGATACCGGTATAGAAGGAATCACGATAGGGAGGAGGCGATGCACCTAACCAAGCACATGTAGGTAAAGCTGTGTAAGCGGCCCGGCACCCCCCTGGGACTCCTCCGGGACCCACCTGTATGAAGTTTTCCTTGCACCAGGGCACACTGAACTTTGCCGCCTTCCACTGCTCGTACACCGCCAGCAGGGTGAGGTGGTCGCCCTCGGGCTGGTAGAACTTGGCCTTGCGCTGGTCGGCCTGGGGGGGGGAGGGAGGGAGGGAGGGGGGAAGGATACCCAAGATGTTGCTTGACAAAGGGAAGGAGGAGGGGAGGGAGGGCGAGGAAGGAACGAACCGTGTGACATGTAGGCTCCACATCCAGGAGTGGTGAGGGTGAGGTTGAGGAGGTAGGGACAGGAAGGGGGTGGGGTACCGGGATCGGTCCCCGCCGCACTCCCCCCACCTATACCTGCGCCACCCCACCGCCACCCGTCAGCACACAGCTGCCATCCAATTCCTTGCGATTCACCTCTTTCCTCCCGCCGCCCCGCATCCCAGCCCCAGCCCCCGCATCCCGCATCCGTCCGCCCCCCCCACCTGCGCCTGCTTCTCCCTCGGCCTGTAGAATATGTTTTGCGCGGACAGCATGGCGAGGATGGTCAGGATCTCCTCGCTGCACCCCAGGTCCACACTCGCGATCAGCACCTTGCTCATGGGCGGCTCCAGCGGGAACTCAGCCATCTTGCGACCCAGCTTGGTCAGCAGGCCCTGGGGGGAGGTGGGACACAAACGAAAAGTGAAGCAAGTCAGCAGCGGAGTCCCCCTCACGTGTGGCGTCCCTGGGAACGGTTTGCCTTTTCCCTCTAAACCCCTCCCTCCCTGAAACCCCCCTCCCCTCCCCCACCCCTGTGGGTTTGGTATACCTCCCCCTCCCCTCCCCCCACCTCCTCGTCCAGCGCCCCCAGGTTGTACAGCTGCTCCAGTGCCGACACCAGCGTGGAGGCGGGGGGCGGGTCCATGAAGTCGAACCCAAGCAGGTCGTTGATGCCCATGGCCTTGAGCGTGAGAACCGTCCTGCAGGTGGGGCCAGGGGAGGGGAGGGGAGGAGGGAGGGGAGTGAAGGTCGGCAAAAGATGGAGGACAGAAACCTCGATGCGCTCGGTCGCTCCCATGGGCCGGATACCATGCCTGCATCCCCCTCTCCCTGGTGAAACATGTGTCATACAGCTTCTTGCCAGTGTGTCCTCCCTTTACAACCCCCCCTTCCCCCTCCCTCCCGCCCACCCCTCACATGGCCAGGTTTGTCCGCTGTATCTCCGGCACGCTCAGCGGCAGCATCTCGTTCTTGTAGGCCGCCTCCGTGTACAGGCGGTAGCACTTGCCGGGGCCCGTGCGCCCCGCCCGCCCCGCGCGCTGCTTGGCGCTGGCCTGGCTGATGGGCGCCACCACCAGACTGTCCATGCCGTTCTTGGGGTTGTAGACCTGCATGGAGAGGAGGGGAGGGGGAGGGGTCAAAGACCGCATTCCGGTACCAAGCTATAGGAAACCACAGGTTGGGGCAAAGGAATGAGTATAGGAACATAGAATCGTCACCCGCCCCCCCCTTCCTACCTTAATCTTTGCGAACCCCGGATCCACCACGTAGTAGATGCCGTCGATGGTGAGCGAGGCCTCCGCGATGTTGGTGGCCACAACACACTTGCGCTTGCCGGGGGGGGCGGGCTCGAAGATGCGGGTCTGCATTGGGGTGGGTGGGTAGGGGGAGCCAGGGGTCCAGGCAGGTTGATGATGCCACCAAGCAACACCGCAAAGAAACAAGAGGGAAACCCCAAGACGAAGACGACATGCACCCTGGCATACACACCACTCCCGGATGCCAACCTCCACAACCCCCCAACCCGCAACCCCCACCTACCCCCACCCCAACCCACCCGCCCCCACCTGAATCTCCGAGGGCAGCGCCGAGAACACCGGCAGCACGATGAGCTCGGGTACGGCAGGTCCCAGCGCCTTGATGCGTTCGTACAGGATCTGGCATGCGGTTTCGATCTCCTCCTGTCCCGTCAGGAAGAGCAGCAGGTCTCCCTCGGGCTCCGACAGGTGGATCTGCAGCACCGTGATGAGGGCCGCATCCAGGTAGTCGGGCTCGGGGGCCTGGGGGGGGAGGGGGGGGAGGGGGTTAGGTGGATAGCTGGGATGAAATGCCCGTAAGAGAAAGGAGGAAGGAGGGAGAGATGGGGCAGGGTGCGGTGAGGGTGCGGTGCATGCGGGTAGTAGCATGCCATGCTGCACACACTCGCCTCCCGCAGCCCATGGGTAGCTTGGGTCCTTTACTCAACTCTACAAACATGGGTTCCTTATTTCCCCCCCCCTCATCCTCCTTCTCCGCCTCCCTCCTCGTCAGTTTCCCCGATTCACCCTCCTCTTCCTTTTTCGCCGCTCGGTGCACCTAATCCCCACCCCCCTTACCTTTGTGTACAGCACCTCCACGGGGTAGGTGCGGCCGGGGATGGTGAAGATGGGCGCATCGAAGAAGTAGGAGGAGAACTTCTCCGCATCCAGGGTGGCGGAGGTGACGATGAGCTTGAAGTCGGAGCGCTTGCGACACACCTGTGAGGGGGGTGGAGGGAGGGGGGAGGGGGGTATGTTAAGAAAACTGGCCGCATGCATGTGGATATGTTCGTATGTCCGTATGTGCCATACAAGCTCAATTCGTCCACCCCCAGCAAGCACCCGCCCACCCCCGCTTGACCCTGCTTCTCTTCCCCCCCCTCCCCAGTTGCTCCATTCTTCCTTTACTTCTCCTCCCCTCCCCCCTTCCCCGCCCCCTCGCCCACCTCCTTCATCAGCCCGAAGAGCACGTCCGTGTGTATGGTGCGCTCGTGTGCCTCATCCAGCACAATGACGCTGTACGCCGCCAGCTGCTCGTCCAGCAGGCACTCACGCAGCAGCATGCCGTCCGTCATGTACTTTATGACGGTCTCGGGGCCCGTGCAGTCCTCGAAACGGATGGCGTAGCCAACCTGGGGGGGGGAGAGGGGAAGGAAGGGGGGGGGGAGGGGAGGGGGGGAGCGGGGGGGGGATCAAAAGACCATACCAAGCCGTAGGAAGCCACGGGATAGGGCAAAGGGAGGCGACAGGGTGCCACGATACAAGGTAAGGGTTACAGGAGGGGGAGGAGGTGTATCAGAAACCGAAGCACCCAACCAGCTGAGCAGCAACCAGGCCCAGCGTTTCCAAACACACCCACCTCCTTCACACGGAAAAAGGGTTGTGTTTCCTTTACGTCTCACTTATTCTCCCCCCTCTCCCTCCACCCCTTCCCCCCTCCCTCCTCCTCCTCACCTCCTCCCCCAGCCTGCACCCAAACTCCTCCGCCACGCGCTTTGCCACACTCATGGCCGCCACACGTCGCGGCTGCGTGCACCCGATGCGCCCCCCCGCCGTGTAGCCCGCCTCCCCCAGGTACTGCGTCATCTGGGTGGTCTTGCCGCTGCCCGTCTCGCCGATAACCACCAGCACCTGGGGGGGGGGAGGGGGAGGGTTGGGCTTCGGAGAGTATGGCCCCGGGTTTCTTTTTCGGTTGGTCCATCAATCGCGGCAAGCATGCAACCCACGGTGGAGCCTTGCCACATGATTAACACTTCCACTTCTTACCTTGACGCTTCCCTTCTTCCCTCCAGTCCCCTTCCTTACACATAGGGTCTTCCTCCCTCCCTCCCTCCCAGCCCCTCCCCCCTTACCTGGTTATCCCGCACCGCCTCAATGAGCTGCTGCTTGAGTTTGAAGATGGGCAAGCTCTCCCGCTGCTCGCGGATGCTGCGCGCGTCCTGCATGCCGTAGCTGATGGCCTGACCCATGGCCGCCTTCTTCCACTCGGGGATGTCGCCCTGCGTCAGACCGATGCCGCGCAGCTCCTGAGCTAGGGCGCGCTCGCCTGGGGGGTGCGGGGGGGATGAGGGGGGTCATGGGCGCAGGGGGGTTGGGGCGTGTGGTAGCCGCCTTCCCGCCCCAATACAAGCCCGCCCCTCCCCTCCCCCTCCTCCCATGTGGCATAGAACCGTGCTTCACTCCTCACCCCCTCCTGCCCCTCCTGTCCCTCCCTCTCCTCCCCCCCCCCCCACCCCACTTGGGTCCGCCATGGGGTCCTCCCACGGCCTGCTGAGGTCCTTGGGGATGGCCTCCAGCAGCGTGCGCTGCTGCTGCTCCTTCAGCTCGCGCCGCTCCTTGGCCAGCGCCGACTGAGTCATGGCTGCACGCTGCAACGAGCCGTCCGGGTTCTTAACGATCTTCACGGGGGACATCTCGATGCCGGAGCGGGTGCCGGAGCCCTGGGGGGGGAGGGGGGAAAAATTATATAAAAGTGAAACAACGAATCCCAATCCCATATCCCGACTCATGCAGTGAGCGCATTCGGAGGAGGGGGGGAGGGGGGGGACAGGGGGAGGAGTGGGGAGGGAGGGGGAGGAAGAAGGGTGAGGAATGGGGAGAGGAAGTGGAGGAGGAAGGTGCGGGCCGCTGCGGCGCAATCGTACGCAAGAGGAGTGTTTGTACTGAAGGTAAGATTCTTTCTTCCCCCCCCCTCCCCTGCGCTCACTGCATGAGTCGGAATTTGGGATTGGGACTCCGTTGCTGCACTTATCTATAATCCCCCCCCCTACCTGCAGGAACGCGGGTTCCGAGTCGTTGAGGTCGATCTCGAACTCCTCCGCCTCCGCGGGGTCGGTGGCGCTGGCCAGCACTCCCAGACCGCTGTCGTCGTCGTAGTGCGCGTACTCGCGAACATCCAACACACCTGGGGGGGGGAGGGAGGCGAGTGAGGAAAGGGGAGGGAGGGGAGGGAGGGGAGGAAGGCGAGTGAGGAGTATCCTGACTAGCGGACGAGTGGAGAGGGGGCGGGGGATATACCAAACCAGCGAGGGGTACAGGTGGGGTAGAGGTTAGGAGGCAAGAAAGGGATGGGGGTGCGTTGTGGTGTCGCCGTAACCAGTCCCCTGCAGCAAGAAGACGGTTCCCTCTCCAAACTGCTTACCAGGGTGCTTCCCTAGCCCGCACCCATGTCTCCCGGGGCGGTCCCTCCCTCCGCCCTCCCCTCTCCTGCCCCCCCTCCCCTCCCCCCCCGGGTACCTGACGAGATGAGCTGCTTGCTCTCCCACATCTCGTACTCGGTGAGCTTCTTGCCGCGGCGGCGGGGGTTGGGGTCGTCGTCATCGGGGTTTACCTGGGGGGGGGAGGGGGTGAGGAGGAGGGGTGAGGAGAAATAAGGAGAACCATGCGTGGCTGGGTAGGGTCAGGAGCGGCCGCAGGTGCACAGCAGAACAGACATTAAACTAGACGGACGGTGGGCGGGGGGGACGGCAAGCGGTATGTGGGTCGGAGGGCTCTCCAGCCGTGATCACCACCCGTGCAACCCTACCCCCCCACTCCAACCCTACCCAGAAACCCTACCCCCCATCTCCAACCCCCCCTCCCTCTCCCACCCCTCCATCCCCCTACTCTCACCTTGATCCCCGACATGCCCTTCAGCCCGCTGGCGATCTTGCCCTCCCCGTCCGCCCCCGGCAGCAAGTGGGTGGGCAGCAGGTCCTTGCCGCTCGCCTGGTCCACGTCGCGCATGGACAGCGACAGCCGCTGCTGACCGCTGGCGCCCACGGAGCCCATGCCGATCACCTGGGGGGGGGGGGGGGCGGGAAAAAAGAAATTCCAAAGTGTGGTGTGTGTGTGTGGGGGGGGGGGGGGGGGGAGGGGGGAGGAGCGCTAACAGGAGGGCGGAAGCTGCGGTGTGTTGGTTGGTAAGGGGTATGCCTCGTGTATGGAGTGGCGCACATGCCATGTGCCACTACATGCCATGGGTGCACGCGCACATGCGGGAGAGTTGAGGTGGAGGTGGGGGTAGCTGTAGATGGTGCGGAAACATGCACAGGCGCTCATGTCAATTGCGGTCTGGTGGTCCCTTCTGACCCCACCCGTCCCTACCTTGACCCACACCTCCTCCCCCCGCTTCACCACATCCGTGGGCGACTGGATGGGCTTCTTGCAGATGTTGGCGATGTGCACCAGGCCCTCAACCTGGGGGGGGGAGATGAGGGGAGGGGGAGGGGGAGGGGGAGGGGGAGGGGGAGGGGGAGGGGGAGGGGGAGGGGGAGGGGGAGGGGGAGGGGGAGGGGGAGGGGGAGGGGGAGGGGGAGGGGGAGGGGGAGGGGGAGGGGGAGGGGGAGGGGGAGGGGGAGGGGGAGGGGGAGGGGGAGGGGGAGGGGGAGGGGGAGGGGGAGGGGGAGGGGGAGGGGGAGGGGGAGGGGGAGGGGGAGGGGGAGGGGGAGGGGGAGGGGGAGGGGGAGGGGGAGGGGGAGGGGGAGGGGGAGGGGAGGGGAGGGGAGGGGAGGGAGGGGAGGGGGAGGGGAGGGGGAGGGGAGGGGGAGGGGAGGGGGAGGGGAGGGGGAGGGGAGGGGGTTTAGGTAAACTAAGCCGCGCGAAGTACTGGCCCGAACCAAAAAGGAGGGGAGGGAAAAATTATAAAGTGAAACAACGAGTCCCAATCCCATATCCCGAGGAGGGGAGGGGGGGAGAGGAACACATGCGGGTGCTGAGGGTGGTGCGGGGGGGTGTTCGTGCGGTAGGGCTGCTGGCGGGCGAAAGAGGAGGAAAACCGCAAAAGGTGTGGACGGGTCGAAACGACGTCCAACCCCAGCCTCCCTTGAGACGTCCCGCTCTCCCGCTCTCCCTCCCACCTCCTCCCCTTGGGACTGTGTTGTCGCACTTATCTATAATTTTCCCTCCTCCTCCTCCCCACCCCCCAGCCCAGTGCAGGATATCATCACCATCCTCATAACCCCCCCCCCCCCCCACCTTGCATGCACAACCCCCACCCACCCCCCACCTTGCATGCATAGCCCCTCCCCCTCCCCCCCCCCACCTTGCATGCACAACCCCATCCCTCCCACCCCACCTTGCGTGCGAAGTTGATGAGCTCCACGAAGCAGCCTGTGCCCATGGTGCCCGTCACCCGCCCCCGGTACACCCCACCCAGCTCGGGGTTCTCAGGCAGTGCGGGGCGCTTGGGGGGAGGCGGAGGCAGCGCGAAACCGTCACGGTCGCGGCCATCGCGGCCACTGGGGCCGGCGCCGTCTCGTGGGTCAGCATCCGCATAGTCGCTGTGTGAGTGTGGAGTGGGTGGGAGGGATAGAGACGGGGTGACAGTGGGTGTGTGGAGCCGGGAAGTTCGTACGGAAAGTCATCACTAGATAGAATCTCGCGCTTTCGACCTCTCCCAAAGAGGTTGCATACGCAAAAGGTTGCGTGTGAGCGTAGGTTGCGGCAACCCCTGCCCTGATCTCCTCTCCCCCCTTCATCCTCCCTTCTCCCCACCTGCGTCGCTTCCTCTCCCGGCTGCGGCTGCGCTCTCGCCCCCTGCCGCCCTCGTCTCCACCGCGCCCCCGCCCCTCCCGGTCTCTGTCCCTGTCACGATCGTCTCGGTAGCGGTCGTAGCGGTCCCGCGAGTCCCGACCGTCCCGTGGGTCACCCCGACCGTCCCTGCCGGCAGCCGCTGCGTCCCTGCCCGAGGGCCCCGCGGCCCCCGCGTCCTGCCGGCGCTTCTGATCCGCCTCCTGCGGGGCGGGGCGGGGTGCAGGGTGTGGTTTGAGGGCGTTGGAGCAGGATGGAGGGTTGGGTTGGGTCAGCGGTGGGGAGCAGCAGGAGCAGGGCAAGGGAGGTAAGCGCACTGTGAGGGCAGGTGACTGATGAGGGGTGCGTGAAGCCGTGGCGGTGCAGTAGGCGAACACAGAAGGCTCAAAGCGGCAGAAGGGTCCAGTAGCGCTAGCGCCGTAGTCGCCACGACCATGCAAACTCTCGGTCCTGGTCCGTCCCCCGATCCCAAACTCATATCCCTGTACGCATTGGCCTCGCCTAACCTCGCCTCCCTCCCCCCTTTCTCCCCTCACCTCCAGCAGCTCCTGCGTCAGCTGCTTCGCCCGATCCCTCGTGTCCTGCAGCTCGGCCCCCGGCAGCCGCGCATTGGGGCGAGCCAGCCCCACCCCAGCGCCGCCGCTGCCCCCAGCTCCCGCCCCGCCTCCTCGCCCCCCTGTGAGCGCCTGGATGATGTTCCAGAAGCGCTCGATGAGCACGTCGTTCAGCGCGGCACCCAGACCCATTTCGTGCATGGCCTAAGGAGGGAATCGGGTATAGGGAAGGGAAGGAGGGAGGGGGGAAGTGGTTGGGGCGAGGTGGGATCGGTGGGTGCCGGTAGGCTTTCTTTAGAAGTGCTAGGCCCCGAGGCTGCGCGTTCCCAAGCACACATGCATACAGGTAAACCCGTGGCAAACGACTGTGAAATGCCATAACAACAGCACACAAGCACCAGCAGGCGACTCACCCGTTTGAATTTGTCCACGTTGCCAGCCTCCTTGGCGGTCTCCACGATGAACTCGGCCACCGTGGCATCGCTGATCTGCAGATGGTTCTCAATTTCTGACGTGGACAACACGTAAGACACGGGCGGGAGTAGGGGCGGGGTGGGTGGAGTGGGATTGGGTTAGAGTGCTTGGGCACGGATATTTTGGTAGGTGCATCGGACCGTGTCCGAAACCCTCGTTCATCCCATGGGTCCGATGCTAGGCACCAAGCGGACCAGCAACGCACCCGCGGCTAGTAGATCTGTGTCCTCCCCCAGTAGTTACCATAAGATAGCTAAAATTGCCTACCAAGTTCACTATCTTTACCCATTTGGCCGCCAAATGTTGAGCCCTTCCTATAGCTTGTATATTTCGCAGCCGCAAACATACCCTGGGCAACTTTGTTGACCGTCTGCAGATATAGCAACTTCTGTAAGCCGCTCGCCATGGCTCCTAGCTATGCTGGCCCCGAGATAATGTCGCAGAAGACCTCCCCAGCGCTACAAGTTAAGCCTTGACCCCGCCTGAGCTCCTCTTTGCGCACGTCTGGTAGCGCTAGAGGGCTTTCGGCGGGGCAACGGCGTGTAATGAAAATAACGTTGAACCAACGCTTTTAGTAAGGTGTGGGATTTTGCCGTCGCAGCGCTTTGTCTTCACTATTGGCAATTGTGCAAAAAGCTTGGTAAGAGCAGTTGTCGCCCGATTCTGCTTCTTCCCGACCCCGTTGAAGGGCCTTATGGGGTTGGCCGTGGCGAAAGTTCGGTTCGCCATTTTCATTAGCCACCACCAATCCTTGCACCAATAGTTTCGCTGATCACCCAGACTATTGTACCCTGTATCTATAGTGCATTTCGCTATCGGTATCACCATTCTGAGCGATACAATGGCGGCCCAAATGACTCGCCCTGTTACCCTTGCCCCGGCCAGCCGTGGCCGGCTAGTGGTCTGCGCCGCTACCGCGGTGCCAAAGCAGGTAGGCAAATGAATTACTGGATTGAATGTCAATCGAAGAGTCGTCCGCACATATCCTCGAGCGATGGACGCCACGAGGTGGTTCTAGACTTTGCTGGGTCCCATCAACCGTTCCCATGCAATCCATCCGCCGCGCAGTTCAAGGCCGTTAAGCCTGTTGGTGATCGCGTGCTGGTCAAGGTGGATAAGGAGGAGGCAAAGAGCATTGGCGGTGTGCTGCTGCCCGCGTCCGCTCGCAACAAGCCCACGGCTGGCGCCGTTGTTGCTATGGGCGACGCTAAGACCGTCAAGGTATGCTATCGGATTGCCTGAACAGCTTAGAAGCATGCGTGGAAATGTAGCCGTACATTTGCCGTACCTCTTGCCGTAAGTTTCTGTCTCATCATTTCCATGTCCCTTGTCCCTTGTCCATGTCACGTGTCACTGCATGCCCTTCAGCCGTCGCTTGGCCCATTCTCCTTATCAACCCAAATCAGAGCTGACACTCCCCGTCCTCCAGGCCCTCCATCCCCCCACTCACCTCCCTCTCCTCCTCCTCTCCTCACCCTTCCCTCCCCCTCCCCCCCCCCACTTACTCATCACATTGGGTATTCTTCCTTCCCCTCCCCCCCCTCCCCCCTCCCCCCCAGATGTCGGACAAGGTGGTGTACTCCAAGTACGCGGGAACCGAGCTGGAGGTGGCGGGGGAGGAGCACGTGCTGCTCAAGGTAGGGAGCGGAGGTGGGGTGTGAAGAAGAAGCACCATGCTTCTTGGGCCTGTGGGGGCGGGCTGGCGGCGCCTCATGGCGGCTGCACGGCTGGCGCTCCACATCGCATCACATCACAGCCGGACCAGCAGCGGTATCCGCGCACCCATGAACCTGTTCCCTGGTTGCGGTGGTGGTGGTGGTGGGGGAAATATAGATAAAAAATGCATCAACGGAGTCCCAATCCCAAATCCCGACTTATGCAGTGAGCGCATTTGGTGGTGGTGGTGCGGCTGAGCTCGTACGACGTTGTTACCGGTACACCAACATCGCCTTATCCCTCAGTCAGTTAGTTGTTTCCTCTTTACCTCCCTCCCTACCCCTCCCCCCCCCCACTACAGGAGGACGATGTGATCGGCGTGCTGCCCTCCTCCGACAAGGTGGCGCAGTTGAAGCCGCTGGGGGACCGGGTGCTCATCAAGGTGGGGGCTTAAGGAGCGGGGGTGACAGAGGGGGGGAAATTATATAATAAATGCACACAACAGAGGGGGAGGCGGCGGGGTTGCGGGGCGGGAGGCGGGGGCAAATGAGGGCTGGGCCCTGGAGTTCAAGGGCTGGGCCCTGGAGTTCAGGAGGGCTATGCTGTGTAAGGTAGGGCAGGACTAGCTCAGCGTTGTGCCTTCCAGCTGCTGCAGGGCGGCGCAGGTGTAGCAGAGGGCAGCTGCCACTCAGCCGGGGGGTGCGAGCATGCCGCCTGCCGCACGCAATACGACTTGCGCGTGTGCGTGCAACACGCGGTGGTGGCACCTGCGCCTGCTGCCAGGGGGCAGAGGCAGGGGCATGCATGGCAGCTTGTACCCGGCCACCAAACACCATGCGTGGCTCCGTGCCCCGTACCTCTCCCCCACCCTCACCAGCCGCCACCCCGTCACCTCCCATGGCACCCATGATACCCATGATGCAATCTTTGAAGGAGCAGCCCCCTCTCACCTGGTTTGTTTCTTCTCCCCCCTCTGTCCATCCCCCCAGGGCGCCAAGGCTGAGGACAAGACTGCGGGCGGTGTGCTGCTGGCAACCGACTCGGGGGAGAAGCCAACCTTCGGCACGGTAGGTGGGCGGGAGGGTGGGCAGCGGGGCGCATGAGGAATGGCTGTGTGGCGCTGAGGAGGAGGACTAGCCATGAGACTTACACGAGACGACACTCCCCCCCCAGCCCTCACCAATCACCCCGCGCCAACCCCGCCCCTTCTCCCCGCTCCCCCGGACCCCAGGTCCTGGCGGTTGGCGAGGGCCGCGAGGACGAGGAGAGCAAGCAGCGGGTGCCCCCCAACGTGGAGGTGGGGGCCACCGTCATGTACTCCAAGTACTCGGGGACGGAGTTCGAGGTGGGTGCTGGAGGGGGGGTTGGGGGGAGAGGGAGGAGGGGACGAGCGAGCTGTGTGACAAGGCTTCACCATGGGGTGCAAACGCCGTAGCCGGCCAGGAGGGAGAGAATGATGAGGGAGCTCACCGCATGGCTTGTTGGCTGTACCATGTTAGGGGTGGTGTGCGGGAGACATGGCGGCATGCGTGGGTTCTCAACATCCCTCACACTCCCCTGCGTGCTCCTCCCTAACCCCGCCCTCCACCGGCCCTCCACGCCCCCCCCCTCCCCCCCAATAGGAGGACGGCGAGCAGTACATTGTGGTGCGCGAGAGCGACATCCTGGCGCAGCTGGCGTAAGCGGGGAGTGTGAGGTGTGAGGTCGGGCCGCCGTACATGAAGGATGTCAAGGGGAAGGGGTGATGATGCTTGGCAGGATGATAGTGAGGAGGAGGAGGGTGAAGGGCGTTGATGGATGTGTTTTTTCCCGTGGTGCTGCCAATGCCGGTCGTGGCCGGTGCTGTAAGGGAGGGGGGGCGGCGGTGTGTCACCACCACCCGCTGCTGCTGCTGCTGCTGCACAGCCGCTGAGGGCGCTAGCGTGGTGGTGGCGGCATGCGGAGGTGGTATGGAGGACTACAGGAGCAGGATTAGGGAGAGGGGGCGCTGCGCTTGCAATGTCGCCTAGGGCGTGGAAGTGCTCGTCCCTAGCCAGGCGAACCTTTTGCCCGTGCTCTCGTCCTAGTTGGGCTGAACGGGATGCCAGCCCGGCGGGTGCAGGGCTGCTGCACGCTTGGTGGGGGGCGGCTTCTCGGACGGCTTGCGCTGCGCTGCTCTTGGAAGGGATGTGACTGGAGCAGGGACTCCTAGTCGCAGGTCGGGTCGAATTAGGGAGGGCGGACTAACCGGCAATTTTGTGCCTCGTGCCAGGCTGGTGGGTTGTGCCGCGGCTAGTGGAGCAGCAGTTTTCGCCGCGTGTGCGCCCGCTTGTGCTGGTGCGGGGAGTGCCGGGACGGCTCCCTTCCTGGGGTGTTGTGAGGTGTCTCGCGCGTGACTGTAGGCGCGATGGAGGTGAGGCGGCCTGTAAAGGCCCTAGGGACTGTCGAAACCTCTCCCTCTTTTTGGGGTGAAGGAGAAGCGCGGAGACACAGTGTGTAAGTGTATTTGCCGTGCAAGCACACGTGCTCCTGCCTGCCAGCCGGCTGCGCATCTTCTCGGACGCATTCTGGGCTCTCCTGGGTAGAGTCCTGGAGGCCTGGAAGACTGACATGGCACAGCCCCCGCATATAAGGGACCTGGAGTTCAAGTCCACCCAGAAGAGCCCATTTGCGCTTCTCAGTGGTGGGCTGGTGGCTGAGGTACCGCAAGGGGGTGTGCCAGATGCGAGGATCCGGCACCTCCTTCGGGAGCCAAACCTGCAACCTGGCTTTGGAAACTGGATACCGAAACTTTACATACGCACAAGGAGAGCCACCGGCAAAGTTATGTACTCTAGCAGTTCTTTCTCATCAGTTATGTAGTACAGCGTGCAGCAGAGGAGTCACATGGGGATTGGGGGCGCGGTTCTGCCCCCGCGCTCCTCCTTCTGCTCCCCCCCCGCCACCATCCGTCCAGCGTGCCTCACAGAGCGACGCAAATAGGTAATCACGGTTGGCCATTCATTGCATCAGTTCTCTTGCACTCATCATACATGCCGTTGTGTCAGGTTGTATTCAAACGCTACCTACCCTGCTTCCCACCCAGCCAGAACCCGACAAGTAAGTGCGGCCTCCATGCGTTACCAGCAACACGGCAAAAACGTCCACGCAAACAGACAACGCTCACGCTAACCGACATGCAGGCGCGAGCGACCGCCCGTTGTAACGAGATCATGTGTACGACATACGCAGTCAGGAACTATAACGGCAGCAGCCCTTGTGAGGGAAAGGAGGGAGTTGTTGCCAAGATCGGAGGAGGCGCCGAGCAATGTCGGGCCGCGTGGGGTTGCGCGAAGGGCGCTAGGTGCCATACGGCAGCAGACACGAGCTGTCCTAAGCAGTACTGCAAGCTCTTCAGAGCTACAAGAAAGACAGCCGTCAAGAAGAGCCCGAAACACAGTTTACCTCCCGCCACCTCGCATGTAGTACTCATCGGATAACACATCATAACTACGCAGACAAATGCATTTGACCCGGGGCGTTACGGTACAACAAACCAAGCGGCCCAAATCTAGGTCGCTGAAGTGAAGACCTCCCCACCTGCGCCCCTCCTGCTGCCCCTTCTTTCCCTTCCGTTTGCCGGGGCGGAATCACCTGATGCCCGCACAGCCTCAAAACACCTCGTCATGCGAGGCGCTCTGCTGCTGGCTGATGCTAAAACACACACAAAAACACACACGCATGCACCTGCCTACTTCCTCTCGCTCCCGATGTATGTCCCGAACACGTGCCAAATCGTCATACTGCCAGGGGTATCAGTCAAAGCCTACGCCACATCCATGCCCCCGGACACGCTCTCCCCCCCCTCTCTCACTGCCGCAGCCCCGCCGAGAAGTGCTCATAGTCCCTCCGCGTGGGTCGCCTCAGGTGGTTCGAGTGCGGCAGCGTGTGGTCGTAGCGGCTGGCGGTGTCCAGCCCCGACGAGGCATGCAGGTGGGTGTGGCTGCGGGAGCGGCTGGGCGAGATGCACCCGGCGGCTGCTGCGCCCAGCGTGCTGCAGCCCATGTGGTAGTAGTCGGGCGGCGGCACGGGGGGCTCCTCGTGGATGTGGTGCCTGCAGGGGCGCGGGGGAGTGAGGGAGGGAGGGTAAAGAAGGAAACAATAGGAAACCGCGAATTAGGGGGGCGGCGGCGACTGTTGTTCACATGCATGTGCGGTATGTGCGTGAGTCCCAGCCCCGTTAGCCCACCAGCTGCACCCAGTCCAAGAACCTAGGACATGGAACCTGCTCGAGCCCCCACTCCAGCAACTCGTGTATGTACACAACATGCACATACATCCCGAGCCGACCCTTCATCTGCCAGCTTCTTGCCTTGACTTCCCCGCCCCCGCCCCCACCCAAGCCCCACCCAAGCCCCAGCCACAGCCTGCATGTACCCACTTGATTCCAAATGAGATGCCCTTGTACTTCTCGCACATGTCGCAGCAGTGCTCGCCGCAGCAGGGGTAGTAGCAGGGCCCGGGCGAGTCGGTGAGCGGCGCGGGCTGGTACTTCCCCTTGAAGGTGGCGCCGGGCAGCGCGCTCACGGGCTTGGGCTTGGGCGCGTGTCGGTCGATGGGTGCAAGCGGGCGCGGGCGGGTCGGGGCGCTGGGCGGGCGGCGCGGCGGCGGGCCCCACACCGCATGCTGCTGCTTGGGGAACTGGAAGGTGTCGGTGCGCGGGCTGTAGAAGCCCACACCCGGGTTGCCGTTCTCGGCTGCTCGGAGGTGTGGAGGAGGGAGGGAAAAAAGAAATTCCAAAGTGTGGTGTGAGGAGGGAGGGAGGGAGGAAGAAGTAAGTGTGTGGTGGGGTAGGTAGTCTTAGGGCCGGTCCAAACAGGAGGACAGGCAGCGAACCCGTGGGGGTGCAACATGGTCCCCTGCAGCCCTGGGGACCTCTTCAGACCCCTTCAGACCCAGTATGCAGCAGGTCAATAGGCATCACGGCATAAGTGCCCCCTACTGCCCCACACTCCCCTTCCCTTCCCCGCGTACGTACGTTTGCCCGTTCGCTGCCCAAAGCCCCACGCAGGCCCCTTCGGGTTCTGGCTCAGGTAGTCAGGCTGCGCGCGGGCAAGGTGGGAGTGGGGTGGGACAATGTAATCGTCAGCGGAGGATGTAATGAACGGTCACGGCGTACGGTCTGCGGAAGCAGGTATGTACATGCGTGTAGAGAGGATGAGGGCAGTGGGCCGCTCCATGCCGTTACGCTTCCACAACACGCGGCCACCCTCTCGCCAATGCCACCCCTCCCCATCCAAGATGACCGGTAGCGGCACCCCGACTGCGATTGTTTTGCGGTACGCTATGTGCGTGGTATTTGCTGACTGGTCTGAGTCCACCCACCCGCAAGTAGCGCCCCCCGGTGTACGGCGCCGAGGAGAATTGCGAAGGTCGATCCTGAGGGGGCGGTGCCCTGCCAAAGGGCGCCGTCCCGGCGGCCCAGGTGTCCGCAGCTCCAGGATACTTACCCGTTCCAGGGCCAGGTGGGGGGTCTGCAGAAAAGAAAGCCGAAGCGCAATCAAGCACAGATGAATGGAAGGTATTGTCTAGTTGTTGGTGTGGCTAGGGTTCAAAACTGTGGCCTTATAAGGGCTTCTCCCGCGTAGACAGATGCAGCGTGTTGCGATGGAGCAAGACAAGTTAACAATGCATGTCAGCAAGCTGCTGCACAGCCAAAACTAGTCGCGCAAAGAGGCATGTTTTAGAGGTTTCTTCCTTACCTCCTGGGTGGTGCCTTGTGCCAAATGACCATGCCGGCGCAGTGGGCAACGCAATCGCTGCCCCGCAATGTTCGTATCTAGTCATGGGTAACTAAACGCCGGCTACTGTGAAGTAGTAGTTGCTCAAAGTCTCAAAGTATATATAAGAGGTCACAGTTGTGCGTTGCAAATAACTCGGCACTGGAAGTATGCAACCTAACAGGTAAGGGACTTCAAGCAAGTAAAACGCAAGTGAGTATAGATAGATATAAGCTTGAGAGGCACGCACAGGGAATGCTCAGTACCTAAGTCGACAAGACATCGAGAAAATCCGTGTTACGCTCTAAACATGTCGTCTACGCGTGCTATTACACATTATAGACATATGCCTACCTCTGCTCCTCACTGTATCGTTTCATTAGAGTTGTGTCGTACAATACGCTTTAACCTCGTACTCTACCTCTAACAGCTGCGGTGCTGCGCTATCGTGAAAAGGGGCATTCATATTTCATGTTTCACCACCTATGTACCGTATAAATTGCCTTCACTGCTTGACAAGCTCGCCCAGGTTTTGCGCTCATTGGCATTAACGTTGGTGGTGTAACCTAGTGGGGCCAGATGTTGTAAACTTGACATTTGGAAACAAAAGACGGGTATCATAGCGAACGAAGTGTCATATGGAGTTTGTTGACTGGCTTGCCTAGGAGCTAGGACTAGGTCCAAGTCGTCCAACCACGTCGCAAATGTGACAGATCATGTAATGCCATACTGTAGGCCTGCATTGGTGAAAATATCCTGAATACCAGCTGGCCGTGAACATGCCCACTTCAGCTGTTGGGTTTGGCCTGAAACCATGTATTTCATCTAGCTGCGTGCCTGCGTCCCACCTAACCGGGAATGCCATGTGCCAAGGGCCTAGCACTTGCAGGGATCAGTTAACTGTCGGTCGCCTCGGAGGGTAACTCTCAGGAAGGGAAAATGTATGCTGTTTACATTAGCACAGCTTCATATCCGCCGTCATGCTTCAGTAGCACTAGCCGCGGGAAGCTCAGGCGCATACACAGCACAGACCCATTACGGTAAAAGGCCTTGACTGATTCAGCCAAAACCTGCTTCCTCCCTGGGGCAAAGGGCACACGTCCCGTGTCGCATCAGCTCCACACTCTCCCATTGACAGGAGGACGAAGGCCATGACGACACCCCAAGGCACAAGCGTGTCAATGTCACCAGAATACGCATACCGGTCTGAACCATGGGACCTTTAATCCTGTCCGCATCTTGAACATCCAACAATTTGCACCGTCCCAATAAGCTCTACTTCTCTAGTACCCCTCAATACCACTTTTGGTTGTTGTAAACAATCCCTACATACGGGAGGCAAAGGTCGAAGGCAATGAAGGCAATGGTCGCATGCAGCACTGCTAGGTTCACAAAAACCGTACCGGAGAGATCAGTCGGTTCAACACGCCTGCGCTAACCAGGCTCCGCCCAACACGAACCCGCTCACAGGAGTTGCTGCACATGCTTTTAGCGTCGCGCGTATGTAGCAAGAGCAATAATGTATAATAAATACGGAAAAAATACTTTAAGGAAAAAGAAGACGATGGTAATGGCGGCAATCGTACGCAAACCGACTTATACTAAAGCCTGTAACCTATAGCCCGCGTGTCTTACTTCTCGTCCTTTCCATGCCCGTCTGACTACATTGTAACATCTATAGCACCTGCAGAGGCGGCCTGAACCACAACCGAACACCTCCTACCTTCAGAGTCCTGGGCTGTCAACTCCTATGTACCCGAGTGCCACGCACGCACACTCTCTCTCATGCGTCATTCCCTTGTTGGGGCCTCTCCCACCCGCATGCACGGAGCTCTTGTAACGCGACTCAAGCACACTGTGCATGGGTGCAGGCCATGCGGGAATCACACGCTGAAGCCGTGCTGGCCCCCTCACGATCACGAACGAAACACCTGCTCCGCGGCCTGCTCTGTTCTAAGGCATCGGGGCACCAACAGGCAGGTAGCCGCCAAGGCATTCGCACAACACTGCGTTTGGCCCGTCATTTCAGGGCCGTCATCAGATATACTTGAACAGCACCGCATCGCCTACCTCCAGCTATTCTGCCCCATTTTGCTTTTTAAACAATTGCTCCGCTCCTAACCTCCTATAACCACCAACCGCAACCCGAACTGATCCTGCCTCCTCCCACCTCCCGCTAACCACTCCTACTGGCTCCTACCTAATTCTCAGCACTCCCAAACACTACTGCCCCCTCCCACGCCCCGCCCCTCCTACGTCTCCGGCACAAGAGTCATGTCCAGTCCCCGCCCTCGCCCCCCCCGCACCCGCGCCACACCAGCAGCCGCAGCCGCAGCCGCCCGCTGCTCCTCGGGACTCAGCTGCGCCACCGCACCCCTGCGCGCCACCAGGACACGACACCCAACGGGTAGGATAGGGATTAAGGAAACATGTGAGGATGCTGGCCAGGAGCTGGTGCATGTGCCAGCAGCGCTAGGAACAGGTCAATCCCTACCCACACGCTCCCTCCCACGGTCAGTTAGCTGTCTCCTCTTTACCCCGCTCCCTCCTCCTCCGTGTCTCCGTATGCGCTTACTGCATGAATCAGGATATACTACTTGAACCATACCTCACATAGCTTTAATCCCGCTTCCCCCTCCCCTCCCTTTCCCTCCCCCGCTCCCTCCCCCCCTCCCGCACCTGAACATCCCCGCCATGAGTGCCGTGATGCTGCCCGACCGGCCCAGCGAGCTGCTCGCGGACAGCCCGCTGGGCTGCGGCCCCAGCACCGCGGAGCTGCGCAACAGCAGCGACGACACGTCAACAGGGGGGGGAGGAGGCGGTGGGGTTGCGGCCGCCACGGACGGAGGATGAGGAGGACTGGCGGCAAGTGCACTGCCAGCTGCGGCCGTGCCGGCAGCCGCACTGCGGCCGCCGCCGGGGCTCCCCCCAGCACCTGCAGGCCCCACCAGCACCTGACGCGCGGGCGGAGGGCTTTGGGTGCCCGCTAGCGGAATGCCGGGCCTACCGGTGCCGGTGCCAGGGCTAGGACTGCCGCCGCCGTCGCCGCCGTGGTGTTGCTGCCTGGCGGGTGGAGGCGGTGCAGCCTGGGGCGGGTGGCGGAGACCACCCGGCTGAGGCGCTGCCGGGCCGCCACCGCCACCGCCCCCACTACCGCCGGCCAGGAAGAGGCCGCCGCCATTGCGGCCTCCGCCTCCGACAGCAGCAGCTGCCGCAGGTGCTGCAGTTCCTGTCCAGCTGGCCGCAAAGGGCATCACGTCGTTGCTGGCGGGGTTGGCAGGGTAGCTGGTGGTAGTTGTGGAGGCGGCGGCGGTGCTACCGGGTGCAGGGTGGGAGGTGGGGGAGCTGTGGGGGCTGGCGGTGGGGGCTGCGGTCCTGGAGGTAGTGGTAGTGGAGGTGGGAGGAACGGCGGCAGTGTGGGGGTGGAAGTGGGGAGGCGGTGACAGGGGGTGCGGCGTGTTGGCTTGCGTGCTGCCGCCGCCCCGGTGGGGGGGCGGCTGCATGAGACCTGCCAGCGGGCCTGCACCGGGACCGGGGCTGGGGAGTGGAGGCCCGCCAGCAGCTAGGCGGGAGGGGGTGTGCCTGGTTGGCGAGGGCTGGGATGAGGAGGAAGGTGACGGGGTGCTGGCTGCTGCCACAGCAGCAGCAGCAGCCCCCGCGTCCGAGCGAGCAGCAGCAGCGGTGGTGGTGGTGGGTGCTGCTGTCGCTGCTGTTGGGGGGTGCGGTCCGTATGAGGAGGGTGTGAAGAGGGCGGCCTGGGCGGGTGGTGCTGGTGCTGGTGCTGCGAGGGGTCCGTTCCCGACTTCAATCTGGGTCGTGGTGGTGGTTGTCACGGTGCCGGCGCCAGCACTGGTGGCGGTGGTGGACGGTGAGGAGAAGCCGCCATTGCGACTCGTTGAGCGGCTGGCTAGCCGCGACAGGGGCCGCCTGCTGCAGGCCATGCAAAGGGAGCAGCCAGGACGGCAAAAGCGTGAGCACGGCGCCGCTCTCAGTACACGACACGCAGGGCACACGACAACATGTAGCAGGTACCCTACTCGACCGAACGAACCGGCGCGGTAGCTCACCCTCCCAGCCAAGCCCACCCGCGTACCTCTCACAGTCCGCTGTTCCCGCCACTGCCGCCGCCCATACAACCTTCGGACCGGGGCTGCCGCTGCCACCGCCAGCAGCCGTGCTGGTGCCCCCTCCAACCGCACCCGCACCCGCACCCGCAGCCCCCCCAGTCTCCAGATCGCCTCTCGCGCCACTACCCGTGCCGTTGCCGCCTCCGCCGCCACCGGGCTCTGAGTCCATCATTCCGTGGGCGTGGAAGGGAACCACAAGTCCGGCCTTGAGGTCCGACGCTCGGCATTCCGGCGGGGTTCCTCCTCCCCCTGTTGTTGCTGCTGTGGCTACCGCTGGGACGGCCGCAACGCTTCCACCTCCGTCGCCGCCGCGGCTGCCTCCGTCAAAGCTGGCTGGACCCGCCATGCGCCCGGCTGCAGCTGCAGGGGCGCCGGCGGTTGTTGTCCAAGCGGGCGGCTGGGGTGAGGCCCCATAAGGGTGCTGCTGCTGCGGGTGCTGCGGGTGCGGGTGCTGGGGGTGCTGGTGGTCTGGGTGCTGGTGGGGGTGTTCGTGTGGGCGGAGGCGGGTCATCCAGCTGAGCAGGTTGCGCGAGGGGGGTGCGGGGGGAGCCTCCCTGCGGGGGGGGGGGGGAGGGGGCGGGGCGTACGGCAGTGGTTGGTAGGTGGGGAGCATGTTGGGACCAAAATGCAGGGAAAGTAGGGCATACGTCCATAAGCATCCGCTCCTTCGCTCCCGCCGCCGTGTTTCACCGCAGCAGCCCCAAGCCCACCGCCCTGCCCTGCTGCCTGCGGTACCGTATTCCAGCAGCTCTTAACTGAATGCCCTCCCCATCCGAGCCAAATGGTTGTAGGTTTGGCTCCCCCCATCCGCGGCCCCCCAATCACCTGGCTTTAAGCTGCAGGTGCAGCGCCTTGGCGATGAGCGCCGTCTGGTGCGGGAACACACCCGCCTTGAGCGCCCGACGCAACACGTCCTGCATGCATGCACGAGGGTGGGGGTGGGGGTGGTGACGGGGGGGGATGTAGGTAAGCGGTTTGCGCGGGCAGCGCAGCAAGTGCAGCACGAAACACAATCCCTTACAGCGCCGCCCCTGGTGCTGCGTCATAACAGTACTGCCGTACGGCGTAATAGATGTAGTACCTAGTACGGCACCCAGTCCACCCTGCGCCCCATCCCGCTAGTTCACCCCGCCCTGCCCTGCCCTGCCCTGCCCCCCCTCAGCCCCCAGCCTCAGCCCCACCCCTCATCCCCCCACCTTGGGGCAGTGGCTGCCCACGGGAGTGATGAGCGCGTACAGCGGCAGCACGTAGAGGCAGGAGTGCACCAGAATGAGGAAGTCGGCGGCCAGCAGCGCCACCACCGCCCACAGCGGGGCGCCCTGGAACACCCACTTGCTCTGGTAGCCCTGCGGAGGGAGGGGTGCAACAAACAATAACCCACAACTGAGGCCAAGACAAAGGGAGGGGTGGATATGCCTGCCTGCGCTGCAGGGATGTGTGTGCGTGTGAAATGCGTGCGCCCGCTCTCACCGAGATGAGGGAGAAGAGGAGCAGCGCGATTGACAGGCTGTTTTCGTAGTAGGCCCAGTTGAAGAGGTAGGCGATGACCTTGGGGTTGCGGAACCAGAAGAACTGCGCCGCGTCGGCTTTCTGCATGCGGGACAAAGGGGACAACCAAACAAGCAGTGAGGACACGAGGTTCATCATTCCCAATGAACCGCCGTAGCAGTGAAACACCACTTTGGGAATTGCGTTTACGTCCCAGGTTTACTTCTTAACCCCCCACACCCGTCACAGCCCCCCCTCCTCACCTCGAAGCCCTTGCCCCGGTGCTCCGCGAGTGCCCTCCGCATCATCTCCTGCTGCTGCTCCGTCACCTTGCTGCCACCCCCCGTCTCACCGCCGCTCCCCGCCCGCAGCGGCAGGTTCATCTTCTCCGCCACATTGCCCGCCGCCACCGCCACAGTGCCCGCCGCCGTCGCCAGAACCGACTTGGCCCGCTCCACCCCAGCCCCCAGATTGTCCGCCAAGCCCTGCACGGGCGCCGGCAGCGGCAGCACGCGTGAGCCACCCGCGCCGGTGCGTGCGGTGAGCGCATGCCAGGGCTTGGGAAGACAGGGCGGCCAGCACGTGCCCTCATCGCTGCTGTCGCTGTCATGCCCGTCTGCATGGTGGTGGTGGTGGTGGTGGTTGCTGTGGTGGTGGTGATGATGGTGGTGGCCGAACAGGTGGAGGTGGTGGTGGTGGTGACCCAGGTGCTGCAGGGGGCTCAGCAGGTGCAGGAGGTGGTGGTGGTGGTCGCTGCCACCACCACCACCGGGACCACCATGCTGGGCCACACGACTGTCACGGAGGTGCGCCAGGTAGTGCCACAGACCCCTGGCGTCACCATGCGGGCTGCTGCCGTCGGCATGGACCTCGCCGCCGCCGTCGCCGCCGCCGCCAGCAGCAGCAGCGGCAGTAGCGGCGGCGGCGGTGGCGGCGGTAGGTGAGGCGATGCGACCCGGAAGCAGCACATCGTCGCGACCGACACCCGCAGATCCCTCGCAGATGGGGACGCCGTACGGCGGCTCGCCAGGGCTGCTGCTGACGCTGAGGGCACGCAAGGGCACATGGCCGCCGCTGCCGTTGTCGGCCTCATCGGCGGCGATGGTGATGCACTCAGGGATGCTGCTGCTGCCGCCGCAGCTGCTGCGCCGTTCCGAGGCTGGCGACAACGCAGCCCGCCGTCTCGCCTGTGACGCGGACGGCACCGCCGGCGGCGGCTCAGGGTTGATACGCCGCCGCGACGCGACCGCCCATCGCCCGCTACTGCTAGCAGCAGCAGCAGCAGCCGCAGCAGCAGCGACATTTACGCCTCCATTTGACGTCGGGAGTTGCAAACGGAGGTGCGCCGGCGGCGGCGGGGCCGGCGGCGGTACCAGCGGCGCCGGCGGAGGCGACGGCATGCGCGGCGAGCCCTCATCCTCCCCATCTGCATCATACTCTGCTGCATCTGCAACCGTCCTCCCAAACCCGCCGACCGTCGCTTCCAGCACGTCTTCTTCGCCTTCGCCTTCTCCTTCGTCCTTCCTATCCTCACTACCGCGTTCATCGTTGCTTTCAACCTCCCCAGCGGCGGCGGCGACGCCGACGCTGGGTGTGCTACTCATCATCCTCCTCCGCGGCGGCGGCTCCTCACAATTCCGCATGAGGCTGGCGCTGAGCTGCCGCCGCGGAGTAGAGCCCCCGCTGCTGCTACTGCCGCCGCCGCCTCCGCCCCCGCTTCCCGGAGGCGCTAGCGACGCCAGAGACACGACGCTGCCAAAGGTCTGACCCCGAACACCGCCCAGGCTGCAGCTGCCACCGCGAGAGTAGTTATACGCCCCAGCGGAGCCACGACGACCGCCTCCGCCGCTACCGCCGCCGGGCTGGCCTACCGCTCCTGGCTGCTCCCCTCCTCTGCCGCCGCCCTCCTCCTCCTCGTAACGGGAATCCGGACGCGACAGCACGAGTACGGTGCTGCCGAAGCCTCGCAGCGTCGCCGCCAGTCCGAGCACCGGATCGCTGCCGCCGCCTGCAGCAGCAGCAGAGGCGACGTCCGCGTCTTCATCTCCTTGGGCGTCGTCTCCCGCCGCCTCCGCCTCCGCTGTCGCTCCTGCCCCCTTCATGAGCCCCTCATCATCGTCCCCCAAATCCACAGACCGAAACCCTAGGTCCGGCTCCGGCTGCACTTCGTCATCATCAGGTGCGAAGGAGATCCTGGGCGCTAACACCGCCTCCGCCTCCGGCGGTTCCGCCGCATCAGCAGCGACCACCTCCGTCGTACAACCCGCCACCACCGTTGCATCTTTAACACTCGCCGGGTGGGGTGAGGCCGGACGGTCCGCATGCGGCGCCGGGAACAGCACGGGTGTCGTCCTGCGCTGCAGCCCGGGCCGCACCCCTGCGGCCTGACACTCCGGCTGCGGCTGATGCTGGGGCTGCGGAGGGGCATACAGCAGGCCTTGCAATGGCTGCTGCTCCCCAGCTGGACCCACCTCCGCTGGACCCACACCAGCTACGTCATCAGCGTCACCCTCGAGGGATTGCTGCTGATGCGGGGGCAATGCCGGCAAAGGAATGAGGCCGACGGCTTTCCCACTGGCCTCCCCATCTCCCGGTCTGACGCCCGCGTCGCCCTTCTCGCTGTCAGTGCCAGCAAAAACATCTCCACTTGCCTCCATTGGCCCCGCCGACCGCATGGCCTCGCTGTCAACCTGGCGCACCTCCGCCTCCACCTCCGCCTCCACATCCGTCTCCGCCTCCACGTTTGGTCTATTTTGATCCCCCTCCATCTCCACCTTCGCCTCCCCGAACGAGTCCGACAGCTGCCCTAGCTCCGCCGGCAGGTTGCTAACCGACCTGGCGGCGGCTGCGTGCATGGAGAACACGGAACTCAGCGAGGGGCGCCGCAGGTCCGCTGCGGAAGCCGCTTCGGGCGAGGACAACTCCTGAGAGGAGGAGGCCTCCTCCAGGAGCGGTGCCTCCAGGATGCAGGACAGCACACGGGGGATCCCGTCACCCTCGCATTCGACGTCGCCGTCAGTGCCGCCGCCGCAGCAGCTACAGCCTGTCGGGAGCGATGCCTCGGAGGGTGCTGCCAAAGTCGCACCGCCGGCGGCGATGGACGCTCCAGACGCGAAGGACATCATCGCGGCTTCCTCCTCCGTCAGCCAATGGCCAACTCCCTCCAGGCGTATCACACGCATTTCACAGCTCGGGTCAACCGCCGCTGACGTCACGTCATCTATTGCCGTACCCCCGGCGACCGTACATCCCTCAGCCGACGCCGACGCTGGCAGCACCGCGGCGGCTGTCATCGGCCTCATCGCGACATGCAGCCGCTCCCCCGCCAACGTCGCCGTCGTCATCCCGGGGGATGCACTTGATGCCCCCGATTGCATAGATGAGTGACTGCTGCTGGCAGCAGGTTGGTGTGCTTCCGTACCAGCGGAGGCCTCATGTGCTGGCTGCTGTGCTGTCGACGATGCGTCGGCGTGCATGGCCGCGGCAGCGACGCACGTCGCCGTTGCCGACGGCGGCGGAATTTGGGCGGGCGGAAGTAGCGCCGCCAGGCATTCGTACACTGACGTCAGGTCGACGGCGGGCGCTCCTTCGGTCGGCTGCTGTAGCTGGTAAAGTGCAAATGCGGACCGCATCGTGGGAGGGGCAGCTGCCACCGCTGGGGGCGCTATTGCTGACGTCGTCGCCGGCATCCCACCCTCCGCGCCACCCTCCGCCTGCTTAGCGCCAGCTGCTGGGCCGCTTACGTCATCACGACTGGCGCCCTTCCGAGGGTCGAAGAGCCCCACGGCCGGTAACGCTGTTGCATTCAGCTGACCCGAACTCCCGAGCCCAGCTGCGGATGCTCCGAAACCTCTCCCAGCTTCCGGAAACAAGCCCGGCCCCGCACCAGCCCTGCCAGCGCCCTCCCCGCCGCCCATGCCGTCCTGGGTCCCAGGTGATTGTCGTACAACCAACGTCCTCGACAGCGCATTGCCACTTCCTCCACTTCCACCGCCCTTGATCGTGCACATGAGCTGCCGGGCAGACATGCAGCGACGGAGGGGCTTCCGAGGCGGCTGCAGCTGCCTCATGAAGGCTGCAGCGGCACCCACCGCCGCCAGCGTCCCACGCCGCTGCGGCTCCATCCCGCCTCCGCCGCTGGTGCTGTGCGGGTCGCTGCTGCTGACGGGGCCGCCGCCGCCGCCGCCACCTGCGTTGCTCCTCATGCTGAGCAGGGAGGTCAGCTGCGGCCCGGTGAAGCGAGCGATGGTGGCGGCTAGGGACTCCGCCTGAGAGGCGGGCGTCCGCGGTGACGTCATCAACGGGTGGTGGGGGTGGTGGGAGTGGTGGTGGTGTGCAGCAGCGGCAGCGTCCGGTGAGCCCTCTCCTCCTCCTCCGTGGGCAGCCTGGTGGCGGCTGTTGGGTTCTGAGGTGCGGGGCGGGCGGCGGGACAGACGGAAGGATGCCAGGAAGCCCGCGGCGCCGCCGCCTGCCGCTGCTGCAGCTGCTGGGGTCGTCCCAAGGGCTCCTCCCAGGGGCGTCTGAGGGCGCGTTGACGAATGCAGCAGCAGTCGAGGCGTCTCTGATGCGGTGCTGCCCGGGAGGGTTGGGGAGGTAAGGCCGCCGCCAGCAGCAGCAGCAGCAGGGCCTGATGCTGTGGAGGCTGCGCCGGGGGAGAAAGGGAGCACGGGGGTGGCGGGTCGGCCGGCTGCGGTACCGCTAGTAACGGCGACAGGTGAGGGGTTGAGCGCGCCATCGCCGCTTGCAGTGCCGCTGCCGTCGAAGGTGCCTGACAGCGAGGCTGCGTCCACAGCTGTCGCCAATGCCAGAGTTTCCTGGGAGCAACAAGGGAGGGGCGGGGATGCACGGCAGGGCTTGGGTCGGCTTAGGACGGCTTGGGTGGTTCGAGGGCCCCTGTATAGGCGACGGCAGCGGACTAGCATGCGGTACGCAACATGCCTCCCCTATCCCCTCACCGCCCATCCACGTCTGCGCACACGACACACGCCATGCAGTCCCTCCTCCTCCCGCCGGGATATGGGATTGGGATTTGTTGTTTCACTTTTATATAATTTTTCCCTCCCCCACCTCAATCTGCTCCAGCGCACTGGTGACCTTGGACGAGGCCATGCCGCACAACATAAGACCCGAGCTCTTCCGAGAGCGACGGGAGGCAGACGCCAGCGCCAGCACCGCCGCATGCGTCGTGATGCCGCCTCCGCCGCCACCACCGCTGCTGCTAACCGGGGAGCGAATGCCGGCGGCAAAGAGGGACGCAGCGGCCGCAGCAGCAGCGGGAGAGACAGCAGCAGCGGGAGAGGCAGCGGCAGCAGGGCCAGCAGGCGACGCCGGTGTGGGCGGTGTGGTCGGCGGTGCGGTCGGCGGTGCATGCCGGATGCTGCTGCTGCTGGTGGCTGTCAGGATGCCGGAGGGCATGGAGGCGGGAGCTGGGGAGGTGGGTCGGGCAGGGGTGGAGGCAGCCGGGGCCAGGGAACCACCAGAGGTCCCACCAGCAGCAGCCCCGGCACCGGCAGCAGCAGCAGCAGCAGCGGAGGAGGTGTGGGTTGTGTCCGCAGCACCCTCCTTGGCGGCGGCAACGTCGTCAACGCCTGCCCCAACCGTGATGGCTATAGCCCCGCTGGCATCCCCCTCCAGCTTGCCTCCCTGAGCAGCTGCTGCTGCTAACCCGGCGGCCGCAGGAGCATGCGGCGACAACACATGGGGCGCCACCGCCCCGACCTTCGCCCCCAGCCCGTGGGGGTGATGCCGGTGCGAATGAGGCGCGTGCGGATGGCGCGGTGGGTGTGCCAGATGCGGATGCGGGTGCGTGTGCGGCAGGGGCTGGCCCTGGTCGTCATGCGGCTTGGAGGGCTTGCGGAAGATGAGGGGCTGGGTGGCTGCGGCTGCGGCTGCGGAGGGCGCACCCCACTTGGGGGGAGCCATACCCAGCAGCAGACTGGCAGACGGCATCAGCCTTGACGCAGCGGTGCCTCCACCGCCACCGCCACCGCCACCGCTGCCACCTGCACCACCGCCTGCCATGCCATGGGCGCCACCGGCGCCACTGCCGGCCGCTGCGGCATCATCAGCACTGGTGGCTTGCGCGGGGCTGGGGGCGTTGGTGGGCCGCATACCGGCCTGGGAAGGAGAGGTATCCAGTGTTGACTTGGTTGGGATGCTGGCTTGCAGGTCCAGCCGTGACGGCCTCATGGTTGTGGAGGATGTGAGGCCTGAGGGGCGCTGTACGACGGCGGTGGATCCTGATCCTGGCTCATACGGATGTTGGGCTGAAGCGAAAAAGGAATCTCTGGGCACTGGGGACGCAGCTGGCTCGCCCTGTGAGGAGGGAGGGAGGGAGGAGGGCAGGTCACAGGTAGTGTACGGTATGCGCACAAGCGGCGGCGGCTTTCCTCCCAAGCCTTCCTGGTGCCCCTGCGCAAACTCCCCTTCTACTCATTATCCGCCCATGCCCATGTGCGCCCGCATAAGCAATAAACAACCTGCGCCCCGCTGCACCCACCCACCCACCAGTGGCGCAGCCGCCAGCGTCCGCAGCATGTTGAGCGCCTCCTGCCGGTTGCTCAGCGCCGTCACCGCCGCCACATGGGCCGCCACATCCACACCCGCATCCGTCGGCAGCGCCTCATCCAACACATGCGGACCACCACCGCCAGCGGCAGCAGCGGCTTCGCCTCCGCCGGCCCCTACGGCGCCGTCGCTGTCACCACCGCCGCCGTCCGCCCCACCGCCGACGCCATCCCCGCCCACGCCGATGCCGTCCGCACCGATGATGTGCTCCTCCAGCTGCGACAGGCTGAGGCGCCGGCGGCGCATGGGGCCCGCGCGGGCTAGCACGGGCGCCGAGTCCATGCGCCCGAACAGCACCGAGTCGCCGTACTTGATGGCCACCTGTATCGTGGGGCGACTCGGCACACGTCACACACGTCACACATACACATGGCCAGTTTTCTTAACACATGGCACACACGTCGTCATCATCTGCAGCCGCGTTGGTCAGAACAACACCACCTTTTTGTTGGCTACTACTACAAACGTGACCGCTTCAACGACCGCCGCGGATTTCCCCCAGCACCCAATCGCCGATATGCTGCCTGTCTTTAGATGCGGTACATACCCTAAACATCACTCGCATCGCCCCTTTATCCCCGGCCCCAGCAGCCCCTGGCTCTCTCCACCGCCTCCCCGGCCGGCCCCACCTGCAGGGCCCCCACGCCGCCCCCGCCGCCCCTCCCTCCCCCCCCCCCCAACTTGTGGATTCCTTATGGTTCGGGATAATCTTTGTCCCCCCGCCGGCCCCCCACCTGCAGCCCCAGCAGCGCCGTCACCGACACCAGCTTGCCCCCCACCACCAGCAGCAGCCCCATGACCAGAAGGTAGGCCCAGAAGGGCACGAAGGAGGGCAGCGGCAGCACCAGGAACACCGTGGCGATCAGCCACAGAGGCCAGGAGGCGTGGACCTGGAGGGGTGGTTAGAGATGGGGAGGGCGGGGGGCAGGAAGGGGGGGGACAGGCACAGAGTAAGCAGAGGCAGGCGAACAGTGGGGAGAAAGGGAAACATGAGGAGTGTGTAAGCGACAGGGTGTAAGCAGGGCAGGGCCAGGGGTGTTCCCGGAGGTTGGCACCCAACCCAACCCAACCACCGTGGGCTCGTCCCATTGACCGCCGCACCGGCCAGCCCTCGCCGCCCGACGCAGCACCCTGCTGCACCCGCCCCCCCCCCCCCGCCCCCCGGAGGACCCAACCAGCCACCAGCCCTGCGCCTCACCGCATGCGCCAGCTGGTTCTCCATGCCTGCAGGCGGGAGGCGGCAGGAGGCGGGGTAACGACAAGGGGGTCAATGGCCATACCAAACCATAGGAAGCCACAGGAACGAGAATGGGGGGTGTTTGGGTCTTTGGCTGGCACAAGGTGCAAGCCGGCTACTCAACTCGACTACTCAAGCTAGTGCCCAGTGAGAGCTGCAACAGACACCCTACATGTTTCCTCCCCCTCCGCCACCCTTGCTTCGCCCCTCCCCCCCACACACATACCATTTGTCACCAGCGAGTGGAAGTCAAAGTCGTACGTGAGCCCCATCTTCTCTGCATGTGTACGGCAGTGCAGTGTACGGCACGGGGAGAGGTGTATCAGGCCATGCAAACAAAGAGGTGTCATCTGTTATGCAGCGGCATCGTGCCCCTGAAGACCACGGTCACGACCCATGGGTCCGCAATCGCGCCTAAGCTCACCCATCACCCATCAGATCCCCCGCACCACCACCATCACCCCCCCCCCACTTGGCTAATTCGTGCTGGGCGGGTCGGGCTGGCTCACATGTTGCAAACCATGATGATGCCTTATCACACGGTCAGTTAGTTGTTTCCCCTCCTCCCCCATCACCCCCCCCCCGCACCCACCTATGAACATGAGCCGCACGTTGTGGTACATGGGCTGTGACACCGACACCCGGAACTGCGCCGCCAGGGAGGCAGCCAGCGCCTTCAGGTCGGCAGCGGCCAGCTGCGCCCGTCGCCGCCTCCGCGCGGAGGAGCTGGGGGTGCTGCTGGTGGGGGCGCCATCTGGGTTGGTGCTGGTGTGGGTGTGGGGGTGGGGGTGGGTGTCGCCGCCTGCTGCTGCTCCCGTCACGCTGGCTAGCGCGGAGGCGCACATGGCATTGATGAGTGAGCTGGGTGGAGGGGGGGCGGGGCAGGGTCATGGATTGAAGGGCCGGGGAAGGGGGTCATGAATTGAAGTGATGCGGGCGGAGAGGAAGATGTGGGGTGCGGGGGGCAGGAAAGGGTGGTGGCACCCCGCCCCGCCCCGCTCCCCCCCACTCGAGGGCCCCCCTCATTGGAGTTGGTTTCCTATGGTTCGGTATGGTCTTTGAACACATTCATCCACCCACCCACCACATTCGTCAGTTCCTCTTTTACCCCACCCCAACCCTCACTCCCCACTCACCGCGACACGCTCTCCTGCATCACCTTGACGTCCCCCGCCCCCGCCCGCGCCTCAGCCAGCGCCGCATCCTCCCACTGCCGCCAGGTGCCCACCTGCAGGGGGAGGTGTGAGACAGCAGGGGCAGGCAGGCAGGTGCCGGTACTTAGATCAAGAATAGGTTCGTAAAGGTGATAAAGGCATGTAGCACCGTCGACGCGGGCGACGCGGTCAAAGCCAAGTGAAGTGATCCCAGGCAAGTCCGCGGTGACAGCGGTAGGGATGGGACACAAGCAACAAACACCACACGACACGCATGCGTGGGGTGGCCCAGGAGCCCTGTGGGGGGTGCGTGCGGCGGCCTCTCGCCTTTTTTAGCGTGAGGGCGATTGTGAGGGCGCAGTAGAGGATGTGGGTGACCGCCACCGCAAAGATGAAGTAGTGGGTTTCATGCTGTACGGACACGGGCCACAGCGGCTCCCTGCCCTCGCCGCAGCTGTCGGTCAGCTCGTAGGTGAGTTTGTACTTGTAGTAGGAGGAGTTGGCGGTGTGGGGGATGCAGATCATGGCAAGGTATTGCTGCGGGGAGGGGCGGAGAGATGGAGGGGATGGGTTGGGCCGAGAAGGGGGTGGAAAAAAGGGGGTGGGGGAGAGGAGGTGGGGAAATGGGGCCAAGTGGGTGGAACTGAAAGCGGCGTTGGGTGGTAAGCCGACATAGTGCTTTCCAGAGAGGATAGGTTGTTGGAACAAGCGGGGCTTTCCTGCGCAGCATCATGGCACCCCCATGCACGAGCTAGGAACCCGACAGGCTGTATAAGCGACCCATCAGTCGAGAAGTACAGAGTATAAACCAAATGCAGCTATGCAAAGATAGTCGCAAAGATGTATCCAATTGCTTGAATCGCCTCTCGCAACACACACGTGACCATGCAAGCCGACTCTATACCGTATGGGAGGGCAGCGAGCAAAACTTACCTGTGTCACAGTAAGTAGCAGGGATAAGCAGCCCAGGTACAGGAGTTCATTTTTCAGGGCCCGAAAAGCTGTCAAGAGCCCCTTTCGCTTCTTTAGACGTTTCTCCACATGATCTATCAGACCCTCAAAGGATAGGGTGACAAACACAAATCCGACTAGCAGCAATGCCACGCGCCATCCCTCAATGCCGGTAATGCTTGGCCCTGCGGCCATCGCAGACGGGCTGGGAGGCTCTAATCGAAACTGCTGCTGCGCTGCTGCTTTCTTCTTCTGGAGCTGACTATAAATAATGTAAAGCACTCATCCTAAAGACTGTGAGTCCTAACGCTTGGGTCTGTGGTAGTAACATCCTGCTTCCAGAGTCTGTGGTAAACTCCTATGTAATCAAGTTTCACGCCCTTGCGCAATTAGGTTTTCTTCATTGATTATCCGCATGCCTCTGAGAAACAGCGGGAGCAGCGCTGCAACACCTGAAAACGTACGGTCACGTCACGGCAACGGTTAGATGCACAACCCCAAAATGTCCAGCATCATGGTGATCAGCGACAGATTCAAGAAGTTCCTTAGCTTTCAAGCTTGCCAAAAGCACGTTTAGTGTATGTCCCGGGCGACGCAAGTGACCCATGGGCAAGTCTGCAATGATGGCCATACACGAAGTGCGTAATCTTCTGTCCCGGGCCCTGGTGCGGTTGGAAGAGCACCCGGTGTTTGTGTGCTGACTCATGGAGTCTAAGGACGAGAGGAGTGGAACCCACTACCGGCAAGCCATATACCGGCCACATGATCGCCGGTGCATGGGGCCGTGTTTACGGCGCATGTTCGCTTAAGCACCTAGCGTGTTTGATGCCTTCCTAAACACTCCGTCCTCCTTCCGCTTCGCATCCTAATTCTAATTTATACGGCTGTGAGCGCATCTCGTCCAGCCAACGGCTGCCAACGGAAATGTGTCAAGTCAGTCGCGTCCTGACAGTGCCCGCGGTCACATCCGCAAATCCTGTGGGTAGTATAAATTCACGGCTGCTTTTCCTTTCGTCTATCTTCCATTGCCCATCTGTGTACAAAGCAGTAATTACCTACCTAGCACTCACTTACCGGTATCACTACAACACATTTGTACTGGTTAGTTGGCAAGAGACCAGCCAAGCTCCTCCAGTATCACAACTGTCCCCAAGTGGCATTCCCCGCCCTTTCGACACCCATACACACATACACACGTCAGTTATTTTAACACACGTCAGCATGGCTACCCGTTGTCGTCCACCCAGCACATGCCGCCGCAACCCCTTGCTGGCGGCATCCACCTTGCTGTCGGCCCCGCTGCTGCTGCTGCTGCTGCTGCTGTTGGTGCCTCTGTTAGCCCACGCGGCGCCCTCACGCCCCCGCAAGGCGCCCCGCTGCAACCCCTACACCTTCCCCTACAAGACCCTCTCCCACTACAACCCGGACGACTGCCGGACCTACACCCTGTTCGACGTGGATGCGGGCTGCATGCCCAATTGGGCCACCGCAAAGGAAGTTTGCGCACGCCGTGGGCTGGAGCTTGCACCTGTAGATGACGATGCGTCCATGGGTAAGCTAGGCGATGCGGGACGCATGCTTGCATACGTTCATGACGTACCTATGTCGAAATAACGGGTAACACAATGTTACCATCATTGTGTTAATGATTGTTACACTCTACCTCCTACGTGAAACACCCCTCCTGAAACCTATGTGCTTGCCAATGCTTCCAACTGACCCTACCCTCCGCAGATTCGCTGCATGAGCTGTGCGCCGAAAACCACTACACGTGCTGGATGGACGGCGAGTGCAACCCCGGCCTGTGCTACCTAATGAGCCAGGAGGGCTTTACGCTGAAGCAGGGGTGCGAACAGCCTGTCCGCTTCGTCTGCCGTACCAAGGGTAAGGGCGTACACGTGTACAACAGTAGTGGCGAGTTGATTCCAAACCCCAGAATGCGACCCTGGCAGGATTTGTATGTACCGGTATAGAGGAACTCACCTGGGGCGTCGTGGCTGCTGCTTTCATCGCTCATGAGCCTAACCTTGTTCCCTAACTTCCCCCTTTTCTTTCCCGCCCCTTTCCCTGCAGACTCCCCGGATTACTGCCCCGACAGGAAGACCCACCCCCCGAAGTCTGCCCTCATGCCTGGTACGTTGCTAAGGCTACGGCTAGCTAGCTAAGGCCGTACCTGATGACATCCGGGATCTTGCAGGATGCTATCAGTCCTGCCACGGTCTGTGTGCATGTGCATATAGCCCATTTTACGTTCGCAACCCACAAGTAGCATGCTGCATGCACGCGACTAACCATCCCCGCCCCACCATACCTTTCCCCCTTGCGTACATCTTTCAGACAACAACGTGCTCAGGCTGTTCAAGCACGGCTATGTGTACCGCATGTACACCGTGGATGCCACACAGCGCTTGCCGAACACGGGAGCCGAGAAGTTCTGCCAAGACCTGGGACTCGGCTGGGACCTTGTTCCCTACGGAGATGCGGCGGGCTACGACGCCCTCAACCACCTGTGCGCCAAGAACCGCTACACGTGCTGGTTCAAGAAGGCCAAGGATGATACCCTGTGCCCGCTTATTGATGCTGAGGGCAAGCTGCAGATGCAAGGCTGCGAGCAAGACGTGCGATTTGTGTGTCGTAAGAAGGTAGACTAGATGTATGTTGCGATTTACACGCGTGATGAATCGAGCGATGCATGATGCGAGCGTTTTAGAAGTGACGCATGCGGGCTCATTCCTGGTAGTCATGTACCTAGTTTCTTTCCGTACACATTCGACGTGCCCTTAGGCTGTGATACAAGGCATGTATACTACTTCGCGCGTGAAACGTTTAGCATGTTACTGGCGGCAGCTTCCCTCGCTAGGCTGCTGCGTTGGGAGTCGGTTTGTGTGTGTACGAAACGGTGTACGGGTTGTCATACATGCTCGGCCATCATCCGATAGCGCTAGTATGCCTCCTAAGCTAGGGTTCCTATGGTGCTTTCTACATGATTAGGTGCTTTCTACATGATTAGAACCCTTCGGATCAGGGACTAGGGACGGTAGGCGCAGTCAACCTCCTGACGGGGAGGAAGATGCGTCGGTAGCATCTAGCATGGCTGTACCATGTGCAGGCGCCACCCGAGTTGCAGTATCGGTTTCAGCGCCGAGAATGTCCTTAATAGTGTAAATCCTTAACAATGTCCCGCGGGTCACGACAATTCTTTACCGCCACTTTAGCCATAAAACCGGCATAAACAAACATCGGCCAGTGCTTGGTAGTTAGGAGCAATAGGAGCGCAATAACATAAGTTTACACCCAAAGATGGAGTCGGCTCCTTTCTGTTTGTAATGGTTACAGTTGGCAAGAGACCAGCCAACTCCTTTGAGTATAACAAGAAGCAGGATACGTTATCCGTGCACACGCGCATCGTTGCAAATGGTATGAATGCATATAACCGTACGCGCATACATGCAAGCAAGCAGGCACACTCATGCTTGCATATCCGAGCGTTTCCAACCTATCCCCCACCCCTGAAAGGTACGCTATGCGGGAGGCCACACCGCTGATCGACGCGTGTTAAAGTCAAAATTGGCCGAGTACGGTCGCAATAGTCAACTGCACATGTGTGTTTTACTGGTCACGCGCCCCCTCTGCCACCACTCAACAAGTCACTGCTCATCAATACAGCCTGAATCACAGACACCCGGAGCCCTGCAGGTAATTCCAGCACTCACAGGTCACGCAGACGGTCTCGCGTGGAGATACCTACCCTCATCAAACACGACTCCACTGCCTTCCTCTGCATTGCGCTCCTCCTACAACCCTTTCCGCTCCTCTTGCCGGTGCTCACGCTCCCTCCCCTCGCCGTTCCCTCCCCTCCTCTCCCCTCCCCTCCCCTCCTCTCCCCTTTCTCGCCCTGCAACACTGCTCTCCCAAGCCTCCATCGCGCAATCCGCTACTACCCTACCTGTAAAGCATACATCAGGTTCACATCTGAGCACATTGTCATACTAGTGACAATGCTAGATGCACATACATACATCCATGCTTGTAGCCCTTGACTGCACCTCCTAACCCCCCCTGCCCTGCAGCCTCAGCCTCACCCTCTCTGCCACCGCCCCGCCAGCCAGCCTCCCACGGGCCGGTGCGCTGTGGGTAGGTGTGCTGCTGCAGGCAGCTGCAGCAGCAGCCCCTGCGTCTGCCTCCGCTCCTCCTCCTCAGCTGGCGGCGGTGTAGGGCTTGAGCGCCTGCTGGCACGCCTCCACCGCCCACCAACAAATGGTGCAGGAGGGAACCTGCTGCGCCAGCCGAGGCAGCACACCCACCCACAGCGCCCCCGGCCCCCGCGCCTGCACCATCCACACCCCGGTGCGCAGGAAGGCCATCACCTGCGCCCCCGCACTCAGGCTGATGGCGTCCGTAGCGTGGGTCTGGGGGCGGGGATGTGTGGATGTGTGGATGTGTGGATGGGGAGCGAGGGCGGGGGGCGCGAGGTGTCACGGTACACGTGAGAAGGGAAGAGGAGGGAGAAGGGGGCGAGTGGGGACGGGATTGTCGAGAGGTCGACAGGTTTGGAGGCCTAGGTACCCTGGGGAACGATAGCACGCATTGGGGTTAAAAGGGGCGCCATGGAACTCCATTCTCCAGACACCTAACGGATAGCTATTTTAGCTAAATTAGCTGGTGCGAGCCCCTCACCACCTGTCCCCCCCACCTGCATGTAGGTCTTGACGACGTCGAAGGGCATGGATATGAGGGTGGCGGCGCTGCCGGCGGCCGCGCCGATGGCAATGTCCCACACCTAGCGCACCACGCACCACACCGGGAGGGAGGGAGACATGGGGTATGGGGTGAGGCAGTAAAAGCGCGTGTGTATCGCGAGAGAGGCACGCATTGCTGTGACGTGCACGCATTGCTGTGATGTGCATATGCATGGCTGTGTGGTTCGGCTTTGGCTCCTTCACGGCAACCGTGGCAGGGCTCTACTGGGAAGCCAGCCCAGCAGCCCAGCAGCCAAAGCGCACTACTGCCGGTGGCAAGACGCGGCTTGCTGACTAACCATGCCCTTTCCCGCACACAACCTACCATTCCATTCCCCCACTTGGGAAATTCGTCCGCCACATTCCACCCTAGATATCACATACCTGTGTCGGTATCTTGCTGTCCCGCCCAAACAGCTTCGATGTCGCCGCATCCGCCCGGCTGACCGCCTGGTTGTACACATCCCGCAGCTGGCTGTACGTCGCCAGCTCACTTATGTCGTACGGAAAGGATTCGAAGCAGTACGGCAGGAAGCCCCAGTACAGACCCATGGGTCCCTGCGTGCGCACCACGTGACCCATCTCCTTGAACAGGTTGCCGCTGATGATGCCGGCTTGCGCCTGGTGTCGGAACAGCTCCAGGGGGCCCTCCACCAGCGCTGTTAGGATAGCGCCAGCCTGGGGGGGGTGGGGGAGGAGGCGGATGTGGGTTGGTGCGACCGTTGGGGCCCGGGAGAAAGATTATGACCGGGTCGGGGGTCGGCAATGAACCCGGGGAAGGAGCGGGGAGGGAGCCGAAGGAAGAAGCAGAGGGGGCTTTCCTTACTTTCCCCCCTACTCACCGTGGCTCCCACCATGTTTGCAGTCGCCAGCATGTGCACATCGGAGGGGGAGGCGCCGCCCGAGGAGCCATCGGGCTCGCCGGCAGAGCCGCCTGCGGGGGAAGGCGAAACAACCGGGGCAAGGGACGGTTGCAGGTGTTCCATCCCCAAGCAAGTTCCCGGAGTCCAACGCGAGGTGGGGCTGGGGTCACCTCAGCACAGAGGCTGAGCCCGTGTCCGCACGCTTTCCTTCCCATGCCGCCCATCCTCTCCCGCCCTGTCCACACCCGCCCCCCACCGCACACACACACAGCTCACCTGCCGTCAGCCGCACCTCCTCATCGTGCATGTGATGCCCGCTGCTCACATGCAGGTGAGCCGTGGCAACACCGCTACTGCTACTGCTGCTATCGCTGCTGCTGCTGCTGCTACAACTCAACGCTGACGTAGCGCCTCTTCCTCCGTCTAACAATTGTCCGCCTTGCTGCTGTTGCCCCTGCCCCTGCCCCTGCTGCTCCTGCTGCTGCCGCTGCATGACCCCCAGCGCCGTCCGCTTGGCTGCGCAGAAGGTGAACCAGTGCATGGCGCCCACCACCACACTGAGCGCAGTGGCGCTGCCCAGCCCCGCATACAGCTCCCGCACCACCTGAGGGGGCGGGGGGGGTCAAAGGCCATGCCATACCATAGGAATACAGGGGAGAGGAGCCGCTTCTTCATGCATGCTGTAGCGACCCGCCGCCGCGCTGGCAGCGCGCCCCCTCCCCCCAAACCCCCACATGTGCATGCCATGCTAACTACCCGTAGCTTCGCCTCTTCTCCCAGTTCCCCCCCACCTGTGGTCTCCTATGGTTTGGTGTGGTCTTTGACCCCCCACCTGTGGTTTCCCATGGTTCGGTACAGTCTTTGACCACCCACCCACACACCTGCGCGTTCCAGCCGTTGCGCAGCAGCGCGGACACCACCGCCACCGCACTGATGCCGTCCGACTGGCAGCGGACCTGAAGCCAGCAGGAGTCAGGAGTCAGGAGGAGGGAGAGGAGGGAGAGGAGGAGGAGGGAGGACATGGTGACAAGAGGGGGGTAAGGCAAGACAAGCCAGGGAGGGGCGTGTTGATTGAAAAGGGAGGAGGGGCTGCACTGACATGGCTGGCAAGCAGGGGTTTAAATTCCAGGGGTTTATCGTCCCGCTGGTTTATGTGTTCCTATTGCATTCTGTAGCATTGGTAAAAACACACATGGGCGCAAAGGGACGGCAGTTGCTACCTTGATGGTTTCTAGCGGGTAAAGAAGGATGATCTGGGACACCTCGCCTACGGCGCCGCATATAGCATCCACAAGCGGTTGCGGCATCAGGAATTTCCTGCAAGCAAACCCGCTTGCTTGAAGTGGTGTGTCGTCGGGGTAGTCGAGTCAACGCGTTTCGGTAAATGAATTGAATTGAAAAGCATGGGCCAAGTGAAGGTTACCTCGGTGCCTCCTGCCTTGGTCGAACGTTTGGGCGTGCAGCGCGCTGCATGGCCACAGACGCGACGCAGCCACAGGTGGCCAAAGCAGCGACGCGAGCCATTTGGGCCCGATGTCGCGGAGTATGCATATTCAAGCCCTTTAGAAAGTTTGTCATCTTGGCAGGTGTCTGCAATGATGCTACGAGTAGTCGACCTGACCGCTTACACACGCTCTTTCGCACAAACGCACTTCACGGCTCAGCCTCTAGCTAACAACAAAGCCGTTTCATCAAGTGCAGGTAGCATATGCAAATGGGAATCATGTTGAGCACATCCGCAGAAGTTAGTTTGGGGAGGGAATCCGATCCCCACTTGAAAAGGGTCTACTGTGCACAAGTAAAACGTACAATAAGTGTGCGTCAATTGATGTTTGGCAAGCATGCCTATCCTTCAGTTTCCCGCAAGCCGGTGACAAACGCACCGAAACCAAGTCGTTTTCGCTGCATCCATACGGAGGATTGGAAAGAGGCAAAGGGGGCAAATGCAAACCTTGCTGATCACGTTTTGTGTCACTTCTATCCTTCGGATCAGTGCTGGAAGTACAAATGCGAATGTACCAATAGTTCCTCATTGAACAGATCCAGGCAATCCTTGCTTGGTAGATAACGTAGATCCAACAACGTTCAGTGTCCAGTATTTATCCATGGTTTCTGTCGCGCACTGCACCAAGTCCGACTGTCGCATACGAACGGAGGATTAGTTTAGGCGATACATGCTTGTTAAGTCCCTGTTACGGGAACATATCTTCTTACCTCTACGTTTATTGACACCTATTCGGCAACCATAGGATTCAAATACTGCAATCTGCAATACCATTTATCCCTCGGAATACCTGAGGACTCTGTGCCGCCGGCGGTGAACCAGTACCGCCGGCGGCGATTACCCGACACGTCAGCTTGACCCAGCTCGCAATGGACTCAGCTAGCCGGTTTCAGCGGCCAAGGCATTTTGCAGTTTGGCGGGCGTGCTGCACGCTCGCGGTTTTGGTTGCTTCTACCGAGCTATGGAGTCCAATAGCGGCATCAGGAGACAGCGGTCATCTTCGTGGTTCCGGACAAGCCGCGAACTCGCTGTTGCAGCCGCATGGAGCAGCGCGGGAGCTAGCATCGGAGCAAAGTGCAGGGTGTCCTACTCCTATGGTGAGTGCCCCCGGTCGAAAGCACCTTGAAGGGCCACAACCTAGCCTGAGGAATGGGGGCGCCATGCGCATGCGTGCATGTGGCTTACAAGACCCATCCAGGACGCCATGCTATCCATCGTTCGCGGCCGTCCCTACACGGCACCACACCTAGTGCTTCGCGTCCCACAGGGTTCCATGCATATAACTAACATGGGGTGCATAACATGGGATGCTCAATGCATGTAACTCAACTGGCGCATGGCGTGAGTCATGGAAAGCAGCGCAGCTGCATATGCGACTACAGCTGACGCGGACACACCAACCTGCCCCGCCCGCTCCTGCTTCCGCCTGCTCCCGCCCGCTGTCGCAGGTTGACATGGAGAAGGACCGCTACCAATGTGTGGTGTGGCGCAAAGTGTGTGTGGACCAAAACGTGATTGTGTCGTTTGACCCGGAGGTCCACCCCAAGACGTCCATGGGGACTATTCCCACACTCAACGTGACAGAAATCATGTACAACATACCCTCAAAGTAAGAAGCGCCGGATAAAGGGTTGCGTGAGCCGGACCGGACTTTATCTGCCATCATGTGCTTGTCATAAGCCGGCACATGTCGCCGTGTATTTTCCATAGTAGGCTTCACACGTCCCTTCAGCCTAAGCAGAGATGCGTTTCGGAGCCTAGCACGCCCATGCAGCATGTCCCGCTTTGTTCGCCCTCTGGAACACGTCACCACAACACATGCTTTCCGTTCACGTGGCCTGCCGTGCATGCTCGTAACTCAGGTACGGCATTGGCGACCGGTACCGTAAGGGCTCGGCCCTGCGCTTCCCAGCGCTCTACGTGCGGCCCAGCAACGACATGGAGGAGGAGCCGGAGCTGCAGGTGGGGGGTGGGGGAGTGATGGGGACGTGGTGTGGTGTGGGGTGGGGTGGGGTGTGGTACGGGGTGGGGTGCGGGCTGTGGGGGTGTCCGGGTGAGCAGGGAAGGAGGGGATGCAAGTTCTGGTGGGGTGTCCCGGTGGTGGCATGCAACAGCAACTCATGCAAGCACAGCATGGGGCCGAGCCGGGGTGAGATGGTGCAGGGCAACAATACAAAAGCTAACAAGCTTCAACCTCGCCGCCGGCCCCGTCTAGCAAGCCCTGTGGCATGGTCTTCCTGCTCCCGCCTCCTGCTCTTATCCTTCCATGGCTGTTTCTCTGCATACAATTCGCCCTGCTGTCCTCTCCGCCACCGCCTCCCCCCACCTCCCACCTCTACCCCCCCAGGACCCCCACTTCTCCTCCTGCACGCTGCCCATCCTGATGTTCGCACACTACCCCTACAACGCCGCGGAGACCTTCCGCTACATCTTTGAGAAGCTGGTGACGCTGCAGGAGGTGGGGGAGGGGCGGGCGGGAGGGAGGGAGGGAGATGGGAGGGCGGGAGATGTGGAGGCGGGAGATAAGAGGTCGGGAGATAAGAGGTCGGGAGATGGGGGGGCGGGAGATGGGAGGGCGGGAGATGGGGGGGCGGGAGATGGGAGGGCGGGAGATGGGGGGGAAGGAGGGAGGGAGGGAAGAAAGGTAGGGAAGTTGGGGAGGGTGTGCATGGTAGCCTTTACATTTGCGTAAATGGCTAGCCGGTAAGCACCCGTCTGTGTGTCTTGGGCTGCTGACACACCCTCCTCCTCGCTCCCCCTCCTCGCTCCCCCTCCTCGCTCCCCCTCCTCGCTCCCCCTCCTGCTACCCACCTCATGCAGGCGGGCTTCTTCGACCGCCGTGTGACGCTGGTCCCCGGCGTGCCCCCGGGCACCCGAGTCCCCTCCTACACCAAGTTCTGGTGGGTCGGGCGGCTGCCGCTGGTGGGCTCGCAGCGAGCCAGGCACTCTCTTATGGGGTGTCCCCGTGTCTGCTGGGTGTCATGGTGAAGGGAGGAGGAGGGTCAGGAACTTCACGGTTGAATCCTGAACGCATGCACTCATGGTCGGGCTGCCTGGCGCCTCAGGAGGGGCAGGTAGTACGGTACAGTCGGCCAGTCAAGGCACAGCGGTAGTACAGAACCCAGTTTTCTGCATTTTGGGTTATGGAGGATGTCACCAACACCTCGCATGCCCTTACCTGCACCGCTCTCGTTCCGTGACCTCAGGTACGGATCTCTGTCAGACCGCGACGTGGTTTCCCTGTCGGAGCTGTCTGCTCGTCGGCCCGCTGACACCCCCTCCAATGCGACATGGGAGGGGCGCCACATTCGTTGCTTCGAGCGCATGATGGGCTGCCGTATTCGGTACGACAGATACGGTCTCAGGTTCTACAACGCAGGCCAACATGTAGCTCGGTAAGTTGCCTTCGCCATCGCGGCTGCTGCTGGTACTGTCGCTGCCTCTTTGTGGCTTCCACAACTCTTATGGTCCCAAGCGCTGCCCTTGTAAACCAAACCCTGCGTCGCGCGGCTCACTGCGTGCAGGCACTACATGCCTCAGTACCTGTCGCAATCCGCTGCCTTTGAGGAACGCCTCTGGCAGACGAGACAGGTAAGTGCTATGCGTGTATGGCTCCTCCTAGCACTTCCTGCATGGCTTGTGAGGAACTTAAACCGGCGCCCCGTTAGTCTCTTTTATACTTCCCTACCTTTTTTCTCTCGCCTGCGCATATACTCCGCAACACACTGCACCCTCGCACCCGCCGGCAGGTCCGTCTGCCCTCCGACCCCTCCGTCTTCAAGCTGGTCTTCATCAGCCGCAACGCCGACCAGTCCGCAGTGGGCCGCACCATCCTCAACGAGGCGGAGCTGGTACAGCGGTGTAACGAGGCGGCGGGGGCGGACCTGCCGCCGGCAGCGTGGGGGGTGCCGTACAAGAAGTTCTTTTGCTTCCCGCACACCTTTGGGGAGAGCCAGCTGATGGATGTGTGGCTGATGAGGCGGGTGAGGAGGAGGGGGGCGATCGAAAGGGAGCAGGGAGGGAGGGAAGTACGGAGGTGGGAGAAAGCTAGAGCTCCCCGAAACCGTTGTCGCCCTTGTTCGGGATGTACCGTACCAAACCCGGAAGACACCTTGGGCCCTGCCTTAGCTATAATCGCCGGTGGTTGTACGTTGGTAGATGGTAGACTACCGGTTACAACGAGCTCGAATGAAGCTTACCCGGTATCTCCTCTACGCCGCAGGTGGATGGTGTGTTGGGGATGCATGGCGCCGGTCTCACGAACGTGCTCTACATGAAGCCGGGCGGCTCGGCGGTGGAGGTACGGCCGTACGGCTTCAGCGGCCGGGAGTCATGGGCCAACCGCTACGCGCGCTTCAAGATGAGCAGCATGGCTGAGGAGCCCTGGCCGGTGTTTTGGTACGGCATTGACACCTTCAACGCATCGCTTTCGGAGCCGGGGATGTTTGAGAAGGATGACAAACCGCACTACTCCAAGTTCCGGGTGCGTGTTTTGTCTTGGGTGTGTTCTTGTGGCTTCCTTACTTCTTGCTACCATTGACCCGCTTCTGAAGCCGCGGATGTGCTTGTGCATGCAGCAGGCCTAAGGAATACAGGCATACTGCAATCATGCATGTGGGGAAGCTCTAGATGGGAGTTAGGAAAAGTCGCTGTCGGGGAGATACCGCAGTAAAGTAGTATGTAGTAGTATGTCCAAAATGGAGTTACCTTCTGTCACGAGTTGCATACATTTGCCTGGTATTCCTGCCGTGGCGGACGTCTGTATGCTGCTATACTTTTGGCTGCAGGTGATCAAGGCTCGAGACCGGCACGTGCGCATCACGTGGCCTTCCCTGCGTCATCAGCTGCTGAACATGGCTGCGGTGGCGCGCACGCACGACCGCTACATGTCACTGAGGCTGAGCGGGAGCTTCTACATAACGGATGACGTACAACCGGTACGGGGAGAAGCGGGGTGGGGTGCCATACATGCGGCGCCTTCCTATGCGTGTAACCCGTACGAAGGTGTAGCGAGGGTGCTGCAAATACCAATAATTATGGCTGCACAGCATCCTCAGGACCGTTGTTACACCGTCTCGGCCTGTGTTGTGGTCTTCAGCTTACCTCGCCTCCTTCCCCTCCCCCGTGCAAAAACCAATCTCTTTCAGGCGGAAGCCCCCGGTCTTGATCCCCACGTAAACAAGGCTCGTCAACGGAACTTCACCGATCCAGATGCGGAACGTCAGCTGGCGGTTCAGATCCCGATTTCACAACAAAATCTGGATCTAGCTGCAACGCCCGATCGGTTAGCTACCTGATGCGTTTGGGGGAAAGGAAAGGGCTGCATCTTAAACTGTTTAGTCTGTTGAAGGGTGAATGAGTTGGTGTTGTCCTTGACGACGAGTTGATGTTTGGACGGCGCTGACTTACCCTACGTGTACGACAGCTCCATTTCCAAAGGAGACATTGAAGTACCGTATGCAATTTTGCTCTGCCCGATAAAAATTGCATGCATGTATGTCTAGCCCGACTAGCTATGTAGCGAACGTGTTTATGTTACGATGCCATGGGGTGCTCCATATGCTGCTGATGTGAACATACAAATCATCAATCAATGCGGAATCACACTTCATCTGGTTGCCGCACGACAGCTTGCTGATGCCGGCATGCTGTCCAAGGGCCTAGGAAGGTAACGACAGAATGTGTGGTTTTATTATGTACGGTAGTTGTGCGCTATGCTTTGGCGTAAGGATGCAGCTGAGGCGACCTGCGGTACGTGATCATTTGTTGGATTCATGCAGAAACTGGTTCCGCACTCGTGATGCTTTTGACGCCTCTTGAGAATTAGGGGGGATGCATGTGAAGGAGGGGAACCAGGCTGTTAGGCTGATGGAGGGGCAGACCAGCTATTCGTCTACTGCTGCTGCAGCATTCTGCTTGTAACCACAATAGTTGTTGGAACGCTGACGGACTGTAACGTGCCCGGTGGTGCCCGGTGTGGGCTTCAGACCCGCAGCGTGGCAGGAGACGTTCTTAGGTGCAGACAACAGCCGAAGGTCTAGTATGCCTGACCTGAGAAATGCGAAACTGCGTACCGAGAATCAGTATTGGAAGAACTTGAACGGGGTATAAGTTGAAATGGCTTCAAGCCGAACGTCCCATGGGCCAAACATTCCATGGGGCCTTCGCAAGCGACACGCGTAGGTATGCTAGGAGGTAAGTGTATATGTCCGTCGAAAGCGGTGCGTGATGCGTGATATTGTGCTCTAATGGCTTAGCACAATGGCTAAGTTGAGCTCAAATACACAAGCACCTAGATACATATCCAGGTAGTAGACGTAGGCATGATATGTGCAACAGAACTCATTAAGTAACCTTCCGCATCAACCTGGTGAAAAGAAAATCTTCGCTGTACGGCCGGTCAAAGCTCTGACTCGCAAGCTTGCGCGAATGAGAGAACGCTGTGCAGGTAAACGTTGTTTAACGAATTTGCGCTTTTGTATTCTTTTCCTTGGAGGCATAGGATTAAAACGTTGGCACAGTATACATAGCTCTAGTGGCTATAGGAGTATTGTTGACGGCATATGCAAACGCCATAGTTGCAAGGGTTGAACGGTCCTATAACTTACCAGGATGTCTGCGTCTTACGTTTTGTTAAGCTAGGCTCCAGGAGCTGCAGCTGACAATTCAATTGGCCAAGGAATGCGTCGCCAGGCGCCGGCAGCTTTCGGATTACAACCGGATGCAGCGGGACGAGGACCAACATATGAGCGTGTCCAAAAGCTTTTGGAGGAGCGGCGTGCGCGTGCACAGGCACAACTAGCTGCTCAAACATCGCAGGAGCAAGGTGCAGGCAAGTGCTAGCCTGCTGCTGGATGGCCGTTTCTAACAGTGGGAAGGGTTAAGCTATCCGTTTCCTGTCTTTTGCTCGAACAATATGGTTTGCAATCTCCCCGCAGCGTATGCGGCCCCAACGGAGCTTGGCGAAAGCGACTACTATCAGCAGTCCGCCCATTCACCCAGAAGCGAACAGAGCTTTGCCTTCGACCGGCCGAGCACGTCTCAGGGCCGTGGTGGTCGCCCTGCAGTGCTGGAGCCAGCACGCCGGAGTAACTCCCTAGCACGACAGGTGCCGGACGGCCATGACCCCTACCGCCAGCATGCCTGGCAGCCAGACGACCAATTCAATATGCCAGCAGAAGAGCTAGGCGTCGAGGGCGACTTCCATGCAGCCCAGTCATCAGAACTTCAACGCCAGGCGTCGCTGCCTTACTCTGAGCACGCCTTACCACAACAAAGGCCTCATGACGTGCTTCGCCGCTCGACGCAGCTGGATACCCAGGAGGAAGACGCCAATACCGTCGGGGCTGACGGCCAGCCAACCCTTGCCCAGCTGGAGCAGATGCTGCAGCAGACCGTTGAGCGTCTGAACATGGAGGGCCCAGAAGGGATGCGCGTGCCGTCTAGCAAGGACATGATGTTTGGCATGGCAGATGTCGAAGGTCCCTTTGACATCTCAGACCTCTGGGCGATGGAATCCCAGCCCAGCAACTCGCAGCCATCACATCCTCACGAATCGCATTCTGGAACTGACGACGACCCAGGTAAGATATGGATGCCACCCAGAGTGCGCTGGGATGGCTCCAGGGGTATCAGTAAACGTCCTTCCATGGTGCGTTAAGCGCAGGGCTACCCCTCAGTCCGTTACCCACAAACGTTTGCCTTGTCCAACCCATTGCAGACGAGGGGCATGAGGTTAACTCCTACGCAGCCGCCTACAACCAGCAGAGGCTGCAGCAGTCACTTCCGAGCAGCCCCGTGCAGGCCGGAGGCAATGACCGCCATCGTCACCAGCAGCAGGCCGTGCGGGACAGCCCCATGCGGTCAAGCATGCAGTCGAGGGATCGGCTGCAGCAGCAGCCGTCGGTTCAAGCAGGAGCCCCACAAGTCTGGAATCAGCCCCATCCACATGCGCAACAGCCCTACGTGCAGGTGCAGCAGCCCCAGCACGTGCAGACGCAGCAGCCCTACATGCAAGCCCAGCGGCCGCACCCACAGGCTCAGGGCCCCCACCACCCGGCCCAACGGCCGGAGATGCTCCAGGCGCAACAGCAGCAGCATCAGATGCTCCAGGCGCAACAGCAGCAGCATCAGATGCAACAGCACGCGTCAGCTGTAAGCCGGGGTGCTTCCATGCCCCGAGGGGTGTCGCCGGATGTGCTAAGGCGGCAGCAGCAGCAGCGGCCTGTGTCGGCACGCATGCAGCAGCAGCAGCAGCCAATCCTTGCCCGGCATTCGCAGCAGTTGGAGCAAAGGAAGGACGCATCGCGGGTTCCGCCGCTTCGCCGCACCATTTCACCAACCGGAGGCCATCAGGCTCAGCGGCCAAGGTGCGCCCTTGCGGATGCGTGCATTGCGAACGTATCCTTGTGCGTCCTTGCCAATCCTGTCTCGGCCCCTTGTCCCGTATGCGCGCCCTCAACGTCCGCTTGCATGTTTGCCCCCATGCCGCGGGCTAGGTCTGCGTTTGCGCGCGTCTCGCCTCGGTTCAACCAGCCGCCGCGGACAGCTGTGGAATCCCCTCGGCGAAACAGCGGGGAGTTCACATTCCGGCCCCAGATCAATCCGCGCAGCCGCGAGATTGCGGAGCGCGTGCTCCCATTGGACAGGCAAGCAAACTGCCTTGTGAAGGAGCATGGGGCATCGCATGCCTTGTACGGAAGGAACATAGTGGACTGCATGCGTCCAAAGGCTAGTTTGCAATATGGGGTCTCCTTAGGGTGTGTTGGATTTACGGGGTACGCCGTGAAGCCGACAAGCCATCTGGTTTGCGGCAGGCCAGCGTCTAACTAAGCACCGTGCGTCCGATCGCAATTGGTGTATGCAGGGCACGACGCATTGAGGAGCTGAGCCGGCCGCGCAACGAGCGAGTGGAGCAGCGCTATGAGCAGGTTCGTGCAGATAGCTGCGGCGCATGGGGGCATGTAGATCGTGCGCAGGAAGGCCGCACCCGATGCCGCTTGCATGTTGTCCCAATCTGTACGGGAGGCTCCCCACACCATTGATGTACGTAGCTGTTCGGTTGTGGAGTAACCTGCGCGCAAAGTCTCGGTGTTAGGTAAGCCAATTCCCTTTATCTTTCCCCGATGGCGCCTCTTCCGCTCCTCCATGCAGCTGCGGCAAGCCAAGGAGGAGGAGGAGCTGCGGAACTGCACCTTTCAGCCGCGCACCGGCCGGCCGCCAAGCACACCCCGCATGCAGGCCGGCGGCCCCGTGCATGAGCGGCTATATAACGTAAAGCCTGCGTGGATGCTTAAGCGGTAAGCAAGTTCTTGAGTGGAACAACTTGATTTATTTGCTGTCAGTTCCAAGCGTTGACGCTGTGAACCAAAGGGTTCGGGCTATCTGATATCAAGGGTCTGCGGCTTAGGTTGTCGTCGTTCCCTTGACGTCGTCCCTCAACCGGCTTCACAGGGACGAGATTCTGCGGGAGAGGGAGCAAGCAGCTCTGGCTAGCTGCACCTTCCAGCCGCAATGCGGATCAAGGTGCGAATGGGAAAACGCTTGCAAGTAGCGAACGAAAGCCAGGCGTCACTGAACTGCCATGCATCTATTGTCGTCATGCGCTGTTAGGCAGCAGCAGAAGCTCATGCTTGATAGCTAATGGCATCGTGCCCTACAATCTAGCGCGCACCACGCGCCTTGTGCCCAGAATGGTCCCGGCCCTTTGTCCCCCTTCCACGCTCTCGGCCCTCTCGCTCATTTCAATGCAAACCTGTAGGCGGATCCCCGACACCACCACCATCACCACCACCGCCGCCGTGTCCAGGTCTAACAGTGCGGCGCGGCGCCGGCCTAACAGCGCAGCCGCAGCAGCCAGCGGCGCTGGCTCGGACTCGACGTACGTGCCCATCCACCAACGAGTAGCTGACCTCCTACGCAGCCGCAACGAAAAGCTCGCAAAGGTCCAGGTCAAAATGGTAAGTCCTGGCAAGATCTCCTAGGTTTCCAGATGGCGTCAGGACCCTTGTCCACTGTGTGGGATTCCGGCGATTGACTCCGTGCAAGCCGATGGCGCCGTGTCATCAGTTCCTGCCTCTGGCTTCGTCTTTGCCCCGCATGAGGCATAGCCGCACCTGAGTCGTATCTTGCACGTGTCCTATCAACCTTTGCAAAACCCACCCTTCTGGTCCATGTGGTTTCAGGAGCTTGACGGCGGCCCCGTGACCTTCCAGCCGGAGATCAACGCTCGCTCTGCACAGCTGGCAGCGGAGCGGCAGCGACAGCAGCCCGCGGAGGTGGCGGCGCTGCCCGCTAATGAGCGCCTGTACCGCCTGGCCCAGGAGCAGTCTTGCGGCATCAGGTGGGAGCTCTGGGAGGGTAGGGCCTAACCGCGGAGGAGTTGAGAACGGAGGGTATGACAGGAAGCGAAACATGGGTCGTTCATAAGAAATTGCAAGCAGGGATCGAGTTCACGTGGCGCATTGATAACACTAGCTACATTTTAGGGGCTTTGTTGGTTGGTTGGGATTGAGGCTTGTAACCGCACCACGGCCTGGGCGGTTAGCAGGTATAGGCAGTGGAGGCGTCTTGCCCATACCCAAAGCATCCCACTTCTGTACCTCTCGTACCCCAGGCGGCGGACGACTGGCGAGGACTCGAGCTCCAGCTACGGCGACGTAGCCACCGCTCGAGACCAGCGGCAGCAGCATCAGCAGCAGCGCCCCGCTGTGCCCAACATCAACCCTCGCAGCCGCGCCCTGGCGGAGAGCTCCAAGCTCCCACAGGACTTCCTCACTCGACAGGTAGACGCCTGGGGGACACTCTTGCTCCTGCATGCAAAGTCACTGGCTGCTGTCCGCATTGGCGTGGTCATGGGCTCATGGCGCCTACAGCACGATTGAGTTGCATGGGTCGCCGTTGCGGGTTTACTGTTGTGGGCAACATAAGGTACTCATGAGAAAAGTCCTGTTCGATGTCCTACCAGCTTGTGCACGTGCCTTGTCCCTATCCAACTCCAGGCGTACCTTGCCGCCCTTGGTCACGAGAAGCGGGCGCTGTACCGCAGCTTCCTGGAGGAGTCCACGTGCACCTTTCAACCGCAACTGCGCACCTCCAAAAATGGCAGGTAAGTTACCGGTATCGGTACTCGCCATCTCTGCCTGGATCTTGAGCTACATCTTGCTGTCCGGTGCGTTGGATGTTAAACCTATTAGCGCTACCAAGGCGACGACGCCGCATCAATGCCTCCTGCTGAATTGAGTCCTTTTCCCTGCATACGTCTGCAGTCTTCACTCGAGCGGCTGCCTGGGGCCAGGTGCCGGTGGGAGCTTCGGTCCGGGCTCGGGCTCTAACTGGTCTGGTTCGGGCGGTGGCGAGGGCGACCGGACGTCCAAGCTGGCCTACGACGACGTGCAACGCAGCGTGGCTCTGCGGGAAGCGTTAGAGCAGCACCACTACGGCCAGTACACCTTCGCGCCCGCCATTAACGAGCGCTCAAGACGAATCGGCCGGGTGAGTATGCTGCAAGGGCTCGCTTCTCAGCAGCCCTTATACGGGTGGTACATCTGCCCTTTGTTCTACTGTGTCCATGACGCCTAACCCTATCCACTCGTTCACAAACCCCCCTCGACCGCCACAGCGGCACTCCCTGACGGATCTCTACAAGGATGAGGACCGGCAAGTCAAGCTGGAGCGCCTGGCAGCTGCCGCGGAGGCCCAGCGCGCGGCGGAGTGCACCTTCCAACCCGCCATCAACGCACGCAGCGCCTCCATGGGGCGGCAGCGGCGTAGCAGCATGATCCTGACGTCGGTGGATTGCCACGAGCAGGCCAACAAACTCCGCAGCAGCATTTTGCTGGTGAGTAGCGCTCCTCATGTAGCATGGCCAGTCCTGGTGGGAGAGAGGGGGCCTATTGGAGCGAGTTCTCTCCCCAATGTTTTACCCCGTGGGGACCCTGTATGATTGCCTGTTGCAGGAGGCCCGGGCCATGCGCGAGCATGAGGAGCTGAAGGAGTGCACCTTTACACCCGCCATCAACCGCACCGTTCCAAAGCACTCGGGCGACGTGACGGTGCAGGGAATGGATCGACACTTGGAGCTCAAGGTGGGTGGGTTGGAAACCCTAGAGGAAGACTGCATGCTGTCGATTGGGGTCTTCGCATGGATGCTAACTAGGATATTCGTGGCGTTGTTGCAGGAATTGGCACGCCGGAAACGTGAGGCCGACGAGGCACGGAAGGCAGAGGTGTGGCACTTGCGGCCCAAGTCGCCGGGGCCCCGTGTCGGCGTAACGGTGCCGCAGCCCTTTAGCTTCGAGAAACGCGTCTTGCCGTGGCAGGTAGGTCAAAACGCATACGTAGGGGCTGCTAACTACGTACGCTTACCGTCTTCCTGCGGGGTATGCTTACAAATGTGCAGTGCCTGCATGCATTGCCCTTCATGGGAACCATACATTCGCAATAGACTCATATGAACTCAATGAAAATGCCATGCCTTCTATTTCCAAGCCTAACGTGGCTCCTCGCGCCCTCGGTGGCATGAATGGGGAAACAGGTGAATCGCGGACAGGCGGCCCAGCAACAGCAGCAGCAGGACCAGCAGCAGAGGGCGCTAGCTGCACTCAAACAACAGGTGAGCATCGGGGCAACTGTATTCTCACACTGCTGCTTATGCCTCTCCAGCGGCATGTCCTTTCTGGGTAATTCCTCGTGTGCATGCTGTCCGTATGTGACACCATGCCGTGCCTTGGTTCCGTATTGCCTTACCGCCATTGACGCCGCTCTTTGTCCCAATTCCCTGCGGTTATTGCTGTCTGCAGCGCCAGCAGCAGCGGAAGGTGGCGGAGGATCGCCGCTCTGCGCAGCTCCAGCGGATCATCCAGGAGGCCCATGCGCATGAGGAGCAGCGGGCGAGCGTGGCAGTCACGCCAGGTCTGCGGCCCTCGTCCGCCGTGGGCCCGCAGGCGGCGTCGCTTGCTGCCGGCCGCGGCGGTGCTGCCTTCCAATACCAGGCAGCCGAGTTTGAGCCGCCAAGCCCGGCTGATATGTACGACATGCCCGGCCCGCATGCTGCCGCCGTGCGTGCGTCGCAGAACCGCTTCCATAACGGCGCGCAGGAGGCCATGCGGACATCGTACGGGCACAATCTGCCTATGGACGGATACGGAGGCGAGACGTTCCCTGCAAGCCCTCCGCGGGTAGGTCTTAAAGCGGGGTTCGTGTAGTATTCGCGAGTGTTGATCAGCGGATAGGAAACGTAGCTGCATGCTGGGGGGCTTTCCACGTGTTGGGACTACACAGACAGCTTAACCTCTTGGCTGCCGCTGACGATCTGGGTGTCCTTGCCCTCCGCCACCACGTTTGCAGGACGAGTTACGCATGCGCTTCAACTAAGCAGCCAGCCAGCCGTCAGCGGGATGTTCGGACTTCACGTTTTTAACCTGATTTTACAAGACGCGTCCGTCTACCTTCTCAAATGCGAGATTGTTGGCATTCGGTGTGGCAGGTTCTTAAGGTCGCTCACAGCGGCGAAGGGCGCGGTACACTCAAGCCGTAGAAAGTGCCGAAGGGCACTTGTTTGGCTTCCTCTGTTGCGCCCGACGGATAAACCATGCGGGGAATGGCAGCGCCACATGTCTCTGGCGGTTTTGCAACCGGACGGTCAAGTAGTTATGCGCACCTTACGTTTTTGTAGCCACACCCGGGACTGAGTGCCCGTGTAAACATCCAAACCTCCGCTCGCTGACCACGCCTCTTGGCAGCATATGACTCTCGTGACACTATTGGTGACATTACTGCTATTGTAATTATTGTGGAGGAGATGCGGCAAGGAACATACTGGTTGTTCACATGCTGGGGGTTACTCCCCAAAGCGGGAGGACAGGTGTAATCTTGGTTCTTGGGCCCATGGACGTCCAACGATGCTAACGTATCTCAAACTGGGAAGGGGCGTATTAGACGCCAAGGCGCTATGTAAACAATTCATACACGGCATGGGATCGGTTGCTGTAAAAGATGGAATGGAGCTACCAAGCCATGTCCCAGGCTCTGCAGCGCCACAGTTGCATGTGTAAGTTGCACCGGTACCCAGTGGGAGAGTTACAAGTCTTTCCTTCGTTGTCCTCATTGAATGTGCAGCATGCTGTTAAAGATTGCAGCAGAAGGCGCGCGCAACACGCGGCTGATTGCCCTTCGCGACCCCGCGACTACCGGTACTGTAAAATGGCGATCGGGAACCATCGCGCGAATGCACCAATTCTCTATTAAAAAAACATAAACAGAACACAATACACTTTGCGCATCCTCGACTTGCTCGGATTCCCGGCGTGCAGTACGCCATCTCTTTTTAATTTAGAAAATGGATCCATAGCAACAGCAACATGAAAGAGCGGCCTACACATTCAATTTCTTGCATTTATTTATATATGCAAGAGCGCCTCTGGGTTCAGGCCTTTGCGCTGAAACTATAATACAGAAGGGCATACCAACATCACTGATTGTTGCTGGTAAGGATTGCAGGAAGCGAGCCCCTTGGCGCGTTGCTGCACAAGTATACGCAGTCTTAAAGTGCAACTTGTTGTGCTTCAGGATTTTTTCTTGTGACACCGGGAACGTGATATGGCGCAGTCCAATGTCCCCGGACGTGCGACAGGCAGAGGCTCTACCAAAAGAAGCCGCGATGCCGAGAACGACTTGACTGCAAGCCTTCGGCGCAATATGGTAGGCATGATGGTCGGGCACGGCACAACTTCTTTACCGCGTTCGCTATCGATAGTGCAAATGGTGTGCTCTTTCCCTCAACCCCGCAATGCAGAGGAACGTGCCAGGAGGACGGAACCCAACTATGCGGGGACAACTTGACATGGCAAGGCCAGGGAGCGCGACGACTTCTACCGATCCTCCAAACAACAGCAGCGTTGTCGGCGTCATGGCACAACGAGAGTGCCCCAGCCTGAACCTGCAGGCCTTGCAATCCATGACCGGAACCTTTGGGGCAACGGCCCTGGCGACGTTCATGCAGCATTCCGCCCATCCGCCAAGTTCTGTACCGCGTACGGCAGGTGAGAGCTGGCTCTGGGAAGTGTAGGGTTTTGGCCAGATGGTCGTTCTGCCGGCATCACCATCACGTAGCTTACCATATCCACGTATTGCGCACATGTTCCTGGCGCCGTGAAGATGGATAAAATTGTATCAGCTGTACAACAAACCAGGAAGCCTGCAACATGACTTGTTCGGCTCTGTGTACTGCAGGTGCGGCGCCCAGCGCTGCCCAGCCACAGCCACAGCCGGCGAGTGCAGCACGGGTCGCTAACTCCGACCTGAACCAACTCCTGCTGCAAAGTATCAACCAAACCGCTGCCACACCGGCAACAGGCGCCCCAGCGCCCGTATCCAACGCCATGACAGCGCCGCGCCAGTCCATGCATGGGGCTTACGGCAGTCTGTCGGCTAACGCTCAAGCGAACGCAAACCCTGGACAAGCAAGCCAACCCATTCCAGGGCTGCAACACCACATGCAAGTGCCGTACGGTGGCATGCTAGCGCCATCGGTGCAGCAGTTGGCGATGCAGCAGACGGGCACCGCTCAGCAGGCGCCGCCTCCACATCAGGCGCAGGCATTGCAGCAGGGCCAGGTTGCTGCAACCCCGCTCGGGCAATGGGTGTCTGTGCTCATGACGCCTGAGCAGGCCGTCCAGGCGCAGTATGTAAACCAATTGCTTGCGTCGGCGATGCAGATTCTGTATTCCCAAGCCTTGGCGAACACGCAGCAGGCAACCTCCGCTGCACAGGCGGCTGCAGCAGCACCGGCCCAACCTGCAAGGCCGGGATCTGGCCTGGCCAGTGGCGCTGCTGCGGCCGGCAACGCCCTCCCTGCCGTCGCCCCCGCACCTGCGGCGACGCCGTGTTCAAAGCAAGGCCCGATGGTAGCGGGCAGCGGGCCCTCCAGCAGCACCGGCAACAAGAGGAAGGCCGGCGACAACGGCGAGTGCATGGTGTGCATGGACAAGCCCGCCGTAATGGGTTTTGTCCACGCGGATATGGTGCACTGCTGCCTGTGCGAGGAGTGCGTGCCTAAGCTACGGAGTCGGCGCATGCTGGACAAGTGCATGTACTGCCAGCGGCGTCCGGAGCGGCTGCTGAAGGTGGTGTTCACCAAGAACTGATGGGAGGTGCGGGCGGGTTACTAGGAGACGGCTTACCAGGAGGCGCTGGTTGGGAGTCAGGATCCTGCATCAGAGGACGTATGCTGGGTGGACCGTGCCGCGATCATCTCATGACGTGACATTGGGTTTCGGCGTTTGCGTTGTGGTTATCCTTTATGGAAGCAGTGTTGGCTCATACTTCAGTTTTATCGCAGGTTGTTGCATGGAAGAAGTGTACTGCAGGGGGTTTAGCAGCAGGATCTTGCCTAGATTGAAGGTTTTCCTTAGGAAAAGTATGAAGATATTTGACGTGGTGCCTTTCCGCTTGGTTAGAGCTCATATAGTGTATGGCCCTTTGCATGGGTGAAGGGTGGTTGATGTCTCTGCAGGACGTGCCCTTTTCCAGCGCAGCGAAGGGCAGCGAAGGTGTGCGTCATATTTGCAGGCGGACGCTGTGCATGCAAGGCCTTCTGTGCAATGCTCTATAGCTGACTAGCATCTTAAGTGGGTGCAGGATGGCCTACCGGCAGGCTGTGTTTGGGAGCCGCCATAATAGGTTAGTGCTGAGACTATTAGTGCTGAGACCGGTATGATACGTGCTAATGCTATACCGGTATATTGCAATGGCCTTATGATCCCTGCTGACGTTGTGAGCTCGACGTAAGCGTGTGACTTCCATGGCGGTTGGTAGGGTATCTTGTTACCTGTGAGGTAATTTCAAAGCCAGCGTATCAGACATGCCAGTGAAGCGCGCGGCCGTCTATAGAAGCAAGCGGTATCGTCCTGGGGGTAGCTTCCGCCCTCAACCGCTAGGCTTGTACCGTATTCATGTTCGCATCAATGCTATGGGAAGCTGTAACCCTGACAGGAGGTACTATGCAGTTGTGCAGTTCCAAAGCAATGCAAAATATTGCCATCTTAGCGCTCACGCTCACGCGGCCTAGCTTCCCTACCGGTATCTGTTGTGTACGGCCTAGTACATTGATGACACTCTCAACAGCTGCGCATAGGCCCTAGAGTTATACACCCAAACGTTGTTCTCATCGCGTACTGCCTAACTTAACTACATTGTTCAACAATCTCGCCTAACCGTATGAACGTCGAGCTCCTTCTTACCTACAATGTATTACTAGAACGACATTGTGTACTTAAGCTGCGTCGAAGTCGTAAAACCTTTGCCGAGTTCGAAGCCTCGTACGATGGGGAATGAGGTGAGGATGCGGGCAGTTAGGCTGCTTCTTGCCAACATCGCACTGGTTTCTAGGCTCAACTGCAATAGCACGATCGTCCAATCACGTTCAAACCGCCAGCAGGGCAGAGCCCTTGCCGCTGGACCGTCGCTTTAGGCAACCGTGCACCCTTCTCGTAAGCCTCAACCCTTACCCCGAACCGCCCCTTCCAGGTGTCCCTCTCACTGACCGACATCCGCGGCGGCGCGACCGCTGTAGAGGCGCGCCTGCGTGCTGGCGCAAGCCCCAACAAGCGCATGCTTTTTTCTCAGGACGTGGGCCCCCTGCCCAAAGCCTGCAAGTCCACTCCACTAGGCTACGCGCTCCTCGCAAACGACCTAGCCCTCCTGGACGTCCTACTTGCGGGAGGCGCCGATGTACAGAAACCCGTGGGGTTACCCCAAGCGTTTGACTTTTCGCCCCTGCACCTAGCAGTTGCCCTGGACCGAGTGGATGCCGTACGAAAGCTGCTAGCATGCAGCGCCGATCCCAACGCACCGCTGCAGCTCAAAAAGGGCACCGCGCGTCCGCCCGAACCAGCAGCACCGGCAGCAGCAGCCGCAGGAGCAGGAACAAGCGGCGCCGAGCGTCCCAAACTGCTTCCTGTGAGTCTGCCGTACACCCGCGCAGGCGACACTCCGCTTCACATCGCCATCGACTGCAGTACATGCAGCAGCAGCACCAGCGGCGGTACGGGGGTCGTGGAGGCGCTTCTACAACACGAGGCCACCAATGTCAACGCCCCAAACGCCCGAAAACGCACCCCGCTGTATAAGGCCTGCAAACGCAAGAACGCGGCATGCGTCAGGCTGCTGACGCGGCACCCACGCATCGACGTCAACGCGGGTGGCCCCCTGTTCGCTGCCATCAGGGTGGAGGACCCGACCCTGGTGTCGCTGTTGCTGCGGGCGGGGGCGGGGGTACACCAGCGCATGCGAAATGAAGCCGGCGAGACGCCGCTGCACTTTGCGCTTCATCGCAGCAGCCTGTTCTTCAGCAACCGGGCTGAGATTGTGGGTCAGCTGGTGCGGGCGGGGGCGGTGGTGGAGCCCGGCATGCGGGAGTACCTGCAGGGGAGGAACTGGCGGAGGGTGCTTGCGGCGCTGGATGCGGGAACAAGCAACAGCGGCAGCGGCGACGATGATGGTGGTAGTGCTGGTGGGAGCAGTGGAGGCGCTACAGGCAACACGGTGGGCGGTTTCGGAAGCACCGGCATGAGCAGGATCGCAGCAGCAGGACGTCCCCATGTTGTCCGTGGCACTTCCGGACCTTCCATGGGGCCTTCAGTTGCTGCTACTGCTACTGCGGTTGCCACTCCTGCTGCTTCTGCCGCCACCCGACCTCCAGCTGCGGATCCGTTGTGGCTCACTGCGCACCCGCCCTCGTCCACAGCAACAACACCTCACACAGTAAACAACAGGAGCAGCGGCAGCAGCACCGGGAACCTTGGTTCCGCCACGCAGGCCGCTACCCATGCCGGCGGCGAATATCCGCTAGCGGGCAGCTCTATTGCGCAGACATTGAGGGAGGAGTGCCAGCGCAATCCCTTGCTAACGTTGTTCATGCCAGTGTTGTTACCTATAATCATTTTCGCGGAATTAGGCGCGGCAATAGGCAAGGCGCTGAGTGCGCTGGCGGAAGCTCTAGCGCTGCTCATTCGCGTGGCTATGGTGGTGTTGGCTGTGGCGGCGGTTGTGGTGGTTGCCATCTTGACACTGGTCGCAAAGGCCGGCACTAGGGTGCTGCGGCGGCAGCGGACACGGCAGCATGCAGGTGCCGTACAATCCCAGTATCAGTCCAACACCAGAATCACCAGCAGCAGCAGCAGCCGCTACATGGGGGTCAAAAGCCATCTCACAGCAGCCGCCACCGCTGGTGATTACCTCACCACCAACAACAACACTAGCAGCGTTCCCACCACCACCACCACCTCGCTGCCCCCATCCTCCTCGTTTGCCGACTCCGCTTCCCCATCCTCACCCTCACTACCAACACCATCATCACTGTTAACACGCGCCTGGGGTGAGCTTCGACGCAACCTCACTCCCCTTCGTGGCTGCCGGGCTTTCATCATCACCGCCGGCGCCTTCTTCACCGCACTCTTCCTGGCTTTCTTCCTCATCGACCTGGGAGTCTCGCTGCTCCTCGCAATCCTGCCGCAAACGCACCCTGTACGAACAGCCCTAGCGGCTTGCTCCAGGCGCCGGCGGCGGCGCGGCCAGGCAGAGGCGGGCGGCGGGCTGTGTCGTGAAGCGTGGTGGTGCCTCCCGGTCGCGTTGGCATTGAGCTGGGTTACGGATATGTCGTACTTTGCGCTGACAGTGATGCTGACGACGGCATTCACCGCGCAAGTGGTGGGGGAGATCTGGGTTGAGGTACGGCAGAGGATGCTGGAGGAGGGGAATGCAGTTGGAGGCAGGAGGTCTGCTGACTGGGGGGAAGCGGGGAGGGAGTGGGGAGACAGTCGGCAGCTGCGTCAAGGGGCCTCGGCTGCTGAGAAGTCAGCAGCAGCAGCAGGCGGCAGCGATTGCGGGGGTGGTGATCACGGGTTGTGCTGTGTATGTAAGGCGGCTAGCGCGGTAGTGGGGTTCGTGCATTCGGATGTCGTACACTGCTGCATGTGCGGGGAGTGTGAGGTGCAGATGCGGCAGCGGGGCTTGCTGGGCAGTTGTCCGGTGTGTGGCCGACCCGCGGGGTCGGTGACTCGGGTTGTGGTGAGCTGAGGTGAGATGGGGGGGAGCTGAGCTACGGGAATTTATGCTGGATCGAGAGTGCCTCTTACCAGCAGTCTGATTTTACGTCAGGGGTTCCATGTATGAAAATATGGCAAAAGCAGTGAGCTGCAGTCGGCTGGACAGCTCGCGTGTGCCAGTGCTTTCAGGTACATGATTGTGCTTGCAAACTGTGCACTTGTTGGGTAAGGTTATCGAGAACACGTTTAGCTGCATTTTGTTTTGCTTCTGGCTCCGTTTATACTTGGCTGTGAGTGCTTGTAAGTTAATTCCAGTGGGGGTTGCGCTATGCAGTAGCAAGCGTGCGGATGAAGGATGGGCCGGCGTTACGGTGTGGTAGGTCGAATGTGATAAGTCGATTGCGTTAGGTCGAATGCAATGAAGGCAGCGGGCTTTGCCGGGCAGCGTAGCTTCTGTTTGTCTCACTGAACAGGGCAGCAGGAGTAAGCTAACAGTTAGTTCGACGCTAGTTAATTCATCCCTTTCTTCGTTTGCTATCTGGAACTGCATGTGGGGTGTATCAATATTCGTACTCGATGCCAAAACTGCCCATGTCTTTATTGCTTGAGAAACCCGGGACCACAGTACTTGTGGGGCAATGGGCAGCCGGTGTTGCACTGACAGGCCCTTATAAGACATGCTGCCGCGGGCCGTAAGTGCCTGTGTAAGACAATCCTTCACACCTCTTCAACCACATGCACGTGTAAAGCGCACTGAGGTTGGGTACACTTACAGGATAGGCATCGATCGCCCTTAGGTTACGTTGCATGTCCATGGGGTGCGAAGATGTTTTCCAGGATGGGACGGGGAGCCACCACCGTACGTCGAACATTCATTAGAGACCTCCGGGCCTATGAACACAGCTGCGCCCACCCAGATTGCTACATATGCGTAACTGCAACTCCAGTAGTGCAACATAGCGTACCGAAGAAGCCCTAAGAGTCCCAACCTTCAACGATCCGGAGGGGTTGAAAATATCCAGCCTGACACGGGGATTTGCTGCCGTACATCGTACACGCATCACAGACCCCTGGGCCCGAAAAAGAATTCATATTCTTGAAAGGATTTATCAGCTCATATACCCTTAATAGCATCTGCATAACTCCTGCGAGGAATTCGGTAAACTTCTAACTCGCATCGCGAGCCTTCCAGTAGTAGATAGCCAGCAATTCATAATTGAAACGATACATACCACGCAATTATGTACTCTGTATATAGTTGAAAGGAATGTACTCAGAGTTTCGTCGATTGCCGAAGGCCGCTGCGGATGTCTCCCGACAGCCGGCGGCGTATACGCTGCTGTTGCCACGCCCTGGACTTCGAACTGGTTACGTAGTATACCAACGTAGCGTCGTAGGGCCTGGCGACTCGCGATTGACATCGCAGCGGCGTACGGTGAGAACCCATGTTGCGCGTCGTCGCAAGCCTTACCGTCCCCAGTCAAGCCTATCACATCGAAGCATTGAAACTGATTCCCGAGCCAAGCAATTTAGTAATTTAGTAGAGGTATGAGCTTGGATAGCCCGTGATAGACAACTTACATCTCGGTATCCGCAATCCTCAGGTCGCCGCCCACTTCCTACGAAACGGTCGCGGCTCACCTGTGAGCGCAGAACCACCTCTGCAATCCACCTCCAGCTTGTCGCCGCAGCATCAGGCGTCCGGGCAGCATTTGCCGGAGGAGACTGTGGGACAGCATGAAGGGCAGCAGCAGCAGCAGCAACAGCAGCTGTCAGAGACTCTATCAGAGGAGCCGCAGCACGAGCAGCAAGGAGAGTGGGAGCAAGCAGCCCTAGCTGCACACCAGGGGGCTTCCCAGGACCCCTCCTTTACCTCCTCGTACCCTGCCGCTTCCCAAACGTACGGCAATCAGGGCGCCGCTGTAGGGTCCACCGAGGCCAGCAGCGGTGCTGGCGGCGGCAATGACGCCCAGCATGCACGGCCTAGTGTACTGCTACCCACGCCGACAACCGCCATCGGCGGCGGCGGTGGCGCTGCTGCCGTCGGCGTAGCTGGCGGAGGTGCTTCTGGGTTCCAGCAGGGAAGCGTTCCTGGCTTGTTCGCCTCCGCAGCCGCAGCTGTCGCTGTGGCGGCTTACGTGTATACCCGTGTGATGAGGAAGAAGAAGGTACCTCCCAGCGGTGAGGGTCCGGCTGTTGCTGCCGCCGGTAAGGCCACCTCCTCCAAGGCGCCATCAGCGGCGGCGAAGGGAGCAGCCAAGCCCGGCGGTAGCGGTAGCGGCAGTGGTGGCAGTGGCGGCGGCGGTCGAGGCAGCAGCCTTTTCCGTACGACACGCTCTCCACAACCTGTCGCCGACGCCGCTGCAGCAGCAGGGACGGCTGCCGCTGATAAAAGCACTCCGGAGGCAGCGGCAGCAGCAACACCGCCGCCGCCGCCGCCGTCGCGCGAGCGCGGTTGGTGGCGGCAGTTGGGACGACTGTACTACATCAGTTTCGGAACCAAGTACGGCCTGGTTCCGCATCTTCGCCCGAATGTGCTTGCAGCAGCAGCCCAGGGCTCTTCAGTCCAAGCAACAGCAGCAGGCAAGAGCAGCACCAGCAGCACCAGCAGCAGCAACAGCGGCGGCGGTAGCAACACGCTGGTTGCGTTCGAGGACCCCGCGGATGCCGAATACGTGGCGAATGTGTTGTGGGAGGACCTCATCTTGTCGGGTAGGTGGCGGGCATGCGGAGACATGTGGAGACCCGGGCTGGAGCCCTGCTGCGTGCTGTGATGCAGGTGTAGCCTGGTTGCTGCTGCTTGCATGCGCGGAGGGATAAGGGTGTGTTAGTACCGGGCTTCCGGGTTGCATCGCCCTGCTGTACAGATACTGAGACCCACGGGGTATAAGCGCTAGTCTGCTGCTGCGCGAGTGCCCGCCCGCTGCTCATGCTGGTGCTAATGCTGGTTTTGCCGCCCCACCCAACCCAACCCCACCCAACCCGACCCCACGCACGCAGGTGCCCAGCCCTCCGGTCCCCGACCCGCCAGCATGGGCGTGCTGTCCGCTGCGCCGCTGTTCCTGGAGGACATGGCGGTGGGGCGAGGGGCGGGCGGGGCGAGGGGGGCGGGCGGGGCTCGGCGGGGCAGCAGCAGCAACAGGCTGCAGCCGCGGCTGAGGGCTGGCTTTGTTCTCGGCACCCTTCCCTCAGTCCCCTTGCCTTGCAATTGGCAACGCATTGCTTCGTAGTTCCCCTCTCTCTCTCCAACAATGACCCCACCGCCTGACGCCCTGCTATGCGCCTATGCGCAATCGATTTACTCCAGCCCTGTGCAAAACACCCATCCCCTCTCACCCCACGCAGGCACTACGCGGGTCCACGGTGGAGGTGGTGCCGGCTGACGGGCTGCGGAAGGACGTGCTGCTGGGAGCGACGCAGCTAGAGGTGCGGTGGCGGGGTCCTGGAGATGCTTGAGGTGTCGTAGTACCGTAGTGCGTCAAGAGAGCTTACACAGTAGCGCATTGGCTGGGTTGAAGGGCGATCATGCTAGCGTATACGTTCCACTGCTGCCTGGCGAGCTTCACAGCTGTGGCTGCTTAGTAGTTCTTACCGCCTGTACCGCCCTACCGCTTCGGCACAAACCCCCACCCTCCGTCCCCCTCAGGTTGTGCTAGCTGCGCTGGTGAGTGGGTCGACCCCGAAGGCTGTAGCCGCGCGATTGCAACAGGCAGCAGCAGCACCGCACCACCACCCGCAGCAACAACAACAAGGAGGAGTACCCAGGGAGGCTTCTGAGGAGCATGCCTCCACGTCCAAAAGCAGCAGCACCACCACCACTACCACCACCACTACCACCTCTTCCTCCGTGCGCAGTGGGGGCCCCGGTGCCAGTGAGCCCGCGGTGCCTCCCAGTGCGTCAACGCCCAGTCAGCTTGCGGGGCAAAAAGGGGTGAAGCTCAAGCTGCCCACCAAGTTTGACTTCCCTGGCTTCGATCAACAGCAAACGTCCTCGGCCCCGACGGCAGTGAAGGCGGTAAAGGCTGAGAAGGCTGAGAAAGCGGCGCCGCCGGCACCACGGGCACCGCCTAAGAAACCAACGCCGGCGGCGGCAGCGGCAGCGGCGGCTGCCCCGCCGCCGCCACCTGTTCCTGCAGCAGATGCGATGGCGCCGCCGCCGGTGCAGACCCCCGCGGCGGCAGTAACAGCACCGGCACCGGCACCGTCGGCGGCTCCAGCGCAGCAGCAGCCCGCACCGGCGCCGCTTCCGCAAGTCGAGCCCTCGGCGATACGGGAACCGCCGGAGCGCCGTCGCGACCGCCGACATGACAGCGCGGCGGCGGCGGCGGCAGCGGAAGGCGGCGGACCGACGGTGTCTTACAGACGCAGCGGAACCGCCACGCGCGCCGCGGACGCCGTCATTGATACGGAGGCTGTGGACGTGTTACCGGTGATGGAGGCGTCGCCGTCGCCAGAGTTGCCGCCGACGGGGGATTCGAGCGAGGCGGCGGCGTCGAATGCAGGGTCCGACGCGGGCGCTGATGCTTCTGCTGCTTCCGCCGCCGCCGCTGATGAGGCGTTGCGGGAATATCGGGAACTCGAGGCGTTATTGTCAGGCGCCGCTGTTTCCACCTCCGGCGCCTCCGCAACTGCCGGGGGAACCACACCAGCCGCAATTGGGAAAGACGGAAGGAGTGAAGACCCATGGGAACCGCGGAGCGGAGTTGCGGCCGCATCGCATGCTCGGAAAAATGACGACAAGCCAGTTACCGACGTCGCAGCAACCGCGGGCGGAGCTACGGGGGTCGCAGCGAGCAAGCAGCGGCAAGGGCCGGCGGCAGAGCAGCAGGCGGGGCGAAAGGAGGACGAGGCTGAGCGGCAAGCGGATGGGGCGGTAAAGGCTAAACCCGGGTCGGAGGTGGCGCGGGAAATCCTCAGCAAGCGGGTGCGTGCGGTTGTGTTGCACGGTATGCCTTCTGGTTGCTTGAGCCAGGGAGCCTTTTCCCACTCCGGTCAGCATGCTTTATGTTGCCCCCGCATGTTGCAATTGCTTACCGGTACCTGCCCACTGAGCAGCCCCGCATCACCTCTGCGTGCCTCCCCCCCATTGCTTTGCCCTATCCTGTGGTTTCCTAATGTTTGGTTTGGTCTCCCCCCCCAACCCCACCCGCCCCAACCTCAGGGTCCAACGGACGCAGCCATCGCGGAGGCCCTTGCCGCCCTGGATCCGCGCGGCGAGGAGGAGCTGCTAGACGAGTTCTATGCCATCTTTGGAGGCGGTAGCGGCAAGGGCGGCGGCAAAGGCAGCAGCGGAGGCGGCAGCGGCAGGGACCGGAGTAGCAGTAGCAGTCGGAACAACAGCGGCAGGAACACCACCACCACCAGCAGTAATGCAGCCTCCAGCTACGCCACCCCAGACTTGGCGGTGGAGGTAGCTGCCGTACAACAGCAGCTGTCATCCGTACTGCAGGCAGTGGTTTCGGCGCAGGCTCGGGGCCTGCCGCCGCCAGCTGACGCCGCCGCCAGCATGGAGCAGCTGCAGCGGCAGCTAGCGGACTTGCAACGGCGGTTAACGGCGGCGCCGACGTCAACGACATCTAAACCGCCGCCGCCGCCGGAGCCGGCGCTGCAGCCAGCAATGACGTCTTCAGGACGGGAGGCTGCGCGCGCCTCCGGTTCATCACCCAGCGCCGCGGCATCAACTGCTGCATCAAGCACGGCAAGTACGACAGGTGTCAGCGGGTCTCGCCCAGCTGGCAGCTTGTTCGGCGGCGGCGGCGGCGGCTCGGCCTCTAAACGTACGACAGTTAGCCAAGGCGGTGCCGTCAGCGGCGCGACTTCGGAAACAGCGACGACGACAGCGACGGTGACGGCGTCAGCCGCCGCCGCCGCCTCTGAGTTGGTGACGCCGTTGAGCAGTACCGCCAAGGGAAGCGGCGTCACCGCCGCCTCCGCCGCCGCTGCTACTGCCGCCGCTGCCGCCGCCAGCAGCGGCAAGGGAGGCGCTCGGAGAGCGTGGGGCGCTTGGAAGTCGAATCAGCGGATACAAGCGGCGGAGGCGACATTGTTGTCAACCGCCACGTCAACTTCTTCTCCTTCCTCCACCGAGGCCCCCAACTCAGCATCATCATCTTCATCAGGCAACAGTAACAGTAAAGCTAGCGGCAGCAGCAGCAGCAGCAGCAGCAGCAGCAACGGCAGCACTGGTCCCACGCCTGCTCAGCAGGTCAAGGTGGAAGCGGGAGTCACGGTCGTCAACAAGCGAGTTGGATCCAACAAAGCGCCCAAGGTAAGCCACTCGACAGGCCTCCCTGCCGGATGTCCCACGGCCGTACCTACAGCGGCTACAGGTACCGGGTAAAAACTGGTGGGTCGACGCTGGTGGGGCATCCTGTGGCCTCATCACGCTGTTGGGGCTACCTTGATGCACCCGGGTGTCCCGGTATCCTGAAGCATGATAATGCGGTGGCCTGTCTACGCCCGTGGTATCTACCGGTGTCTATCCCTGAAGCATGTCTCACGCAGTCACACTCCCTGCTACTGACCGCAGGTGGTGGAGGCTCCGGAGGCCCGACAAGACCGTGTGAAGGTGCGTGTAGCGTTGGGTTGGGTCGGGTTGGGTCGGGTTGGGTTCAGCACCCGAGTTAGGGAACCAATGTAGCCCCGGTCATTCATTCCAGGTGCGTGGGTGCCTCAAGATGTGTGCCCCTCCCCCCACTCCCCGCAGGAGGCGCTGCGCGTGTTCTCAGAGATGGGCGGCGAGGCCGGCGACGAGGAGGAGGAGGAGGAGGAGGGAGAGGGGGATCATGACGGGGAGGGTGCGGCGGAGGGCGACGAGCTGTTCGGAACGTCCTCACTGGCAGGTGGGGGGTGTCAGAAGCTCAAAACACACGGACACACGCAGCTGCGGCTCACAATAGCGGGTGTTGGTATAATAACGCATACACCGTGCACTTGTTGCCCTGTCTTCCCCGCCGTTGGGACGCCCCCTGTCCCCTCCTCCTACCACCTCCTCCTTCCCCTACCTCCCCTGTGCTACCCTCCCACGCGGCTTAGTCTACCTAACCCCCTCTTCTCCTCTCCCCTCCTCTCCTCCCCCCGCCCCCCCCCGCCCCCCAGGCTCCCGTCGGCCCTGGTGGCAGTGCCGCTTCCAAGCGCTCTACCTGCCCACCATCGGCTACCCTGACGGATCCATGGGATTCATGCAGGTGAGCGGAGGGGAGGTGGGGTGGGTGGGCGGGTGGTGTGTATTGACACTGCTGGGCACCGCTGGACAAGGATTCACCGCCAGGAAAGGCAGCGGGGGTGGGGTACTCGAGCTCCAAGCCGCAAGTGCCCAAGTAAGTGCTCTCCGAAAGCAGAAAACAGCTGCATGGCTGCCATCCTTCCTTCCTTCCTTCCATCACTGCCGGCCGCTGCTTCCTGTGATCTTCCTGTGGTCACTGTCATCGTTTCCTGCTTTCCTCCTGTATTCAGATTATCTGGCCCCTCCCATTGCTCTGCCCTAACCTGTGGCTTCCTATGGTATGGTCTTTGACCCCCCCTCCCGCTCGGTTTCCCCCCTCCGCCCCAGGTCAATGTGTCCCTGAGCGGCGACCGCCGGGACATGCGTGTGCTGGCGTTCGAGGACCGGGGCGACTGCACCGCCTGCCTCACCCTGCTGGCGCAGTGGCCCGAGTACACGGGGACGGAGCCCAGGGTAGGGGCGAGGGGTAGGGCGAGGGGTGGGGTGGAAGGGAGGAGACGTGGGGAAAAGAGGGAGGGGAAGGGAATGCAGGGTGGTGTGGAGGCTCCTGGGTGGGTGGGAGAGAGAGGGGGTTGTCGGGGTTGGATGGGGGAGGCGGGTGGCGGAGGCGGGTATGACAGCACGCGGCCGTCGACTTCTTTAACGTTTTCCACTTTTTTGTCACCTTGTATACCCTCCCCAAACACCGTGTATGTCCCTCAGCAACGCTTTCCTTTCCTTCCCTCTCGCCTCACTGCATGAGTCACTCATGCTCACTGCATGAGTCGGGATATGGGATTGGGACTCGTTGTTTCACTTAAATAATTTTCCCTCTCGCCTCCTCTCTCCTCCTCCCCCCAGCTGAGCATGATGCCTACCGCCAAGATCCTGCCACAGCTGAGGGAGATGTACGACGCGCAGGTGAGTGGGAGCGCGGGACGATGTGGCTACCGAGCATCTTTCTCTTAAGGGTCATTACGTCTTTGGGTCAGCAGTTCTCCTGGCTTCATGGTTATGCCTGCGTGGCCTGCTGTGAAAAGTACGGCATTCTAAACAACACCCCGCGTCATTTTCATCCTCCTCTTCCTTCTTTTCCTCCCCTAACCCTGTCCCGCTCCGACCTGGCGACACCACCAACCCTCCCTCCATCTCCCAAGGGGCCTCACTTCACCCCTCCCTCGTTAACGATAGTTGCCTCGTCAGTTTTCCTCCTTTTCCTCCCTCCTCAGACGGACCTGAACGCCGGCGTGTCCCGCCCGCGCGGCCTAGCGGTGTTCCGGCGCGGCAAGCTGCCCATGCGGCCGGGCATGGGGCCCGACGAGTTCCTGCAGCGGGTGGTGTACCAATACGCGGCGCAGGTGGCGCTGGCCAAGACGGGATACGGCTTCACGGAGTAGAGCAGGGCTGCCGCAGTGCAGCGAGTTGCGGCTGGGGAGTGCTGTTGTGTTCTCCTCAAAGCACGTCCATTATCATATTATCGTATTATCGGTGTACTGTGAGATGCCGCAAGGCAGACGGTGAAAGAGCTGAGGGAGGGCATTAAAGTACGGCTTAGCAAGGCAGTTGTTTTGGAAGTTGTTACAGTTTTGCTGCTGCTATCGCCGTCGGCAGGTCTGTATGCTCATGCTATGGTTAGGCGCTTACACCTGCTTACTGGAATCCCACACGGAGCCAGCGTGCTAGCCGCCCTCGGTTGTGTGCACAGCAGGAAAGTGTTCTGACGCTTCCACTGCACAAAAGCCATTCGAACACTTACGGTATATCATCGTTCCAGTCATTTGCTTGTTTATGCGTCTGCGGAACCAGCTCCCTTAACTTGCAGCCAATAGCCTGCAGCCGCGCTGACTTGACTGGCGGCCCTTACTGTAAATACATCACGTTATGACTAGGGGCCAAGGCAACCGTCCTGGGTTTGTACCTGGCAACCGTGCAAGTATCGATGGTAACCGCCCAGCCCAAGATGTCCTCCCAGCCCCGGCTCGAGCCAGCCTACTGCGGTTGCGGAGGTCTATACTGCGCTTGCCTACCTCCTGGTCTCAAGAAAGCGTATATGCGCGAGGATGTGGGGCCTCAGGGTCCGAGAAGCTTGTGTTGCAAGAGCTAAGTGCCATAGAGAAGCACCTTGCCTTGGCCTCAAAGTCCTCGGTTTTTGAAGGGAGGATAGCTGCAGCTGCAGTGCTGGCTGATGAGGTTGTCGCAAAGTGGCTGCTAAGACTGGTGGCAGCCGCTGTCCGCTTGGAGCCGAAAGACATGGCGGTTGACACGGCATATGCGCAGGGCGGCGGGCGTACCCAACCGCTCCGGGGCAAAATCCTGGAGAACGCGTACATATTCGTGGCGGGGCTTCTCAACACGGCAGCTAGCGGGGACACCTTGTCGCAGCTGCCCGCACATGTAACGGACTTTGCTAGCAAGCTCCTGCGCATGCATACGCTGCAGGCCGCCAGCCGCCAGCTGGCTGCGGTCGCGGACTCGCTGCTTGCGGCCCTGGCCCAGGCAGCTCCTGCCGGCGTCGAACAGCCGCAGCTGGAGGGCCAGCAGCAGCAACCGCGGGGGTCAGCGGCCCTTCGGCATGCTCGTTACCATGCAGCTCGCACCGTCTTTGCGGCCTTGCGGTTAACGACTGCGGTGACTTTGACTGCCGGCCACGAGGCGGAGCGGCAGTACCATTACGAGCTGCTAACCTCTTTGCAGGACAGCTGTGTGCTCGAGCATGCCGCCAGGCTGCTGCTTCTGGCGGAGGAGGCGTGTGGGAAGCCGGGGGAAGCGGACAACCAGGAGCTGCGGAAAATGCTGTTAAAGGCTTCAGGGCTCCTGGGCGCCGCGTACCTCAGCACCGTCCGAGCGAGCGACGCCTTTCGCCGCGTTGGTGCTGTGACAGGTGGCTTAGCGCGCTACAACAGCCTGCTGTCAGGTCCCTGCTTGCACCATGCGGTAATGGTACACGGCCTAGCGGCACTGTGCTTCGCTGACGGCGGCCCTACCCACGGCTTGCCCGCGGAGCTGCTGCCATGCATTCCCATAAGCTTTGATGGGGGACACCAGGTGGCAGCATCGGACTCAGAGGGTCGGGCGGGGCACCGGGAGGTGGAAGTGCCGACAGTCTTTCTTCATCACGTTAGGTCCGCGGTGTACGCGCTGATTCCACCGCGCCGGCCGGCTGTGGTTAGCAGGCAAGCGGCCCTGTTAATAGCACTGCGCACGGGCCGTTTGGTGTTGGCGTCATCCCAGGTGTGGGGCAAAGTCGCAGCAGCTGCTGCTGGGGACACCAATCTCCACGGCTTGATGCACGCGAAAGGCCTCCGAGCGTTGCTCCCATTAAAGGATCTGGCGAGCTTTGCGTCCGTTACGCTCCACGCTGCAATGGGCAACTTGCGGTCTACACGCGGGCTTTGGGGACCTGAGGCCGGGTCCCCTGCATGGGAGCGGTGGGTGGAGGAGGCGGCGGAGTTGTGGAGGCTCGCGGGGTCGTTTCTGGCACCTGACTGCATGGCCTTGCACTTGGCAACCGCCGCGGAGCTGTCAAATGTGGAAGAATTGTTGGTGTGGTATGCTGGCGAGGCTGCATTGTTGTGGACGAACGGTAAGGAGGGGTTGCCTTTGCGGGCCTTTGGTATGGTCCGATCAGCTACCTATCGGCAGGCACAGTAGGCAGCGAAAAACGGTAACACGGCACGATCAGCTGTAGGTAACCTGCCGGTGTAAACAAAACAAAAGAAAGTGTCGCTAGTGCAGTGGCTTGCAGTTGGTCCAGGCTTGCTCTGGAAACGTTTGCCGGGTGTTCACCGCATTTTACACCACGCTACTGCAGGCGTGTTCACCCCGCCGGCCAGGCCGCCAGTCTGGACGGCAGCAGCACTAGCGGGCGGCTTCCTGCCCTGCCTGGAGCGCCTGATGCGGCGCGCTGGCGAGGATCCCGGGAGCCTTGAGGCCGTCCTGCTGTGCTCCTTGCTGAGGGACAAGCCCTGGCAGCCGCTTCTTCCCCTGCTGCTATACGGCGAGGAGCGTCATGCGGCCGCACTTGTGGTTACCATGGGGAAGGTGCTGCGAAGAAGGACCGGCTTGGGGGAGCACACGCGGCTTTGTGAGGTTGTAGGGGGTGCTGCGGTGGCCTTGTTGAGGAAAGCTTTTGCAGCATTGCCGTCTATGAGAGGCGACGCGGATGCAGCTGCGGACGATGGCACTGTCGCTGCCTGCCAACGGATGCGGTTGCTGGTCTCCTGCGGCGTGTGTGAGTGGCTGCCGGCCTTGGTGGCTCAGACCCAGCGCCCAGCCGCTTGGGAGTGCGCAGAATTCACCGAGTTTGTTGCTTCGGGCCTGGTGCCGATGCTGGCTTGTCAATGCATTGCGGCCCGCGAACTGGACACCTCGCAGTCCGGGCGGAGCAGCAGCAGTGCTGCTGTTGAGGGGTGCACCGGGGCCACCGAGGCTTCTGCAGCGACTGGCATTGCGGGCAGTAGCGGTGGCAGTGATGACTGGCACCGTGTCCTGCTGGAGGTGGATGCGGTAGCCCTGCTGGGGGCTTGCATGAAGCCGGCCGGCACCCAGGGGCTGTCTGTTGGGCCACACACGCTGGCGACCTGCTGCTGCATTGTGGCAGCGGCGTGTCCACAGCAGGTGCGCCGGGCGGCGGCAGCTGCAGGAGCGGCCACGTCAGCCACCCTGCTGGGTGCTGTGGGCCCTCCCTGGAGCCCCGAGGTGCTGCGCTGGCTGGCGTCGGGGCAGTCGGGGTCAGCAAGCGGCTGCAGCAGGGAGGAGAAGGGCGGCCGGAGGGATAGCGGAGGTAGCACCCAAGGAGAAGGAGTGAGCAGCAGCAGCAGCGGCGGCGGCGGGGACGTGGCAGACGGAGCTGAGAACGGCGGTGGGGGTGGCCTGCATCCATCCGCGATGAAAGCAAGAATGGATGCGGTGGAGGTCCTGGCGGTTCACCTGGAGAGGTGGGGGGGCGCTGGTGCAGTGGATGCTGCTGGTGCCGGCGAGGATGAGGAGGCGGGGGGTCGGCTGCGGGCTGCAGTACGATGCCACGTGGATCCGGATGAGATAGCAGGGACGGCTGTCCTGGTGCCGCCGGGGGAGCTGCGGCGGCGGCGACTCCTGCGGACCTGCGGCAACCCCGCCTGCGTCAACCTGGCGGGGGACAGCGAGGCGGAGGTGAAGCTGAAGGCGTGTGGGCGGTGCGGGGTGGTGGGGTACTGCTGCCGGGAGTGCCAGCTGGCGCACTGGAAGGCGCCGGGGGGGCACAAGGAGTTGTGTGGAAAGCAGGTGGCATAGGGCCTTTTGGGCACTAGGGAGCGAATGGAAGAGGTGTTGAGGCTATGGTCGGCTGCATTCGGGGCCTTAGTGGAGGAGTTATAGGAATAATAGTTACGCCGGCAAGCCCTGGCGTGTGTTAAGGGGGTGAGGCAAGGAGGGGTGTTATCCCCTGGATGCCAACACCACCGCCGGCGACACAATGGGGGAAGCAGTTTGCATTGTAAGTTCCCGCGTGGGAATGCGGGACGTCGCTGGTGACTATCTGCAGATGGCGTTCGAGCTTGTGAACGCTTGTGGTGTATTTAGGGGGTGTATGATGAAGTACCGGTACCTTACTGCACACTAGCTACTGCTGCGTTGAATAGGGCTTTGTGCGGTGCGTGCATGCTGCTGTCTTGTGCTTCTGTAGGTCTCACCGTGCAAGGGATGAGTCATGGAGTGAACGGGTCAATGGAATATGTCGATGCCTTGAGGTGTGCTCCGGGCAATGAATTGGCCTACTCTGGACGCGGTTGACGAAGCAAAGCGCGTCAGACATGCGCAGGTATGGTAGATACAGACCCTGGCACATGCACGTTGGGTGGGTGCCGTGATGACTGATGAGGCGTGCTCTTGAGGGTGGAGTCTGCGCATGTTACTGTAGGCACTTGAGTAAGGCAAGGTCAGATAGGTTCCAGTAAGCCTCCTGCTATGTTGCAGTCACCTTGGGTGTCCAGCCTGGCGTCCAATCGGAAATTCCACCGAGGGCCAGAGGGGGCGCTTCAAACCCATTGTTCAAAAACGTGTGCAGCCCGTGGTCACCACCGCCGCCATTGAATAGACCATATAGTCAGTGTATTGGTACATCACTTCAAGAAAAGGTGAAGTAAAGCAGCAGTCGGTCGCAATCTTGACACAGCCCAGCACTGCTAGTCACGTCCAGCCCAGCCCAGTTTAACCAGCAGGCCTCTCGCCGTTCATTGCTGGCAGCATGTCAGGCATTTCATATGAGCAGTAGCCAGCTTAAGCAAAGGGTAGTGCCCCCCAAGATCCAACCTACCCCACCCGTCAATTTATCCCGACACCCAGACGACCCCTGCATGCCCCCCACCCTTCCTCCCCTGCCTAAATAATCTGTGTGGGCGGGATCTGCAGCTCGTCATTGATCCGCGACGACAGGTACTGGTTCAGCAGCGCCCGCAGCTCGTTGTTCTGGTGCTGCAGGCTTTCCACCTCGCGCAGGCTCTTGGCGCGCTCCTGCAGCAGCGCCAGGTAGCGCTCCAGCTGCGTTTCAAGCGCGCGCCACACGCGGCTGCCCTTGTCGCTGATCACATGCGTCATGCGCGTCCAGAACTCCTGCTCGCGCTCCGCAGCACGCCGCAGCAGCCCCTGCACCCGCAGCGGACCGCTGATGTTGCCGCCGCCGGAGCGACTGGGACCGGTGCCGTACACCTCCACAAAGGCCTTGAGCCGCCGTACGGCGTCGTCTGGGTGGACCAGTACGGCAGGGCCGCGCTCGGACTTTTCATCCGGGATGCGGCCGCCCGCTGGCGCCACCATGCCCTTGGCCCTGAGCTCGATGTTTGAGTCGGCTGAGAGGGCGTCCATGAGGGAGTCGAAGGAGGCGCCGTCGCTGATGCCCAGAGCGCGCAGGATGGCCTCGGCCTTCACCAGACCCTGCTCGTCCTGGGGTGCGAGGAAGTGGGGGTGGTTGGGGGTGTGATTGAGAGGGCGGTCGGGGGCCGGGGACAGGGGTGCGTGCCGTACAGGGGAGGGCATATGAGGATAGGAGGTGCACCAGTAGTTGGCTTTCTTAACGCACGCCTCTTCAACTTCCCACCCCTCCCCCGCCTCACCTTGGGCAGCCTCTCAATCATGTGTCGCGCCTTGATGTCAATGAGGAAGCCCGCCTCGTCGCACAGCAGCCCCAGCGCGCCCCAGCTGCGGCTGTCACGGACGCGCTCGGCAAGCTGGGAGTGGGGCATGGGTGAGGGAGGAACAGGGTGTGAAAGGAAGTGGTCAAAAGGTTGGGATAAGAGGTAGCAAGAGGCAGGAAATGGTCAGGCACATGGCGGGAGTTACGGTACGCTGTTAACGGGTAAGCAGCATGTCAGCAATGAGGCGCAGCATGTGCGGTGCACCTCAGGTCAACCCAACCCCTTCCGACCCCTCCCCCCCCCGGCACCCCTTTGCGCTGCCCGTCCCTCCTCACCTCCTGCTCTCGCGCCCGTGCAGCCGCGTCCTCATCCTCCTCCCCGTCCGCCCCCGCCGCCGATCCCTCCCCGCCTGCTCCCGCGCCTGCTCCGCCGCCCGCCCCCGCCGCATGCACCGGGGTGAAGACCGCATCATCCGGGGGGCGCCACTCCCAGCCCAGCTGCTGCTCGTGGAGCACCTTGTCCGCCTGGGGGAGGGGGAGAGGGGAGGGGGGAAGGGAAGGGTGGGGTGGCGCATCAGTTGGTAGGGGTTAGGTTCACCAACCGGGCTAAGCAGCTAACCTTCATCAGCAACCCCAGGCTTGTCATTTTCCCCTTCTCCTTCCCCTGATCCTTCTTTCGTCAGGAGAGCTGGTTTCCCCAATTACCCTTCGCTAACAGAGAGTTGGGGTTTCTTCTACCGGTACTCCCGGTCCCGGCCCCGGCACCTAGCCCCGCCCTACCTGCAGCAGCTGCCGTACCAGCGCCGCCACCTCGCTCTCCTTCATGCCCCACACCTGCGGGACGAGGCAGGTGGTTAGAGGAGGGTCGTGATCAGCTAGAGCGCAAGCACATGCCCAGTCCCCCGCCCCGCCTCCTTACAACCCTCTTTCCCTCTACCCCCATATGCCCCTCTTCCCCTCCCCCATGCCGCCTCCCTCGCTCCCCTCTCCCTCCCCCTTTTCTCTTGTCAGCTAGTTTACCACTATCACACCACACGTTGGATATTCTTCTTTCCCCCCTTTCTCTTTCGTGGTTTCCTATGGTTTGGTCTACTTTGACCCCCCTCCTCCCCCCTCTCCCTCCCTCGCCCCTCTTCCTTCCTCCCCCCACCTCCTTGTACTTCTTGGTGTCTACCAGCTCGAAGTGTCGGAACTTGGACTGCAGGTCCTTGAACTGCTCCGTGATGCGCTTGTACTCGTCCGTCAGCCGCAGGTTCTCATCGCGGTAGCGCCGGTCGGTCTCGGCGTAGCGCTGAGGGGGCGGGACGGGGGGGCGGGGAGGGGGGGCGGGAGGGAGGGGCAAAAATAATGAAAAGTGAAGCAACGGAGAGGGGCAGGGAGGGGGAGGACAGGGAGGCTGGGAGGAGCGGGAGGGGAAAGAATGAGAAGGTGATGACCAGCGAGGGAGGGAAAGGATTGGAATGGTAAGCGGGAGAGGGAGAGAGCCAGCCAAGGTACGGCGTTTGGTGCCAGGTTTGGTTGGTAACATTGCGGAGGGATTGGTGGTCCGCCCCCAACCCCACCACCCTCACCACCTCAACCCCACCCAGCTCCCCTCTCCCCCTCTTCCCCCCAACCCCACCACCCGCCCGCCTCCGCCCCCCTACCGCACCTGTTTGAGTGAGGACAGGATATCCCGCTGCCGGGAGAGCTTCTTCTTCTGGCTCTCGATGGTGGTGCTGTTCTCCTTCTCACGCTCCTGAGGAGGGAGGGAGGGAGGGAAGCAGGGAGGGAAGCAGGGAGGGAGGGAGGGAGGGAGCCAGGGAGGAAGCATCCAGTATGTTGTGATATCCGCTCGCGAGTCCAGCCCTTTCTAATCTGCCAGGCAGCTCCAGCGGCAAGGAGGTGGCGTAGCCGCACCCCTCCAGCCCCCCGACCCGATCTGCCTATGGACAGGGTCGTCCGTGTTCCATCGCCGCTCATGGCGTAGTACACCCCCTCCCCTCCTCCCTACTTCACTTCTCCTTTACCTTTCTCCCCTCCCCTCCCCCTCCCCTTCCACATTGGATATTCACCCCCCTCCCCCTCCACCTCCCCTACCTTGAGCACCCGGTAGTTGTACTCCAGCTTCTCGGTGTTGAGCTGGTAGGTGGCGCGCATGGCCTCCAGGTGCTGCTCCAGGTTCTGGATGTCGGTCTCAAGCCTGTGCAGGGGGGTGGGGGTGGGTGGGGAGGGTGAGAGGAGGGGGGGGAGGGGAGGAATGTGCATGGGGGAGGGGAGCTAGTCGTAATGGGGTGGGGAGCAAGGCGGAGGAAGGATGAAGTGGTGGTCAGCGCGGTGTGCAGGCAGGCATGGAGGGGAGGCGGGGTATGTGCCGGTGGGCTTGATGAGCGGCTGTGGAATACACTCTCATGCAGTCATGCGCCCCTTCCACCATCCCCTTTCCGTGAGATAAAAGGAGATAGAAAAAGGCCCCACCCCAGCAGCTCACTTTATCTTGAGGATGTGGTACTCCTCCGCGTCCATCTGGCGGTGCCCCTCCAGCTGCTGCTGGTAGGTCTCCACGGCAGCCAGGTAGCGGTCCATGAAGTCCTGGGGGGGGGAGGGGGGGAGGGAGGGGATCGGGTGGGGGGGGGAAGGGGAAGGGGGGAAGAGGAGGTTGATTGAGGCAAAGCTGGCAAAAGGGATGGAGGAATGAGAAAGGTGCATACCCGGATAATTCTCTAGCTGCTGCGATGCATGTGCATCAGCAGATTGGGAGGTCGCTATGTGGGGAGCTTAAGGAAAACACAAACCGCGGCACCTGCACCCACCCGCCCCCTCCCACGTGGTTTTTCTTGTTCCTTCCCCCACCTGCTCCAGCTTGGACCTCCTGTCGAACAGCTCCTGCATCTCCCGCCTGTTGGCCTCCAGCAGGTCCGAGCGCTCCTGCAGGAAGGCGTTCTCGATCTCGTCCAGCTCCTCCTTGAACGCGTTCTGCATCTCCACGAACTGCCGGCTCATGTACTGCAGCAGCGTGTCGATGTCCTCCGCCTGCCGGCAGACGGGGGGAGCGGGAGGGAGGGAGGGAGAGGAGGGGGGAGGGTTAGGGATGCATGGCGTCAAGGGGAAGGAGGGCCGACGTCACAAGTGTCGAGTGAGGGTGCGTTTCTCTCTAACCCTCACCCAGCCACACTGCTGCCATGCCAAAACCGCAACCCCCCTCCCTTCCCCAGCCCTCCAGCCCCCCTCACCTGCCGCTTGAGTGTCTTGACGAACTCGTCGTCCTTCTTCTTCAGCTCCGAGCGCACTTCCCCGATCAGCTTGTCCTTGCTGGAGATGATGCGCTCGCACGCCTGGCGCTGAGACTCGATCTCGTTGTACAGGTCCTGCGGGCCGGGGGGGCGGGGGAGTGAAGGAAGGGATAGAAAGGGTTGAAAGGGGAAGAGGCTTGTGATACGGAGGGGAACCCCGAGCGGCCGTAACAACCCCGTGGCAGAGAGAGAGAGAGTCAGGCGTGGCCGCCTCCACCCTGGCCAGCTCCACCCTGCTCCTTGGCATCCAGTTCCCCAGCCTAGCCCCCACAGGGCCTACAGTCAACTACGGACTCTGCTTCACTTACCCGTGCCGGCTCTCGCTGTAACGCCCCTCCCCTCCCCTAGCACCTTCGGGAGCCGCCACAGCGTGCTTACTACCCCAGCACCTTCCCCACAACCCCCCTGCTACCCAGTTCGAGCCCTGCTTGCCCTGCCCCAGCCTAGCTCCCGCAGTCCAGCGCTTCCCTCGTTCTCCAGCGCCCTCGTTCCAGCCCGGTTCGACGCTCTCACCCCATGACCCCCCTTCTCGCAGCTCACCTGCGGCACCTCAATGGAGAAGAGGTCCGCCCAGCGCATGGCCACCGCCGCATTCTGCCGGGCGCTCTGCTCTGCCTCCGCAAGCAGCTTGGAGCGCAGGTCCTGGGGAGGGACAGAAATGCATGTGGGGCGATGTCAGGCGGGGTCGGACGGGGCTGCACGTTTCGGCCCATGCCCTGTTAGGTCACAACGACGATGCCACATCCACCAGCAGTCGAAAAGCAACATATGGTTTAAATAGTTACCCTGCGCTCCCCACCTGCCGCGTCTGCTCCTCCTGAATGCGGTGCTGGTTCTCGCGATCATCTCCGGTGACACGCACAGATGTAACATCCTGGTCTGTGCGGTACTTCACGCGCATTAACCGCCGCTTGCTCTCGATAATCTGCTGCTTGCCCTTCCCGATCTCCTCCTTCTTTTCTCCCTCCTTTCCACCTGTTGATAGAACCATCGGGGGCTGTGTTGAGGAAGGAGGGGCATGGCCAGGGGCGCGTCATGCGCCTTTCCTTACCGCCATGGTCTCCCTCCCGAAGGGCCGCTAAGCGTTCCTGAATGCGTTTCCGTCGCGCAAGGATGCGCGCCTCCCTAGGGTGGACAGGATTATTGTGAAGGACAAGTTGAGACAGACCGCAAAAGCGTTTAAGCTAATATCTACCTTTCCGACTGGGCTTGGAGTTCGTCCATTGTTAAAGAGCTACAATACACTGGTGTTAACCAGGAGTCGGTAAGAACATTTTGCAGGGCAATTGGCTATTGCAGATAGTCGGAAAGGTATTATAGTGTAAATGCCCCCCTTAATTAGAGTATTGGGTTGTCATTAAGTCGGCGAGCTAATGGCGTTTCAGTTAGCATGGGAACGCAGGAACTTAGCTATAGTCCGGAAACCGTTGCATGGAATCGGTTTGCTGCATACCACCACAGATCGCTTTCTATCACACATAGGACTAATTGTAATAGTAACTAATATTTGGCATCATGCGTGTGCTGGTTAACTGCCCCTCCGGCGAAAGCCGCTTGTTCCAAATCGACTCACAAGCAACCGTTTTAGAGCTAAAGCAAGCACTACAAGAAGCGGAAGGTCTGTTACACTTACGGGCTATAACTTGGTGGTCCATCAATCTGAGTGGGTCCATGTTCATTTGGCAGGGATACCCGTCAAGCAGCAAGTGCTATGCTTCGCGGGGAACAACCTTAAAGACCATTTAAGCTTGGCGGACCACAATCTCGAGGCGTATACATTATCAGACGAGGTGCGAGGAGGAAACGGGCAAGGAAGGGACCATCCAGACGTTGGGTAGGCGCATGGGCAAGAGCACGGGATGCATCCTCCAAGGGCATCTCATTGACTCGATGGGTGTGCAGGCGTGTGCCAACAATGCTTGGCCACATGCGTTACCACAACCTTCACCCCCGTGGGGCCTAACCCATCCCTTACCCCGAGCCCCATCCTACTCCTCCCCTCAATCTCATCCCCGCCCTTCCCACGCTCCCTTCAAAGCCGCCTCTCACCCACACTCCCCAACCAAGACCCAAATCCCCACCCGCACGCACTATCACATCGGAGAAACACACTGCACAACAGCATCTCCACACCACCCACATGCCGCCTTCCCCTACCCCCTTAACAGCGCTCACAGCAACGCCATCGGCACAGCTAACCCCACCCCTCCCCTCTTCCTACCACTCCCCGTTTCCCCCCTAACCCTCTTCCTCCTTCCTCCTCCCTAACCCCAGGTCGTCCTCTACCTCTCCAAGCGCCTGTCGCAGCCCAAGCGCGTCTACCTTGCCTCCCGCAACAAGCTCTCGCAGCAGGCAGCCGAGCTGGTGGAGGCGGACAGCCCCGTGGGTTCCCTCATGGGGCTGCTGGAGAGCAGGGGCTTCGCCACGCCCTTCGCTCCCGGCGCCAGCATCGTGCTGAAGCGGCAGGACGGCTCCACCATCCCGCTGCACGTGTCTCATGCCGAGGAGCTGCAAGGCATGGAGGAGCGCGTGGCGGAGAAGGAGGTGGGGGGGAGGGCGGGCGGGGAGTGTGGGAGGAGGAAGGATGGGGGCAGGATCCTGGGGTGGGTCCGGTGGGATAGGCCTGGCCGTTATAAGGGTTTGGGGCCATGCTAGAGAGACGGTGTGTACACCGTACTGATGGATGCAAAAAAGATGGCGTGCTGGACTGGGTTACCAACTCGTGGAGCACTACTTGCCCCGTTTATAGGGTGTTGTTGTTTATAGGTTTGTTGCGCAGCACAGCTCCTGTCTCCGTGTGTCCTGCTTCCTCGCCCTCCCTCACCCGAAACCCTGGCCCCGCCGCACCCCGCCCCGCCTCCGGTCGCAGGGAGTGGTGCCCACATGCTGCACCTTCCTACAGGCGCAGGACGGCAACATGCACGTGCAGGTGGGGGGGTGGGAGCGGGTGCCAGGGCGGGTGCCAGGGCGGGTGGCGACACTGTCCCTCTGGGGTCCCTGGGAGCTGGGGAGCGCAGTGGTAGATGGCGAATGGGGTGCTCTCGCTGCTGTTGGTAGGTGCATGCAAGATGCAACCAACTCTGGGTCGGCCCCCTCCTACGTGCCTCACCCCCCTCCTACGTGCCTCACCCCCACCCGTACTGCAGGTGTACCCCAGCGCCTCCGCCTCCACCAACACCTACCCCATCTACAAGCGGGGAGCCAGCCAAACAGCCATACCGGTGCGGCTGGGGTATGACTGGGGGGCTGGTATGTGCGGCTGGGATAGGAATGTGGTATTAGCAGTAACCGGTGGACCGATATGTGCGGTCACAGCATATGGAATGTGTCCTACCGTTGCATGCATGCCATGATCCAACGACCCATGGGGCGGAACGTCCCGGTCTGCCCCTGACTTCAATAATATCCCCCATCCATGCCCGCATAATGCCCAAATCGCCACCATGTTATCCGGTGCTAACGCCATGTGTCCCTCCACGCGCTTCCCCACATATCGGCTTATCCACACAGAGGAAGGAGCCGGGAGAGGAGCTGCAACCGCTACCGGAACTGGTGAAGGAACTATGTGTGCTGCCTTGAGCAGCAGCAGCAGCTATGAGATGTGCTTGCGAGTACTTACAGTAATAATAGGATAGAGGTTGATTGCGCTGTATATGCTGTTTAGAGGTTTTCTACTAGCCATAACAAAGCAAGGGCTTATGCGTGGGTATACCCCAGTACCCTATTAGCGGGACTAGGGGTGTAGATGCGTAGTGCTGGTACGGAGCGATGTGGGTCATCCTCCATCCGTTTGAGGGATAAGTGTAAGTGCATAATCAGCATATACCTGTAGGCGTGCATGCCACAGTGCTGCATGGTGGGATTCCGTGGTGAACAGAGGTATGCATGTTGCGGGCAACGGCGCAGCAAAAACAAACCTGCATGATACCTCCTGTGCAAGAGAATGTAAAGAACTGCAAGCGCTTAGGCGTGTGACCAGCGTCTATGTGGAGAAGAGCTGGAAAGGCCGCGTGCGGGCACCTGCATTGTGGGACAGGTGGCGGTTGGCAGGGCTGTACGGCGTGACCGTGGTGGCGGAGGGAATACGGCAGCAATTGAAGTAGCAGAAGCCTGGCTTGCATATCAATTTGGTTACGCTCGCTGAGTGGTCTGGGGGTTAGACAGGCACACGTGCCCCTCGGCCGAACTGAGGTCTGTGATAGCTCTGGTTGTATCTGGCGACGGGCTGGAGGCAGATGTAGACTTCAATTTATGATGAAGGGCGAGGAGTTCTACTAGATCGGCTATATGGGTTACGGGGGCATGCCTAACAGTGGCTGCGGCGCTGCCCGTGCGCAGTCATAAAAGGAACCCTGTTTGCAACAGGCAACCCACCGGAACAGACGGATTTCGGGGAGCTTCGAACCATGCCTGTAAATTGTAACATAATGTCTCTATCGGAGATAGGAACTTCTGCTGTCCTAAAATATGGGCCGAAGAGGTAGATCCCTTTCAGAGCCCTGGTTTCGTAGTCATCGGCCATGACCGTTTACTTTCGTAATCACCCATAACGTGCATCCATCTACAGAAGCCAGCTTCTAACAAGATAGTTTAGATAACACTTAGGAGCTTGCTCGGGCTAAACTGTTCTAGTGAATCGAAATACGTTGTATGCCCGAGGGCCGTCGCCCGAGCAAGCGATCCACATCAACCACGGGCGCAGCTGCACTTCTGGCGTGGAGGAGAGGCAGGGGGGCTGGCCTGGCAAGGTGTGGCAGAAATGAGCGTCTCCGCTCTCCGGTGTGTTCAGCCTGGCTTGTTTCGGAAAAGCCGCAGCCACGGAGCGTTTCCGAGCATGTTGAACGTACCTTTACTATTCATACACAAAACTCACTTCTATTTAATTGAATAACCCTGGACCCACCAACTTGGGCTTGGGTATGTCGCCCATGGCCAAAGTGGCGTTGCCTGTCCTTAGCTTCTGCGACGTAACCACAGCTTAGCTCAAGCTTGATGGGCATGATACATTACGACAGCTGCTAGATCGCATGAATGGAGCGCTCCTGGTTCACCGATGTTGTCCTCAGGCATTGACGCTCCTCCTCGCCTAAGGACGAAGGGCTAAGATGGACAGGTCGTTCATATCAAGGACCTCTCCACGCATGCAGCTCGGCCGTCCACAGCACCTCCAGCCGCCCTGTTTGCCCATCGTGCAAGTCCGTCCACACCAGAGACGTTGTATTAGCAGCCGCCCCTGCCAACCCGTGGTCGCCGTTCGGCCGGGTCGCATCGTTAGCGGGCGTGGTGGGCGGCTCGTGGTAAGGACTTTGACTGTTCCCGCCATTTAAGCCCGACATGGACCGTTGACCGATTGGCCACCCGGTTGTCGCAGGCGTCAGCCAGTGACATGTCCTCCTCGCCAGACGCGTCCAAAGATGCGGGCGAGGGTCTCAATATTTTCTTTGACAACAACAGTGACAACGAATGCACTGTGGTAACGGTGGAAGGCAAGGACAACGCACACCTCCTTATAAGCCTGACAGGAGGGTTTTCCAGCGCTGGCCTCATAGTGATCTCCGCCTCCATCACCAGCGACGACGGCCGCGTGCTGGACGTATTCCGCGTGCAGACCGCAGAAGGCACCAAGGTGCGTATCCACCCCTCATGCCTGCCGTACGGCCGTCGTTTCTATCATGCCTTCCCCCGCACCTGAACTCCTTTGGCTACGCCCACGCCAGGGCTCCTGCACATCCTCTGTCCTATAAGCTATAACAAGTCATACATCCTGGGCGATCTGGCCTCTCGCCCTTCTGCATCTTACCCTCCCCTTCCTCACCCTTTCCCCCTCCAACCTCTTTCCCGCCTCCCCCAGGTCCCCGAGTCCCAGTTCTCGCACGTCCGCGAGCACATCTTGTCCGTCACCGCCACCTCCTCGCGCTCCTCCATGCCCGCCATCTACGGCATCGTGGCGGCCGCCGAGGTGGAGCGCCTGAAGCCGCTCAAGGGGCAGGCGGCGCAGACGGAGGTGGACACGCTGGAGCTGGCGGCGGCGGAGATGGCGGCGGCGGCGGCGGAGCTCGTGGCTACGGAGCGGGAGATCATTGAGCTGCGGTACGGCGGATGATGGGAGGGGGAGGGGAAGGTGGGGACAGGAGGGAAGGAAGGAACCGTGCGACAAGGCTTCATCGTGGGAGGGGGAGGGGGCAGGTTGGTGGGTAGGAGAGTAGGTGGCTTGGGGAGTGGGGTGGCAGAGGGGCTGAAGAGGATTTGGATGCAAACGGCGATGTGGGTCGGCTCGGCCTATAATGGAATACCGGTAAGTGAGAAAAGGGTGTTCCTGAAAGACATGGAAACGGAAATGAGAAAAATGCGACCGGGAGCAGCCGCGAGGAGGAATGGCCCAGGGGTCTGTATGAATCGTAAGGCAGAAGCAACGGAGTCAGTACGGGCGCGAACGCGGGCTGTACTCGCATTGGCAGCTGACCCAGATCAGTATACGCTTTTTTCTGCTTAGCCGCCAGCCGCTATCCGTGCTGATGCTGTCCTGCCCCACGTCCCCCCTGCAGTGCCAGCAACGCGGACGCCCGGCTGCTGCAGTCGCGCGAGGCCAGTCGCACGGAGGCCGCAGCAGCGCTGGAGCGCAAGATGGCAGCCATGCAGGTGGGGCGGGGGTGAAAGAAGATTGCCCGATGTGTTGAATGAGAGGAGTGGGGAGGTGGGGGCTGGATGTTTGAGGGAGAGGAGCGGGGAGGTGGGGACTGGAGGTTTGAGGGAGAGGAGCGGCCGCGGTCCTGATGGTCGGGTGGGTGTGAAAAGGGGCTGGGGAGGTAAGGAGGGGTGCTCTGTCTGGAGGGATGGATGGCTAGGGGGCGCGGATAACCCGGCTGCTTGCGGATGCACGTGGGGTTTTATTGGACGAGGGACATGACAAGGCATCTGGTGGCCTCACGCGGCAAACGCGGCGCGTTTACGGCGGCGCGAGCAGAAGCTTTGCTTCATAAGGCAGAGGTTCTCATGCAAGGGTCCATCAACACCGCTCCTCCCCCCGACCCTCCCCCTCCTCCAGGCTGTGCTGGCTGCTCGGCGCACTGCCGTACAGCCTCAGAAGCAGAAGACCCCGGCGGAGAAGCTGCTGGACACGCTGAAGCCGCCCGCACCCGCGCGGGCAGCGGCGGGAGCAGGCAGCGGCTCGGGGTACGAGATCCTGCTGCAGGTGGGGGCGTGGGTGGAGCGGGAGGGATACACCATACATGGCATGGAGGGGCGTGTGTTTGGGTGCGGCGGGGAGGACTGGTAAGCATGTTTGGTTACAACAAAGGCTTGTAAGTAAGGAAGTAACATAGGCGGCTCCGTCCATGTGCCAAAATGGCCTGCCCGTTCTTGTCTACCCTCCCTTATTCTCCCTCGTCCCTCGACCTCTCTCCTGCGCCCCCCCCAGGCCTTCAACTGGGAGTCCCACCGGCACCGGCTGTACCGGCAGCTGTCCGGCCGCGTGAAGGACATTGCGGACGCGGGCTTCACGGCGGTGTGGATGCCGCCGCCCTCGGAGAGCGTCAGCCCGCAGGTGGGGGTGAGGGAGGGGGGAAGGGAGGGTGTTGATGGGGCAAAGGTGTGCGGAGGGATCGGTGGGACGTTCTTGGGGAGGTGGGAGAGGGGGCTGGGACTGGCCTACCCGACTACCGCATTCGGTCTCCATCTGGCCGCTTCTCCTTCACCGCCCGCCTGTGGCTTGGCCAGCTTGGTCCGTCAAGAGTCCTCCAACGGCTCGTACACCATGCCACCATCAAATGCATTCATCATGCTTTCAACTCCCCACCCGCCTCCCCTGTCTGCCGCCGCCCACCTGTTTGCAGGGCTACCTGCCCAAGGACCTGTACGCCCTGGACTCGGCGTACGGCAGCGAGGGCGAGCTGCGCGACCTGATCAGCTCCTTCCACCAGCACCAGATCAAGGTCATTGCGGACATTGTCATCAACCACAGGTGGGGCCGGGGGGGAAACTGAGGTAGGAAGGAACTTGTCCGGGGGAAGGGGTGCGGCGGGAGGGGTGCTTGGTGACACGTTGAGGGATGGTGTCCGAGTTAGTGGGAGGAGGGTGTGTAGCGGCGGGAAAGGCTCTTGGGAAAGACGCGCCTTGCCCACCCGTTCTCTCCCGTGTCCGCACGGCATCATTCACTGTATACCTGCCTCACTTGCTGCACCACACCCCTACCCAACCCATGTTGATAACCCATGGTGGAGCCTTGTCACATGGTTAAAGTGACCCAACCCCTCTCACCGCACCCCAACCCTTGTGCATCACTTCAATATTTTCCCCATTTGCCGATACCACCCCCACCCCTCCACCTCCACCTCCCCTCCCCTCACCCCAGGTGCGCCAGCAACCAGGGCGGCGACGGCAAGTGGAACAAGTTCGGCGGGCGGCTGGCTTGGGACGCCTCCGCCATCTGCTCCAACAACCCCGCGTTCGGCGGCCGCGGCAACCCCAAGCAGGGAGACGACTACGCAGCCGCGCCCAACATCGACCACTCGCAGGAGCGCATTCGCAATGTGAGAGAGGGGAGCAGAGCGGAGTAGAGTTCATGCAATGCACACGCGTGCATGATTTGCGGTTTGGGGACCCCACCCCTTGCCTTCCTACACCGCCACCCTACCACTCTCCCTCCCTTCCTCCCTGCCCCCACCCCCACCGCCACCGGTCAGTGTTTCTGCGGCTCAGTTAACTAACCCTTACTGGCCCCCACCTTACCAACACCTCCTCAGGACATTGCCAACTGGATGAAGTACCTGCGCAACTCCATTGGCTTCGACGGCTGGCGCTTCGACTTTGTGCGCGGCTACCCGGGCACTTACTGCAAGCAGTACATTGACGAGACGGTGCCCGCCATGGCATTCGGGGAGTACTGGGACAGCTGCGACTACACGGACGGGGTGCTCAACTACAACCAGGTGGGGGGGGAGGAGGAGGAATAAAGAGCTACCGGTAGCATGCTGTTTGATGCAATGTGCGGGGAGGAGAAGTGGTGAGAGAGAGAGAAGGGACTATAGTACTTCGATGGCTGGAGCGGAGACCAACCCCGACGCCGACCTGGGATAGGTTGGGTAGGGTGTGTGGCAGTTGAGCTCATGGGGTGGGGCATTGTGCGATGAACTGTAGCTAGCAATGGACTACAATAGCATCCCACATGCTGCCCCCCTCCATCCTGAACCCTGGGGCCAGTATTTCAAGCAGCAGCTCAGTTGATCTAATCCCCTACACGCCCCCCACCCTCCCTTCCCCCCTGCACCCTCCTCAGGACGCGCACCGGCAGCGCACCGTCAACTGGTGCGACTCCACGGGAGGCACCTCGGCGGCATTCGACTTCACCACCAAGGGCATCCTGCAGGTGCGGGAGGGAGGCTGGGGACTGGGGGACATGGAGTTGCACTGGCGGCTGCATGTATGCGTGAGGAGAAGAGAAACGCGCCACAGCAGCACGTGCTTGTGGGATGTACGAGGGTATTGGTTCAAGAGAGGTGCCACGACCTTTAACATTCCATCGTTCTCACCTATTCCCGCCGCTCTGGATCCTCTCCTGTTCCCGCCGCCTCACACCGCCCTCTCCCTCTCCATCGCTCTCCTCATCCCCACTATCCATTCCCCTCTTAACCCCTCCTACTTAACCCTCAAACCGCAGGAGGCGGTGGGTCGCCGCGAGTACTGGCGCCTGGTGGACAGCCAGGGCCGGCCGCCGGGCGTGCTGGGCATGTGGCCCTCGCGCGCCATCACCTTCATCGACAACCACGACACCGGCTCCACCCTCAACCACTGGCCCTTCCCCTCGCGCAACCTGCCGGAGGGGTACGCCTACATCCTGACGCACCCGGGCACTCCCTGCGTCTTCTACGACCACCTCTACCAGGTGTGTGGATGAGTGGGTAGATGACATTAGTGTTGTGTTCAATTAGCGGAGCCCTTTGGCATGGAGTGGGGTGTGTGGCTTGGGTGTATGTGGCGCATGGAGGGAGGGAAGTAAATGGTAAGCGTGAATACTGGTTTGGGCCTGGTGTACCTGAGACCATGCTTTAGCAAGAATTCACCTTTGGTAAGTATAGCCGGCATGCCGCATTGTTGCGTTGCCAACACCTGTTGTCCTGTGGGAACATACAGGAGGACGGCGGGCTGCGGCGCAACATCCTGGACCTGCTGTCGATCCGCAAGCGCAACGGCATTAACGCCAGGTACGACGGAGCGGGAGGGAAGAAGGGACCTGTCAGGACGGTTGTGGCGCTGTTTAGATACCATAATGGGTTTGGCCGAATGCACGGCGTGATTGGAGAGCCCACCCATCCGCAACACCGCCTCCCCAACGTCCTTCGCCTCGACCCACACCTCCCACCTCCCGCTTCCTCCCCCCAGGTCCAAGGTGGTTGTGAAGAAGTCGGCTGCTGACGTGTACGCCGCTGTCATCGACGACAAGGTGGCCATGAAGATGGGGCCCGGGGACTGGTCGCCCAACCACTCGGGGCTGCGCATGAACGGCAAGGACATGAAGCTCGTCTCCAGCGGCTTCCAGTTCGCAGTCTGGGAGGCGCACCAGTGAGAGGATGCGGGAGAAGGACGGGCAGGACCGTCGGTTGGCAAGAAAGGGACAGGAAAGAAGGAAGGGAGGCGGAGAGAACAGAGAAGAGAAATGGGGTTTGGGTTGATAGCGTGTTAGTAGCGAGCATGGGTGTGGACGGGCAGCATGGGAAGGGCGCGCATACGGAGGCAACTTGGGATTGTGGATAAGGGTGCGGGGCGTGCTCCGTTGGCCCTAGTGGCCTTGAGTCGGTTTGGACGGGCGCGGAGTGGCGAGGCGCCGCATGCATTAGGACACGGCAAGGAGTCTGCAAACTGGACAAGAGTAGAGCTCGTAGAACGGTACAAGTAGAGGACATGCGAGGGGAGATAACTTTCTGTGCTGCTGTTGCTACGCGTGTTTAGGCCGCAGCACGTCATATACCTGAAAAGGAACCATCTTGGGGCTTTACATGCGCCATAGACTGACCCAAGATGCCGCAATTGCGCATATCATCAATGCCATCATCAACAACTCATCATCTCCCATCATTCTTGGCAACAGCAGCAGCACTCTTGCCCGAGCGCGCTTTTAACTGCAGTAGGACAGCCTGTTGGCTTGTTGCATGTAGCCGCTTCGGTCGGCCTGTTTAAGGCGCTTGACATGTATACCCTCGTATCCCCCGGGTTATGTACGACTGGTAGTGGAAAGGAGCTGCAATCATGTTTCACGACGGTTTGCATTGTGTAGCTTGTTTTGCTCCTGATCGGGTTGAGGGGCGGTCGCTTGCTCGGCATGTAGCATGGAAAACAGTGTCAAAAGGGCCGCCGTCGTGGCCTTACCGACGTGCTAGGCGTCGCATGGTTTGCGCCGGCGGTTGTGTGGCTTCGATGGCGTGTGTATATCTCTTGGGTATATCGTTGTGCGGATAGTTAGGGGGCGGTCGTGCGGCGATAGGTTTGACACGGGTAGGCAGGGAATGGACAAAGGGCTGGACAGTGAGAGGTCGCAAGTCCGAGGCGTTAGATCTCAGTCGTCTCCAGGCAAGGGTACATGCGTATCGCGCATGCGGCATTCCCTGGCATTGCCAGACTTCTGTCTATACCTGATATCATGTAGTGAGGCGCTGCTGCTTGCACACATACGTTTGGGGACAAGGAAGTGCAACTGCGAGGGCATGCGTGTGATGGACGCACCACGACGTAAGGGGCGGCGCTTCTTGTTGATAACTGTCGCGCGTCTCGGATACAGTCGAGTCAGTCCTTGTATGCGCGCGGCAGGTGCTAATGCGAACAGTCATTCTGGGAAGAAGCTCACAGTCGCTGTTTGGCGAGGCTGCTGGTTTACTAGCAGACTCCTCAGCTGGCAGGGCAAGGGTTGAGTTTTTGCTGTGGCTGGGCTTGAGGCAGGTCGCCATGGGGGTGTTGGCATTTGCTTTCCCCTCATGCGTGTGTCATTCCCCTCACCCCTGTGTCATCTTTACATGATCGCGCTTGCGTAACAGAGAAGGAGAAAGAGAAGAAACATGCGGCGTTCTGCGCGCTACGGCAAGCTGCGTTGAGAGTGATTTACGAGCGCAAGGGGTTGGCTTACACGTGACAAACACAGACCTAGCGCAGATCTTGACTTTTGAACCGCGCATGTACGAAAGGGGCATCCTTGGAATGCCTGGAGCCTCGATGACTGACTCATTTTAGTTTTAGTCAGCCTGTGATTCCACTTCCCACCTCTTAACTCGCGTGGATGGCTGCGCACCACCCCGGATTCTGTACACAAAACGTATATACGACAATAATCCTTTCTACAAAGCTAGCAACGGGAAGTCAGGCGATGATGCCCAAGCTAGTAAGCCAACGATCTATTCGCTCCAACAGGCTACACAACAGCCGCCGGTGAATACCAATATCAACAGTCGTTAGCCTCACGGACCGCCCAGTGCATTCCTACGATCCAAGCGCCGTGCACTGGCAGGAAATACCACCTGCTGGTGGCATGTCAGTGCCCATGCACCCTCCATGCATGCCTTCACTCTTCACACATGCAGCACCTCCCCTCCATCTCCTTGCCCCCATGCTCTCCTACCGCTCAAGCCAGCAGCGGCGTGTGCTCCGCCGCCTGGCGCTTCAGGTCCAACGAGTGGAAGGCCTCCCGCGCCGCCGTGTAAGCCTCCACGAACGCCTCCACAGTCAGTCCGCCCGACTGGTAGCGCTCAAGCAGCTCATCAGAGGCGGCGTCGGACTGGCAACAGGAAGGAGAGAGGGAGGGCGCAAGGGACAAGGTATCGGTAAAGGAGGACGATGAACAAGAGTAGCAGAGGGCTCACTAACTCCCTCGCCCACCATCTACCGCACACCCTCCCCAAGCAAACACCCTACCTGCTCCGCCTCCTGCCGCACCCTCGCCAGCACCGCCGCCGGGCCTATCTTGGCCACCACAGCCTCCTGCCTGCCGTACAGCTCCTCAAACAGGGCCCGCATGGCGGCGTACTCGCCCGACCGCACGATGGCAACGTGGCCGCGAGCCTCCTCGATGGAGCGAGCCAGGGCCAGGTTGGCAGTGGCGGCGGAGCGGTTGGCGCGCCGCACGTCCTCCAGGGCGCGAGCAGCCTGGGAGGGAGAGGGAGCGGGAAAAGGGGATCAAGGCGGATAGGATGGAGAGAAACGTCCCCTATCCCATGCCTGACTGGCGCGACTCCGCATACGCCGTCTTTAAGGCCCTCCCGCGCCCCTAGCGCGTTCTATGTCTCCTTATCACAACCCACCCGCTACCTCCTCTCTCCCCCTTCCTCCCTCCCGGCCCCAACCCTCCCCTACCGAGGTGCCCTGCAGCCACTGCGCCGCCACCCGCCTCAGCTCCTCCTCGTCGCCCATCATCGCCTCCAGCACCGACGTAGGCAGCCCCTCCAGGAATGACTCCGGGTCGCTGCCGTCCCCGCCACTCCCGCTCCCTGCTCCTCCAGCAGCACCCCCCAGACCCCCGGCACCCGGCATGGGCGTGCCTACTGAGCCGTTGCCGTAGCCCCCCACCGCCGTGTTCGGACCCGGCGCGATACCGCCTCCGAAGGACGGCATGGAACCCACGCTCACACCCCCGCTGCTGACCGCCGCCCCGCCTGCAAGCAGCCCCTGCTGCGCCGCCGCCTCCGGGCCCAGCAGTACGGTAAAAGCCTCCCGTACAACTGCCACCAGGTCTGTGGGCCCTATGCCCGACACCGTGCCTGGGGCGCGGCCGCCTCCGGGCCCTGCGGTGGCGGCTGCGGCGCCCGAGGAGACGGAGCCGGAGTTGCCCCACAGCTCGGCGCCGCGCACTCTCACGCGACCGGTGGTGTCTACTGCGGGGTGCTGCAGGGGGACTAGGACGCACAACACGGGGCGCTCCTGGGAGCGGTGAGGGAGAAAGGGTGGGGGCAGGGCAGGGCGGGATCGAGGATTGGACCGACGGGGAGCAGTGATGGCGGCATGGGTGCACAGGTGCGGCGACTTTGGGGTTGCAGAGAGGCAGAGGGCAGCAGACAGGTCCTCCATTTGGCGTTTCTTCCCAGCCCGATATGCATATGCGTATCACCGTGACAGGGCTGGCAGCCTTAACGATATCACCCCACATATTAGCGACCCCGGGCCCCAACCTGCGGGAAGTGCGCCGGCAGGCTGACTCGCAGTGCTGTGGGGCGACCGTTGGGCAGCTGGAAGGGCAGATCAACCACGGACCTGATAGGGGAGGAGGCAAGGGAGCAGGCCAGGGGTTGGCGTGGGTACAATGGTTCCGACTGCGACATATGCAGCTTTTACAGGAGGGGAAGGTTGGCAGGAGGATCCTGATGCGAGGGGTTTGTGCTGGTACAGTCCAATGTTGCCTGTGCATAGCAGCAGGGCAGACGCGATGCCTCGATGGCGACCCTAGAGTCTCACCCTTCGGGGTTGACCAGTCTCCCGTTCGGAAAGGACCTCAAGAGCTCATCAGCATAATCTCTTCGCCTACAGAGTGCACGGTCGCCTGGGTAGGCAGTTCCAATAGCAGTACCATGGCTCGGCAGGTGCATGCAGCTGCGAAGTAGGGGTCACCTTGGCATACGCTGATGGTAATCGACGGCCTGCATTCGTGCGAGATTGTAGAAAGCCTAGCTTCGGCCGGGCATGCAACTATACGTAAAAAAGCTAGCGACACAAAGCCCTCGCTCGTCCGTTCTGGCCCTTTTGCAAGCTAAAGTATCCACTATATGTCCTATGTTAATGCATTTACCCTTCCAAACAGTCAGAACTAGGTCTTAACTTTTTAGCCTTTGGTCATTCCGAGCGAAGGCATTTACAAAGCAGGGCGGACAGCAATTTGAACGAGACCTTCTGTCGAGAAAAAGTAAAGAGGGACGTATGGTTCCAACAAATACTATCCCTATTAACAGTTTCTTACTAACGTTGGATCCCTAGTTTAAACCACCACAACGACAGCCCGATCACCCATACACGGTAAACCAGAAGTTAACCAGCTTGGGACTAACTTTCCGTAGGACCCTTGAAGCATGACTGGAGGCAGTAAGACCATGCCGCGTGACACATAGACAACATCTTACCAAACGCTACCATAAATTACGGCGTCATGGCCGCTGCAGCAATCCCCGAAATTTTTGAGCATATTTGTGATGTAAGGAGCTTTGATGCATCGGACATAAGGAAGCTATGGGCAGCTCTCCGCAAGGAGCCCGCTGTGGAGGGCGCGAAGTTGGCAAACTGCCTCTTATGTTACATAATCGGACCCGAGGTACCTGCCATAGCGATAGGATTGCCAGAAACATACCTAGACGTAGGTGGATGCGCTCCGAAGTGGACCTTCGATGAACCCCTGGGGCTTTCCTTTGCAATTGGTTGTAGAAAACCGAGAGCGACAAGATCATACCACATTTCGTTAAGGAATGGGCAGGGCAAGCGCCGGTGGATGCGGCAAGCAAGGAGTGGGCTGAGCAAGTAATTGAAAGCCTTCTCTTCAAGCTTGCGGACTGGATTTCAATCGGCGCCAAGCACAGCCGCGTTCGTGTGGTGAACCTCATCGTCCAAACCTTGCGCGGGGTGCCGAGCCATCTGGACCTGAGCACGGAAGAGCTGGACTATGTGACTGAGAAGTTGCGCGAGCACTTGCCTGACAAGGATGACAAAGTCCGAGAACTGGTGGTCATAGCGCTCACAAAACTCGTGGTCGTCGAGGTGAGAACCATAACCGGGATCCCCAAGGGGGGTCTGCTTCTAGCCCTGCTCCTGCTTCCCCTTGTCAGCTTCCATGCTCTCGACCGCTCCTGCTCCTCCCTCGCCCCCGCTCCTCTCCAGGCGAGCAGCCCCGTGCGTGACAACGAGGTGATGTCAGAGCTCTGGGAGGCCTTGTGTGTGGACCTCAGCACGGTAAGAGGGTGTAAGGAGCGGACGTGCCCTTGGGGGAAGAACAGCGGGGGGGGCCCGAGTGACCCTTCCGGCGCTGGCAGCAGACGATGGAACAGTCACCCGTCCCACCCTGTGCCCAAGCTAGTGCTATGCACCAGCACCCAAACTTGACTTTCATTTGCGCGTAACGTACCGTCCCGCATCGTTCCGCTTCCGTGACCTTTCTCAACTACTACACCGTTACCCTATCGCTTCATGCCGCATGTTGCCCTGCCGCCCCTCTGATACTACCCCCTGACCCTGGAAAGGACGTACGCGCCGCGCTGGTTAAGAGGCTGCAGCTGGACGCCTCATCCCTGCCAGCCCTGCTGCGGCACCGCAATGACCGGGCGGCCAAGGTGGCGGCCCAGGTGTACGACAGGGTGGCAGCGGATGTGGGCCTGATGCAACCTGTACGGCAGGACGGTGTGGCGGCTAGGTAGGGACTAGGGAGCCGTCGGTTGTCTGCCACGCTCGTTGAGAGCCCTCTTAAGCGCTTTGAAGGTCCTGCATGTCCAAAGAAAGGGTATGAGTATTCCACATGATACTCAACTTCCCTCTCTCGCTCCCGTATCTCTGCCGCTTCCGCACTTCCCAGCCTGCAGCAGCGAGTGGGGCTCCTGTGGTACGGGCTGCATGAGCCGCGCCCCGAGGTGCGCAAGGCGGCGCGGGCGCTGCTCGCCAAGTGGTTTGCGGAGGACGCGGGCGGGGATGTGGCTGTGCTTCTGGGGGCGCTGGGGCCGGCGGAGAACGCGGAGACGTGCCGACTGGTACTGGAGCAGCTGGCGGAGCTCAACCACTGGGACCCGCAGGTGGGGGGTGGTTAGAGAAACGCGGTTGGGGGAGCCCTTGCGTTGTTAGGAGCCCTTGCGTTTGGCGGGCTTGCGTTTACAGATGCTGCTGTCCTGGAGATGGCATGCTGCTTAGCCTGCCTCACAATCCGCTTGGCAGTCCTATAACTCGCTGCGTTGTGCATCTGCCTCCGTCCCGTGTTCACCGCACATAGAGCTGGCTGCGGGGTGCTGCTGCCTGCGGCAAGACCCCGAGGGCACTGGCAGCCGCCGTCCTGCCTCAACAGCACCTGCAACAGGACCCTGAGCAGCAGCAGGGTGGCGCCGATCTGAGTGACATGCAGCAGGCAGCAGCAGCAACCGGAAGCAGCGGTGGAGGTGCATTGCGGTTGGCTGGCGTGACCCCTGCTCTGGCCTTTGCCTGGGTGCATGCGTGCCGCCGGGTGGAGGAGGTGGCACTGGGTTGCGGCAGGGCGGCGGCGGAGAGGGTGGCGGCGGTGGCGGCACAAGTGGAGGCTAGCGCAGGAGCGCAGGCGGAGGCGGTAAGGCGGGGGCGCCGGGATACGGGAGCGGCGCAATGTGGCATGGAGGATGGAAAGGAAAACAAGGAACGGGGGGAGGGGTTGACGCGTTTAGATCCCTAAGGGTAGCCTTGCGGAGTGTAACCGGGAGCACCTCCCGCTGTTAAATGAGCGATGGGGACGCGCCACGGTGCTCACGGAGGGCAGGTTACAGCTGCTGCCTCACCTCCTTGCTGCGCCCTCCTGCCGCCGTGCTGCAGGTGCTGGACTCGTTCCTTCCGGGGGCACAGCAGATGGCGGAGCTGTGCCTGCGGGCGGCTGAGGCAGGTGTGTCATGGCAGGGGGGCTCTGGTGAAGTGACGGGCTAAGAACGGGCCCACATTACGTCGCAGACGCTCGTTCTCCGTTTTCCCTGAATGACCATGCAACCTTATACGGTAGCCTGGCAGACATTCTGTGTCCTGCCGTCCTGTCCCGGCAGTTAGTAGACCTTCGTGCGGCACTTCTCTACCGTGGCCCCCACCTCGTTAGCGACCACCTCCAAGCCCGTCCATACCGCTTCACTCTCCACCTTTCCACCTCAGGCCCCGCCCACCGCTACGTGGCAGCTCAGTTTCTGGAGCTGGCCTCGCTGTCTTGCATGGTAGGTTGGAGGCTGGTTGGGGTGGGGTGGGGTGGGGCAAAGCAGTGTAGCTACCCTACACTAGGCCGGGCGAGCGGGGCCTATCATCACTGGGTCAAGATGGACCGGCGCCCTAAGGCCGCCGTAAGTGTTGTTTGGCAATTACCCCTACAGTCGCAGGGCTAACGTGTCCCCCCGGGCATGCTCTTGTAGACGCCGCATGCAGCCCGTTTTGTTTGTTGGGGAAGACGATTGATTCGCCACACATAGCAACGTTCGGGTGTGGGGCCCCTTGCCGCTCCCCTCCCCGCCATTCCCTATCCCTATTAATCCCCGCCATTCGGGTGCCAGTGCCCCGCGCTCCCGTTCTCACCACTCTGCCTCCCTCCACCGTACTTGCTTGCCTTCCTGCACGACAGAACTGGGTGGACGCGTGCAGCCGAGCGACGGCGGCGCAGGTGCTGTGCGCCCTCATCACGCGCATCGCTAGGTGGGCGGCTGAGCGGGTTAAAAGGAGGGAAAACACTCCAAGCAATCATGTTACAGCTCGTTGTTTGAGCGGTACCAACTTTGTTAGCATGCGCCCTTTTCCACCATTGCAGCTCACAATTGCGCCGCGCATATCACCCTCTGACTGCAATATGACCCATTCCCCCACTGACCTAAGCCTGCCATGCAGCAAGCGACATCTGACATGTACACGCATACACACACCTTACACACTTATACCCCTCCCCCCCCCGGACAGACCTACCGAGCCCCACCTCGACGCCAGCGGTGCTCCCAGCAGCGGCCACCTGCCCCCGGTGTGCTGCGGCGGCAGCGGCGCCTGGGAGGGTGCGGTGCTGCGGTTCGCTGCCGCGGTGTTTGGCGGGGAGCAGCGGCTGGTAGAGGCGGTGCTGCCCTTGCTGCTGCGGCTGGCCCGGGAGGCGGGTGTGGCGGGGGAGCAGCCGGAGCGAGGTGGGGGCGGCGGGCCGGGGCTGGGGAATGGAGCATGAGGAGCTTTACGCGAATAGGCCCTTGGTGGTTGGGGTAATAGCGTTTATGGGATCCTTGGGTATCTCCAACTTCCCTGCCCTGCTGCAACATCCCTTTCCGCCCGCTCCCTTCGCAGGCCCCGCCGCTCCCCTGCTGCAGGTGCTGACCTACCTGCACCTGCTCATGTCGGCGGCGGGACCCGCGGTGCCGCCCTCGGCCCGCGTGGAGCTGCCGGCTGGAGCGCCAGGGGACGAGGCCCTGCATGACGATGGTGCTGCTGCAGGCGGCGACGCTGGTGCCAGCGGCAGCCATGGCAGTGGCAGTAATAGCCGTGATGCTGGCAGCCGTATTTGGGCGGTGGGCGGCGAGGGCGGCTGCGTTTCGCTGCTGCAGGTGGCGGACCGACTGGCCTGGAGCACCGCGGCGGGACACCCCTCGCCTGACGTGCGGTGGGTCGTGTGAAGGCCTGCATGCGGGGGGGTTCAAAAACGCATGGGTTTTGCATGAGGATTCCGTGATGGGTGATACACCATGGGTGAGCTTTGTGCCGTTTGCGGATACCGGTACCGGGATCCGGATGCCCGCCCTCTCCATCACTTCCCCCGTCCTCCTCCTCCTCCTCCTCCACCTCCTCCTCCTCCCGCAGTGCCGCGGCGGTGCGCTGCCGCGTCGTCCTCTGCCTCCGCGACGGCGGTCTGGAGCAGCTCCCGCGTGCCATCACCCTGCTCGCCCCCCTGCTGCCACTACCCGGCCTAGACCAGCCCGAACCCCAGCACCAGCAGTCCCCAGAGGAGCAGCAGCGGCAGCAGCTACCCCGGCGAGCGGCGCTGCAGGGCCTTATAGACCTGGCGCTCACGTGGGGCGAGCCGAGCGTGTCGCGGGAGCTGGCGGCCGCGGTGGCGGCGGCGGCGCGGCGGCGGGGGGTGGATGCGGTGACGGCGCAGCTGGCAGGGATGGACATGGAGGTGGAGGGAGAGGAGGGGGAGAGGAAGGGCGCGGAGGAGGAGGAGCGCGCAGGAGCAGCAGGAGCAGGAGGAGGACAGCCGGGGGTGGCGGATGCTGCTGGTGTGGTGCCCATCCTGCTGAAGCTGACCGAAGGGGTGGTCAGGAGGCTGCAGGTGACGCGGACGGCTGGGATGCGGGTTCCCTGGGGTTATTTCCATGCCTTAATTTAGAGCTCGTATACCCTCAAATACAGCGCGAGACACTACTATATGAGCGGTTTCACACCTGACCTCCTCCTCCGTCCCGTTGTTGCCGCTGCTCGCAGGGCTCCGACTCGTATGTGCCCGCTCGCGGTCTGGCGCATGATGCGCTGCTGGGGGCGCTGCGCCTGCTGCACGCCTGGTCCTTCCACCGCCGACTGAGCGGCAGGCTGCGGCACCAGCCCGTGTCAGCCATGCAGGCAGGTCGCAGGATGCGTTCGCTGGAAGGGTGGGGGGCCTGTTCCTCGCCCGGCACGTTCCCCTGTCATATGGAGGGCTTCGAGGCTCGGATTAGGACCCTTGGGTTCATGCCGTTCTTGGTCCTGCCGTCCCCTCCATGTCCGCTTCACGGACGATCACAAACCACAGTAATTCCCTTCCAAGCGTTCTTTAGTTCACCTTACCCACCTCACCTACCCGTTCCCCGCCCCCCTTCACCCCGCCTCACCACTCCCCACTCCTCCCGCAGCCCGCCCAGGCCGAGCAGCTGCTCACGCGCCTGCTGCTAGCCCGCCTGAGCCCCGCCCTGGAGGAGGAGGCGGCGCTGCGGGCGCAGCTCTCCGCCTTCTTCAAAACCTTCAAGGTAGGGGGTGCAGGGGGGCGGAACCGTGCGATAGCACCAACACAGCACCCTTCCGTCCTGCCTTGCGTCAACACCCTCTTACACCCACTATCCTGCCCGAACCCCTCAACTCTCCCCCCTTTCCCCCAGGACGCGGCCTCCGCTGCGGGCCCCGAGGGTGCGCTGCACCGGCGGCTGCTGGCCGGCTCCTTCATGCGCGCCGCCCGCTGCGCCATGGCTCTGCCGGCGCCCGCGGGGTCCGCCGCCACCGCCCGGGGGTGCGCCGCGCCCGCCGTCATGGAGTTTGCTGCGGAGGTGCTGGTGGCTGCGGCAGTGGCGGCGGCTGCGGCGGAGGCGGAAGAAGGTAGGGTGGCTAGGGTAATAGGATTCCTGCGGTGCTCCGAGAATTGGGGACCGAGAATTGGGTTGGGGCAATTGTTGTACACTTAACGAAACCCCATGGGACAAGTCCTAACTGTCGCGTCCTCGTCAACGGACGTCCGTTGTGCCCAACTATCCCGATCCCTGTGCAAACCCTGCCATACCCCATCTCCAGGTCAGACCAACAACGAAGACCCAGACAGCGATGCCAACGCAGATTCCGCTGCGGCCGGTCCCTCTGCTGCTGCCGACGGCGCCCCTGCATCCGCGGCCTCCGACCCCTGCGGGTGGCTGTGCGAACTGGTGCTGGAGGAGGTGGTGCGGCTCGCCTCCCCGGGCAGTGGCTCGCTGGACCTGCGGGAGGGGCCGGTGCGGGCGTATGCGGCGGAGCTGTGCAAGGTGGGGAGCGGAGGGGTGGAGGAGGGGACGGGATGGAGGTGGGGAAGGTGGCCAGGTGTTGTAGAGGGCTATCGCATCGGGCTGGAACAATGGGTGGAGGGGAATTTGAAAGCTGCGAGCATGGGCACGAACCCGAGGTGGGAGGCGGATGGTGACGCAAGCCTCGTGGAGGCTGTGCTGTCCTGGGCGCCCTCCAGTCCTCTTGCATGCGTCCTCTCAGCGCACGGTAGCCCCTGCCCTCCTTTTCCGCCCATACCGTATACTTGTCCCCCGCTCCTTTCCCTCACCTTTCACCATATGGAACAAATCACCCATGCAGACTCCCATGCGCCTGCTGGCCGGCCTCTCCGCGTCGCTTCCCGCTGCCCCCGCTGCGGCTGCGCCAGCCGTCCCCTCGCCCGCGGCAGCTGCTGCTGCCGACGCGGCACTGTGCACCATCCGACGTCTTGTCTACTTCGGTCGGCGCGCGGTGACTTCGGCGGGTCAGGACCTGGGCGGGGTGGTGCCGGACACAGCCTACAAGAAGCTACAGGTGGGGGTGAAAGGGGCGCGGGTGTGTGTTCGGGGATGGACATGCGTGAAGGACGATGCAATGCCTTGTCCATGCCATGCCAAGTCTGGCCTGTGCCAAGATTTTACCTAACATGTTTCGCATCTTCCTCGCGTCTCCTCCTTCGTATCTCAGGAGTTTGTGAAGGAGGTGGAGGCGCTGCAGCAGGGCAACACGGCCCCGCTCTCGGAGCAGGATGCGGCGCCCCTCGTGCAGGTGCGGGGTTAAAAGGCGATGTTAGTGCACGGTGCAACGCACGCTTTGATGTCATGCACTCAGGCTGGCGACAAGATCTGTAACTTCTCCCCATCCGCAGCGCGGCCTCCAGCACATTCCTGTCCTTCAAATCTTATCATCATTTTACTCATCACCCCTCGCCGGCCCCATCCTCCACCCAGGCCCTGCTAGCCCAGCTGGACGGCCTCCCCTCCCTGGAGGACGTGCAAGCGCCCCTCCCGCCGGATGAGAGCTGGGACGCATCGGATGCCGCCGCCGCGGCTGCTGCGGGCGGTGCGGGTGCGGCGAAGCGGGGCGGAGGTCGGGGCAGTCGGGCAGGTCGGAGCGCAGCGGCCACAACTTCCGGACGCGGTGGTGCCAGAGGACGGTGCGTGACTGCACGTGTTCGGAACGCAGTATGCAGGCGTGATGCGTTGTGTATGGACTGGCTTCCTTTTTCACCTGTGGTTCGCAGCTCTACCCAACCGACGGTTCTATCCGCTCTCCCCAACCTGACCTTCTCATTTCCCGCCATCCGCAGGGGCCGTGGTGGCGCCAAGGCCTCCGCCTCCGGCCGTACCTCGGGTCGCGCCTCCTCCCGCCGCACCAAGGATGCGGACAGCGACGATGACGATGCGGACAACGACCAGGACTCTGCCGACACATCGGGGTCCGAACGCGAGGCTGCAGCAGCACCACCCAAGGCTCCTGCGGGTGCTGCTGCAGGTCGCAGACGTGCCGCTCCCGCCTCCTCCTCCCGGACCGCCGCCGCGACTCGGGGCGCGGCGCCCGCCTCTGCCTCCCGTCCCGCTGCCTCCCAGGACTCTGGTCTCACCGCACCTGGCTCCGCGACAGGTTCGGTTTCGGGCGCCGCTTCCACGGTGGCGGGAAGGACCACCACAGCAGGGGAGGCGGCGGCGAGTCAGGGGGAGCAGCGGCGGTCGAGTCGCGCGGCCGCTGCCAAGGCTGCTGCGAAGCTGCAGCGTTTGAGTGTGCGGGATGATGGTGGTGGTGCGGGAAGTGGTGGGGAGCGGGATACGGGCAGCGATGAGGATGGGGGTAGCATGGTGCGGAGGGCACGGGTGCGGGTCAGGAGCTGAGGGAGGAGCAACAGGAGGGACAGGGCGCCAATGCGCTGCGTGTGTTCGTGCTGTTGATTGAGGCTCCACCTCGTGGTGACAGCAGCTGGAAGTGGGGGCAGCGCGGAGCCTAGGAATTAGGGCAGGGGACGTAACAGCGTGTGGGTAGTATCTCGGCATGACATGGGAACTATCGGGATTCTCGGTGATTTGCAGCTCCGTAGATAGATGGCGTGAATAGCAGTAATGAAACACCCACAGTGTTCAAGTCCAGCCATTACGCAGGACGTCCACGCCAACAGGTGTCATCACATGTAATCACCCCGGACATGGAATGGAGACCCTGGATACAAAATGCACTGTATCTGCACCACCGCGCCTCCCGTTGCACGTTCGACGGACCCACGGGTCTATCACAGCTTCTAAGGGACAAAAGGAAGGACCCCACCTAAAAGGACCAACCAGTATTTCTTCACCAAGTCATCGCCCACCAGGACATGCGTTTGACATGCTTGCATACAAAGCTCGCATACATGCATGGCCATGATTAGGTCTTCACTTCTCTTCGTGCATCCCAAACACAGGTCCAATCACATCGACTAAGTGACCTCTCACGCTTGCTTGCCTACCACCTGCATGCACGCCTCAAGTCACGGCACCCACAATGATGAGTGAGCACGGCATACGCCATGCAACATAGGCACGGATCAGGCAAAGCCCACTTGCAACCACACCCGTAATCACTTTGGACCATAGAAGGCAGAAACACAGCGACAAAAGGCTACGTTTATAAGGGCCTTCAGCAGGGCCCGCATTGCCGAGTCGGAATGGGTTCAAAGGGGTATGAAATACGGTACGGCACTTCATGGAAACAACGTCCAACCCCAACGAGGGCATGAAAATACTGCGTAACATGCTATACCCGGCTCGCACAGATCAGTAAAACACAGCGTGCAGTCACAACCCTGGCGGGCTGAAACGCCGCACGCTTCACAACTCAAATGTTCATACAACAACCAACACAACGACAACGGCAACAGCGGACAGACAAAAGGAACAGCACCAGTACCAATCCCGCTTGCATGCAACGGACATGTTCATTACGTTTTCTGTCAGTACCTTCCATTATGGAGAAGCGCTTGAATGCGTTGGGAGTTAACAGGTCATTAATGCGGTCAGTCACTTCTGGACTAAAGTTAATGCGCTCCGATGCGTTTCATTTTCAAAATAAATTACGGGGTTTGCAGCACAGGCCTTCCTCCACCCATCGTTCCCTCTTGCCTTTCCCACCGTCTCCCATCACCCGCCCTGCACCCGCCCTGACACCCGCTGCTGGCACCCCTCGCAGCCGCCAAGGGCCGCCTGCCCTCCTCCCCTCCTCCTCCCCCTCCTCCTCCCCCTCCTCCTGCTGCCTCCCATACCACTCTCGTCCCCCACCTACCCTCCTCCTCCTAGGCGGTAGGGTCCTGCGCCGGCAACACCGCTGACAGCTGCATCTGCAGCTGCGGCTGCTGCGCTTGTGCGGCCAGGAACGGCGCTGGCACCCCGCTCGCTGCGGCCACCATCGAACCAGCCATCATGACCAGACCCGCGCCCTCCTTGCCCCCATGCGCCGAGCAGGAGGAGGAGCCGCCCACACTGCCGCCGCCCCGCCCGCCCCCGCCCCCGCCCGCTCCCAGCCGTCTGCCCCGCAGCACCGCTAGCACCAGGTCCGATGCCTCGATAACTGGCAGCATGATGCAGACCGCGGAGGCCACAATACCCCACACCATCGCAACCATCACCCAGAACCTGAGGACGGGGAAAATGGGTTCATTTAAAACTGTGCGAGGTGCGAGGCAGTGAGTCGGGGGGAGGTAACATGCAGTGATGTGGCCCAGCTCAGCTCAGCTCAGCTCAGCGCCGCGGTAACCCGGCTTGCGAACCTGGCTTGCTGAATCTCAGGCCGTACGGCTTCGCAAAAGGTTTACCGGTACATAACTCCTTCCCTCCCCCCTTGCCGTCCCCTGGTTCTCCCTGCCGTCTCTGCCTCCCTGCCTCCCCCGCTCACGTGAAGTATTCCTGGCTAAACACCCGGGCCGGCAGCGCCAGCAGCGGCCACAGCAGCAGCAGGAGCAGCGTCAGGATGCCGGCGGTGGCCCATGTGAAGCGAACAACCTGGGGAAGAGGGTTGGGGGTTGGAGGAGCGTGTGAGGAGAGGGAGAGCGGGGATGTGCGGGTTTGAGAGCAGGAGAGCGGTCGGAGGGCCTGACAGGTAGCCGCTGCCGTGAGCCTGAGGTGAAAGCCGCCGCAGCAGCAGCAGCAGCAGCACTGCAGCAGTTTAGGCAGCGTCAGCAACATTACCTGCAGCAGCAGCAGGAAGAGGGTGCGACAGGAGGCGGAAAGTGCACCACAGCAGGTTCGGGCCACAGCGCCCGCGTGTGCTCACGGTGCCCCAGTTGCCGCCCGTCACCGCCCCCTGCCCCTTCCTTCCGCCCCGCTCACCTTGTTGAGCGCCTCGGGGGAGTCCTCGCCGTCAAAGTTGTTGGGGTCGGAATTGGGGTCGGACTCGATGACCGGAATGTTGCGCAGCTCCGCCCAGTCGAAATCCTGCGGTAGTAGTAGTAGGGGTGGTGGCGGTGGGTGTGTTGCGGGTGTGGGGTGTTTTGGGGCGGCAGGATCGGCATGCATGGTAGGTAAGGTGGCGCGGAGATGACAGCAGTTGGGAACAGCTGGGGATGCCAAGAAGAGGAATGCCTTGCGGTTTTCGGCAATTAACTTCTTCCCCTCCGATTCCCTTAAGGTAGGAGGCTACCTCCTCCAACATGCGTTTCGGCAAGTCCGCTAAACCCCACACCTCAAGTCCGGGACTCTCACCTGCGGAAAAATGTACGACAGTACGACACACAGCGCCATCGAAAAGAACAACGCCACCAGGTTGCCTGCCAGCATGGGGTAGTCCTGGCCCGTCGTGTCCAAATTAAGCACTCCATCATTCAGTTTCGCGGCCGTTATTAACCACGTCGCAATTGCCAACGGTGATGTAACGACCGCCGACACGCATGCAGCTGTTGCGGAGCACTTTGACCAAGTCAAAGATGCCGCAATCGGAAAAACCGCGGATCCAATCAGGATCCCCATGACCATGTAAACCCAGCTAAGTGGCACGTTTAATTTAAGGAGAATCACGGCGATGATCCCGGAAAAGATGGCGTATACGACGACCATGATGCGTTGCAGCCGAATCATGCGCCTGCCGTCGGCGTTGCGGTTGATGTAGGGTTTGTAGATGTCGTAAGCCACGATGGTTGCAACCGCCATCTGCTCCGCGCAGGCGGTGGAGGTGACGGCCTGTGGGTAGGGGGCGTACCATCACGGTTGTGATGTGACTGCGGCGGCGGTGAGTGCTGCTGCTGCTGCTGGTGGTAGTTAGTACAGTGCCTATAATCCATCATCCTAGTTGGTCCGTTGGATGCATACCGCCAGTCACTACAGGTTACCGGTACCTTTCCTTTCCTCCTGCTCCACCCCCCAGCCTCCTCTCGCCCCTCTCCCCTCCCCTCACCCCTACCATGAACAGCTGCAGCGTCATGAGGAACGCGCCGCCCCGCCCCATCAGGTGCACCGCCAGCGCTGGGGGCACCAGCCCCCGGTTGGCCTCCAGCCGGCTGATGGGCAGGTCCAGGGCGCGCGCGCCCAGCCCCATGGTGGTTGCGAATGTGAAGGGGATGGCGAACCAGCACAGCCCACCCAGCAGGTAGCCGCGGTAGGTGGCGGAGGGCTTGGCGGCGATGGCTCCCTGCCAGTAGGACTGGTCCACGAAGACGGTGCCGAAGTTGCCTGGCAGCAGCGGGGAGGACAGGAGGGCAAGGGAGAGGGGAGGGGAGGAGGAATGGTGGAGAGAGGAGCGCAGGGAAGGGGATATGGTAGGGTCGGCCGTGGCTAAGGTGGGGGATTGGGGAAAGCAAGGAGAGCAGCGGGTGCAGCGTAAGAGTAATGGGAGAGAAGATAGGGGTTGGAGTTGGGGTTTGAGGCTCTTAGCTGGCGCATCATCCGAACCGTGTTTAGGATGGCTGTACCACACATGCATCCATCTGCATATGCACGCCCCGCGCTCCCAACCCAATCCAGCCCAACCCGCCCTCGCTCCCTCTCACCCACGATGTTGATGATGCCGAATATCACCCCCGACTTGCTCAGCAGCGTCACGTACGAGCCGCCCGCATTGTCCGCCACCGGGTGCTTCGCCTCCACCGCGCGCAGCCGCAAATACACCGTGGCAATGCTGCCCAGGTCCCGGTGCGTCGCATACACCTGGAACATAAACACCAACAACGCGATGTACACCACACACACATTCAGCCACTCCGCAACCACCGTGCCCTTCAGCCCCCCCACCGCCGTGTAGACCATCACCCCCGCGGGAATGAGGAAGGAGGCCGCATACACAGACACGCCCGACAGCGCCTCGATCACCGCCGCGCCGCCCAGGATGAGCATGGCGGTGACCACCAGGTTGGTGAGGAAGGCGTAGGCGCTGAAGAGCAGGTGCGCGGGGGTGCCCCAGCGGCAGCGGATGATCTCCAGGAAGGTGTGGATGGTGGGCGCCTTGCGCTTCACCTCCACGGCCAGGATGGCGAACAGCAGCACCTGCACGGTGGCGCCTGGGCGGGGCGGGGAGGGGGGGGGCAGAGGAAGGGAGAGGGGAGGGAGAGGTGGGGGTCAGAGGGAAACCAAGGTGGGGAGGATGGACGAGGAGGGGTGGCTCGGCCCCCGGCCCCCCAGGAGGCTTTCCGCCGGCCTCTTACATGCTGTAACCCCTACCGTCTGGCCCATGCCCGCGGCTCGTGTGCCAGCCTCAGGCTCGGCTGTGGTAGCTGGCCTTACCCGCGTGGCTTGCTGCGAGTGGGCCCCCTTGCGAGGCCGCTCTATGGGTGTGTGTCAGCTGAACCTGCCATTCCACTCTGCATATACGCGATGGGGGCTGCCGAGCCTCTGTTGCCCTACGGCACTGCGCCTGGTGCCGCCTATCCTCACCCTCATCCCCAACCCCGAAGCCGCCCGGCAGCAGCTGGATGGGCGCAGCAGGCCGCCTAGGGCGCCCCATCACTTACTCTGGTAGCGCAGGCGGCCATGTAATACATGTGGCCGCAAGTGCGTGCGCCGGTGTAGGGTTGGTTGCGGAGTTGGAGCGGGGTAGTGCGGGTGGGTTTGTGCTGCTGGCTTTGGTGCGCGTCTGGGAATTCCGTGTGAGTTGGGAGCTTTTGCGAGCAGCGGGGTTAAAGCATGTAACGGAAAACTACGCCGTGACGGCTTGCAAGCGATAGGACCTGTATCCCATGCAAGGGGCGCACCCCATGCCACTCTTTATGCCCCGCGGCACCCGGTTCACATGCGACAGGACCCTCGCCCCTTTCCCCCATGCCCCAGGTAACTGATGTTCGCCTCCTGGCTTGCTTAATGCCTTTGTCCCCTCCGTATATACTTGGGTAATTGCCGCCTCTATTGGGCGTTTGCTCCACCCCTAGAAACCTGTGGGGAGCCCTGCATCGGTTGTGCGGCGGTGGCGTCAGCAGGCTGCCTAGCTAGCAGCGGGCATCTCCCGGATTGTGCTCATGTAAGGTGCCTCGAGACTGTAAGGTCTCGTGCACTTCTGATTTAGAGCGGACTTCCCGTCTGCAGCTGACAGACCCCGGATCCAGATGGATCCTTGTCTCGCTGCTGGTAATGATATAATTTTTACGTGCTACCAATCCCAACACCTATTTACCCTTTTTTCATTCAAATACCTTCTTATTCCTGACAAGCCTCATCAGGGACAAGACGAACGCCAAACATACACTTTAGCGACGGCATCCAGGCCGTCTTATGCCATTTAATGCAACGAGGTATGATATTGTTGCAACAGAAAATGAAGAAATGCCAACTGGAAACATGCTACGCCAGGCGGGGCTTGCAAGGATGAGCTACACCGGAAGCGACGCCGAATAGCGCAGGCGGGCACAGTCATACCGAGCTGTAAAGAACTTCCGCCTATGCTGATCGAATATCGAGCATCTTCCCAGCAGTCTGGCGGTTCCGCCAAGCGCGTTGGCATGAAGCCCATGCCTTGTGGCTGCGGTTCTCGGGGCAATTTGCAGGCTGCTGTAGCAGTTCTGTTGCACAATGTGGAATGCAACGGAGCGCTGCTGGAACTTAACCGGCCGAAGCGGCGGAAAGTCGCCTCAACGCCTGGCATTGCATCGGTTACCGAGGGCTTCAGGCACTCGCAGACTGGGTCTGGGGCGGCGCAGGAGTCTTTGGATGGAGCTGCTGTGCAGATGGAGTCAGGGGATGGGGTATCTAATGCATCTCCCTCCCCAGCCAATTTTGCGGATTGCATAACCGCTGCATGGGCACGAGGTGGCAGGGTTCGGTGGCGTCCGGAAGATGTACAGGTGGGGGCACCATGAGGGGATGCCTTGCAACTTATCGTGGGCACCCACGCGCGGATACACCTTTGCAGGTCCTGCTGGCCCACCTGGCCTCTCTTCCCCCGGGTGGCCGCACCCTTGCTACCCGGCGAGCCATGGAGAAGCTGGGTTAGTAATTAATGAAAGGGTAGCCGAGCAACTCACGTAATCTGCCATATGAGTTCATAATAAGCTTGCATAGGCGAAAGAGCATTTACGGCGGGTAGGGAATTCAGGACCGTCCGTTTCTTACAGGAATAGCCCACTTGCCAGACCCGGACCACAAGCTCTTTAATGCTATCAACCTTAAGATGTGCATCATTCGCAACAAGCTGGCGCACGGCCGAGATCCTCTCGCAGGTGAGCAGCTGTTAAATGATTGACCGTTACGTGATTTCAAACCGGAAGGCAAGGGAACATAAGAAACATAGCGGCCTGCCGATTCAGGAACATCCTACTGTTCATTTCCTGTTTACTCTTATCCAGGAGATACCGCGCCCAGGGCTCCCCATGGCACATACAACTTCAGGGTAAGCCGTGGTACGATAGCTCCAAGCTTATGTGGCATATTCGGCCCCTACCTAAGCTTGCAAAGCTGTTGCTACCTGTGCTGCAGGCCTGGTTCGAGCAAGCTTTCTTAGCGCTGCCGAACCACGAGGTGAGTTGTCTCACGCAGGGTGCCTAGTAAGGCTTGCAGTGGATGGAAGTCCGTAAACGGCATGGCACTCATGTATATGAGGCTGATTGGCGCCTTATCCTATACGCGTCTACCTGTATCTATGGTCCTAGCCGTTTGTTGTACTGACGCAGGGCGACGTTGACTGCAGGGCACGGTGGCTGAGGTCGCAGCAATCCTAGACGCAGATCCTGAGATTTCCCGCAAACTGGACAAGAGGCGAGTCACCTTACTTCTTGTGATTTGCTATTTGTCCAGAGCACCCGCAGAGCCTTTCTTTTAAAGAAGTGTTTGTAATTACAGGCCAGAACCCCGCTACCAGGACACCGCCATGTGGCAACTCCAGCTTATGCGTTTGGCCTCAAGGTACGGCAGGTCCGTAGCTGGAGGCATCCAGGGACACCCATCTGTCCAACATCCAAGTGCAAAGCGGGCTGCTTTGTGCAGGTACCCGGAGATCGTGAACACGGGACGGAAGCGCGGCAGGAGTACGATTTACCGCTACGATGAAGAGGTGTGTGCACCCATTTTGGCTTCGGTTTTCCGGTTCTCTCAAGAGTCCACCTAGCCTTGTGGCTTTGCTGTCAGTCGGGGCCCATGTGCTCAACTCGGCCCATGTGAATTTAGGCATGGAGGTTGCCGAACTGTTGCGCTTTGACGCGTCACTGCCATTCGGGCCGGTCCTTTTGACACCCTATGCCCGTCTGCTCCTCGAATGCACCGCGCATACGCACCCCCCCCCACCACCAACTCCTACCCCCATTGTTTTGCCCTAACTTGTGGTCTCCTATGTTTTGGTATGGTCTTTGACCCCCCCCACCACCACAGGTGGCCCGGCAGCTGGGCGAGCGTGGCAAGGCCCCCAAGGGTCCCAAGCGCCGGGTAGCGCACATGGGCAAGCGGGGAGACGCAAACTGAGGAGAGATGAGGCCGAACAAGGTCATGCATGGCTGGCTGAGAGTGGGCCCTCTTGCGAGGGCGCCCTAGGAAGTGTCCGCCATTGCACTCTGATCTTACGCAATGGGTGTTGCCGAGCCCCTGTCCTACCGCCTGGCGCCGCCCATCGCCGCCAGGCCGGCATGGTGTAACACCCACATGTAGCTCCAGGTAACTGCTTGCTTTTTTTCCGATGTGGACTGTTACAGAGGAAGGACAGGAAGACCACCAAAGAACCAGAGGAGGAGAAAACCACTGGAAACTTGCTGCCTCATGGTTCATTGAATATGTTGATACCGTCTACATGCTTGCAAAGTTGCCGCCCCTAAATGGGTGACTACGCTATGCTGAGAGACATGTGGGGAGCCCTGCACCGGACCTGCGGGGATGACGACAGCAGGCAGCTGAGCGAGCGAGGGGTGGAGGCCTCTCATACTGGAGTTGCGGTTTCAGAGCCTTGACACTAAAAGGAAAATGATGAAGTGGGATCCGTATTCCGTCAAAGGGGGTCATATGTGATTAGTAGCGGACCTCCCGTCTGCAGCTGACAGACAACGGATCCGGTGGATCCTTGTTTCGGCCGACTGTAATCCAGGAACGTATGCTGCTGCTAGTACCAAAGTCTATTTACGTTTTCTTGTTCATGTACCTCGTTGTTCCTGCCAAGCCTCGTAAGGATTAAGCCAACTGCCGAGCGCAAACTCCAGCGACGGCATCCAGGCCGCCATAAGATTATTCACAAAGGCAATATAGCGTTGCCGTGTATTACGAAATAGAGGCAAATGCAAACACAAAATGTTGAGACGTCAGGCGGGGATGAACAACATCGGGAACAACTCCGGATAGCGCAGGCGTGTACAATCATACCGAGTGGCAAAGCCGTCCACGCTGGGTCTGTGCGAATTGGAACTCAACCGCCGTCCCAGCAACCCGGCGGTTCCGCCAAGCGCATAGTCGTGAAGTCCGTGCCTTTTGGCCGCGGTTCTCAGGAAAAGCTGCAGGCTACTGTAGCAGTCCTACTACACAATGTACACTGCAACGGAACGCTGCTGCAACTCAACCAGCCGAAGCGGCAAAAGATAACCGCGACATATGGCCTGGCACCGGTTACCGATACCGAGGGCCTCATGCACCCGCAACTTGGGTCCGGGGCGGCGCAGGCGTCTTGGGATGGGTCTGCTGTGCAGATGGAATCAGGGAGTGGGGTCCCAAAGGATTCTCCCTCCCCAGGCAACCTTGCGGACTACATAACCGCTACACGGGCGCGAGGTGACCGTATTCGGTGGCGTCCGGAAGATGTACAGGTGGGGCCTTATGAGGGGGGTGCCCTGTAACCTATCGTGGGCACAACACGTTTCCTACGAAGGGCGGATAAATTTTTGCAGGTCATGCTGGCCCACCTGGCCTCTCTTCCCCCGGGTGGCCGCACCCTCAAGACCCGGCAAGCCATGGAGAAGCTGGGTGGGTGATGAGTGAAAGGATAGCCGGGTAACCAACGTAATCTCCTGCATCAGTTGGAAAATAGTGAAGCTAGCAGAAGCGAGCGAGCGCTTCTCGGCCGGGGAAGAGTCCAGGTTTGTCCGTTTCTTGCAGGTATTGCCCACTTGCCTGACCCGGGCCACAAGCTCTATACTTCTTTTAACCTGAAGCTGTGCATCATTCGCAACAATCTGGCGCACGGCCAAGACCCTCTCGCAGGTGAGCAGCTGTTTCTGTTAACAAGGACAACCCGTCAATCTTAAAAATCAGCTTTCTACTTAATTTCTGTTTACCGGTGTCCAGGAGGTGCCGTAGCCAAGGCCCCCCGTGACACATACAACTTTAGGGTAAGCCCTGATGCGTTTGATCCCAGCAGATGTTGCATGTGAATACGGATTGGGCCCCTCCCTAAGCTTACACACCTGTTGCTACCGGTGCTGCAGGCCTGGCTCAAGCAAGCTTTGTTAACGCTGCCGAACCATGAGGTGGGTTGTCCCGTGCAGGGCATTTAGTAAAGCTTGCAGTGGGCGGCAGACCGCATTTGACATGATACTCATGCACATCGGTATCATGACTAAGGTTTCATTCTCAGTCTTTCGCATGGCCTATGGCCTTAGTCGTTAGTTGATCTAACCCAAAAGTGACCTTGACTGCAGGGTACGTTGGCTGATATCGCAGCGATTTTAGACGCAGATCCTGAGATCTCCCCAAAACTGGACAGGAGGTGGGTTACTTATTGCGGTGTAAGGCTTTATTAGTACCGGTAGTGACACTTCCCAAACAACCTTTGGATTGTGATTGCAGACGAGATCGCCGCTACCAGGACAGTGCCATTTGGCGGTTGCAGCTTTCGCGTGCGGCATTCAGGTACGGCAGGTTCCATAGCTGTGGGCAGGGACACCCATCTGTTCAACATCGAGTTCAAAGCGGGCTGCCCTGTGCAGGTACCCGGAAATCGTGAACTCGGGACAGAGGCGCGGCAAGGGCACGATCTACCGCTACGATGAAGAGGTGTGTGCTTCGGCTCTTTCAAAGCTGTGCATTCAAGTCAGTCGGGGTCAGTGGCATGCAGTTCCGCTATGTTTGCGCCTCAGGGTCATAGCTGGACACTCAGTTCGGCCCGTGTGGATTTAGGCATGGAGGTTGCCCCACGGTTGCGCTTTACCGCCTACCCAACGCGCTTTACGCCAACAATTGGGTCAGCCTTCGTGACCGCCTTTTGCGCTCACCTGCTTCTAATGCGCCGCGCATGCGCACCCCCCCACCACCACACCACACTTTGGAATTTCTTTTTCCGCACCACCACAGGTGGCCCGACAGCTGGCCGAGCCTGGCAAGGCCCCCAAGTTTCCCAAGCACCGGGTGTCGCACCTGGGCAAGCACGGAGACGCCAACTGATGACAAATGCTTTTCCAACAAGGTTACCCTTTACCCTCACCTGGCAACACCTCCCAACCCAGCCCACCACCCCGACTTGACCCCACCTCACCTGCCGCGTACCAGAAAGGCCCCGCCACTCCCAGCGTGTAGGCCACATTAGCGGACTGCAGCAGCGTCGCAGCCCAGGTCCATTTGGCCACCACGTCACACGCGGTCAGCCCCGCCTTGATGCTGCGGCCGGCGGTGGAGAAGCTCTCCGAGTCACGGCCGAAGCCACCGAACTTCCTGAGAGGGAGAGGTCCGCGCGGCTTGTTGGAAAGGAGTCGTGATATTGGCGGAGGAGGGGAAACTCGACCGAAACTGTTGAGCGACTGCGGTAATGGCGAACGAGCGTGGCACGTGTTGCACGTGGGTGATTGTTACTGCGGAACGTCTAAACTTTGTGCCGGGCAGCGAATACACAGTGCTCGCGTCCCCTTAGATCAGTCCGTGGATTTACGTTGGCGTCCATGAGGCCATGCTGGAACCTGGTACGGGTACTCTGCTATGCTGAATGTCTCAACATGGAGGAGGTTCGCTCCTTACCTGTCAAGCCACACTAAAAGGGTTGGAATACAAGCGAAAACGGCGCCCAATCCGACCAAAATAAACCAGCCAAGCCCCTCCGGCAGCACCGCTGGTCCTATAAGCAAGCGAAAAAAACGGGTAAGAAAAGTGACCTGGCTTACCTGCATCCTATTTTCACTACCTCACCTGTACCAAAAAACTCGCATCTTCCATTGTACTGGGTAAGTCCAAACAGGTTCTTACAGGCTGAGGACATGGCCCATTCGCTCGCTAGGCTACGCGACAGCAGGCCCCTGTGGGCTAGTGTAAAAGCGCTCTTGCGCACATGCCAGACTTAATAATCATGTTTGGACGATTCTTCCTTGCCCACTTGTAGTTCGCATCCTGTTCACACATGGCCGCAGGGTAGCGTAACTCCAGTTACAACTGACCTAAGGATATGTTGGTTGATTAACTAGTACCCGGTACAATATAGCTTGCATATGCCTTTATAAAGTGCACATTAGGCAACACATTGCCATGTACCGGTATGCAGTACACATGCGTGGCTTGCCGCAGGCCCCGTAACAACGGCATGTTACATGCCAGCCTAGAGTGTCCTTTGAAGTTTACTAAGCGCAAACCAGCATGGGACTGGCACTGCTATTCTGTGGGCACTGTGTAGTTCTTCTGGCCAAGCGCGGCATGCCAACTCCTTTGAATGGGGCAATAGCATGTGCTGAGCTGCCGCAAAGTAGCCAGACATCCGAGTTGCCCCCGCCCAGCCTGACCTGGCCTGGCCCCTAAGCCCGAAGGTAGGAGGAACACAACCCGAAATACAGCAACCGATTACTAAGAGACCCGTAACACAGGGCAGGCATTGCAAACAACCCTTGCCTAATGAGGATATCAAAGCTCTGGGGCCCGTTGCAATCGCCATTTTCCCGTGCCGTCATGTCGCTTTACACTGACGAGCGGAGGCAAACGGAATTTGCGGGACGTCTGCTGCAAACCGAATCACACAGAGCCTCATCCCAGCAGGCATACAGGAGCCCGAGGGCTTTCACTTACTATTCCTCCTACGTACACCGTACACCCCCTTATGACCATATGGGCAGCATCGACCACAGCGATGTCTGTTATCTTCACCACACGGGGGCCACCACATGAGGACCACGACATGTGCGCCGACCAAGGAACCGGCCCATATGAAAAGATCGTCTGCAGGGGGAGGAGAGAAGGCACTTGGGCCGTAGAGCCCATACCACGGCACAACATGACACAGCGTCGAAGTCCTGTCAGAGTCGTTAGGGGTTCCTGTAAGCTGTAACTGTCCACACATGTGAAATACGGTAAGCCAGCATTACACCAATGCAACCTCTGCCGTCAACTAAATAGCCCACAGCGCTCACTCCATCCAAAAGATGATTTATGCCCAAACCACAAAAAGCAATAAAACGCCGTTTCCAACATACCCATATGCTATGCCTGTACATGACATCAAAACCAGTGCCACAATCAACCAGCACTCTCACCGTCGGCACGATAACGCTACCACCCAAGCCTAAGTCGTGCACCCAAGCGAGCAAAGCCGCCGGAGCCTCCCCATGCATCCAACCCCACCACCCTATCCGGCGGTGTCCTTATCCATTGCGCCTTGCACTTAAACACACACAGTAAATGGTAGTAGTTGGCCTATGCGAACACTAAACATCCCGCCTCAACCCCAACAACCCCCCCGGGGCCGGGGCCACATGCAGCACTGCATCACCTCATCCGTTAACCGCCTCCACACTACACAACTCGTGCATGCGCGCCCGGCCAGCGCTCCTCACACACGGCACATGGTTGCCTCGTCCACCCCACGCAAGATGCAACTATGAAGAAGGCGCTGTACGCCTCACACCTCCAATCGCTCCGTGGCAACGCACCCAAAGCCACCCCCTCAAGCCCCCTCCCCGCTCAAGACCCACCCGCAGTGGTATGCCGCAGCTCACCACCGCTGTGAGCCCCTGCGTGTCTCCAGCAACTCCCCCTAAAGCGGTCGCAGCAGCAGCATGACGTGACTCCGCCCTCGACTGCCACTGCCTCCTTGCGGGAGGGTGCGAGGCAGCAGCTGCCCTGCAACTATCCACCTGGCACGCGGGCTTCATGCGCTGCAAGGGGGCTTCGCGTCACCACCGCACATACCGAAGCAGTCGCTGCACAATGGGGGGCAGCTGAGGGGGGCAGAAAGACCTCAAAGAGCCTCAAGAGGATGAGAGCCCAGTAGCTATCACTGGGGGCCACGTTTGCCCTTCCAGGGCACTCAGAGCGCCCAGTCCTGCGCTGCTGCCTGTTTTGCTGCTGCTTCGCTCGAAAACCAGCTCCTAGACGCTCCTATGAGTCGCACCGCCCCTACTACTGCGCCTGTTGCCCCTCCACTCGCTGCTGCGGCTGCTGCTCCTCTTGCCCCCCTTGCTGCTGCTGCTGTCGTCCCCTGAGAACGTTGGTGATGTACAGCTCCCCCGCGCGGTATGAGCTGCGAACCATGGGTCCGCTGGCCACGTAGAGGAAGCCCATGTCCTGCGCGATCTGCTCGTACGCCTTGAAGGCCTCGGGCGTCACGAACTCCGACACCGCCATGTGCTTCTTGGTGGGGCGCATGTACTGGCCCAGCGTCACCACGTCCACACCGTGCGACCTGAGAGCAGAGGAGGGGTAGGGGTGGGGGCCGTGAGCAGAAGAATACCCAATGTGTTGAATGAGGCTGGCAAACAAGCAGACGAGCTGGGGGGTAAAAATTAAATAAGTGAAACAACGAGCTGGGGGGTGGGGGGATGGGAGATGGCCGGGTGGGGATGGAGAGAAAGGAGAGGAAGCTTAAGTTTCGCGCCGTCAAGGTCTGGGCCCATTCCCTTGTTACCGGTATTTCTCCTGGCCATGACTGCGGCCATGTGCAACCTCCTCAAGGGGAGCCTGCCGCTCCCTTACCGCCCTCGTGCCCCTAACCCCACCTTATCCCCACACGCGCCCGCAGCCCACCCCCCCGCTCCCCCACCTGAGCGCAGCCAGGGTGGCCACCACCTCTTCTTGCGTCTCCCCGCACCCCAGCATGATGCTGCTCTTCGTCACCTGAGGGGAAGGGGGGGGCGAGAGGGTGGATAGGGGATGAGAAACAGCAACTGGCATGCAAGCCGTGATGACAGGGTAGCCTTCATACGTTCATGGGGTATCCCTTTTGGTTTTCATCTAAGCCCCTTCTGCTGCCCTGATCTCCACACCCTAATGCCATACCCCATGCCCCCACGTCGACACAGTGTATGCACATGTCCCACACACCTCCAGTTATTTCAACACACCTCCTCATATGCTGTCGCTGCACGCACCACCCAGCCCCCGTGTCCCCTACCTTGGCCCCCATCTCCTTGGCTCGCTGCAGCGTGTTCAAACTCTGCGTCCAGCCCGCTCGCCGGTCGCGAACAACACTCTGGCAGCAGGCAAGGGGTATGGAATGGTTGGCAGGGGGCGGGTGACAGGGTGCACGGGGCGGCGGAAGTCAGTTACCAGCAGCCAGGAGGGGGTAAAGACTAGGTCAAGATTACACAGGCCGGGAGCCGGAGGGGAGCCCCTTCCCTTCCCTTCCACCACCACCCCTCACCTGCAGCCGCTCCACGGTTTCCACGTTGTGCGCGTACACGTCCAGTCCGCTGTCCACGATGGTCTGCGGGGGTGTGGGGGTTTAGGGAAAGGGGTTAGGCCGGGGCAGGCAGCACAGACACATCGCTACGGTAAAGGGGAGACTGGATAAACACAAGATAAGGAATAAGGGGACAAGCAGGCCGTGTAGCCATGGCTTCCAGGGCTGGGGGCGCCCCCCAGCCCAGCCCAGATGAACGGAAGGAGGAACCCATGTCCCTCTCCCCCTCCTCTTCTCCCTCCTCCTCCTTCCCCTCCTCCCCTCACCTTGACGCAGTCCATGTTGCCCTGGAAGTCGGGCACCAGCGCCTCCACCAGCAGCGACCCGCGGGTCGCCTCCTTGAGCAGCCGGATGGTGCGCGCGATGTGCGCGGAGCCGCCGTCGGGCATGTCGTCGCGGTCCACACTGGGGAGGTACGAGGGAGGGGGAGGTACGGGGAGCGGGGGTTTGCAAGCGGGGTTTGGAAAACGAGCAAGAAGGCTAGCTGGGTGTTGTGGAGGTCGCGACAAGACATACTCTCTGGGCTGCCCCTCCCTCCTCCTCCTGCTGTCTCCCTTGCTCCTCCCTCGCTCCCTGACCTCCCTCTCCTCCCATACATTGGAAATCCTTCCCTCCCCCGCACCTGGTGAGCACCACGTAGTCCAGCCCCCAGGCCGCCACCGCCCGGGCCACGTTGTCCGGCTCCTGGGGGTCCAGCGGGGGAGGTGCCTTGGAGGTCTTCACGGCGCAAAACCTGGTGGGGGGATAAGGGGGAAAAGAGAGGGGGAGAGGGGGCGCAAGCATGAGGGGTCAGGAGGTAAGTGGTTGCGCGACAGCATGCGCGGGCGTAGAGCGGGTATGCGAAGGGTGGCAACCCGTTAAGAGCATAGAGGCAGTGCAAGGTTAGCTGTGTTAGCAAACCCTCTTCCCTCCTCCTTCCTCTCCCCTCTCTCGTCCTCCCTCTTTTTTCCCTCCCTCTCCCCCCTCCCCACCTGCAGCCCCGCGTGCAGGTGTCCCCCATCAGCATGATGGTGGCGGTGGCGGTGTGACCGTCCCCGCCGCCCCAGCACTCGCCCAGGTTGGGGCAGCGCGCCTCCTCGCACACCGTGGACAGCTTCAGCTCGCGCAGCTTGGCCTTGATGTCTGGAGTGGGGTGGAGAGGGGATAGAGAGGGGTTAGGGAAGTGAAGTGTGTATGTTACCCGCAACGGACTGGAGGTGGAGGGGTGGATAGGTGAAGGGATGTCAAGAACAAGCAAACGCGCCATGGCATGGATACCTCGGACCTCATCCGACCGCTCCCACCCACCCACCCACCCACACTCAACCCACCCGTGTACTTGTCACCCCCGGGCAGCTTGTTGCGCTTCATCCAGTCAGGCTTGCGCTTCTTCGCCTGGAGACGAGGAGGAGGAGGAGGAGGACCACCAAGTGGGCGGGCGTTGGAATCCAAGGTGAAGGGGCCAGGGGCGACCAGCCAGAAAAAAGCCGCAACGACCGAAAAACAGCTCCTCGTAAACACGCACGGCCCCAGAGCAGGGGTAGCGCGGGCGCCTGTCTGCCCTGCTGCCGGCCTCAGGCCCCCATCACTCCCCGCGCTGGGCCGCCCAGCCCAGCCCAGCCCGCACGCCCCCCGCCACCACCGGCCGCAAGGAACCTCCCGCAGCCCCCAGCCCCCATTCCTACAGCAACCGGCCGGCGCTCCTCGACCCCACCCTCAAAAGGCGTACGCAAGCTCCTTCGTGCCCCCGTCCAGCACGCTACACGCAGCACCCCATCCGATACCCGACCCTAGCAGCACGGCATGACCTGGAAGGTAGCCAGGGCGGCTTGGACCTTCCTCCCCTGCACTCCAGTTGCTGCACTCATTAATTTTTATTTTTCCCCCGCACATCCACGCCATGGTATCCTTCCTTTCCCTTTCCCCACACCGGCCTCCCTCCCTCACCGTCCAGCTGGGTGCCTCCACGCTGTACTTCTCCACCACCTCCTGACCCGTCACGAAGTCGGAGAAGTCGGGACCTGATGGGGCGAAGGAGGGGGTGGGGTTCTGGGTGAGGCATTCCATCCCGGGCACCGAGGAGGTGGGGTAGGTGGGAAGATGACCTGGCCATCCATCCAAAGGATGTACTTGGCATCCGGCCCAACATGGCAATACGTACCGTGCGCAAGTTTCCGTCGAAGCGCCTCAACGGCCGCAGCGGGCGCCTGCTGGGCTGAGGTCGAGGCCGCTGCTTGGGCTGCTGTGGCTGGTTCCGCAGGTGCATGGGCTGCTGCGCTTGTCGTGGTGAAGCCCGCCAACGCAAGTCCTAACCTCTGGGACTCCAAGGATGTCGCCACTGCCAGGCCGCTAGCTAACTGCTGCGCTTGCCTAGCAAGCCATGGTGCTCCAGCACGAAGCAGGTTGGGTCCCGAAACAGCCATAATGCGACGTTGATGCGAAACTAGGCGTTGTAGAATTAAGTAAAGCAAACCGAACTACAAGAAACTGCTTGCTGCCGGGGAAATAGCCCTTCTACCGATGTGTGTGCGACCGTTGGAGGAAGTATGTCACCTGACGACTAAATTTTCACGCCCAAAGCCCATACATGGTACATCCTATGCGTTATAGAAGTTCATCAGGCGCGAGGATGGTCGGCAGAGCAACACCAAGGCGCGCCAGGGAGGGGGCCGTACACATGGCAATACTTTTGGGCTGGGCTTTCCACCAGCTCTTCCTCTTTCAACTCCTTGCTGGGCGTCAAGGGGTTGCCAAGATGCCGAAGATAGGGTTCTACCGGAACTGTAAGCAGGCGTTCTTTTTATTTGGGCAGGGCGGCGGACACAGGGAATTTCGGTGCCTAGTACTGTCTAGCATCAATGAGCAATGGTTATCTAGTTGTGCTACGTAGCAATGTAGCCCGGTTCAGCTGCATTCCTTAAGCGCCGCCTGGCTGCGGAGGCGGCCATTAGCCTGAGTTCCTCGCCCGTTGTGGCGTCTCCTGCTCGTTGCGTGTGTAGAATATCTTGTGTTACAGGTATAGTCTTTGGTTAAACTGTGGACTTTTTCCCCAACACAGATGGCAAGACTTTCAAGAAGCCTCGGCGTCCCTATGAGAAGGAGCGCCTGGACGCTGAGCTGAAGCTTGTCGGCGAGTACGGCCTGCGCAACAAGCGTGAGCTTTGGCGCGTGCAGATGGTGCTGAGCAAGATTCGCAATGCTGCTCGTGTGCTGCTCACGCTGGAGGAGAAGGATCCTAAGCGCATCTTCGAGGGCAATGCCCTGATGCGCCGCATGAACCGTTACGGCCTGCTGAACGAGAGCCAGGACAAGCTGGATTACGTGCTGGCGCTGACCCCCCAGGTGAGCCGCCGGCTTCGGCGGCAACGCAGCGCAGATACAGCCCAGCTTGGATGGACCGTATCCAGCTAAGCAGAAACATATTTCAGTACTAAAGCAGCGGCTGTAATTAATTTGCAAAGAGGCAGACTATGGACAATGTTCGCATTCCGCATGCGGTTTGTCAATCGTCGCCGTTTTCTTAAGTTCCAATCAGGAATTCCTTCTCTATCACTTAGGGTGCTGATCAGGTTATTTGCGCTCATGCAGGACTTCCTGGAGCGCCGCCTGCAGACCCTGGTCTTCAAGCAGGGCCTGGCCAAGTCCATCCACCACGCTCGCGTGCTGATCCGCCAGCGCCACATCCGGTGAGCATGGGGTTTAATGTCGCATGTGACAGCGGGTAGCACCCTGATCGGTCTGCTCTGTACGACATTGGCGTGTACAAGTAGTACTGCACGGCTATACCAGGCTACACCGTCTACTACAGTACCATACGGCCATGCAGTCTCCAAGCGCAATATGAGAGTACGCACGAACGTTATAGGTACCTGTAGGCCTCTCACAACAAACGGCATTCACTAATGTACTGCACGCGCATGGTTTTGCATTCCCTCACCGCTGTCACCTGTCTCTTCAACCTGGTATGCCCCGCTGTTTCCGCTCACGCAGTGTCGGCAAGCAGGTGGTGAACGTGCCCAGCTTCATGGTGCGCGTGGACAGCCAGAAGCACATTGACTTCGCGCTCTCCAGCCCCTTCGGCGGCGGCCGCCCTGGCCGCGTCAAGCGGAAGAACGCCAAGTAAGATGGCTTGTATACTAAGCAGCGGTCCTTCGACCATGGTGTTGTGTTAAGTTTGCCTGTCCACACGCATGCCCGTGTGCAGGAGGGTCCCGTCTTGCTTTTCCTAAAGCTGCGCGCTCCTGTTCGGCCTTCAGCCATCCTAACGGACATTTGCTGATGCCCCTGCAGGAAGGGCGGCGACGGCGGCGAGGACGACGAGTAAACGTCGGGACGGACGAGGCAGCGTAGAGGGACGCTGTAACAATATCAGCCCACAATGCCCGTCTCCTTTCTCTTGGAGCCCACACTTGCACACCGCACATGCACACCGCATTGGCTTTAGCAGAGGCGAGCGCTGGTGGCGGGAAAGCACGACAGCAGCAGCGTAGCAGCAGCAACAGCAGCAGGCGAAGCTCATTCTGGCGACAGGAGCTTAGGGCGTTGCCAGCAGGGACTGGGGAGCAAACTGCGGCTGTTGCATACGGAGCTATGCAGGCGTGCTGGGTTACGCGTTGGGTGGTGTGGAGAGCTCCCAGCACAAGAGCGTGCCAATCACAGCAGCTGCGGACTCTTGTGTAAACCTTGTCAGTAGTGGGTCGTGCTGGACCATATCAAGAATAGCCAAGAGGGTTGCTGTATCGATGTTGATGCCTAGATGAACACTCAATTCGCTTACAGGATAGTGGAGGGACCGGTTAGCCAGCCCCTGGTCAGGGTGAAGTACAGGATGTTGCGAAGGGCCAGCCTACTGTACACAGCATGTGTATCTTGCCTTCAGCTAAAACATGAAGGGCAGTCCAGCAAACAACTAACGTCCACAGTCAAGCATTGCTACTGCATTCTATGTTGTCGCTCGTCCTGTCACAGAGCAACACCGCACGTCTGCGCACACGACCATCCCTTGTCCATGCGTCCTTGCCCCTTACGTCACGAAAAATGCCACTTAGTTAGCACGACAGTTAGCGCTGGTAAATATAAACACTCAGCTAAGGCCAGACACCAAGGGGTCCGTGGACATGGCAATAAGCAAACCTTCTTTACCACAGCTTCGACTTAACCATCCTCTCTAGTCCCACCCTCCTCGTCTGGGAGTCCGACTAGGGCGGCGCTCACTCGCCACAGGTCGGCTGCCAGTGAGGGGTCCCGGGCTGCAGCCTGCATGCATAAGAGGGGTGAAGCCCAATACCGTAAAGGAAGATTTGATGGGTAATAGTTATCCTTTATAAGCTGGGGGCCGCCTTCTGCAACGCTTGGGGCCCCCTACAACGGCTCCCAACTTGAAACGCTGTTATGCGAAGCACAAACGTCTTCTGCACACACTTACCGAGGGCTGCATCTCCCGGCAGTCGTGCAGGAACAGCGGACTGCGGCCCTGCATGGTGGCGCGTCATGTGCCGGCGAGGAACTCAGCAGGGAACTACCGTACTGGCTGGCATGCATGCTAAGGGCAAGACATGTAACGGACGGCATGCACGGATGTAGCGTCATGCATTAATTGTCACTTTGTCAGTCCTGCCATCAAACCTAACAGGACACAAGGCGCGCACTTGCCTGCAGGCTGGGGCTGCACGCTGCGAATAGCACCACCTCCGCTCCCTGTGGATTGAGACCCATGGGTCAGGTGATCCTTAGCGACAGCAAAGAGATACGGATTACAGATTAAGAAGGCACCAGCAGATTGCCTCGCTTAAGCCCTGCGTTCCCCTAACTCAAGGACGTCGGCTGTGCGCAGGGGAATAGCTACCGCTAAACCAAGCATGCCAGCAGCCATGCAGGAAAGCATCGGCAGGATCCGGTGGGAGAAAGGAGACATGGGACGTAGGCCAACCAGCCGGTCAGCCTGACGTACGCCACCAGAAGCCCACCTGCTCCGCGCTCCTGACCAGCGGCCTCAGCGGCACCCGTAGCCACTGCGCCCAGGGAGGGAGCAGGTGCCTGCGGGGTGGGCGGTGGGGGTGGGGTTTGAAGGCAAGCAGACAAGCAGGGACTTGCTGGAGTTGCGTTTTCAGAAATTGGGGTACGGTAGTGTCATCGGCCGCCACCAACGGCTACGAGCACCAGTACCGGTACTTGCAATCCGAGTGCCCCAGAGCTCGTTGCCCAATCGCCCTCCCGGGCGGCAACCCACGCCCTCCCGATACCGGTATCCCCTGCGTTGCGACTTATCTGAATATCCCGGTATCCACCATCCCGGGGCTCACTGCGAAGGCCCCAATCCGCCCCGCAGGCCGCCCCGCTGAGGCTGGGGATCCAGCAGCAGCGATGCTAGTACGGCTGGCCTTGGTTTCAGAGCTGCACCTGCTATCCCACGTATCCCCATGTTCGCCACTGCTATTGCTGTTGCTGCTGGCGGCATCGCCACGCCGGCAATGCTGCTGCCGCCGCTGCTCCCGTGTTGTTCCCGCCCAACCGTAGCGGCGCTGCAGCTCTGCAGTGACCAGCACGTTGCAGAGCTTGGAGCGAGCGTACTGCCACCACCTGGCATGCAGCACGGAGCAAGCGGGAGAGCATTGGTGTAGGCAGGGTGAATACACACGAGATGCTCCTATTTGGTGGCTGAAAGGCAGCTAAGTGAAGCGAAGTGAAAGACCGTTCTCAGAGGACAGAGCCATAGAATCGTCCCCCAGCACGCACCAGTGATGGACGTTGCCATGGATAGCCCCCCCTCCCGGTGGCCCTGTTCTGAGCTTCAGGCATCCCGCATAGTGCGCTCGACTGGCCACATTGACGACCCGTGACCCATGGGTCATGTGGGGCAGCAATAGCCGGGTCAGCAGGTAGGGCCCCAGGTGGTTGACGGTTAGATGTCGGTCGGAGCCGTCGGCAGCTGGCGGCACACCCATTACCCCGGCGTTGTTAACCAGCACATCAATGTGGCGGCACGGCGAGTCGCCGCTGCTGCTGCTGGGGCTTCCCTTAGTGCTGAACGCTCCAGCGCTGTGGATACAGGTGCCGGTACCGGTGCCGCTAGGGCACGTACCTCTTAAACCGCTGCAGGCCTCTTCCTTGCGGCCGAGGTTTACAGCAGCCACTTCTGCCCCAGCACCCTGGGTGTGTGTCTCATGTGCCGCTCGGTAGGCTCCGTCCAGGCAGACGACGGCCCCGTGCAGCTCTCGGCTTTGCTGGGTCACAAAAGCGCGGATGGAGGCGGGGTCCTGCGGTTCGCGCGGCGCAGTTATGGCGCAGGAGGTAGAGCGGTGGCTCTAGGTGACCGTGCTGGGAAATGCGACGACGGATTCCTAATTCTTGGCTGGACAAACAAGCACGGGGGACGGCACGTGGGACATCTAGGCTGAGGGAGAGCTAAATGCTGAAGCTGGACCAAGCGGGGAGCGGGAGATGGTCGACGGCACTCAGCTCACCTCAAGGTCCAATGTACGACAGGCACAGCTGCCAGACAGCCCCTCAGCCTGTTATTCAGCATCACAACCAGCGTCAACAGGAGGAGCGAAGAATAGAGAACCAGACTGAGGGACTCTGCCATGGGGCTCACCGCTGGAACCCAAGGAGCTGCAAACGTCTTCTGTGTACGGTACACAGATCCTTAGCTAGCTGCACCCTCTCACCCTCAGTAACTGTGCCGCGTGCTCGCATGCAGGTGGGCTGCGGCACGCCATCACCACGTGGGCACCCCGTCGCATGAGGCCACGTGCCACCTGGAAGCCTGTGGATAACGAGATCGCCATGTCCTTGAGCCAGCCGTACCCATACCCATACCCATACCCATCGCCATCCCCATCTCATGGGGGACGCTAGGACGCTTGCACATACGAAGCACCTCAAGCACAACTCGTGATGTACATTTCATATATGGATGGGAAAGTGTGTTGAGCCGGCTTTGTTGCAACGGGGGAGGCAGGCTGTAGCGAGGCAAGGGTGCGTGGCCAGCCAAAACAGTTCTACCGCATGTGAGTGATGTGTACTTACTGCTGACGCACCAAGTATCTAACCGCTAGTAGATGCAGGGAAACCGCTTAAAAGTGAAAACAAAAATCGAAAAGTAGATCGCCGCCTCTTCACATTCTAGTCAGTCCCCTTAACCACTCGGGCACGACTGCCGGGGAATCCCGTCACAAGCGGGTAGAAGCGCAGTCGACAGGATTCGAACCTGTGCAGGCAAGCCTAACTGATTTCAAGTCGATTCAGCTGAGGCAAGCGACCGATGTCAAAGTGGTGACCTGCAATGCCTATATGTGGTGTATCCATACCTTGAGAAGCAAACCCTAAGCCCCCCAAGCTCAATCGTGCGGCATGGTCATGTGAACAATGCCGTTCTACACATAACAAACCCCCCACTCGCGCAGAGGCGAGCACGTCCTCACGTCCTCACGTGTTAAAGAAAGAAGTAGGGCGCCCAACGTCCTGCCTCACTCACCAATGCCACTGTTGGCCCCGGTCACAATGCAGTACTTGCCCTCCATTGAAGTGAGCTGCCTTTTTTGCAGCAGCACCGCTTGGCCAAGGCTGGTGACACCACCGCTTTCTTAACACACGTTCCTAGCGAGGTATAATAACGATTGCCAACTGCGGTGCCGACCGACGCCCACAACAGCTCACTGTAATGCGGACGGAAGTGCAAAGGGATGCGTTAGCAAGGCGTACCGCGATGGTGCTTCATTGCAACACCTTTTGTGAAATATTAGGCTAAGAATAGGCTTAGATTCCTGCCTATGTGGCATGACGCAGGTCGTCGCCGTGTCTAACTAGCACCCTGTGTCATAAGGTCAATAAGGAAGTGTGGGACATGCGCCCAGGGGACTGTCTTCAACAAACCTGCGGTGGCTCAGGCGTAAATTGCTACAAAGGCTTAAATAAAGGAGTGAAACTGGCGTGAGTTTAGTTGCATTTGGAGGAACGCAAAGACAGGGTATGTGTGGCTCGGAGGACGTTGAAGTAGGCGCGACGGACGCATTGAATGGATACGCCAGGAGCTCCTAAAAGGAATTTGATGTTGAGTGCAAAACATAAGCGATTTTCAGCTTCACCACCACACCATGGAGCATGGACAGGAGTGGGCCTTATTAAGCATCGGTTTGCACATGTGAGTTCCCCGTGCGCGTACGGTGCGACCTCCAAGCCAGCTGTTCTATGGTCTTGCGCTCTGTCTTTGCCACGGTGAGCCTGTTTCCAATTCGTTCAGCCGTCTCAACCGCCGGATAGGAGCGTCTTGCTTACAGCGCTCCTGATCACTGAATCCCGCCATATAATTGCCAGTAGATCCTGAAGTTTACAATACTGCCATCGGGGTCGCCAACAAGTACATCACTCCAGACACCGCCGCCGTGATAACATGGCCGAGAACGGAAACAGGCTGCCCTTGGCCAAGTCGGCATCTTTCCTAGACGTGCGCAGCGTTGAGGATGAGACTGCGCCTCCACCCAAGCGATCAAAGCTGAGCACGGTCGTCAACCTGCTGGAGGCAAAGAAGGCTGTGCAGGTTTGTTAGGGCGGGGTACGGGTTATAAATAATTGCTGTAACTGTGTAGGTGATCCTTAGTTGTTGCCTGAACGATGTGGGTCCGGCGCTCAACCTGTTCATAGGCGTGTTTAGCATGCAAAGTGCATCAGTTATGGTCCAGTCCTGGAAATACAATTGTAGCGTCTATACAACATTACTTTTAAACAGCATTACCACAGTATGAAAACAGATGTTTGCCTCAAGTAACTACCGTATATGTTTTCCAAAGCCAAGCAGTTGAGCCTTCGGTTTGTCGGCAATGCTTGAGCTGTATGCATCTTGCTATCTGGCCTGATCGGTTTGTTGCTGTTCCCAAGAGAAAGACCTGACATGGACTGTTGCGCAAGGCAGAATCCTGTTCCTACGCAACAGCCCAGATGAGCCTAACCCTTTTTGCCACCCTCCATCCCCTCCATCCGATACATAATTCACCTTTCCCTCGCCCTCCCCCAAATATTACCACCCACAACCCAACGTCAGGAACACGAGAATGAGGTGGCTGAGGTGGTGATCGTGTGCGAGCCGGAGCAGGCCTCCCTCATGATGGGCGGCCTGCACCCGCGCGGCTCTCTGTACGAGCGCCCCGTCAACATCGACACCGCCAAGCAGCAGCACGCGGAGTTCCGCAAGGTAGAAGGCTAGCGAGGAAACGTACTCCTAATCGTGGAGGGGTTAGGAAGATGCGGGGTGATGGTAGGGGCTCGGGCAGGAGTGAGTGCCGCTGCTGCTGCGGCCGCGGCTGCGGTTAGGTAGTCATTGTGGTCGTTGTTGCTTGCCGCGATTTGGGTTGGGAGGGGATGACCCGGAAATGGTGTTAGGCCGGGTTGTGACGGCAATGTTGAGGAGGGCAGGGTCGGAGCGCTGCCCCCCTCCAAGTACCGCGCATCCCTCACCCTCCTCAGTTTACCTAAACCCTCCTTCCCATGTCTTTTTCCAACCCCGCAAACCCCTCCCCTCCACGCGATTTAGATTGGGACGCCATTGCTTCAATTCTCCATTTATTTCTCTCGCCCCACCCTCCACCGCTCCCCCCCTTCAGGTCCTCCGCGAGCACGGCGTGCGCGTGCTAACGGTGCGCGAGATCCTGGCGCACCACGTGGACACCAACATGAGCGCGCGGGTGGACCTGGAGGAGCTGGCCTTCCAGGCGCTCACATACGTGATGGCGCCGGGGTCGGATGCCATGGTAGGGGCGGGGAAGGGGGGGAAGCGTAGGGGGGCCGTTGGGGGGCAGCAGGCTGGAAAGGAGGAAGGACCGGGCGAGACGCGGGAAAGAGAGGGGACCGGTGGGGCCGCAGTGGGGAGTGAGGCGCGGCTTATGGTGAGGGAGAGGAAGGGGAACTTTCCTTTCCTGGCTCAGCTCATTTTGATTTGTTGTTAGGTCTCTTTTCTCTGCCACCTCCCCTGCCCTCATCATGCCGTTGCCGATGGTACCTCTCACTTCCTTCTTCACTTCTCCTTCGCCCCGCAGTCGCTGGCCGAGTCGGACCGCCACTACCTGTCGGACGCATACAAGCGCGAGGTGAGGCGGGGAGCAGGCGAGGAGGGGAGCGGGAGGGAAATTAAGGGGGAAGGTGTTGACGGCAGCCGTCGTCGCGGTGTCGAGGCGGTTGCCATCCATATCCCTAAACCCGGATCCCCGACTCGAACCCCAATCCTGCTTCTTCCTACATCTAACATGATCAACTCTCCTTAATATGCCCCCTGTAAGTCCGCCCCTTGCTGCTCCGCCTCCACTACCGGCCCCGTGGCGAAGCCTTGTCATACAGCTCGTACGTTTCTTCCTCTTTAACCCCCTACTTCCCCCCCCTCTCGCCTCTCCCCCCCGCTCCTTTCCCCCTCTCCTAGGTGATCAGCCACATGAGCACCACGCAGCTGATCGACACGGTGCTCATCAACCCCACCGTCAGCCTGCAGCCCTCCTACCGCGACACCGGCTTCACCGCCTCCTACACCTTCGAGCCACTCTCCAACCTGGTGTACACGCGCGACCAGCAGGTCACCACATGCAAGTGAGTGCAGGGGGGGAGGGGAGGGGGAGGTAAAAAATATATATAATGAGACACTGACGAAGCAACTGACGAGCTGACGAGGGGGAGGAGAGGGAGGGCGCGTTGTGTGATGGAGGGCAACGGAGGGAGGGCAGCGATGTGGCTAGTACTCGAGCGGAGGGTTGCGGCGGTGGAAGGAGGAGCCCTGGCCTGCCCTTTTTAGTTACGTTCTTGCAGGGAGGGTGGGAGTTCTTGGCTGCTCAGCAGCAGCACCACTTACCGGGCCGTTCTTCCCGGTTCGACTAACCCTCTCCTTCATCTTCTCTCCATTTTCCTTGCTGCTCGCCTTTTCGCTCTCAGGGGCATCGTGATGGGCCGTCTGCGCAGCGCCCAGCGGCAGCGGGAGGTGCAGGTGATGCGCTTCTGCTTCAACAAGCTCGGTGAGAAGGACTCTCTGTGTGTGTGTCTAGATACCTGGCCGCGAGTCGGAACGTACTGTGATTGTGTGTATGTGAGAGTGGGGGGGGGGTTGAAAAGAGGAAATGGACAAGCTGCATGACGGGGGGGTACCAACAAATCAGGTGAGGGGAGGGGGAACGGAATCAAGGGTTAAGATAACATGCTGCTCCTCTCCCGCTCGTGTCCGCAGGCATGGCTGTTGCGGGCGAGATCCGGGAGCCCGGATACCTGGAGGTGAGGACTGAGGACCGAGGGGAGGGGAGGGGAGAAGAACATGCATGACGCTTTGCCGACTGCGTGTGCTGCTGCTTGCCTGGGCCACACAACCCATGCCCCAGCCCTCTTGACTGCCGCCTTATCCCCTGACGTCCCATACCTCTCCCACCTCTCCCCCCCCCAGGGCGGCGACTTCTTCCCCATGGGCTCCGACCTGGCCATGGCGGGCATCGGGCTGCGCTCAAACCTGGCGGCCTGCCAGCAGCTGATGGACGAGGACCTGCTGGGCACCCGCAGGTTCGCAGTGGTGCGGGACGACTTCGACCAGCACCAGGTAAGAGGAAGGAACGGATGAGATGTGTGTGGGGGGGGGTCAAGGAAAGGATATGCCAAACTACAAGCTAGGGAAAAGCAATGCGGATAGGAGGCTGCAGGACTCCGCAATCCCACCGTCTCTCCCCCCTCTGTCACCCAGCTCGTGGCTTGCCTCGCCAGTTTCCTTCTTTTTACCCCTCTGCCCCCACCCCTCTGTCCCCACCCCTCTGTATTTGCTATCCCAACTATCCAGCGTAATGCGGATTCTGTTTCCAAATTATCCCCACCCCTCTGCCCCCCCCTCTGCCCCGGCCCCCAGGACCGCATGCACCTGGACTGCGTGTTCAGCGTGCTGTCGGACCGCTGCTGCATCATGCTGGCGGACATCATGGGGGAGGCCTCGCCCACGCGCCGCCTGGTGGACGAGTACACGCGCGACCCCGTCAGCGGCAAGTACAAGCTGACACGGTGAGGAGGAGGATAGGAGGAGGAGGAGTGGAGGAGGAGTTCTTTGTATGCATGGTCCCCACCAACCCCGCCATCCTGCGTGCGTGCTCTTTCCGTTGTCTTTCCGTTCCTGCTGTCTGGGTTAAACGGGTTATCAATGGAACCATATGGCATCTGCGTGACATACCGGTATATGCACCCCCGTGCCCTTAAGATTGCCTAGCATCCATAACCTTGCCTTCTTCCCCCCTCACTACCTCACCTCCCCCCACCAACCCCCTCCCCTCACAGCGAGGGTGTGGAGTTCTCCGCCTTCATCACCGGCGAGGGCTACCACATCATCCCCATCTCGCACGAGCACCAGCTGCAGTACGCCTGCAACGTGCTCAACCTGGGAGACTCGCGCATCATCAGCGTGCACGCGCCCAGCGCCCGCCAGATCGTCAAGGACCCACGGTTCACCGGCGACGTGCAGGTGATTGACTTCTCCTCCATCACCTCCATGTACGGGAGCGTGCACTGCGCCTCGCAGGTCGTCAAGCGTGTCCCACGGGTCGCCAAGTAGGTGAGCCTTGACGACGAAGAGCTGCGCTGTGAGGGAGAGGGAGAGGAATTGATGACGAGTCAAGGCGGCGACAAAAGCGGCTTTTGAAACTCCCGGCTTTTGGAGTGTCCTGGCTTTTCGTGTGGTGCAGCAGAGGGGTTTCAGGCTGTGCTCGAGCCTTGATGACGTGTCGGCGCAAATAATGTGCGCGCGTTATGTATAGGTGGCGCCGACAGCTTCCTTTTTGGAGCGTTTTAAGGTGTGGAGGGGTTCGCGAGCCTAGTATGATGCCCGTGTGCCATGCATTCGTATGTCCCTTTCACGGGGTGTCCATTCTTGGGTTACGCTTTCTGGTTATTAGGTGGCTGCTCGGCAGCAATAATGGGTTAGGGCTCTTTTCTCCTTTGAAAGTGCTGTTTGTTTCTAGCGGACGAATGGGGGGTAGGCATGGGATCAGACGGGGAGCAAGGCCGCACAAGGCTTGGTGTCAGGTTACGAGGATGGCTTGATACATCAGACGAGGATGACTCTTACAGCCGTCTGAGCGGTGCACCTTGGCGATGTCGACGTGCTTTCAAATTGAAAGTTACGAACAGTAGCGGGGTTATAAGGGAGTGTGTTTCTACGTTTACGTACGACAGTTGTTTGGGGCCTGCGGGGAGATGGGTGTGTGTTTTTCGGACCCGGTACGGGCAATCACAGGAACATGTGCCCTTGAGAATAGTGAGGCACTTGAACGAAGGAGAGGCAGTGGGCGTGGGCCGTCGTGTGCCATTGGTGCCGGGGCAGGTAATAGATTTTTGCTGCGAATGAGGGGGTCGTGCGAGTGGTGTTCTGAGAGACTTGCATGCGGAGGGAGCCAGGACTTCGTGTCTGTGGTAGTCGCGTGCTTCAGGTACGTGTTGCGGTTTACGGCAGCTAGGCAGCCCCGTCCGTAAGGGCCACGCTGGGTTTGCAAAAGAAAGGTCTGCTCCAAGCGACATAGATGCACAAAATTGAAGTCGCTGCCACTTACATCCCCGTCGCAACTGGAGCACGGCTGAGGGATTCATGATAATATAGCTCTCACGGGAGTTGCATGCAACGCATGCCGACGCGACAAGCACATCCGCCCCTACCGCACACATCATTCAAGGTTACACAGTCTGACTGTAAGCCGGTTAAAGGTTGTTCTGATGACTTCACTGGTTAAAGCCGACCTTTAACCTATACCAAGCCTGGTACGGTCAAACCGGCGGCAAACAGGGATAGGCACCATATGACACAGCTTTGTGTGACGCAACCTCCATTTATTAGTTTTGCTACAATGTAATTGGTTGATTTGACTCCCATTGTTTCACGCAAGCTGCCGTACGGCAGATGGCGTTACACGGGAGGCTTGGCTGTTTAGAGCACGGCCCATACTCCTGTCCAGCTATTACGCCTCCATCATCCTTTGGGAGGGACCAGCGTACCCAATACAGAAATGCAGGTGGGACAGCGGCGTAAATGCCAAGGTCGCTGTAGGACTTGCGATCCTTTGCAGTGCCCAGAGCGACACAGTGGCAGTGTTGATATACCTTGATTGAACCCTAGGTCAAATGTGTAAGAGGCTTGGATAGCTGACGTCGTCTGCTTGCGGCGGTGTACACTACCCCGAGCGTGTAACGCTCGGAGTTGTAAATTATAAATGGATGCTTTGTTGACAAGTGTATCAGGTTTAATCTATATTGGTAAGAGGTGAGCTTGGCGTCGTTCCCTTTCATGCTTGCAGACCCAAATGCGAAGCGCCCGGCGCTGCTTCAGCGGCCGCCAGGCTGCCTCGCGCCAGCTGCTGGTCCCTGCCAAGGGCGTTGCTTCTGGCCGCAGCCGGACGCAGGTTGCCGCGCGGGCTGCCTTCCAAAAGGTGCTCATCGCCAACCGCGGCGAGATTGCTGTCCGTGTCATCCGCGCTTGCAAGGAGCTAGGCCTGCAGACCGTTGCCGTTTACTCCACGGCAGACAAGAACTCTCTGCATGTCCAGGTACAGCTTTATAACCTTGCGGTTGGGGAGGTACCGTATCGCGGAGTTGGGGGTAACGAGCTGCAGTGCCTTGCTCTTCCCTCATGGCCGCCGCTGCCACCACAACTGTGCCACCTCCATGGCCATCCAATTCGTGATCCATAACGCCACCTATTAGAAGAGCTTCAAAATGTCCACCCCCTACCCTCTATCCGCTGGCATACCAGCGCGCCGGACCTTCTCCATCGCCACTTGACTCTTGTTGCTGCTCGTCACCCACTACAGCTTTATGATCCACAGTATTTAACCCCCCGCTCCTCTTCCCTCTCGCTTCTCCCGCCGCGCTTCCCTCCCTCACCCCTCCTTGCACCTGCACTCCCAGCTTGCTGACGAGGCCGTGTGCATCGGCGACTCGCCCTCCTCCGAGTCCTACCTCAACATCCCCAACCTGCTGGCGGCGGCGGTCAGCCGGGGGGCGCAGGCGGTGCACCCGGTGAGGCGGGAGGGAGGGAGAGAGGGAGGGAGGAAGCGTGCCTCGAAGGGGAGGAAAGGGAGGCGTGGAGAGAGGGGTATGAGGGCGTGTAGTAAAGCACTGGGCCGCAATGAAAGACTGAGTGCGGGTGGAACGGATGGTAGGACGGCGGGTGGTAGGGGGATCAGCGAACATGGCAGAAGACACAGCCAGCGGTGGCTAACAACAACGAGGAAGACAGAGAAACGCAGCGGGGGTGGAGACAGCATGTGGGTTGGGGGGCGTGGAGTGCCCTCTTCCTGATGTGGGTCGGGCGGCTAGTGCGCTGTGGAATGTGGGTTGCGCTTACCTAGGCTGCGGGAGGGCGTTCCCTCGGGACTGTGTAGCTAGCTCGAGGGGACCTGGTTGCTTGTTCGGGTGTGCAGCATGGGTTGGGATACTGGGGCTAAGCAGTGAGGAGCAAGGAAGAGGGCTGGAGAGGTGTTGGAGTTGGTGTCCCCTCCGACCCAAATCGCAGAGGAAGGTCGGGGCTGGGCTGTAGTCAACTATCATTGGGGCTGTGAATGCTGTCTCCCCCCATGCTGCCTGGCCACTAGCGTATGTACGGCACCTGCTGTCCCCCTGCTACCGCTTTCCGGCCGCCCCCACCCGCTCCCACGCTGCTGCTGCTCCTGCATTCCCTTTGCCCTGCCCCCCCTTGTGACTTGTGACATTTCCTTTTTCCTCCCCCCCTCCCTCCCCCTCACCTGCAGGGCTACGGTTTCCTGTCGGAGCGCGCCGAGTTCGTTGAGATCTGCAACGACCACGGCCTGGAGTTCATCGGGCCCAAGCCCGTGCAGATTCGCCTGATGGGCGACAAGTCCACCGCTCGTGACACCATGAAGGTGCGCGAGGGCGGAGGGGGGGCCCACAGATGTGCTTTCATGAGGGCAGGGGGGGGTCAAGGATGCGCCTTCATGAGGGCAGGGAGGGGATCACAGATGTACCAAACCACAAGGAAACCACAAGTTAGGGAGAGCGGCGAGGGCAGAGGCAGAGGGATCGCAGCTTTGTGTGGTTTGGTCTACCGGTATATCTTCAACATCGCCCCCCCCCTCCCCCCTGTGTGTTGAAATATCTGGCCGCGAGGAGAAACGTACTGTGTGTGGCCCCCTCGTGCGCGCAGAAAGCCGGTGTGCCCACCGTGCCGGGCTCCGAGGGCCTCATTGCGGACGATGCGGACGCGCAGGCCACCGCGGACCGCATCGGTTACCCCATCATGATCAAGGCCACGGCGGGTGAGGGGCGGCGGGAGGGGATTAGGTAAACTGAGCCGGGGAAACAGAGGGGAGGGGGAGGGGGTGATTGGTTGGTTAGTTGATTACCCCTCCGGACTGCGGTGTCGAGTGTGCCTTCCGTGAGGTCCCCCCCCCCGCCCCTGCCCCTGCTAACTGGTTCCCTTCCCCTGCTACCCCTCCCACAGGCGGTGGCGGTCGCGGCATGCGCCTGTGCACCAAGGAGGAGGACCTGATGACCCTCTACAAGCAGGTAGGGCAGGGGGGGTCGAGTAGAGAAGAAACCCAGGGAAGCAGCGGTTTTCAGAACAGCGCACGCTGTGATATGGGCCACTTGGGTTGGTGGACGTAAGTACGAAGGCTTTTGCTGTGCGGACAACCTTCCCTCCACGCCTCTCCTACTACTACCTCGTCCATCTCCCCTCCCCTCCAGTCATCTAGCGTTGCCACTGTCATTCAACGCATGATACCCTTCTTCTCCTCCTCTCTACCACGAAGTTTATTTACTTTTGCTTCACTAGCCGGCTTCGAGTTTTCGACTAACACAATCGTTCCTGCCTGCACTACGTTCCGACTTGCGGCCAGTATTTTTAACACACTATAACCCCCCCACCTCCCTGCCCACCCCAGGCCCAGCAGGAGGCCGAGGCCGCCTTCGGCAACGGCGCCGTGTACATGGAGCGCTACGTGCAGAACCCGCGCCACATCGAGTTCCAGGTGCTGGCGGACAAGTACGGCAATGTCGTACACCTGGGCGAGCGCGACTGCTCCGTACAGCGGCGCAACCAGAAGCTGGTGGAGGAGGCGCCCTCGCCCGCGCTGACGCCCGAGGTAGGAGGGCGGGGGTGTGGAGAGGTGAAGAAATGGCCAGATGAGACAGGGAAAGGAAGTAGCAGGAGGGGGATAAGGGGTAGGGAAGGGGTTCAAGAGGATTGAGACCAAGTTGACAACGGTAGCTGGCAATCCATGCGTGATAGGGGGCAAGGGAGAAGGGGGGAGGGGGGAGGGATGGCCTGCGTTGCGTGGGCTACACGCTTTCCCACGTCTCCGTGCACTGCTGGTGTGCCGTCATCATAACAAAACCATGCGTGGTCTCTTGCGCGATGAGGTGAGGCGCCCGGTGGCCTGCTGGCGGCATGCGTCCCTCCCTCCTTAGCCCCAGTCCCAGCGTGTGTTGTGGGCTCAACCCCCATGACCTTTTACGTACTGGTACCACCTCCCTCACCCCTCCACCCCAACTCCCCACCCCGCCCCTGCCTCCCCCCAACCCCTCACCCCCCACCAACACATTGGGTATTCTGTTTTTCTCCCCCCCCCTCCCCAGGTCCGCAAGGCCATGGGTGACGCCGCCGTGGCCGCCGCCAAGGCCATCGGCTACGTGGGCGTGGGCACCATTGAGTTCCTGTGGGAGAAGAAGGGCTTCTACTTCATGGAGATGAACACCCGCATCCAGGTGGGGTGGGGGCGGGAGATTAGAGCAGTGACGGTGAGGTCGATATTGACTTAGCGATGTTCCACCTGCAAGCAGCGACAAATTTAAAGAGTGCAGGGGTGGGTTGGTGGGTGGGCGAATGCACCGGGAGCTTTACCTTCACCAGTAAATGCTCTGGCAGATCTACACCTGTTAAACATGTGCATGTAACCATTCCCCTCCCCTCTTTTCCCCCTCGTTATTTATTCCCCTCCCCCCTCCCCCCTCCCCCCCCCCCAGGTGGAGCACCCCGTCACTGAGATGATCACGGGTGTTGACCTGATCCAGGAGCAGATCAAGGTGGCCATGGGCGAGCGACTCACCTTCACGCAGGAGGACATCAAGTTCAAGGTGCGTGCGTGGGTGTAGGGGGCTGGAGTGGGTGTGGAGTGGGTGGGATGGGGTGGTGGGAGGAGGAGGAGGAGGAGGCAAAGGGGCCAAGCAGAGGAGAAGGGGATGTGGTGTAGGTTGGGAGGGGGAAAAGCTTGGGTGCATGGGTGCCCTGTTCCCTTCCCCTCTACCTACCCTTCTAAACCCTCCTTCCCTCCTCCCCCCTCCCTCTGGTCCGGTATTGTCTTTGTTTCCCCCCTCCCCCCAGGGTCACGCCATCGAGTGCCGCATCAACGCGGAGGACCCCTTCCAGAACTTCCGCCCCGGCCCCGGCCGCGTGAGCACCTACCTGGCTCCCGGCGGCCCGCACGTGCGCATGGACTCGCACCTCTACCCCGACTACCTGGTGCCGCCCAACTACGACTCGCTGCTGGGCAAGCTCATCGTGTGGGGGGCGGACCGCAAGCAGGTGGGGGGGCGGAGGGATGGAGGCGGAGGGGGGAAGGGAGGGAGGAAGCGGAGGTGTAGGGAGGGGGTGTGAAGTGGATGGTTGACACGGTGACAAGGATGGATCTTATAGTTGAGTTCGAGTTCCTTCACCTCATGATGAAACCCTCCCCTGCCCCCTGCTCCTGCCCCTCCAGGCCATCTCCCGCATGTCCCGCGCGCTGGACGAGCTGGTGATCACGGGCGTGCCCACCACCGCGCCCTTCCACAAGCTCATCCTCAAGACGGAGGCGTTCAAGGCGGGGGATGTGAGGCGGGGGAGGGGAGAGGAGGGGGGGAAGGGGGGAGGGGGACGGCGTGAGAAGGACAGGGCAGCAGAGGGAGCAAGTTGAAGGGCCGTGGGCTGCAAGAGCAGGGTGAGGGGAGGGGTGTGTTTGTTGACGATCATGCGCTGCGGCTGCATTGCTGTAATCGTCAACTTTCCTCCTGTCGCGTCCATTGTCCACCTCCGTTTCCCTTCCCTGACGCCCTCCCCGCCTCCTTCCTCCCCAACCCCCCGTGCAGGTTGACACTGGCTTCATCCTGAAGTACGCTGACGAGCTCAAGGAGCCCCCACCGACCCCCAAGGTGAGGCGGGCGTGGATGTAGGATGTGGGGGTGATCACCTCGCGGGGGAGGTCACATGATGACACGCAGTTCCCCTCGCACTCGGGTCACGAACCTCCTGCCAGCGGCGTGTCCCTCCCCACCTGCCTGACAGCTCCTCCCTAACATGCAGCACGCTTTGCGAGCTGTAGCAGGGCAGGATATCGATACCCTCTGCTGTTGTCCTCATTGGTCCCATACCCACCCGCGCTCCTCCCCACCCACCTCTCCATTTCCGCAGCTGCGTGCCTACATGAGCGACCTCATCAAGTCGCGCAAGACCAAGTCCGTCAAGGCCTAAGCTGATGCAGCTGCAGTCGGGCGCATTGGGCCGCTGGTGCTACGAGGAAGTGACGAGGTCGAGGGATGGAGAGTTGCGACGAATGACCTTGCCACATCTTACTGGACAGAAGCTAGGGCTACTTCTTGGTGTTTTGGGTGCTCGGAGGAAGAATGTGGGGGCCAAGGGAATGCGACACATCTGACCGGTCTTGGTCGTGCGGTTTAGCGGCTATTCGTGAAGGGCTAGATGTACGGCACTCGTATCCCATGGCTGTACCGTACGCAAAGCTTCATAGGGGATATCGGGTGTCTGGCTGAATATAAACCTTTGGGCGATGATTATGGGAACATGGTTGGGGATAAGTGACGGGTGCCTCTTGTGGTCGTGTGTGCACGCAAAGTGCACCAGAAACCCATGCGACATGCAGGATTGAGCTAACCGAATGCTGCCGCGTATTTGGGGTGCCTTCGGCGGAGGGCACGGGAGGTGTTCGTATGCGCGATGCTTCTTATGTACCCGAGTCCCACGCCCTTTTTGGTGCCGCATGCGCGTAGCTGCGGCTTTTCCTTTGTGGCGTGGTTGACCCCATTGCTTTTGCCATAAGCTACGTGCTGAATCATATATATGCTGTGTGCGTGTTTAGCACGATTGGGGGCGGGGAAAACGGTGGGCAAAAGGCCCCATGCATTGATGGCGGGGGTGGGCCCTATCGAATGTGTACCTGAACCCATCTGCACGGCCGCGCGCACGTACCTACTGATGCATATTGTTTAGCCACCTAACCAATGCCCAGCCCAAACTAAGACTGCAATAAGCCTGAGGCACCGATAACGGTCACTTCGTCTATCTCCTTCACCACCTACCCTACCTACGACATGCATTCTTCTTCTATTCTACTACGACAAGGATCCTCAGTTGTCCTTGTTATCCTCCAAACACAGTACGATGCAAATGGCATCCGAGTTTGTACCGTACACGGCCCCCGTGGCTCAACACAGACACTTCCTTGCCAAAGCTTTTGCCATTTGAAGCGAATCCGGAGGCAATGACCTCACCCCATATACCCTGAAGCCCCTACAGCAGTTCATTGCTAGCTTCATCCATGCAACCTGCGCTCGCTCCCTCGCCACTCGCCCTGTAACTGCCTCACCTCCCTTACCCACCAGACACTCTTGCCAGGGTTCCCACACACTTGTCGCCAGCCGCGATAGGTCCATACCTCTATAAGCCCTCATCCCACATCTCCATGCACCCGAATCCCCCAACATGTCACCCGCATGCGCCCTACGCAGCTGCAGCCGCCGAGGTGGCCGACCCAGTGTGCGACTGCCGGGTAAGGAAGGCGGCAGCACCCCCGTGACCCCCGCGCGCCCGTATGGCCCCATGTTGGCGTTCGCCTTGCTCGCCCCTCCAGCGCTCGCACGTCATCCGACACACACAATGTACCCCTGACCCCCTCATCTATTTATTACACCGTTCTGAATCCCCCCACAACCCCACGCCTCCCCTCTCTTCTATGCGCCTTTCCTAGTGCTAGTACCCCGGCAGTGATATAGCACTGTAGGCTCCTATACCTGCCCCGATTCCCCTCCCTGCCCAACCATACCCAGTGAAGGCGGCGGCCCCGACGCTGTTGTCCCCTGACCCCGATCATCCGCATTCACAACTTTAGAAAAGTGTTGCTCATACCGCCGCGCGTACGCCGAAGCGTCCTCCCCCATCGCCGACAAGAACTGCTGCTTGCGGGTCACGTAGCCGCACTTAACCCTCCGGGCTAGGTCCGGGTCATCTGGCTTCATTTGTTCGTATGCAAAGTAAGGCGGCATGCCGGCCGCCGCAACAGCTGCGAACATCAGCCCGTCGAGCTGATGTACGAAAGATCCAAACTCGTACAATTTGACGTCAACCTCATTCGCCGCCATTAGCTCGTCCAAATCAAACGGCAGGAGATCCGTTGAACGCTGGTGGCTACTGGCCACTCGCGCACTGGCACTGGCCAGCCCCACACGCCATCCTAATGCCTGCTTGAGCCAAAGATCGTCCAAATCCGATGCTTCTAAGAGCAGTACGACATCGTACTGCAACAACATGAGCCTCGCTGCTTCCAAATGTGTCGTGTTGATGCTGCCTGTAGGCGCGTAAAACACAGCCTCCCCTAGCAGCAACCGAATGTAGTAGTTGTCAACCGCTGCAGGTGCGAAGCGTCTCCAGTAGTCCGCGTCCCGGCCCCGGAAGAAGGGCTCGTACGACTTGCCGTACTCTGTACGGTACACCTTGATGATCCAGCGCACGTGAGAGCGCAGTCGTGCTAGCGGCTCCCGTAACATGATGACGTTGAGGAAGTGCGGACACACATGGGCTGAACTCCAGGGAGGCTGGGGTCCGGAGGAGGAGGAGGTGACGTTGCTTATCGCGTCTCCTTCAAGACCGCCATGTGCTGCGAACTCGTTGGAATAAAAGGTGAAGTGTCTTCGTAGCATGTACTCGTCCCTGGCGACGGGACAAAGAAGGGAAGGAGGTTTGTTAAACGGGACGGCGGATGCGTTTCTTACGTACGGCTAGAGCTTTCGCCATGCAGCCCAACCCAAATCATTGCTGTGGACACGTCAGCTTGGCTGACCCACATCACCAAGTCTCGCCCCAACCCTCCAGCTGCCACCGCTCGCCACACACCTGTACTCGCAGCTGCGCTCGCCCCGCCGAACCAAGTAGCGGTAATACCACCGCCAGCCATCTGTTGGTTGCGTACGGTTGTGCTCTGCAGCGGAGACCCAGCGCGGCCGGTCATCAAAGCGACGGACCATACAGTTTCCGTAGTTTGTGGTGCTCTCAGCGGAGCAGCCGTTGCGGTCCGCGACTTCACACATTGATGTTCCGCCCGATTTGGAGATGTGTAGAAACTCGATGGCTCCTTTTGCAGCAGCTCCTTGCCGGTGCTTGTTAAATAAGGTACGCAGGATGCGGAAGACCAGGTGGCTGGTCTCTGATCCCGGTTCGCGCATATGCGCTGCGGCTGCATCCTCATCGGGTGACAGACCTTGCGTGCGTAGGCGCAACTGTAGCCGCACCAGCGCTGCCAGTACCACACGGCGCGTGACCGGGTGACATGACGCAGGGCTTAGGTGTGTGATCTGCTCTACGAGTTCGGACAGCTGGGAGTTGACCGTTTTGGCGTCAAGCAGGGAAGTCGAGGTGTCGTGGTTGGCGAGGGATGCGAGGGATCGAGCCAGGGAGATGGCCTTCATGGTAGCTGCGCTGCGCCGCGTGGCATTTCCCAACTGGCCCGGAGTAGAGCTGGTCGGTGCACGACTGAAGGTGTCGTGCAACTGCTCAGGTGCCGACAGGATGGTATCCAGCGTAGTCTCCAGCCCTTCAAGCAAGGTTGCGTTCCCAAGTACATGACTGAAACGGTGCAAGAAGACTTGCTGAACACGGAGAGCGCCATACGAGTCAATCGCTTCGTCTCTGTAAAATCCCTTCAGTAGGCTACTGGTATTTGAAGTATTAGGATAAGCTTCTAAAGCGTTTTGGTTCAAGTGTCGTGGCGTCCTTGCCACGGCCCACGTCTCGTAGCATGCTAGCAATAGCAGCGCCAAGGCTAACCGGCGGCAAGGCAGAAGCATTAGACTTAATGCTATGGCTCCATTGGTTTACCATGCGTGACATCCTGTGCCTTACCGGGGCTGCTGCTTGCGCTGGAAGTGGAATCGCTCCAATCGCGTTTACGAACTCGCTCCGAATCTTGTTAATATGCACCCTGATGCAGCGTCCATTCCCCTTTCTGCCTGGAATATGGTACACCTTGCGAATGGCTAAGTGTTTTGGATGAGCAAGGATCTCACTGGCGTGCCAAGCGGATAGCTGACCAGAGGCCACAGCACGACACTACGTAACACCTTGCCTGCCAAAGTGCCAATAGAGCATCCCGCAAATGATAATTTACAGTCATGAGTGCCCAGGCTGTGAGGGAATAGCGCAAAGGCCATGAGAGGCGAAGCAGGACGAATACGCCTGACAGGACCGGTACGCTCGAAGGCTTTTCACCCCAAGCCTACAGAACAAATGCCGCCACGGAGTCACGAGGAGGCTGAAATCCGCTTCCTCCTTTATACGGACACCCAAACACCATACATAAGACAGCTGACTTGCTTGCAAGGCATAACGTCCCAGGGTTCACACTACTCCACTAGACACCACCACTACCCCACTAAAGACAGCTTGCTGCAGCCGCGCCTGCGGAGGCGGCTGGTGTGGCCCGCCACACCCGCATGGTTCCGGTACTCGTCCTGCTGGACCATGGTACCCGGGGCGCAAAGGGCTCTACGGGCCCTAGGCAAGCAACAGCGGCGACCTGCCTTTATTTTACCCATACCCTTTTTTGAAGTCCCCAAACTGAAGCCCTCAGCTGTGCCGAGGTTGCCCCCACCAAGCCGCTTCCACCGACGTTCCGCACGCGGCTGCAGCTGCCAGTCATCACACCAGCTGCGCCGGCGGCCTCCCGTGCGCCACCCCTGCCTCCGCCACCGCCGCACCTCCTTCCCCTGCTGCCGCACCTCCTGCTGCCGCCTCCGCCGCAGCTGCCAGCAGGTGTGTGTTAGCCGCACCCCGGGTCTCAACCAACTGGGGGGAGGCGGAGGGGGGGCGCGGGGGAAAGAGAATCAGGCCAAGCTGGCACCGCAAGGCGGGTGGGTTGGGAGGAGACCCGCTACACGGGGGAGTATGTGTGTCATGGTGCCGAGACTCAAGCGCACGGCCAAGCCGTTGCAAAACGGGGGCAGGGGGTGGTTGGCAGGGCGCAGGGCCCCACCCCACTCCAAACCCCTCACCTTCAGCAGCATCCTCCACTGCTGCACCGAGGCTCCCGCCATCTCCGGGGCCAGCGGCGCCACCGCCGCAGCCGCCAGCAGCCGCCACACCTCCGCATCGTCGACGCCGCCAGCAGCAGGGGTGGCAGCAGGGAGGGAGGCAGCAGGAACGGACGAGGTGTCATCGCCGCCTACCGCGCTGCTGCTGCTGCTGCTGGTGCCAGTGGTAGTACCGATGCTGGCGGTTGCTGCTGCTGCTGCCGCTGCCTCCGCCTCAGCGACTGCACGCAGGGTGGTGAGGGCGGAGGCGACGGAGATGAGGCCCTTGGGTCCGAAGCCCCTGCGGGAAACAGGGAGCAAGGCGGACGTAAGTCAAGGGAGGAGCGCAACGTGTTGGTGGTTGGTGTGGAAAACATAGAAGGCGTCCTTGTGGGTACGACAGCAGTTGGGATGGGCAGGTACCGGTATCAGGGCTGGGCAAACCACCCATGTGATTTGAACCATAGCGGCCTGAACAGCAAAAGGCCGCCTGCGCCTGACGGCCCGGCGCCTGAGGCGCCTGAGAGCGCCTCAGGGAGCGGGGAACGCTCTTCACGGGTCACATGCCGACCCGCGGGACTCACACGAAGCGCCTGCGCATGCACTCCCGTGTCACCTCCCGCGCCAGTGCCGCCAGACCCCCACTGCCGCTGCTGCTGCTGGCCTGCTGCCCCTGCCCCTGCCCCTGCTGCCCCTGCTGCTGTTGTGGCAGTAGCTGAGCCTGCTGCGGCAGCGACAGGATTGGTGATGCAGGCGCGCAGCTGAGCAGGGAGGCACACGAGTGCAGCAGACCTGTGGAGGAAGGGGGGCGGGGGGAGACAGGAGAGTGAGGGCGGCAGCAGCAGCGGAGCCATGGCGTTGGTTCTTTGCGGTGGGTGAAGGACGATGAAGCTGGTCGGTAAGGATACCCGCCCCGCATGTCTTACCTACACCCGCAGTCCTTCCCACCCACCACGTTTCTCTGCATCTATGTCCTAACCGCTGTGGCTTGTTTCCTTAAGACCCAGGGGTCATTCTGCCTCCAGCTTCCCCGCCCCCTGCCCCAGCAGCCTACTGTATAAGTCGGTACATGGGACTGTGCTTCACTTCTCATTCCTTTATCGCCCCAGCCGCCCCTTGCCCCCCAACCTGCCTGTCAGCGTGCGCGCATCGCACGAGGGCAGCCGCGGCGGCAGCGCAGACGCCACCACCGCCAGAGCGGGGGGAGCGAGGTCCAGCACGCGCACGGCGGAGGCATGGCCCGCCGCGGCAGCGGCCTGGGCCCTAGCCATGACCTGTGGTGGTGTGGGGGAGGATGAGGAGACCCGTGTGGGGGTGGGGTTGCATGCGGGGGAGTAGTGGGGAGCACGGGGAGGAAGCACGCAACAGGGATCTAATTACAACCCAAACCCGCACCTGCAGTGCTTCACACAGCTTCACCGTCAAGTTAACTTGACCCTATCCCGCACCTGCAGCACGGTTGCCATGGCGATGCTGTCCGCCCCCCGCAGCCGCTCCGCTCCGTAGTCCAGAAATGCGGCGGCCAGCGGCAGCAGCGGCGGCTGCCAGTAGCCCAGCGCCACCAGCGACCACAGCAGCGTGGACAGCTCGCGGGTGGGGAAGGCGCCCTGGGGGCGGGCAGGGGAGCGCAGCAGAGCAGGGGTGGTGGGTGGGGACTTGGGAGGGCGGCAGCATGGGACAGCAGGCAGACATGCAGGCAGGTGGGGCACAGCAGGCAGCAAAGGGGAAAGGAGGGGGGGACGTACAAGGAAGGGCATGCAGTTGCACATGCAGAACAGTCGCTGCTTGGTGCGGCACAGTCCGTGCCAGAGTGGTACGGTGTTCGGGCCGGGTTCGGTGTTGCTTTCCCTCCTGCATGCCTGCCCGCTCACCCCCACCTGCGCCAATCGCGCGGTGGCGGCCCGCACCAGCCGCTCCGTGAGCTCCGCCAGGCGGCGCTGGTGGGGCTGCAGGGGGGTCTGAGAGGAGGAGGGGAGGGAGGAGGAGGGGGAGGTGAGGCGGAGGAGGCGGGGGCGGAGGGAGGGAGGGGCAGGAGGGACAGGATGGGAGGGGGTGTCGCATGTCAGGTGGTGTCGCACGAGTAGCGAGAAATGAGAGGAGGAAGGAAGAGCAGGATCCCCTTCTGTCCGCAAACCTGACAGACCCTCCTCGTCACTCACATGCACCAGCGACGTACGGCAAATCACCGACTGCTGCTGCTGCCGCTGTGGCGCCGGCTGTGGCGGCACTGTGGGCAGCCCTGCTGCTGCTGCCGCCTGCGCCGGCCGACGGGGCATCCCCGCTCCAGCACCTCCGCCTCCACCATTCCCCTCCAGCACTGCCCTTTCCGCCGCCGGTCCCACCTCCACCTCCACATCCGCCGCTGCCGCTGCTGACGTCACCGGCGGCGGCGGCGGCGGCAATCTCCTGCTGGCACGCAGCCGTGCCGCCTCCGCCGGCTGCTCCCGCCGCCACAGGTTCACCGTGCGCCGCGCCGCCGCCGCCAGCTCCTTGGCGTTCCAGCCGGCCGCCTCCGCCTGGGCTAGGGAGGCCAGCTCCTGAGTGGGGGTGGGGGGTGCGGGGTGGGGGGAAAGAGGGAGAACGATGTGGGGTGGGAGGGGTGGCGGCGGGGTGGGGTAGCAGCAGCAGTGGTGTTACGTGATTCGACGGGGTACCGTTTCGGCATGTGCGGCGTGGGACATGGAGCTTCAGGGCATGAGGTGAGACACCAGCGATAAAATGGTTACGACCGGAACAGACACATGGACAGATCCAATTGCGGAATTAGCTGATGTGTTATCCCCCAGTTGTCCGTACGGGACGAGGAGGCGGAGTGGGCTGGGTGGCGTAGTGGCCTACCTGCACAGAGCTCGTGTCCATGATTTTAGGGGAGGGTGCGAAGCGAGGTCGCCGGCGCCGCTGTTTGCTGCGTGGGTCCTCCGGATCGGAAACCTTAGCACCGCCCTTGCCCTTGCTGCTGCCGCCGAGTTGGGGCCAGCTGTGCTTGTTGCGACGTTGCTGGTCGCACTAAGCAGGGAGGCCATGCAAGGGGATGGACGGACGTCAGTTGCGATTAACGACTTCCGACGTCCTTGGACGTTGCTTTTCATGCGCACCATTTCAGCTTGAAGGGATGGAACGATAGCGGGGTTACACCCTAGCCATGTTCCGAAGTGATGGCTGAATGGGCCCGTGGGGTTGCTCAGTGACGGAAGGCACAGGGCACCAATCAGCGGCACAGCGCGGCTGTAGCGCTTTGGGTTCACATGGGTATAAGCCGACGGAACTGCAATTTGGCTTGAGGTAATAGGCGTGAAGTGAGTAAGAGTTGCAATGCTGCGCACGGCTACACCGCCAACGCTGCCTATTTGTGTACAACTACCTAGCAGGGACTGGTAAGAGACTGTTGTTCCGTATGAGACGTTAAGCTGCTTCAGCGCCCCCGCGAGTGTGCGCACCGCTGCGATGCACATCGCAGCGGCGTCGGCACCTGGTCGAAGTGTTAACATCAGTTATTGCACTTTTTCCAACAACCCATAGAAGGCATCGGGCACTTCCAGCTCCAGCAACGACGGAAGTCAAGGAGCAATTTGGGCTTGCCATCCCCGCTCCGAAACATTGGATCCGGACCACTTGCAGCAGGACTTGCAGGCGTTGCAGCCCTTGCAGTAGTTGTGAAAAGTCCAGGTCCAAAAGCTCCAGGCGACTGATCCAACACATTTCTATGCCTTGTTCCTGATATACAAAGCCTGTTGCCTGTATGATGTGGCAGGTTAAGGACGTGTACCGGTACACCGCGTGCTCTGACGCATAGTGCAAGATGGTGGTGGTGGCCATGAAATGCGCCAACGGGGCTCAACGTGGGGCCGTGGCTTTGCATACAGGTACTGTTGTGTGTTCGGGCCCCTCTGACGCCTCAACCGGGGTCAGACCGAGGGCAATCTTTACGGTGGTCCTACGTGCGCATGGGAGGCCCCTGAGCCGCATGACCGAATACCGGTACCGAATTGTTGCTTGCGACACACCTACAACCCCGAATTCACCACATCACCGTGCTTCACACCTAGCCTCCACTGCCTGTACAGCGAACACTACCACCCTACCTTGCGGGCTAGCGCCATACTTCCGCCTCCGCCGAACATGCTGCATGCGCTCTAGGGCACAGGAGCACGACCTGGTTTGCAACATTGCAAAACCACTTTTGCCCACCTTGCTCCGACTCCGGTCACCCAGCTATTGGACTGTTACTGGACTGTTATACCTGGCAATGCCGGCAGTCCCATTATGTCACTCCACTTGTCACGCCATCTGCTCTTTGTCACGCACCGCCCACCCGCATACCAGCCAGGAGGCACTGCCGTACTTGTGCCGCTGCCAGCCAGCAAGGCGACACGCTGCCGCCTCGCCCCCTCTCCTCAGCTACCGCACCTCGGCGCTATAAACAAGAAAGCTCGAACCTGGCACCCCTGCAGCTAGCACTACCTTCACCACCTCCCGTCAGCCAAGTCTACGGGCCAGCATCCGCTCCTTGCTCCTGTCAAAGTACGGCACCCAGTCAGTAAGGGCCCCCAACGGCTCTCAGTCACCACCACCCCCCTGCATGCATGTATGCAGTCATTGGAATCGAATCGCTTTCCTCATCACTCAATACCGTAGACGGACAGCCCTTGCAACAACACAGTCATTCCTACGCCGTGTCCTCGGGTTCCTCGCGGCTCAGCCAGGTCTCAGCTGTTTGTTTATTGTTTGTAAACATCACCAGTTCACCACCCTCTATCGGTGCTTGGGTGCTGCCGCCGCCGCCGCCGCAGCAGCAGCTGGCTGCCCCTCCTCGCCGGCCCCCGCTGCCGCCGCTGCGGCCCCTCTCAGGAAGAAGTCAGCGGACGGCAGCTTGCACGCGTTGACCTCGCAAATGTGCACCACCCCCGAACTAGCAGCAGCAGCCGCAGCGGCAGCGGCTGCCTTGGTTGCTTTGGCGGTGGGGGCGGGGGCGTCGGTGTCGGGAGGCGGGAGCGCTGCAAGTGCCTGCAGGGAAAGGAGGGCGTGTTGGGGAAACTGGCCGCGAGGAAACATGTACTGTGATTGGCGCGAGGTGAAGTGGAGGATGTGTTCAGCAACAGCGTCGACGGCTTAACACGCCCTGCTCGGCCCTGCCCCACACCACCACCCCATCACCTCATCCGGAACCCTTGCTCTGCCCCGTCCCTCCTCCGCTCTTCCTTACTTTTACCCCCCCCCCCCCCCACACACACGTATTAAATTCCCCCCTCCCCCCGCACCTGCTTCATGGTGACCCGCTCGAAGGGCTTCAGCTGCGCCAGCCCCGCCTGCCGCCACTCCGCAGCCGCGCAGTCCGCCGCCGCCCGCCGCTTGGCGTCACTCAGCAGCTCGGGGAAGAAGCGAGTGCCGGCAACCTGATATGAGGGCGGGAAGAGAAACATTCCCAGTGCGTTGAATGAGAATGTCAAACTAGACGACAAGCGCTGGGTGATTGGAATTGGGTTAGTCGAGCCGAACATGCGACGTGGGGTGGCATGCGGGCTGAGGGGGGTGGGAAGAAGGTGGGGTTCGGGTAGGGTGGGGTTGGGGAGAGGGCAGCATGGTTTGGGGCAGCGTGTGCCCCACCCACCCACCGTACTTCCATCAACGTGGTAAGAAAGAGATGTCGCAGGCTGACGCAGGTTCCCATAAGCAGGTCTACTACGCATGCGTCCCCTCTCCCCCCTCTCACCTGCTCCAGATCCTCTAGCGGTACCACATACGCCGACAGCGGCACCTTGGGGTCGATGGGCTGATTAGGCAACACAAAGGCGCCCACCGCCACCGACCCGCTCCGCAGCGCCTCCCGACCGCTGCTGCTGCTGCTTTTGCCCTTGCTGTTGCCGCTGCCGCTGCTGTTGCGGCCGTCAGCTAGGATGACCTTGTAGAAGTGGGTGGGTACTGCCACGAGACCGGGAGGCTTGCCTGGGTGCCGGGGGAGGGGTGGGTTAGGGCGGGTGGGTATGGTATACGGCGTTTGAGGCTGGAGGCTGCGGCCGGTGACTGGCCAGATGCCGATGCAGATGCGGCCGGTGACTGGCCGTTGACGTTGTCAAACTGCTGACTGCATCAGAGCATCCATGGCGCCGCTTAGCAGCCCAGTACCGGTACCCGCCCTCCCTTCCCGCCCTCCCTGCATACCACCGCTGCCTCTCTATCCCTGTCCGCTCCTCTCCTCAGTTGCTTCCTCCTTTTCCCCTCCTCCACCTCCGTCCCTCCCTCCCTCCCCCTCCCGCCTGCCTCCAGCCATACACCCACCCACCTAGCCAGTCGTGTGTCAGCGTCCATCGCGGCCCCTCCCCCTCCTGCGCCGCATGCGGCTGATGCTGCTGGGTGGGCAGCCACAGCGGCCCCGTGACCACGTACACGTCGCGCGCCACATCTGGGGTATGCGGGCGATTGTGTTAAGAAAGCTTGCGTGTGTATATAAGTGCGCGTGCGTGCAAGGAGAGGTGTCCGGGGGCCCAGTAAAGGTGCCAGGGCGGGGCGGGGTGTGCGAGGTTGCTAACACCTGGTTGCGGCGCACGGCCCGGTATGTTCGCAAAAAGGCGGGGGTTCCGTACATAAAGCTCAGACGCTACAGCGGATGACAAATGCATAACCCCAAACGCATAGCGAACCCCTTATCAATGTTATCATCCACTCACAGCCCGCCCACCGGTATGCTGCTGCGCCCGCCCCCCAGCCGTCTCCGCCCCACCCTGAGGTTCTTCCCTATTCCCCACCTGTAAGCTCCTTCACGAAGCGCTCGAACCGCGACCAATAGTCCCGGTTGAAGCCCTTGCCGGCCTGGGCGGGCGGGCGTGGGGAGGGCGGGGTGGCATGAGAATGGGAGGGAGCTAGGAGGAGCGGGGAGCCACAGAGGAGGAGGGGGAAGGGACGCAGGCAAGGGTGTTCATCCCAACCGGCCGTCCCTGTCGCATCCACATCACCTGGCGGCCCTTACCAAGCCTTACAAGACCCTCTATTGGGACCTGCATGAGGCCCCTGCATGCGGCTCACTCCTCACCACCGCCCCGCTAGCTGCCCCGCCCCATGCTATTCTTCACAGCACGGATCTGCCTCCCTCATCCATGCCCCCACCTGCGGGCTGATGTTGACTAGGCTGAAGGTCTCATCCATGGCCTTCTGACTGGCCTTGTGGTTGGCAGCGGGCGCCTGGGTGGGGGAGATGGGAGGGAGGGGGACAGGGTGGGAGGGCAGGTTGGGAGTGAGGGTGAGGATGGGCGGGGGGTAGCCGGGGGCCAGGGCGGCTCACATGGTCTTAGACACAGCTCACGGACGGACTGCCGACATGAGGAAGAGGTAGACGAGGCCGGCATGTTTCGGAATCGAGTGGCCTCACTTAAATGTACGCGTCATGTATGGTACTAGCGGACATGCGTTGCGCTCATCCTCCCGCCGGTGGCACCAACACCTTCACACCCCGCCAACCGAACCCATGGTCATGTGCCCCACCATGTGTCCCCGGTCGTATCCCGAGCCGCGGAAGTCAGCCAGCTTGGCGCTGAAGCGGGGGTCCACCTCGGGGTCGGGGAAGAAGTCGGAGCGCTCCCTGGAGCGGCGGGGCAGCAGGGAGGGAAGGGGGCAGCAGGGAGGGGCAGCAGGGAGAAAAGGGGGCAGCAGGGAGGGAGGGGCAAGGAGGGAGGGAAGGGGCCATCACGCATGCGCACTTATGTATTGGACATCTAAGCCGCGAACCGACATTGCCCCCAAAGTCACGGTCGATGTGCCCAACTGGTTCATACACAGGCTTCTTAGCGCTTGCAGGCGCTCTTGCAGCAAACCCCAAGGCCCCATGGTTCTTTCCCCTTTGCCCTCATGCCCCCCACCTCCCCCCACCTCGTCGCCTCCCCGCTCCAAGAGGCGGATGTGAGGTGCTCCGCCACCCACTTGGGGTTGCGTGTACGGTAGTCGTACGCCGCTACATAGCCCTCGTACGCTCGTACGATGTCGGTCTCAGGGACGCCGTACTTAAGGGCCGGGTGCTCTACAGCCAGACCGCGAGCCACTGCATGAAGAATTGTACGGCAGGTGTGGACGGGAGTGACGGGAGTGAAGGGAATGTAGGGTGCATGGCTTTACAGGTTAGAGCTTTGGGGCCAGTGAGTCTAAGCCAGATGGAGGGTTGAGACGCTGACACGTCTTGCAGGGAGGTGAACGTAAGGCACACAGAGGGAGGGAAGGAGGGAGGGAGGGCGCATGCCGGCAGTCCGGCGGCTTACTGCAGCCGGATGGAGTAGCAGGTGGTGGGTGGGGTGCTGCTGCGTATGTCCTGTTGGTTCGGATGCAACACCCGCATGCCACGTGACGAGCGCTGACGTACCCAGGATGTGGGTGCGATGGGTGGACACCCCGGGCATGTGGGCCGTTACGGCATGGGAACCCCATGATGCCATAAGGGTTCAGCCCTGACGCCGGTTGCACTGGTACCGGTATCCGTACCCTTGTCTACTGACTCAGAAGCCAACCCGTAACACCCCCAAGCCCCTGGCGGGCCCCAGTCCCGGGCGTTCCTCCCAAAAGCAGCATTACTTCGGGGGTCAGTTTAGCGGGTGCTCGGGTGCAGCTTTCGCCCACCTTGCTGCGGCTCCTGACGCTTCACGGCAGACAGGTAGAGATAGCATCCACCGGCTCCTACCGCCACACCCAGGCCAAAGCCGGCTATGAGGCCCCTGTATTAGGAGTAAGCGCATCAGTGGAAGTGTGGCAACGCCCTCTTTTGCCTCTAGGCACTTTAGCAACGACAATTCTGCCTTCCATACCTCATTGGCCCCCAGATAGCAAACCTAGATCCACATATAGTACAATTATAATGTCCGGAAGCTAAGGGTGAGAGACAGAGAGAGAGATGCCCAGCCCGCTCCAATTGGTCTCGCCGTACAATGCTTCTACAGTGCCAACTGCCAAGAGCCCTTCAATGCCAATCAGGTTTACCCTCATACCATTGTATTATTACTTTGTACTACACGCTGCTATCTTCTTTATGGCATCATAGAAACTTTGCGTACGGCAGTAGAAAGTTCCATAAATTGTAAGGTCTTTTGCTCCATTCACCTGTGATTTCAATTGCTCGCTTGCGCGCTGCCCCGGAGCCTTGCCGGGCAGCCCTACTTCGATGCGTTAGGACAGCAATTCTTGATGTTTCTAAATTAGGGCAGGAGAAGCGATTACAAGTTCCAAGGAACCTGCTATTCAGTGAATACCTGCAAACAGATCGCAGCTGCTTGCTCTGTCATGTGTGAGGAATACGTTGTCAAGCGGACCACAAGTGAGCCGCGCTTGCTTGCATGCCTCGAATTTTCCGACTGTGTTTCTACGGGAGACGCTTACCAAATACCTGCATGCTCTTGCAGTGCCTCAGTATGGAGAATGTGAATACTGGGATGAGAGGTACTCGCGGGAGCCTGCCGCATTCGATTGGTACCAGGGCTTTGCGGGACTGTACGCCATCCTGCGGCATGTGTTTCCGATGGACTCCAGGCTCTTGCAGGTAACGCGCTAACTGTTAGCTACCTATTCCCTCGAACAAGCCCGGAATTTCACCAACCAGCCTAAGCTGCGTTCCTCACCTCTTTTATCCTGATTCCTCGGTTGCCACACCTCAAATTGCATGCAGGTTGGCGTGGGCAGCTCTCGGCTGCAGGAGGAGATGGTTCGTGCTGGCTGGCGCTACATTGTCAACATTGACTACAGCAAGGTGGTCATCTCGCACATGTCGGAGCTGCACAAGGGGATGGAGCAGCTGCGCTACCTCGTGGCGGATGTGAGGTGAGTTGGACCACGTACTGCAGACTTCTGGACCCCACAAACTCGGCCAAGATCGACTGCTTAAGGCCTGGGCACCTTGCACCTGAACACTCCCTCGCCCGCTAGATGTGCCTTATCAGCCTGCACCCTGGTTCATGTGCTGTACCCTGCCCTGTTTTGCCTTTCGGCATTCAGCTCTCATACCTCATACCGCTCGTATGCGCTCGCTTGCCGCGTTTACAGGAACATGCCTCAGTTCCCCGACTCCTCCTTCGACGGTGTGATGGACAAGGGCACGCTGGACGCCATCCTGTGCGGCGAGCGCAGCGGCCAGCACGCATCAGCCATGATACGCGAGTGCTACAGGTGAGCGCTGCGAGCGCGGCGGCGAATGCGGCTTCCCGCAACGGCAGCCTCACATGCACCCTGCCAGCGATTGACGATTGCGCATAAACAAGCGCGGGGCAGAATATGCGGCACATGCGAACCACCGCTGAAGCCGACTCACGCCTGCTCGTGCGCCCTCCCCCGCTCCCCGTCTCCCTCTCCGCAGGGTGCTTAAGCCCGGCGCCTCGCTGATGCTGGTGACGTACGGCGACCCCTCCAGCCGGCTGCCGTACCTGGCAGAGGTGGTGGGCTGGGACGTCACTGTGTACGCGCTCACCAAGCAGGAGGTGGTGGAGGCGGAGGACGCGGAGCCCGTGGTGCGGCCGCTCATAAAGGGTGAGGGCGGAGGTTTAAGAGGAAATAGCGAAGTAACTATGGGATGGCCTTGTATAATAACCAGAGTAACCATCCTTGCTGGCAATCAATGTTCATACATACTCCTTTTGCTGCTGCGACGCAGCCTCCTATGCAGCCCACAAGCTACAACTCACCCTCGCGCCGCCCTTTTCCCTCCGCTCCCCTCCCTACAGGTCCCTACCCCGCCAGCAACTTGGACTGCATGGACGCTCTGTCGGGGTTGGAGGGCATGCACTTTGTCTACATTTGCCAGAAGCGCGAGGTGATTGCGGATGAGGAGTTCCTGATGCTGCAGCAGCAGGGGACGTCAGCGGGCCTGGAGGAGCAGCGGCAGCAGCAGCAGCAGGGGACGGAGGGGCAGGAGAGCCAGGAGATTCAGGGAGCTCAGGAGCAGCTGAAGGGCCAGCGGAAGCAGCAGACTGCGGAGGAGCAGTTGCTGTTAGAGAAACTAGAGTTGCATAAGCGCCAGGGATCGCCAACGTCGCCGCCGCGAAGGCAGCGGCAAGCGGATGAGGGGGAGGCGGAACAATTGCGGGAGTTGCAGGACCAGCAGCAGCACAGGAGAGACGGCCTGCTTCAACCCATGCCAGCTGCAAGTCAGGGTGTGGCGCCCGGCAGCAAGCTTTTGAGTGCTAGCCCTCTATCGCAGGCTGCGGGCCAAGTAGCCATGTCGCCCTCGCCGCCTCCGCAGGCACACACGGCTGCCGTGGCAGCTGAGGCGCGGTGACAGTGGCGGTCTCCTGATGCCGCGGCTTGTTAGTAGAATGGTAGGCGGAATGTATGAGGTTGTTAATGCTTGGGCGCGACAGTCATTGCCAGCATCCCAACTGGGCGGGCTTCAGCTGGGTTTCGCTCAGGTGGGGAATGCAGCCGTTCGACATGTGCATGTGCTTCATGGGTAAGGGCGGCGATGGTCGGTCTGCAATGCATAGGTGATCCTTGGGCCTCACATGTGTGGCACGCTAGTGGCATCGGATTACTGACCCATGGCTGATCAGGACGCTATGGGCCCATGGATAGTTGCTTCATGGGAGCCTTCGTGAGCAAGGCGGCGCTCAGTCACTGGGGCTTTGCTAGGATTAACAGGCTGCACCGTGTGGGCCGGCATGCTTCCAGCCGCGTCGCGTACTACCCTTGTACAAGGGTCCCGACGGAGGAAGATGCTTAACGCTAGGACGCAGGCAGGCAGGGCACAGCGTAACCACTTATTTAGTTGGCAGGATTTAAACGTTACGGCGATGCTCGTCTCTATGTAACTAGCAGTGGACAGGGGTTCTCTGCCGCGGCATGGGATGCGTGGTGTGTGCGGGTGCTAGTGATACTATGATTGTGACACCTCATTGGGGGTAAGGACCTGCGACAGGGAATAGATATTAAGGGGTGTGGATTGCATAACCGGAGGCCGCATTGAAGAGCTTCCCCTTGGTGGAGTGATTACCGGTACACCCTAGTGCACGGGCTGAGACAGGCTTGCTGTCATCGAACCTTGTTGGGTCCCGTTGCTGCTTTAGGATACAGGTTCTAGGCGCAAGAGCTTTCCGTGTTTGTCCTCGCCGCTTGAGCATTTGGGATAGGACCAAACACCAACAAGGGGCGCTTAGGCAGTTGGCAACATAACTATTGATTGGCGGGGCCATGTACTTAATGTGTGTGCTTGCAGAATGGCAGTTTTCGGAAGTTCCATTTGCTAGTAATAAGTGGGAGAGTATGGGAGTAAGTGGGAGAGGACGTGAGCAGACTCAGTGGGGTTAGGCATCCACACAGTACCTATAAAGCACCTAATATAAACGTCTTTCATAATTAGTATACCAGGAGTATACCTACAGTATCTAGGCATGTGCATCTTGGTCCACGTGGAGCACGGAATGCAGGCACGTAGGCATGTAATCACCTCGACCATCGGCAGTATCAGACTTCCAGACTAGGTTGATCCTGCACCCGAGAGCACAATACCCGCCACCTCTGCACATCCTCCGGCGCCCTCTGGACGACACTAGCCATACCACACCTCGTGCGCTCACCACATAGCTGTACCGCCCGTTGCAGCTTGAAGCGCGCGCAAGCCGGCATGCTCAGTCCCCTTGTCCAGCGAAGCGCATGGTCACATCACATGGCACGCTAGCTCTCTCGCGACAAGCCCCTCGTGCCCAGCTTTGCTTCTTTACGTCCTTGAATGCTAGGACAAAGAATAGGATGAAATTGCTTGCGTACACCCTTAAAGGTTCAAGGGCGTCTATCTATTTTCTTTTGCCAATGCCAAGAGGCCCCTACCTATGGTCCTTCGCCTAAGCCCTCTACCCAAATACGGTACGCATCGTCCCTGGAACCTCTTATATAAAGTCTTCCTAAAGTGTTAAAGGCGGGTAAGGGTAATGGCCTAGCCAGGCCCCAACCACCGTCTACGCGCTGGCGTCAGCCTGCAGTCCGTGCAGCCTGGTTCTGCATCTCTCATACTGCGCCCTCACAGTGTCATCTATTTCGTCATCCCCCTCTGTGCGCCCTGCTTCGCACCCCTGTACACTGCCTGGTCTTCACCATCTGCTGTCCCCATACCTCCCCTTCATCCTCCGCCGCTCCCCAGCATCCTGCTTCTTCCCAACCTCTGCTACCTGCTACCTTCCTTGCACCCGCTAGTCCTCCGGCGTCGGTGGTTTCGGCTGCTGCCAGCCAAACAACTTCAGGTCCGCCGCGTAGAAGCTCGACAGCGCCTCAATGCAATCGTAGCCACACTCTCGGTACTTCCCCGCGTACACGTAAGCAGCCGCGTCGGTGCTGTTGATATCCTCCTGCTGCACAGCCGCGCCCTTGTTGCGCCAGACAGAGGTTTGCGGGATGACGATGGGGGGCAGACCCGCGGGTCTGCGGGAGTTGATGAGCTCCGTGGCCGCCTGCATATCCTCATCTAGCCGCTCATACCTGCGCGGAAAGGTATGCATTCACTTGCACGGTTCAGGTGGTTGTACGTGATGCAGACGCCAAGGACGGAGGGCTGAGCTGCCTCGGTTGCTCGTCATACACTCACACTAGAAGACATTTATGCAGTTACGGCACAAGGCAGGAGACCCTATCTCACGTTGCAGGGCCGGGAGTTACGTCGGCAGCAGTGCCTAGGCAGCCCCACCTGATTACAAAATCCACAACCAGTCTCCCTTCTTGATCCACCATGCAGGCCGCGGCGGGCTCCACGTGGCAAAAATCAAAGTTCCAGTGGCCCTCATTGCGTGGGCCCACGCCCTCGCGCCGGCCCACACAGGAGAAGAGGTTGGAGAGCTTGCCCATGATGAAGGGATCTCTGTGCGGCAGGCCATGGGAAGAATGGCGAAATGCGGCAAAGGTTTGCCTTAACGTTGCAAACCGTCTTTGGATGAGCTCACCAGGCCATGCACAGCGCTGCCCCGGCCAATACGCGGATACTGAACACTCTTCTCCAGCTCCACACCCGAGTCAAACAATCCTAACAGGCACTGCTGCGTTCGAACGTCCTACACAGCCGCACCTGCAGAACTGAAGGAATGAAGGCTGCTGGCAGCCGCCGTCCCGCCGGTGCCACTTGTCAAATGTGAACTGGTACCCGCTCGCGGCGCGCGCCCATGGATTGCGGCTGCTGGTAATGACCAGGTAATCGCGCCACATGGCATCTGGGTCGCGGCCCTCCCTCAGCAGCTCCTCAGGATCCATTCGTTTGCTGCAGTTGTTTTGCGGCAGCCCGTCGGCGTCGCGAGTAACATTGCACAGGCCCTTTTCCAGCATAAACTTTTTAACAGCGGTTAGGAATGTAGATGAGGCTGTTTTGCGGTTACGTACAAAAATGAACTTGTAGGTGGGGTTCAAATAGACACCGCAGATATACGACAGTGGTGGTTGTGGTGGAGGGGTCCTGCTTGAGGTTGGAGGTTTGCCAACGGACTGGTCCAGTAGGGAGTATTTGCGGAGCCATGCCTGTCGGGAGTGATGGGCGGTAAGGGTACACGCATGTACCAGATGGTAGACGTGGAAGTGTGCAGGGGTTTAGGCGCCAGGATGCGGCCCTGGCACGCACGCAACGTAGACGTATGTCATCCCGTGCATCCCGTGCGTGGATGGGTGTGGCCGTGTGAGCGCATGCCCCTAGCAGCTGGCGCTGATAGCAATGCGTGTCCTTACATGATGACCAAAATAGGCAGACAACGCCCCTAGTAGGAAGCGAGGATAGTAGCCCACCTGGAAGGGAACGACATCAAAATTTTCGTGGTCGTACTTCCATGTTGGCAAGACTCCTTCCTTCTTGGTAATAAGCGACAGCTTGGATGGGGTACCCACAAGCCTCTCCCAGTAGCCTCTGCCTCTCAAACTATCGCCATTTACTACGGCTGTTGAGCCTCCGTTGGCACCATCGTCATTTTGCTGCTGTTGCAGCGCCACTAGCTGGCGCTTTGCAGATGACTTGTCCAGGAATATGAAAACAAGAAGTATGTAAGCTAAGGTAGGACGGTTCATCGGTGCTAAGGCCCTAGTATGCTCGGATATGGCATTAGTATATCGTGAAGTCGAACTCTTTTTGTGAGGGTCTTGCAGGTCAACTATTAACCTTCTGGCCGACGTCGTCAGCAACGTGCAGGTCCGGCAAGCTTGGCGCCTGACTGAAGTATACGATCAATCATTAGCTTGCTTGGCTTCATATAATAACAACCATTTTATTTAAAGCAGAAGCCAATTTAAAGTGAAAACGCGGAAGGGATGAGAGTTCCAAAACAGCCCTGGAAGTCAAAAGCGGATCGTGCAAGCCAGACTGTCCGGCAAAACCGTTGGTCTGTCCAGCTCGACATCCAAGGATCCAAAAACCTATGCCTGAATTTGGCTCGTTGTTGTGTAAGACAAGTATGCAGTTTACTAATACCAAGGGTTCCGTCCCTGTCCTTACACAAACTTGCACGCACGTCCTGGCTTTCTCAGCCCTTCTTAGCTAATGCCCTGTCAAAACAAAATATGTTGCTCCATAGAGAGCGCGAATAGCCAATAGGTGCACCTCATGGCAAGAGTCGCGTCCAAGAAGCACCCACACCGCTACCCATTTAAAAATAAAAGGTTGCTTGCCTTTTCGCCCAGAGTGGCAGACGATCCAGCTCCTAAACAACGTTCTCAACCTTTCAAACAAAAGGCACGTATAAAAGCTGGACCACCCTCCTAAGCCGCAGAAGTACAGCCCGGCGCATCATCCCTCAATGCCCGAACCCACTTCTTGCCTTGACGGCGTTCGACTTTCCCTCATAGTATGCTGTGTTGCTAACTCAATTATATAGCATTGAGCGGCAAAGCATATGAACACTGACCCACACCCTCAGTGTACTATTAGCCCCCAGCCACTGCCTACGCGCTGGCGTCGGCTCCGCGTCGCTCTATCTAGCTTAGTCATTATCCTGGTATGTCTCAAGTCTCTCATATTTAAGTCTACGCGGCCATTCCTCTCTGTGTAAGCTCTTCTCGTGCTACTCTACTCCACCACACAACTACCCACTCCTTATCTGGACCATTATTCCAGCTTCATATACCCTGCCATCCTTTCTCCCTGCGCTGCCCAACTGGTAACATTCATTTCCGCCGCTATTTCCCCTCTACTCTGAACCCAGTGCTAGCTGCCGCCGCTCTGCACCCGCTAGTCCTCCGGCGTCGGTGGTTTTGGCTGCTGCCAGCCAAACAACTTCAGGTCCGCAGCGTAGAAGCTCGACAACGCCTCAACGCAATCGTAGCCACACTCTCGGTACTTCCCCGCGTACACGTAAGCAGCCGCGTCGGTGCTGTTGATATCCTCCTGTGTTGCAGCTGTGCCTTTTTTGCGCCAGACAGAGGTTTGCGGGATGACGATGGGGGGCAGACCCGCGGGTCTGCGGGAGTTGATGAGCTCCATGGCCGCCTGCATATCCTCATCTAGCCGCTCATACCTGCGCGGAAAGGTATGCATTCACTTGCACGGTTCAGGTGGTTGTACGTGATGCAGACGCCAAGGACGGAGGGCTGAGCTGCCTCGGTTGCTTGTCATACTAGAAGACATTCATATAGTTACGGTACAAGGCAGGAGACCTGATCTTACGTTGCAGGGCCAGGAGTTACGTCGGCAGCAGTGCCTAGACAGCCCCACCTGATTAGAAAATCCACAACCAGTCTCCCTTCTTGATCCATCATGCAGGCCGCGGCGGGCTCCACGTGGCAAAAATCAAAGTTCCAGTGGCCCTCATTGCGTGGGCCCACGCCCTCGCGCCGGCCCACGCAGGAGAAGAGGTTGGAGAGCTTGCCCATGATGAAGGGATCTCTGTGCGGGGAGAACCACGTGGAAGGCGCTGAAAGAGTTGGTGGGTAAGATGCGGGACAAGTTTGCTGAAGCGCTGCATACAATCCTTGGATGAGCCGGCCATGCACCGTGCTGTCCCAGCCACTACGCAGATACCGGTAGTAAACTGCAACCGGCGCAGCATGGAAGACAACCAACAATGGGCACCAGCGGGCTCGGCTGTCCGCAACATCGCATGGGGAAGACCGCTAACCACGCATCGTGTGGATGCCCGCGTAAAGCACACGCACCGTCCTTTGAGCGCACTTCTCGAACCTTATACCCCAGCCAACTGTTATTACCACCTACTGCTACGCTCTGACGTGTTCCAAAGCCGCACCTGCAGAACTGAAGAAAGGACGGCTGCTGGCAGCCGCCATCCCGCCGGTGCCACTCGTCAAATGTGAATTGGTACCCGCTCGCTGCGCGCGCCCATGGATTGCGGCTGCTGGTAATGACCAGGTAATCGCGCCACATGGCATCTGGGTCGCGGCCCTCCCTCAGCAGCTCCTCGGGATCCATTCGTGAGATGCAGTTGTTTTGCGGCAGCCCGTCGGCGTCGCGAGTAACATTGCACAAGCCCTTTTCCAGCATGAACGTCTTGATAACAGTTAGAAAGGTAGACGAGGCTGTTTTGCGGTTACGTACAAAAATGAACTTGTAGGTGGGGTTCAAGTAGACACCGCAGATATACGACAGTGGTGGTTGTGGTGGAGGGGTCCTGCTTGAGGTTGGAGGTTTGCCAACGGACTGGTCCAGTAGGGAGTATTTGCGGAGCCATGCCTGTCGGGAGTGATGGGCGGTAAGGGTACACGCATGTACCAGATGGTAGACGTGGACGTGTGCAGGGGTTTAGGCGCGCCAGGATACGCCCCCAGCATGCATGCAAGTTATAATGGCGGTTGCCAATAAGTATGTCATCCCGTGCGTCCCTCACGTGGATGGGCGTGGTCGTGAGCACGTGGATGCCCCCAAACAACAGGCGCCTCTATGAAGGCATGCCCCAGACATCATGAAACCCGACAGGCACGCCTAAAGATAGCCAGCGACCTGTCCACGGTTTGCTCACCTGGAAGGGCACGACATCAAACTTTCTGAGGTTATATTTCCATGTTGGCAAGACCCCTTTCTTTTTGGTAGTAAGCGACAGCTTGGATGGGGTACCCACGAGCCTCTCCCAATAGTCTTTGCTCTTCAGAGTATCGCCGTGCGTTATGGCTGTTGAGTTCAGTGGACTCACGCTGGCACCATCGTTGACTTGCTGCTCTCGCAATGCCGCCGGCCGGGGCTTCGCGGACGACTGCTTCAGAAGTATGAAAGCAAGAAGTATATATACCAGAATAGAACGGTCCATCGGTGTTGGCGTGCCCGAGTACGGGCACTCATAGTATTCGGTATCTCACACAAATTCGCATGTAACACGGCCCTCGCGCATACGTCGCTACAGCTACATATCAAACTAACACGCGCAACGCGGGAGGGCGGGGTCCGGAAGGGGTCGTACGCATGCTCACAGAAAGTAGCCAACTAGGCACTCTCTGAACTAAAAAGCATAGCAGCAGGACCTTGTGGGCACGCCTCCGTCACGAACGCGTTCGTGAACTTGTTAAGGCGTTAGCATGCTGGAAGCACGTCAGTGCAACACAAAACCTAAAAGAATCATTTATTTTTGTATATAAAACAGTTTCCATTCCGAGTTCAGCTTTCTTGGTCATCAACATGCGAGTATGGCGAACTTCTCGCCTGACTGCCCCCTGACAGCAGTATACGTTTTACTTACATGTATTGCTACGGTAATAACCATGATAAACAAGTATGCAGTGACTCTAAAGCGTGGCAAGTTGCGTAAGGGATAAGATAACCGTAACAGCCAGAAAGTCACAAGCAGTCCGACAGAACCGTTGGTCTGTCCAGCGCGACGTTCAAGGACCCATGCATGTAGTGTGATAACGGCCCTTTCTTTGGCAAGAAGCTCCTGTAAGTAATAACACGTTTACAGCCCAACGATAGTGTTACATAGACAAACAAGCGCCTACTAACAGCCTATGTATGTTCCAACTCATTACTCCTTATTGAGTCCATTAGGACCCAACGTAACACTTATGTATGATGCAACTTCTTAATGTCTTGTTTTTCGCCTTGTGGCTCTCGACTACACATTCACACCACACATTTACGTCGAGGACCTGGCCCCTTTTGAAAAATGCAAACTGGAGCAGCATGCTTTCACAGGTCTGTAAGGCAAAGATGCCAAATGCAAGCTCCAAGTCGTGTCTTAGTAAACAGGATGGCGGGGTGGCTTACCAGGACATTTCCTTACTCCAATCCCTAGCCGACGGCCTTCGCTGTTAAGGCGCATGCAAAACTTCGAAATCGAGAAAAGGGTTATCAGCCGGGATCACGCTGCGCTAAGTTCGTAGGGATGGCCTACTTTGAGCACATCCGGAACAGTCGACAACAGTTGTGCAGCACAGCGCGTCCACCATCACACAGGCGCCTGATGGACACCAACGAGCGCGTTCAGAAACGCGAAGTGTCTGAGGAGGACGAACTGGCGTCGAGCGTCGACTGTTACACGGCACCTTATGTGCCGGTCGGCTTAGCAAGTAAAGCGTCGATTTCACTGTGCCGGAGCCGAAACTTGGTGCTCAACAGCTGTGATTTCTTTGCGGGCAAGCGCAAGGGCTCGCTAACAAAAAAGGTGAAACAGCAGGAAATAGGGTAGGATCACGTGGGGACGGTCAACCGTGCCATTACTGTCCTTTGCCTTACACCATGGCACTCAGCAGGAGTCTTGTCCTTGCAGTGCCTTTCATGAAGGTTGGGTTTCTTGCCTTCTTGCCTGCTGCTACTTTAGAATCACAACAATGCGTAACGGATGGCATCGGCTATTAACCCTCACCCTTAGTTTCCCATGCCGGTGCGAGGTGCGGTGCGACTGGCTTGCGACATGGCCAACACAAGCGAACTAGCGCAGCGCAGTAAGGAGCTGTACTGGCTCCAGTCCGTACACCACGATGTGTGGTGGGGAAATGCAACTCGGGTACGCTGGGGTACGCCTTCCCTGCATTCATTGATCTGCTTCCTAAGACACCATGCCAAGGGCCAGGCATCCGCCATGTCACCCTGTGTTATCGTCAATGGGTACACATTGACTACCTGTGCGGCGACAAGTGTCTATGGGTCGCAGTCTCTTTCGCGGCTGCCGTGCCCTCCTGCTTCCCTATCACGCCGTTTGTACGTTGCGGCTGTATGTCCCCCTCTGTTTTTTTACCTTTCTCAGTCCCCACAGCTCTCCCAATACATGTTTACATCCCTTTCCCCAACTCGTACCGCAGGACGACGACGCCGTCCGCGACGCCTGCGCGCCCGGCTCACCCAGCCTGGTGACCACCCCCACGCTGTTCGTGATGCGCGACCGCCACGCCAACTACGCACACGAGCTGGAGGTGGTGTCCATGACCTTCTCCTTCCTGGGAGCGCTGGATCCACAGGACGTGGCGCAACATGGGATGCAGGTGTGTGATCCATAGGTGTAGAGTGGAGTGGCGTGGAGGCAGCATTGGCTGCTCTGCCATACACCTTGCGGGCACCGGACGGCTTTAGCACTGCAGGCTTTACGGCGCTGTGTGCTCCTGGTGAGCGCACCGCAACAACAGCAACAACCGGTTTTGCATGCTACATTGCTGGTGAAGGCATCATAGTACCCACCCCAGGGACGAAACGGGTATGCGGATTGCCTGGCCTCTACCGGTAGGCAGTGGCCTCGATGCCAAAGCTTCCAGAAGCGTCCTCTCCAAGCATGCATGGCACCACATGCACGGCTCACGCATGCGCCCTCATGCTCCTCTCGCACAGGTGGTTATCGTGGACCAGGCGCCTCCCACGGGCTTCCTGGAGACCTGGGCGCGCATGTCCCGCCCGCACCGCCTTCGCATCCTCGCGCACGACCCCTTCCCGCCGGGCACCTGCTTCCGCTCCGCCTACCACGTCTACACCTTTGCGGCCGGTATCGGCTATAACACCAACCCTGACACCATCAAATGCGAAAGTCCCGTGACAACAGGCCTCAGCCACTGGCTGCGGCAGCTGTATGATGAGGGAGATGCAGGGCTTGTCGCGGCTGCGTCTGCGGAGGGCTTGTCGGGTGGTGCGGCGGCGCTAGCGACGGCGGGGCCGGCGGCTGCAGCAGCGGGCTTGGGGGGGCTGCGGCCTCCCACCGGTGGCATCGTGCTGAAGAACGTGGTGTGGCTGAGCCGGAGGTAAGGAGGCTGGGTATGGAAATTAGAATCCTGAATGCGGGCAAGTTGATTGGTGAATGAGGGCATACTGGCCACCTGCACACGGCAGATGCCATGGAATTTTAAATCATATCCCCAAAACAACAAGAATCGAAACACCCCACACCGCGGTCAACTCCGAAGCCGAAGTAATCTTTGGCACGGGCTTGCGCACGTCCCATGGTCGCAGGAACCTGGAGATGGTTCGGCTGTTACTGGACGCCGCTCTGGGCTGGAAGGCCATGCGAATGGTGCGCAACGAGGATGCGGTGGTGGCTGCGCTGGTGGCGGCGGTGCAGGAGTGGAACGCTGAAAGCTGCCTGCTGCGGCGCTTTGATCGAGCGGTGCAGTCGGTGGGTTGTTGGATGGGGACGGGGTTGGGAGTAGCGCACGGCGGAAGGTAATCGCGTGCCCGAGCTGCCCAAGTGGAGCCGCTCGTTATGAGACCGTCGGGTGCATGAGGAGCAAGCACTGAAAGGGGCTTGCGGACATTCCAGCTGTAGGGTTGCGTCGGGGATGCGCTGTGGCTGTGGTTTTGTCGGGCCGTGCCGCGAGGGTCTCAGAAGCGGACTAGAACGCATTCCAGTTGCACCCATGGCAGTGCACAGCAGCAACCATGAATGCTCCTGTCACCCGCTATGCGTCTTTCCCTTGCAGGAATATGAGCGATCGCTGCAGACGGTACATCCCGTACACTTGGGTCCTGGCACAGCGGCAGCTGAGGCGGCTGCAAAAGCGGCAAGAGCGTCCCGTCGCGCCACGGCGGCAGAGTATGTGGAGGTGCAGAAACAGACGCAGAGACCGGCGGGGGCGTCAGCTATTGCCACTAGTAAGGCCGTAAGCCAGCGTCGCGGGCTACTCCAGCATGTAGTCGAGACCGTAGGCGACTTGTGGAGGAGGGCTGCTGCCGTGGCTGGCTGGGAGGCTGTGGACAGTGGGTCAAGACCCATGGGTCTGCGCCGGCAGCTGGGCCAAGAAGATGGCGGCAGCAGCATCGACGAACACGGAAATGACGAGGACGAGGATAGCAACGTTGATGCTGCTGCTGAGGAGGATGAGGATGCTGGTGCCGCTGAGGAGGGAAGTGAAGCGGGGCCCATGCAATCTGGCGGCGATAGTGCTACTAGTGGAAGCAAGCTAGGGAACCGCACCGGCGCTGGCCAAGGAACAAGCACCTCAACCGTCAACAACTCCTCCACTAAGCCACCGTACGTTGTCAACGGCAACACGGTCATGTTAGATAAGCTGTGGGAAACCGAGGCTCCTGATGACGAATGCCGCCGCACCAACGTGTTGTTCCGGTTTGTCGACGGAGACTTCAATGACATGGCGTACCATCAACAGTTAAAGATAATTTTCCGTACGGGCGTGCTGCTTGGGGTCCACGGCGCCGGTCTCACGCATGGTTTCTTCATGCCGCCCACCCAAAGTGCGGTCCTGCAGCTGCTCGGGGAGTCCTTTTCTAAGGTGCGCAACACGAGTTGAGCGTCCCATACAGGACACCATGCACCATACACATAGGGAACATGCGCCTTGGGAATGTGAATTGAGCTTGCATGCAGGGGTGCATGTCTATGTAGAAAACCACCTCTCCACATCCTTTTGCTAAGGGTTGCGATAATGCTTCCCTCGCACTGTTTGCGAACGCTCCTGTCTCCGGGTTGCTTTTGTGTGATTTGTTGCTAATGGCTTGCCGGAATGTGCTGCTGGTGCGCAGGTGACGGCCAACAACGTATTCCGCAACATGGCTGCCGGTCTGGGCAACTACTACGAGGACGTGCTGTACTCTGGGGTGGATGTGGATGTGGGAAAGCTGAAGGAGGCAGTCAAGAGGTGCGCTAGGGATAGCGTGGTGGACTAGGCTAGGATAACGTGGTGGACTAACGGCGGGATAACATGGTGGACTAGGCTAGAGGAATCGCCGAAATTGAGTTTGGCATAGAATGCATCGCCTCTTGGGTATAACGGTAGGCGATCTGCTATTGTGACCAAGGCTCAAATAGTCCCCACTAGGGGACGGGGCTCGTCCGCGTTAGGACTCTATCGGCTGCGTTGTGACCCTTGTGAGCCACGAAAGCAGCCCAACCCCATCTCCATTGCCACCGTAGTAACGCGAATGTTCGGTAACCGCCCGTTCTCCCATCCCCTCCTCCCGCCTCCACTCCATGCCCCGTATCTTACTCTCCTACACCGCCCACATTCTCTCTGCCTTTACAACCTCCGGAACCCCACCAGGGCGATGGACTACGTGTCTGACAAGGTCATGCAGGCGCAGCGGCGCAGCGGCAGCCCGCTGAGGCTGGTCCTGGACGACCAGAACCACTTCTCACTGGTGGTGCCGTCCGCGGGGCAGTGCCCGCGCGACAACACTACCCAGGCAAAGATGCTGTCCAGAGAGAAACGGAAGTAAGCAAGGACTGCGGTGAGTGCATGGATGCATGCATGCGACATGGCATGGCTGCGTGGGGTCTGTTGGTCAAGCGAGGGTTGCAGCTGCAACGAGGGCGACAGGGCCCGGCACGAGCTAGGCTTGTAGGAATTTTTCATCTTGACTTTGTTGCGGCATCGGGGGGAGTGGATGGGCTGAGTGGCGGACGTGTGAAGGCGGTGGGTTCATGGCCGGGGCCAAAGAGGCGGTGATCTCTGATGATCCCAGCAAAGTCCAGCCATATGAATCAATCGGATGGGCCGGCTGGGCTGGAGACTGTTAATGGAGGCCGCTCCTTTTGCTACCCAATGGAAGGAGATAAAGACGGGGGGAACAGGGCGGGGTATGTATCTGAGATGCCATGTGCACAGAGCGTGGGTAGGTGCGATGAGTTCGGGTAATAGCGTTTTTAGGACTGTGGCGCCCCATTGGGAACGAGTAGCTCGCCTTGACTGTCTCTATGTTTTCTGCCTTGTATTCCTGTCTTTCTTGGGGTAATGGTGTTAGTTTTATCAATGCGCGTGCCTGTGCACCGAGCAACCTGTGGGCCGTGCACCACATGCCAAGCTGTGTGAGTGCTTTAGGTGGTAGCCTCGTTTCTCATATCAACATTGCATGCTCTAGGCTACAAGTTTCATTTCTTTTGGTGCTTTGTTTATGCATTCGGTAACCCATGGCGACAAACGCAGACTGTACAAACTCAAGTGGCGCTTAGGCGTGTTTGGTTGCCGGTACTGCGCGAGGCAAGCCTGAGTGGCCATTGGGGAACGTCTGTGTGCCCTGATGCGGATTAATTGTTTCCTCTTCCCCACCATTGTGTCTGGTCATTGGTGTTGTTCCGAGATTGCTGTTGTCCATGTTGCCATGTGGTTATTTGGCTTGGTAATAGGCATACTGAGCGTCGTGCTGGTTTGTGCGCCAATGCCAGTTCAAGCCCGTACCGTCGCAGGGGTCTCTTCCAAAGGGGACCAAGGCGCGCCTAGCAAGAAGGGGTACATAGCTTGGCAAGGGCTGCAGGGGCCTGTGGCGTGTGTATGTTGGTAGCTGCTTAGACAGGCCTGGGAAACCTAGATTGCCAGGCGGCAAGGCACAGTTGGCCTTTCTTAGGTACATAGTGGCGTGCAGGAGTAGAAGTATGCGAGCGTTGCTTGCTTGCGCACTTAGGAAGAAGTACATGTGACACGTGGGCTATGTTGATTGAATGCAATGGTGGACGGTTTGTGAGTCCAGCGTAAAGTGAGCCCAGCGTAAAGCGCTGTGAGCCCAGCGTAAAGCGCTGTGAGCCCAGCGTAAAGCGCTGTGCTCTCTGTTGCAATGCGCCGTGCTGGTACAACATGGTGACTGATTGCCCATGCTTGGCCATGTCTTGCCTTCCCAACCATTGGAATTTTAGGGAGCCAAGGCTCTTGGAGGCCCTCCTTAGCAACTAGGTAGTTTTCCTTTCATCCTGGCACCGATTTTGTTTTATTACGGCAATAGTGCGGTTCATAATCGTCCATGAGTGGTGGCGCGCGAAGGGGCAGACTTGGGGTTAGTGCATGGGGAGGGCGTCCCATAGATGACATGATTACAGGAAGGAAATGTATGCTTGTAAGCAATGCGAATGCCAGGTTGTTGCTATGTTCATGTGGGTATGTATCAGTGGGTAGGATAATGCAACGGTTGAAAGGTCTACCGCTTTAATAGCTAGTGACATGTACCGGCGTTTCGGCGTATTCACTTTTCCGGACGGTCGTACCAGTACCAGCTGAAAGCACGTTGAACAATAGGCGGACATGGTGGACCTCAAATACCTGCATTGGCGTGGTTTGTGTGTGCGGAAGCGTGGACGCCTGGACTGCCATCTAGCTGCTGTGTTCTCATGGGGCTATTGCAGAGGTGTTGATGCATCAGACGCATTATGATATCGGGCTGTACGTGCATTTATATATGAGGACAATTGCAGGAAAGATTAGCATCAATGGCTGACTTTGTATGGCAGATCCACGCACCAAACGTGGAAAACCGGCTAAGTACGACAGTCAGTAACATTAGACCGCAGAGGGCATGTGCTCCAAACACCTGTAATATTCACATTCCAAACACTCCATTGTAAAGTTAGCAGTTTAATGACAGAGGAGGCGAGGAACAAGAGCCGAGAGAGCCTAGTGGCAAGCAGCGGTGGGTATGTCCAGCCGTGCCATCATAACCTCCGGCACAGCAGCGGCTACACGTTGTGCATGATGTCGGACCGTGACAACCTTGAAAATATGTCGACGCGATGTGGTTTGGGGGCACCAGCACTGAGTTAGTTTATAGCTTGCAACCAATGATGTAATACCCCACGGATTACGTTGTGGGGTTTTAAGCAAGAAGCGTGCCTCGTGCTAGAAAGCATGCACAAAGGTGGATCGACTAGGCTGATTCAACATTCAAGTCAGCCGTCTGGATCCTGTCGTACGGACTAGTGTAAGATGGCTTCCTACTTCCACGTGCTCCCTGACCTTGTTGTTACACCGATGCATCATGCGACATCTTTTGCTTTTACTTTTTTTATGCGGTTTGCCGGGATCCTGTTGGCCGTCACTATTAGGAGGAGAGCTCTTCCTCATTCCTATACTTTGGCACGGTCCAAACAATCAAATTACTGAGATAAAGGAAACAATATCTTTATCACACCTCTTACCGGGATCGGTGGCTGTCATTCCCGACCTAAAAGAGCACCTGTTTAGTGATGGCGCTATAAATAGCATGTTCAGTAGGGAGCTGTTTAACTATGAAGCTCTACAACGAGGCAACGTATCCTATGTCCACTTGGATGAGCTACGCAGTGGCTGGAATGGAACCTTCGACGTCATCCTCTTTTTCCGGGACGACGGCTTCCCCCTGGTAACATAGCCAGTAGTCTCCAAACTTCCGTGGCTTCGCCGGTCCTGTGATGGTGAGCGTGCGCGTCCGCTAACCCCGACTGCAGGTAGAGAAGTTGGTAGGGCGAATGGGTTTGGCCGCCCCTGGCGAGGATAAATGGCTGCGATCGCCCGTAAGCGTCACAAGGGGTTGCAGGTCAGCGTGCAGCTACCTCTGTCCACACTTGCCATACCGGGCGCTGTGCACGTTACGAGCTGAATCCGCACACTTCCTCGACCAACTGAAGTATCCCGTGTTCCTGACCTTTCACCGTTTTGTCTTTACGCTTGGCGAAGCTCATAACACTTCTGCTCTCTCCAACCTTACATACCAGGTTTGATCAAGTCCTGGCGCTACGCGAGCTCTTGAAGCCGTACCGCTATGTGGGGGTGCTCTGCTACGACGACTTTGCCGCTCACACCCACAAGCTGGCTGGTCCGTTGCTTTCATCCTGCGGCGCCGAAGATGCGTGCTGCCAGGCTTACAAGGAACGCAGCGTAACACTACAGCTGTCGCCGCTGCTGTATGAGCTTGCGGGGGAGTTTATCCAGCAGGCAGTAGGGTCTGGAGACAGCCGTTTCATAGCTGGGTAAGTCTGGGTTAACTTGTGTGAACTTCGCAGGTGCACATCAGAGATATTCTCTCATAACGTTGTTTGAACAATGGGTAACACTCCATACGTCCTTGCCTGCTGCTCTTGTTTCCCATCTACAAGCAAGTAACGGTGTGCCTACAAATGCGTCTGCAGACATATTCGGCCCATGCCGGACGATTGCGTCACTCTTTGGCAATCACCCAAGCAGGAGCTGAGCGAACTGGAGCTCGAAAAGTCTTGTCGTACAAATACTATGTACCACAGGTATTGAGACTGCAAGTTTGCTGTACGACACAACATTGCGGTTCCTGTAAGGATGATGTGCGGTTCCCTTCCTGCAGATTCGTGCCAAATTTGCGTTCCTTGAAAAAACTATATAACATCAGCACCGTCTTTATTATGACACATCCCATCATTCGGCCGCGGGTGTTCCGTATGCTCGAGGTACGGTCTGGGGTTAACACTGGGCCGGTCTGGGGACTAGCAGTCCCGGTAACCTGGTAGAGATATGTGGCCTACATTTGCTTAGAAGAACCTATTTAAGCATGGTGCTCTAATCATGGTGTAGAGTAGGAAAGGGCTAATTCTACCTGGGGGCCTTGGCTGGGTCATCTACTAATCTGTGCGGCTTTCCACGTTCTCTACCCCGCACCACTTCCTGCTCCTGCCTAGCGGCGGCTTTTGGGACGTTTGGCGCATGTCAAGTGGGGCTGGTACATAGGCTTTAAAACGCATTTCAATTAAATTATGGCAAATATGGTATCGTCCGTCCCCATTTTCGTGCCTATCCAGGCAGGCGGCATCCGCCCGCTCTATATCGACATACCCCACCTCAACAACAGCCTCTTTACTGAGTCAGCAGCGGCAACAGGAACAACCGCCAGCGAATTGTCCGTACGGTCAAGGTTCTCCGGCGTGAGCTCCCCCGGCTCCCCCCGGCTGCGCACCCCCATGTCCTTCTCGCTGCTGGCGCTGGTGGAGGAGGCGGTGGCGGCCGCTGCCACGGTGTTTCTAGGCACCGGGGAAAGCAGCATGACGGGCATGATTGTGCAGGTAGGGACTGGGCCAAAGCGGGAAAGAAGCTGCAATGACAAGGAAAGGCGCCCTTGTGCGTTGCCTGGTGGAGGGATGAATCCGCTGTACTGGGTGTGGATGAAGTCAAGGGAGGCAGGTGGATCAGGATACGCAGTCTGAGTTGCTTGGAGTGCTGGTGCTGCAGATGGCCGACACTCGCCGGAACTGTTAGAAGGAGGCTCGTGTGCCCATGTGCATTTTTTTCCCGATGTGGACTGTTACACAGAAAGGACAGGAAGACCACCAAGAAAACCAGCATGTCCGCTGAGAGGGATTATGGACCCAAGCGCTACCGTGGTGCTTAGACCCCTTACCTTGACCCCACCATTGTGCTTAGACCCCTTACCTTGACCCCACCTTAACCCCTCCAATGGCCCCCGGGGCACCTACCCTGCATTCAGGAGCGACTGTCCCGTGGGTCGTCACCGCACGACGTCTACTTCCTGTCACCGCGTACGAACCATACCGTCATGCCGTGCCGGCTCAGCGACTTCTATGCCCTCAGGGAATCACGGGCTGCAAGGACGGCATCGATGACGGCAGCCTTCCAGAGCGGGGGTTTGTAAGGGGTGCCGGCCCGGATGGAATTAACATGCCGTAAACGAAGGTGCGGTTTTAATTGACGTGATAAGCCATTAACGCGACGGCCTTGGCTGTGATAGTCCCGTAATTTTGCCAGTCGCAAATATTGAGTCCCTGGTGCTACTGAACTAAACATATGCGGGTATGGGCGCATTGTTGCATTTTACATGTGCTCTTAAATGTAAGCCGCGGGTCCTCTTGGGCAGCAGCAAGGGCAGCAGGTGCAGTGGAAGGGATGTTATGCCCGTACACCTACACTACAGTTGTATACTTGCGTTGGACAGTTGCTAGGTTGGTTGAGCGTATCACGAACTTTAGGATGGCCAGCCCCATGTGGGGGCCCCTTCCTTTGGTGCGTTAATGGCCGGGAACGCTGAGTGATGTGTGCATGCGCTGCGTAGTTGCGTTGCATATTAATTTAGAGCTACAATGGTTGGCATGGTTGAATGCATTGTTATCTAGGTTAGTCAGCAAGAGGTAGAAATACGATCAGGAGTACGGTATCCCACACCATGCGCATCGCATGGCAGTTGCTCGTGACGTCGCCGCCAAAGCGGTGCATAATATCATGAACTGCATGGCTTGTTTATATGTTGGTTGGTGCGTGGGGGCCACAATGAGTATAAAGTATCTTCACTTATTGGCTGCGAGTTGGAACGTATTGTGATCCGAGGCGGACGGTGGGGGTGCATGAAGGCATAAGGCCACACCTGCCAGGATTGGATGTTGAGCCGTTTAGGGGGCGTGGTTCATCCTTGGACTGCAATAATTGATCTACATGGAGGAAATGTGCAATTTTGGCACACTGGCACAAGCCGAAACAATTAGGGTTTTTGTCCTGCCTCAGGCCTGCCTCCAATGGTGCATTCCACGTCCCTAGTGCCCTTCCCCATAACACAAGCTTGGGAGACGTACCGGTATCCATGTAGGTCTGTGTAGCTGTCGATGTAAAGCGGGGCGCCAGCAATCGCGGCCAGTTGTCTAACACATGCCATTACCGGTACGTCACTCAGAACGACGGCATGCATGAACGGTAACGCATAACAGCATTTCCACGCTCCCAGTAGCTCCCAAGGCATACGTCACAAGGTACATCCTTATGGCCACCTTTACGGTTAGCCTACGTGTACCTCAAGCCTGGGGCCATTACCAATAGCGCACACCTCGCCTCGCTAGCTGTGCTGCTGCTGCAGCGCATGTGACGCTCTTCCTTCGTCCAGGCCTTCCACAACCCTCATGGCGCAAGTGAAAGCCCCACACACTCGCCGCCGTAAAGCACCTACCTAAGCCGCCGCATTAGCATCGTCAAGGGCCCCCAGCCCATCTACAATCCTGGTCACTGTGCTGGCATGAATGCCGACTCTCTGAATGCCGATTCCCTGACGCGTGGAGGTGCGATGTGACGACGGTGAAGCAGGAGAGCCAGGGGTATCTACCGGTATGAAAAACACTCTCCTAACAGCCCTATCCCGCCTTTTCCCAGCGCCTTCAAGCCTCCTCAAGACACCTCCAGACCACCGCTCTATTTGGCAGCTAACGCGCAATGCAACAGCTGGTGGCTGCCGTACGAGGCAAGCGCTACAAGCCACAACGCTATCCAGTCTTGCACACCAGCCCAAACCTCCAGCCCAGCATTAGCGGCAAGGAAATCATGGGGGCTGTCTTCCCCAGCCTCCCACACACATCCTTTCCCGACACCCCCTCTTTGGCTGCCTCTCCCTGCCAACCTGATAGACTTGGCCGTCCACACTCCCAGCTAGTACACCGGCCCCTCGTCGCCTCCGTCTTCGAAGGCATCACCGTAGCCCTCATCATCATCGAAGTGCTCGCCCTGCGTCGTACAACACCGCGCCGCACATAGGGCCCAGAGGCGCACACAAACATACATCAGTGTAGGGTTGTTACACGGCTCAGTTGATACGGGTACAAGGGGATAAATACACATCGGGATAGAGGAAGCAAAAGGAGTTCACGTGGTGTCGTGGGGTGGGTGGCTAAAGTGCACTGTCACAGGAGTGCATAGCCTTCTAGCTATGGTCCAAAGCATGTAAGTGGAATGTGCTGTCGTAATCGAAGACAGTCCTGCTACCGGTACCACGACGCTTCGCCGTCACTATGGACCCTACATCCCAATGTCCCCTAACAATGCCAGCTCCACCCCACCCCCTCCAACACACACCAACACACACAAACGCTTGCCTGGTAGTAGTCATCGTCCTCCATGTCCTCCTCCTCGTCCGTGTCGTGAAGCACCTCCTCCTCGTCCGCAGCCTCCTCCTCCTCGCCCTCGCCTCCCGCCTTACGCCCTCCGCCCTCCTCCGCGGCGCCCTCCAGCCGAGCCAACTGCTCTAACCGATTTAGACCTGCGAGCCAGGCAGGTGTAGATAGGTAGGTTAGTTACCGTAGTTTGTTAGCTACGATCAGCCAAGGAGAGACCTGCTCGGCCGTCGCTATCCCCGACCCCCCTCCAGCATCCCCATTACCCCCAGCCCCCCGCTTCACCCACCTGCCGCGTCATCTCCCCGGTTTTGCGCCCGGAAGTAGGCGTCTTGCCCCTTGAGCGTCTGCAACCGGGAGGCCCTGTGGAGGAGAGGGATAAAGAGGAAACAACTAACTAACCGTGCGTGAACTTGGGAGGGAGAACAACGGGATTTCGGAGCGGGCCAGATGTTGGGAAGGGAAAGGCCGGGGGAGGTGGGGGGCAGGCAGTAATCGCCCCTCAGTAAAGGCGCAAAAAGGTTGATACGGGCTGGGAAGGAGGGCCTGTGTGGTCTAGGCACAGGATCCCGCTCCAAGCAGCCCCCTTTGGCCCCGAATGTACCCTCCAGCCTCCGCCCCCTATTCACCCCACACCCGGTCCTCCCCACCGCATGTCTTTAGACGAGTAGAGCTCCTCTGGGAAGTACTCGGGTACGAGTGTGAGCACGGAGGACAGCGGGGGCCGGCTCCGCTTTACGCCCACCACCGCTGCTGCTCCCGCGGTGGCAGCACCTCCTGCCGCACCGGCTGCCCCTGGCTCGGGCTGCTTGAAGGGGTCGAATCCCTCGGCCAGAGTGCCCGTGTCTGTGGTGAGGCAGATGCGTGGAAAGGTGTGTGTGTGTGGAAACACAGCGAAGGAAAGGGGAGTGGGGTAAGCGAGCACCGGTAGCGGAGCTGATGGGGAAAGGGGTGGGGAAGCTCTATCGCGCGCACCACATACAGCTCCCCGGTTGCGGTGCTGTAACAAGCAGCCCCACCTTGCTGTGCTTTGGGCAGTTCCAAGAAGTAGGGCGATGCCTTAGAGCGGTGGGTCAGCTCGAACCGCCGGAGCTGTGGTGGGGGGAGGGAGGAGGGGAGGGATGGGTGGTAGGGTTCAGAGGCTGGGGTGGGGCGGGGTTGGGATTAAGAGGGCGGGGGAGCAGGAGCACGGAGGGAAGGGGTGGGCTGTGCATGGGAAGGTGGAGCCCCAGCTGGAGACCCCAGCTCAGCTGACGCTGCTGTAACGCCATACCGCCTCCGAACGACCGCCCCTCTCTGCTTGCCCCCGTTTGAGCCCCGTCCCCAGGTCCTACCCCACCGATACCCCACCGAGGCCCGACCCCACTCCGAGGTCAGCACATGTCCCTGGTCACCCTACTGGTCCCCCCAGTACCCACCAGCAGCATCTTGTCCCGGGCGGTGATGTCCGGGTGCTCGGGCAGCTCCACCTCCTGGGGGCGCGGAGGGAGGTGGAGGGGAGGGAGGGCGGCTTTGCAAGGGCGGCAGCAGCATTGACAGCAGCAGCACAGCCGGAGTGACAAGAATACATCAGCAACTAGCGACAAGCACGTTTCGAGGCTGGTGTGTAGGCCACAAAGCAATTGAGACCCACGGTCGCCTATGCCCCCCTGAGTAAGATACGTCTCAGGGCCCTGCCCATCTTCATCCCTATGTGCGACCTCTTGCGCCCACACGAAAACGAACAGGCACCCGGCTTATAGAGGGCTGGCTGCAGGCTGCGCCGAATCTGAAATGCGGCAGCGCCGCTGTCGACCCCAGAGTAAACACACGTCCTAGCCAACCCAGGATGGTAGGGCCTTGGGTGGCCCTTGCCATGCGTCGTACCGATGCCCCAACTAATGATGCAAGGGTGCTCTACTTACGGGAAACAACGGGGGAGGTCCCGCGGGAGCTGTGGGCAATACTGTGCCATCCTCGTCACGAGCAACGGGGCCCATAGGCCCTCCGCGGCCGCCAAACCCGCCCCTCCCGCCGCCGCGGCCAAAGCCGCGACCGCCACGGCCGCTCATATTGAACTAGCGGCTCAACGAAAGCAGGTGCTATAGCCGCATATCCGATCCAAAATCAAGCGTTGCCGTCCGTATGATTGTAGTCAGGGAGATATGCAACTACTGGCAGCCAATAGTATTGGTGTACTCATTAATTAAAGTTTAACTTCCATCCGTCGTTTCGCCGGGTAGGTTCGCTATGTGATGTTTTTTTAGCAATTTCGGCAGGCAAAATTCCTGATATTACTGAACGCACTTAGTAAACCGTGTGAGGCATACATCGTTGACACCAAAAGATTAAGAAAAAGATTCAAAGCGCTTGCAGCGCGAGGCAAAAGGAGGTTTCGGAGCGTGGAATTGCAGTTCTTGGCCTCCCTGTAACTAAAGCAATAGGGGTTATGCCTAGGCTTTTTAAACAAAAAACAATTGACCTACGCATAAATAAGTATTGCTTTGATAACGTTCGGTGCTAGGGGGTCCTGCGAGAAGCTTGCGGTTATGGCGCTCGTTTCACAGCTTCGGCGATCGGCATTTCGCTCAAGCTGCACAAATGCACCGCGCCCTTGCGGCAGCCGTGGCGTTGTTATGTGCCATGCTCAATCGCGCAGCGCTGAACGCCTATTGAAATCCGCCGGGTCATCGGCATGCGCACTGCTTGCCGGGGCAGCTCTTCTCCTCGACGCAGGTTAGTTTAACTGAATACAAGTACTTATCAATAACGAAAAATAAGACAATGCGATTAGCAATGCAAGCTCATAACACGCGCAAACGTCTAACGGTGGTCATCTATCCATGCTACCCTGAAGCTCCCTTACCCCCAATCCCTCACCGATCGCCTTTGCTGTAACCCTTGTTGAAGGCTCCGCACATGCCGCTGGTCGTGAACGCGTTTCGGAATTCACCGCAAGCGGTCTTCTCTTCAAAGATGTGGTGGAGGTCACGGCAGTGGAGGACCCAGAGAGTAAGAGCAGCGAAGGGGGTAATCAGCGGGCCAATTGGGTTTCCAAAGGGAAGGCGGCAGTTGACAAAAGGGCAGTTTTCGAGATTACAGGGCTTCGTATGGGCAGCCGGGTGCCTTACAATGTACCGGTATAGGGTTGGAACCTTTGCATTCCTGCCTTCCAGGTTGCACCTACCCAATCCCTGCATCCTTTACTCAAGTTCCTCTTCCAAACCTTTTCAGCCTTCCGAAGCTCCTCACCTGCCACCTCCCTTGCCTTCACTTCTCCTCGCCTCCCGCCCAACAGTCGACGGCTTGACCATCTACTTCTCCGACTTCAAGCGGAACATAGTGGACAAGCTACAAAAGGACTTTTTCGCGGAGCCCTCCCGTAAGTGGTCCACATCGGGGCAAAGCACGGGGCATTCCGTGCTCCTATTTATAGTGCTTGGGCGACGGGCGACCCATGGGTCAACATTACGAGGATAACACGTTCCATGCCTTGCCTGCGCAGAGGCCTCCCTGACATGTGTGGTGACGGGCCCGGTGACGGTGAAGGACCCGAAGCGCATCAGCTCCTTCGAGGGCGAGGAGGTGTTTAGCGAGCAGAAGGGACTCAACATCTTTAAGAACAAGGTACGTACGACAGTACATGCAAGTCTGGAGCTTTTTGGAAGCTGTGAGAGGTGCTGTCTGCTGGGATACGTGCCTTCGGTTGTCGCCGCGACTCGTAGCCGCTGCTGGGCGTACTGCACCAGCGGCATCCAAAACGTGATGAAACCCTAATGTGCGATTCTCTCCCGACCACTTGATTTGCATTACCGTACAACCTTCCATCGGTATTGCGCTTCTGCTGGCATGTGTACGCAGACACTTAGGGTACGGCGAGTGTACGATGCGGACCGCCGTACCGTCATCTACGTGGCGTACAGCACACGACTGTCCACGGCTTCGGTGGGTACCCGAAGTGGCTTTGTGTCGGCCTCGCACATGACTTGAATGAATTAACGACTCAACGACCCATGTCAACACGCAGGACGAGGGAGGCGTCACTACCGGTCGATACAGGTGCGCGACATGGGTGGAGGGCGGGCGAGGATGGGGATGCTGCTTTTTTTGCTGACGTTGTGGATGCTACACAGGAGTGGGGTTATGCAGGTTTAGCAGGTTGTGGTGCGATGGGTCCAATCCTGATCTTCCGGGGTGCTAGTGATGGCTGGTGCGGTGAACAGACAGGATATGACGGCCCGTGGGGCTTCAGAGGTCGGCTCCTGTTGTTCAGGAGTTTGGCACCAGCACCTGATAGGGTAGCACCTCACATTCCATGTTTTGGAGCACTTTTGCAGCAACTTACCTACCTGCCTCTGCCCCCCTGTCCCCCCTACCACAACAACACGACACGCCCTCAGAACCTCCATGTGTGCCGTACCGCTGCCGCCGCCCGTCACCGCACCACCGTTGACCACATCCACTGCTGCCGCCGCTACCACCGCCACCGCCGCCTCTTAAACACCTTGAAGCTTCTTGACAATCTTGAGAGATCCGGTGGTGCCGCCATGGCCACCGCAACGCAGCCGCAGCCAATGTGGGCGTGCTGGTAAGGCAGGAGGAATCAGGACAACCCAAGAGCGACACAAGAACCTGCCGAACATTACGACCGAGCTTTTTCCTCGTACAACTGGCGTATTGCACGGCATGGTGGTCATATGGTACGGCCGGTTGGGGCGCTTGCACAAATGGCAAATGGTCACCGTATGACGCTGTGAGTCGAGTGTGCTTGTTGAAAACATTGGCTATTTGGCTTGAGGAGAGACATGTCGGCTGAGCCATCGGATAAAAGTGAGCACTGTCGGTGAGGTTTGTGTTTGTGGGAAATTGGAAAGCGTACGGCATTTTTTTCATTTTTCGTATTACCATACGACTCATCGCCACTGCATTTTGCCGCCGTACAATACATGTAACACGTTGCTTACTGTTAGTCTGCTACGTTTACAACCAGCTCGTCCGAGCAGCGGCGGCAGCAGCAGCCGCAGGAAACAACCAAGACTACCGTATTCACAAAAGGCCCCTACAGAGAAGGTCAATTTACGGGGCATTCTCAACTCTTCAAACCCCGTCCGTCGCGCATGCGGTCTGCTCCCGACTTATATCATCCCCCAGCTTCGATGTCCTCCCATGTCCTCCACTACTTCTACCCTGTAACAGCAGCCTCAGCAGCACTGTGAGCCTCCTCAGCAGCCTCAGCAGACCTCCGAATCCACGACCCGTCCGCCTGTCGTACCGCCCGCCTCTTGCCGTTGCAGTGCGTGACGGAGGTCAGGCAGGGGAAGCAGCGGCTGCTGGCCAGGCGAGCCAGGTCGCCCTCGGGCAGCTGCGGGGGCGAAGAGGAAGAATTCAACAAACAACTAACACCTTGAAAAGGCTACACCAGCAGCGGGGCGGGGACGGTTGTCGTACACAGGCTGTTGTCGTACACACAGCACACATGGGGTCACAGCAGATGGCGCAAGGAAGGTGACATTGGTCGACACGGCAAAGGAATGGACGTGGTGGCCACACACCTGGCATGGCACGCGGGGAAACGTGATAGCGCGAATATGCGGGAAGGGCTGAATGACAGGACAACCAGAACGGTTGGGTCTACATGTTGATGCACTCCATGACACGGGACCGTACCCCACCGTACCCCACACCTATACCCCCAGATCCGCCCCTCCCCCACAAACACACACATCACCACCCACCTCCCTCATCCATGCCACACTCAGCTCCTCCAGTAAAGGCAAGGCGGGCAGGCGCCACCTGCTGCCACCGCCATCACTGTTGCTCTTGCTGCAGCTGCTGCCGCCACCGCCCCCGCTGCTGTTACTATCTGACATGTGACCAGGTACGCCCTTCCCACCGCCGCCGCTGGTGCTGCTGTCGCCGCCATCGACGTCGGGTGGCCCATGGGTCACTATGTTCCAATTGATGTGCAGCACTCTCAGCTGTGTGAGGGGCGGCAGCACCTCCTCCACCACCTGCTGCTCCACACGCCGGTCGGCAAGGCGGCGAGCAGCCGCCAGGGCCTTATGGGGGGGGGGGGAGGCGGGAGGGGGGCACAAAGGGGCAGGGAAGGCGGTACGGCAGGTATACAACGCTATCAATGTACTGCTGCGGGGGATCGGAAGGGCAGGCTACGTAAGACTGAAGGGTAACACCTAACACGGCATGGTAACAAGCACTCGTCCTCGGGTTACAGCCCCATAAGAAACGGTGCGGTATAACACACCGTATACAAAGCCGCTCCTAACTCGCCGCTTGCAGCCACTCACACACTGTGGGGACTTCATCTTCCGACATCCCAGTACGTTCCTACTCGCGGCCAGTTTCCTTAACATACACACTCCTACTCGCGGCCAGTTTTCTTAACATACACACTCCTACTCGCGGCCAGTTTTCTTAACACACAGTGCGTTCCGCTAGTTTTCTTCACACACGCAATCGACGCAAATGGACACTTGCTACCATATTCTTCCCTCTGCACACCATTCCTACCCCACCCCACCCTGCCCTGCCCTACCGTCCCCCACCTGCGCTGTGCCCCCCTCGCCCCGCTCCTCCCTCCACTCCCGCTCCCCCTGCTCGCACCCCCCCTGCGTGTGCAGCCGGTACTGCTGCTGGCTGCCGTACCAGGCGAGCAGCGTGAGGTGGCGCAGGGAGGGGGGCAGCTGCGGGGCAGGCGGGGTGGGAGGGAAAAGAAATTCCAATGTGTGGTGTGATAATGGTACAAATTGCTGACAAGCCCGGGGTGGGGGGGGGGAGGAAAGGGAGGGAATGGGGGTGCGGATGGGAAAGGCAGGCAGCGGAATGGTGTGGAAACTGGGAACGGGCAAGTACACAACGGCTATAATCAGGACAACCACCACCACAGCACCAGGACAACCACCTATCGTTCACTTCGCAACCTTCTTCATCGTCTGCCCCCGCCTCCCCCCCCGTCCCCGCGCCCCCCTCACCGTCACGCCCGCCAGCTCCACCACCTCCACGTTGTCCAGCACCAGCCGCCCCAGCCGCCCCGCCGCCGCCAGCCCCAGCCCGCGGTAGCCCAGCAGCCCCTGACCCAGCTGCAGCTCGACCAGGGAGGGCAGCTGGCCGGGCGGCAGCAGCAGCTGGCACAGGTCTGCATGAGGGAACAAAAATATATTTGGAACAAAGGAGAAGAAGGAGGAGAAGGGGTGTTCCTTGTTATTGTGATGTCATTAGCCTAGCACCACACGGTACTAGTGTGGTCTTTCCTGCTATGCACAACGGAGCCCAGGTGACCCATGGGTCAGTTTGTAGGAGAGTCAACGTAATAAGCCAAAACCAAGCGACAAAACAACACGCCACACTAGAACCCAAGTGCAATCTGGTAATGCCAGTAATGCCAACCAACTCACGGCTGTCGTCCACGTCCTCCTCCCCCTCGCCGCCCAGTCCGCCGCCCTCCCCCGGCCCCGCCCCAAACACCAGTCGAGTCAGCAACGGCAGCGCGGGGAAGAGGTGCCGTACGGCCTGTGCATGGCGGTGTACGGCACCGTACAATGGGGCAGGGAGGGAGGGGGTCCATGTCATAACTCGTAAGAGATGTGTGCATGTCGGATTACCACCATTCCCCGTGGCCTCATTAAAGCAGTCAGCACCGTATCGGTATGTCAGCACCGCATACCACACCCAGGGGGACCCGGGGGGCAGCAGGCTGTGACAGTGGGACGGATACCGCACATACCAGCACCCCAGAGGGTGGCTCTAACCCCCTTCCTCACACGGTCAGTTAGTTGTTTCCTAGTTTGTACCCCCTCACCTCGGGCCCTATGCCGTACAACGTCAGCGACACCAGCGGAGGTGGCGTGAAGCCCGTCTCCTCCGCCGCCCCTGCAGCAGCTGCCACACACCCCAATGTTGGCTGGGGCGCTGGTTGCGGTGAAGGTGGTGACGAGGGTGATGAGGATGAGGATGAGGATGATGACGGTACACATCCCGCCACCGCTGCATCGTGCTCTTTCACCGCGGCCTCTACCTCCGCCACCGTCCCTTCCCCACTCCCCTCCTCCTTCTCATTATCCTCCTCCTCACCACCACCACCATTTTCCCCTTCCTCCCCCTCCTCTTCCTCCTCCTCATCCGGCTCTTCCTCCTCATCCTCCTCCTCATCCGGCTCCTCCTCTTCCTCATCATCATCCGGCTCCGGCTGAGCCTCCAAGTACAGCCCAATGTTGCCCATGCACGTCAGCGCAGCTAGCTGGCTGTACGGCAGCAGTGGTGACAACGTTACCGCTGCTGCTGTTGCTCCTCCACCGTCCGCAGTTGCCTCCCGCGTCGTCCTGACCCATGGGTCGGGCCGCAGGGTGATGTCCCCCGCCTCAGCCAGGGCCGTGAGGCGCTCCAGCGGGGCGAGGTCCGCGCTAGTGAGGCTGGAGAAGCCTTCATTAGGAGCAGCATTTCGGGAAAGCCATTCCGGGAGCGGGAGGGCAGGAAAAGAGGCAGGGCAGCGCTGTTAAGAGCCAGGAGGTGAGCCCATCACCCCTCCACACTCCCTCCAAAACCCCACATGCCCTCCCACACTCCGCACCCTTATATCCTAGAAGCCACAAAGCCACAGAGTCACTCTCTCCCTAAAACCTCACGCAGCATAAATTCATCAACCGCACCGCACTGCTCGTACTGCTTGTACTGCCCGTACTGCCCGTGCTGCTCGTACTGCTGGTACGTTGTACGGCAACCCACCAATGAGATCCAGCTCCTCCAGGCTGTCCGGCAGCCGCAGCACCTCCTCCCACGGCGCCCCCTGCGTGTCCAGCCACTCGCAGCGGCGCAGGTCCAGGGTGCGCAGGCGGGCCAGGTGGCGCAGGTCGGGCGGGTGGTCGCGCCAGGTGAGGGTGCTGCCGCGCAGGGAGAGGGTCTGGGGAGGGGAGGGGTGGGAGGGGCGGGGATGGGATGGCATTGGGGAAGGGTGTAGTCGGCTGAGATGAGTGGGTGAGGAGGGGGCAGAGTGGGAGGAGTGGGGAGGCGGGCACGTGTGTGAAGGGATCGAGGCGGCAATGCATGGGCGGTGAGAGGAGGCGAGGCTGCTGCCTCCTCGCCCCTCTGCCTCCCATGCTCGTACTCCCGTGCCAAGCCCCCAAGCCCCCCTCCCTCCTCTCCCCCCTCATCCCCCCCACCTGCAGCCCCGTCAGCCCCTCCACCACCCCCGCCCCCAGCGGCTCCACTCCGCAGCACACCAGCTCCAACCGGCTCAGACCGCTGTAGCACCCACCACCACCAGCAGCAGCAGCAGCAGCAGCAGCAGCACCAGCCCTCAACCAAGTGTGACCCAGCGACGCCGTACAACCTTGTGCCTCGACCGCCTCCGCCGCCGTTAGCATTGCCGTACACCCCGTCTCATCCTCCTCCGCCGCCGCCGCTACTGCCGCTTCCGCCGCCTCCGCCAACTGTCTCAGCGGCAGCTCCAGCAGCAGTCCCGACCGCTCCAGGGGCACCCGCGGGGGCGTGTGGGGCTCCCGCCGCAGCCCGAAGTTACGCAGGTGCAGGGCGGTGAGGCGGGTGGGGCGCTGGGAGGCTAGGCTGGGGGGGCGAGGGAAGGGGGGACGGAGGGAGGGAGAGGAGGGGATGGAGCAATCTGGTCGTCCTGGACTACAGCAGCCGCTTTTAAGTCGGGGCGAGCGAGGAGCCGGACCCTTCCGCCCCCCCTTACGCGCCATGCGGCCATGCCCGAGCCTGCCTCCCACAGCCACTCCCACTACCTTCCTCCCTCGACCCGCTGCTGTTGAATCCCCCAAGGCACCCACATCCGCAGCACCTCCTTGGCCACCTCCCAGCCCTCACTTGCAGCACCCCTCCACACCCGCGCCCCTCCATCATCCTACGCTCCTAACCATACGCTCAGGCCCCCCTCAGAACCTAGTGTCTGCTTCTATACCCCTTTTTACCCCGTGCGCATACACGCTGAGCCCATCTAACCCCGCGCACACACGCTGGACCCCGCCCTCCAACTCCGCACCCACATGCCCAGCGCCCCCCTGCCCACACTCCGCGCCGGCGCCTCCAGCTGCAGCTCCCGCAGCCCCCGCCCGCGCGCCCCCAGCACAGCCGCCAGCGCGCCGTCAAAGGAGGACCAGTACGGCAGGAAGCGGCGCCGTACCGCACTGCCGTACATCAGCTTGTGCAGCTCGCAGTCTGTGCGTGTGACGTGGAGGGCAGGGAAAAGAAGAGTACCCCATGTGTTGGGCGGGATGGGACGGTGGAGGAGAGGGCAACCGCGTGCCGCAGCCTATGATGACTGGTTTGGGTCCCTTGGGCTGTATCTTGCCTTTTTAAGACCTCTAGGGTCCGGACCGTCCTCCCTATGCTCCTATCGTCCCCAACCCCAGCCCCTTCCCTCCTCCCTCCCCCCGCACCTGTTTGTCACTATCATTCAACGCATGGGGATTCTTCTTCCCCGCCCCCCGGCTACCATGTTTGCCCCCATGGTGAAGCCTTAACATGCAGCTCGTGAGTTACCTCGTCTATTTCCTTACTTTTACCCCCTGTGCCGTTAGTTTCCTCTCAATATCCCCCCTCATCCGCACCTGTGCCCTGCTGCCCCCCCTGCCGCCCCTCCAGCGCTCGCTGCGCCCCCGCCGGCCAGGGCAGCGCTCCCTCCTCGTACGTCCAGGAGGCGGGCAGCGAGGACAGGGACAGGCACTCCAGGGAGGGCAGATCGCGACAGGCGGCGGCAAGCAGAAGCAGAGGTACGGCAAAGGCGCCGTCGGCTTCTAAGGATCGTAAACTGCAGGGAATGGGGGGTTAGGCGCGGGTGGGGGTTGAGGGTGGTTGTGGGTTGCGGAAGGAGGGCGTGCGGGGGGCGGCTGAGGAATGACGGCAATGCAAACAAACGGGACACTGGCATGCCTCAAGGTTTGCGGTGGAGGGAGAAACAGCGCTGCAGTGGGCGCTGCTGTACCGGCAAGGGGTTTGTACTTTGCAATAAGGGAGAAGGGAGGGAAGAGGGACATGGTGCCTGAGAGCCCTGCAACGCGCACCGCAACCCATCATGCGGCTGGTGCCGTACTCGGGGTACGTGAGGCGCCGCACATCGCACCTGCTGGGCAAGGCGCTTCCTAAACCCCACTCGGGGCACTGCGTCCCGCCTCCGCCGGCCCCACTGTTGCCTCCCTCGCTGCCGCTACGTTCACCTCTGCCGCAGCTGCCGCCGATGTCGCCACGTCCTCCGCTTCTACCAGCGCCGCCCTCCTCTGCACCGGTGTCCCGGCCGCCGTTGCTGCCAGCTCCTTTACCTCCTTCCCCATCCACGCAGGTTCCGCCACCGCTTCCACCGCCGCCACCTCCTCCGTCTCTTACCCCTTCCCCCCTTCCTCCGCTGCCCCCACCTCCTGACAGCAGCTCCCCCACTGCGTCCATGAGCCCCGGCGCATCCGGCTGGGGGGAGTGCAGCACCAGCCGGCTCACCCGCTGGCGCCGGCGCAGGAAGCGGCCCAGGCTGCCCACCTGGCCCGCGTCCCACAACCGCGCCTGGAGCGGGGCAACGCAGAACGGATGGGAAAGGTGAGGGGTCAAATGTTAGCATGCCAGGCGGAACCAGACATGCTCACATGTAGCCAGCTTGGTGGGGGTTGGCGGGCCGGAGAAGGCCAGGTTGAGGTCCCAGCGTTGGTTCAGGGGCATGGATTCGTGTGTTGGTCACCTGTACGACACCCTGCTCCGCCTGGCGGTGGACTGCGGCCCAGTCGGAGCAGACGAGCGCGACCGAGGCCGAAGCGCGGCGCAGCGCCCGGGCTTCGGCTTTGCTTTCGTCGTCATTTTCGGTGGCCTGGTTTGCATCCTCGGAGGCTGATGTAGATGATGATGGATGCGATTCAACGGACAGGTCATTCTCTTGGTAGGCTTCATGTAGCCGGGGTAGAACGTGCTCGCGTAGAATGTCCAAGAATGGCTTTGATACCCATCTGCTAGCGGGGTCTGGTTCGACAATCAGTACCGCGAGGTGCTGCGCAGGATCATGTGCTTCAGTACTCATGTCAATGTTTGGTGCGGTCCCTACCGTTAATTCCCCGGGAACAGGACTAGGAAATTGTAGCTCGCACAGTGGTTAAATTCGCGATAACACCAAGTTTACGCAAAGAATCAATTTGCGACGAACAAATGATAGAAGCAAGCAATAAAGCAAGCGGCAGCAAAGGTTTCGGAGGACAGTACCGGCCATTGGCCAAAAGAAGAAGTGCTTTTAGTTAGCACGATGTTGCACTTGTAAGTTTCATTGTTTTCATTATTAACTAACACAAGCAATCGCCACCATGCTGCAAGCGAAGTCGTTGGCCGTATCAGACCCGTATTACGACATAAATTCAACAGATGGCTGTTGAACAAATGATCAATCATGTTTGAATACTACTTGACCATTTTGCGGGGTAAGTGTTTTATAGCATGTCTGCCGCGCTGCTCTTGGTGTGCCGTACTGCAGGGAGTAGATGGTGGGAAGGGAACTTTTTACAACGTGCACCGCGGCTGTGATTGCATGCAGTTTGCTTCATAAATAGTCAAAGGATAGAACGACTCCCTATTTCTAGTCTAGTGGAAACCCCTATCGGGGTTGCAGGCCCCCGAGAAGGATGGCCGCGGGCTCGGCGGCTGTCCTTACGAGCTTTCTTACAAACTTGTACATATGTTTGGGCTGCTTCACGGCCTTTACACTACTCCGGGTTCGCCCATGGGCCCGCCGATTCTTCGCAGCACGAAGGTATGTGTCGGTATCAAAGCATGGTGCTTAGCTGCATGGTCCTTTGCATTATGCAAAGGGCGTGTAGTAGTGGGCTTATCGTAGTTGGCTCAGGAGTCGAGCAACCGCTTACAATTCGACTACTATATATGAACGTCTACAATCTATGCTTGGTTTGATTTGCATAGATTGAACGTCTACACTATTGTGTGGGACGACCCAATAAGAAGCTTGTCCCATTGCTTGCAGATATGCAAAAGACATAGACCTCAAGCCGAAACGTCTGCCAAATGGACCTTTTGGTTGGATCTTTCCTGTTTTGACGTATGAAGAAGAGGACATCATTGACGAATGTGGTCTAGATTGCGCAATGTACCTGCGCATCCTCCGCTTCGGTGCGTTTCATCTTACCGCGGCAGCGAGAAGCACATTCATCATATAGGTGACGGGCCTTGCCTGTCGGGCTGTGGGGGCCTCTTTTCACACATGATGGGGCCGTAGCATACGCTTGCTGTGAGTCCTACCAATGTGGGCTATATCTTTCCTTCAAACAACCCTGCACACCAGGGCAGGTTAAGAAGCAATCATGCTTCCCACCCGATGCCTGGCCGTCGCTCTCCATTCTACATGCCGCAAGAACCACTCTGCAGCCCCCAGGGCCTGCTGCCATGCATGGCGTCCCTCCTTGTCTCCTACTCCATCCCCTCGACTTCCCCCCACCTGGTCACGACCCATCTGGAACCACCACAGGCGTGTACCTCTTCTTCGTACTCACCATCTGGTGCATCATTGTGATCCTGCCGCCCAACATGACCAGCAACGAGATCGACCGCCTCCTAGCACTGGAGGTACGGCATAGCTGTCTAGGCACAGATTAGCCGGTAGCCTCACGGCGTTATGCAGCTCAGCGCTCGTACGACATGCCGATGTGGATTTTTCGGCCGACCCAAATCAGCGGAGGTGCCGGGAACCCGGAAGGCAGCTGACCCACATCATACCTAGCGCTGGCTTACTTGTACGGATACGGCGGCTGTGGTTGCCTTGCGCCGTATATATCTGGACTCAGCCAGCACGCATTGCACGCATGAAAGTATAGGGGGTCAACAGACTGTTTTGTGTCGCTGACCCAAATGGAACCCAAAACGCCCTATCCTGCCGTGCCGTACCAAAACCCGATACATATCCCTATGTTGGCCCTACACCCAACCTCCGACCACAGGCGTCCAACTCCAACACTACTGTCGGGAGCAACACCACCTCAAGCAGCAGCAGCACGTCCGAGTACAAGTTTACAAACTTTGACCACTACTCGCTGTCCAACCTGCCTGCCCGGAGCAGCAAGATGTGGGCGCACCTTATCTCCGTGTACTTCGTCGTACTGTACGTCCATTGGGTGAGTTGAGATTGCGTGCCGCATTTTTAATCTGGATCAAGAGGCACTTGGGGGCTGGCCAGGACAGCGCAGCGAGGCCTTGGGTGGAATGGCGGCTAGTAGTTCGAAAAGCGCTGCGGGTCGGCTAGATGGTAATCCGTGACGCCGTCCTGAGCTTCGGTCATGTTCTCAGGATTGAACCCGAGTCTGTGGTTGGCACGAGGGTTGGGTGGCATGGAGGCCGATCTGGGTCAACATGGGCATACGGGTGACGCGGGAGCTGATCTGGGTCAACCGAGCTGGTGTTGCAATAGCTTATACAGGCATGGGGTCTTCTACTTTACAACCTCTTGTGGCTTGCTTACCTCAAAATCCCTCCCGCAGCTGCTGTGGCGTTTCAACAAGGAGAGCGTGCTGCTGCGGCTGATGTTCCTGGGCAACGCCAAGCGCGGGGGGCCCTCGCACACCGTGCTGGTCACAGACATACCGGGGGTGACGCAGGTGAGCAAGAAGGGATGGGCCAGCGAGGAGGGTGTATAAGGGTGCAGCGGGGTATCCAGACGGTGTTTCGAGATTCGTAGTAAGTTCTAGCTATCCACGCTGCGTTAGACTGTCACAAGCGGTACATGGCTTAATGTCCGCCCACATTACCGCATGGCTGCATGCCCAACTTCTACACCATGTTCTGCCCAATGGCCATTCTATAGGTGGTTGCTCGGTCCCTTCGAGGGGAGAAGCGGAAGAATGGCGAGAGCTCGCCGGGATTGTCGAAGTCCCCATCATTTACGAACATCATGTTTCAGGTGCGTGGCGGCAATGTCTTTATTGGGAAGCCAATGACTTTATTAGGGACGTGCATCCACTTGTACAACCTAGCACTTAGCAAGCCATGAAACTGTGCCGACTGCATTGTAAAAGGTAAGAATCCCTGCTAACGGCCAGAACTGCCCCTGGTCGACAGTTGAAGTACCGGTATGGCCACAACCCTCTACATGCACACCCTCTCTTTAGTTCAATCTCAAGCAGCACGTATCCTTCGCCTCCACATCTGTCTGCAGGCTGACACCACCTGCAGCAAGGCCAACCAGGAGGACAAGTCTTCCAGCGCCGCGGCCGCAGCAGCTGCTCCATGCCCAGCTCCATCAGGAGCAGCCGCACCCGTCGTGGCTGTCGTGGCCAGCACCAGCAATGTGGGAACCCCAGCCAAGGCCCCCGGTGCCGCTGCCCCTGCCTCCGTAACATCCACCTCCGGCAAGTCCCCGGGCGCCACGGAGCCAGTGTCCGTCAAGGACACGCTGCCGGTCTCGGAGCCGCCCACGCCGCTGAGGAGCCTGCCTGTCGGTACGGCAGGTCCCAACGGTACCACAGCGCCGTACGCCACCCCGCAGAATGCCGCTGAAGGCAGCAGGGCCGCAAAGTCCGGCTCGTCCTCCTCGAATGGGACGTCTTCCACCGTTTCCGTTGATCTGGCTTCACCGCCGGCGGGCGCAGGTGCGGGTGCAGGTGCTGATGCGCAGCAGGGATGCGGCGGCTGCCTGCCCCTTGTGAGCAAGGTTGCCTCGGAGATACGCAGCGCGCGCAGCAGCAGTGGCGGCAGCGCTGCGCCTTCTGGCTTCGCTTCGTACCAGTGCGTGGTTGCGGACCCCGACCCACGGTTCGTTGCCACTGGCGGGCGGTTGGAGCTGCCCCGAGTTGGGAAGGGCAATGCGGAGATACTGGCGGAGCTTCAGGTGGGTGGGTCGGTAGGTGGGCGAGGTGGGGACGGAGCGCTTTGTAGGTGCTGAGGGGTGTGGGGCTTGGGGTGGGTTCGCGGGAAGAAGCCTGGGCCCTGCTCGCCCCAGCATCTCCAGCATCCTTCAACCCTTTCCTATGGAGGCCTTCCCACCAGCATCTGCCCCTTGGCTCCCTAACACTTCTTTCCTCTCAGACCGTCGAACCCGAGGACCTAGCCCGCACGCTGCCCCCCAACCTGGGAGTGGACACCCGGCCGCTGCCGCCCAGCCGCCGACTGGGCAAGCGCTTCAGCTACGACCTCAGCTGCCGTGTGCTGGACCCGCACGCGGACGCAACGCGGCGGCTCAAGTCCGGCCTCACCCCCCAGCAGTTTGTGGCTGGCGAGTTCTCGCTGGTGTTCTCGCCGCACAACGTGGCGGCCGTCAACATGATCCAGGACACGGCGGGGCTGGAGCCGCTGGCGGAGGAGTTCAACAAGGTGGGGACGGGGGTTGGGGGTGGGGGCGGGAAGGTGGGGTGGTCATGTTTGCCCTTACACGGCAGATGTGCGCTACCTGCATGCGGCTACGAAGCGAAATAATGTGTACCGCTGTGTACCGCCGCTATATGTATGTGTTTAAGAAAACTGGTGTACTCATGCAGGTTGCCGAGCAGCTGGAGGACTACCTGGACATGGCCCGACTGCGACTCAAGCTGCGCAAGGAGCTGCCGCAGAAGCAGGTGGGGAGAGGGGGGGGGCCGTGTCGTCGCCGTTCTCCCCCATGTGTCCACTTGGTTGTACGCTTCTCCTGCCCCTGGCCGCTAATGCGGGCATCGTGCGCAATCATTCGGTGCTCAGGATGCGCGATATCGGGAGTATCAGATTGCACAGGGAGGGTAGCTTTTCGCTCACATGCCCTACCGCATGCCGCCTAGAGCCGCTTGATATCGTGATAGGTGGCGAGCTGGATCTGGGTCGCCTCCTGACGCCCCTTCTGCCCTTCCTGTCCCCACTCCCGCCTTCCTTGACGCAGCTAACCATCCTTTGCGCTCTGTACGGCGACTGGGAGTACGTCAAGAAGCACAACACCAAGTGGTTTGTCAAGGTATCGGGGATGCGCCTATGCGCATGGTTGTGGTGTCCTTGTCCTGTCAATGGCCCTGTTACTTGTCGGCATGTACTTTCCTCTTTTGCTTGAATTGCATACCGGTATCGCGTCGCAGATTCTTAGCACAGCCCGTATACGGTAACACTGCGCACAGCACTGCCTGAGCGCTTGTTCTTTACTGCCCGGCGGTGCTTGCGTCAAGACACGTCCCGTGTGTTAGGACAACACACCGTTTCGTGTCCTCGTGTGTGCATGTGTATTGGTTCTTGAGCTTTTCACGCGACCCCTCCTTTGCGCCGCAGGTGGATGCGGTGGAGTTCTGGCTGGAGCGACTGCGCTTCCTGAGGGTAGGTCCTTTTGTAATCGTCCTCGAATACAACGCAGGGGCCCGGAGGGCATGGAGTGACTCCCTTTGTACGTGTGCATGTACGGGACCCATGGGCTGCCATGGGTGGCATGGGATGTGCATAACTTAATATGCTCTGGTTCATCAAGATCCACAGGTTGACTGTAACTGTGCCCTCCTCTCTTAACTGCATGACTGCATCCTGCCACCCTGTCGCTGCACAGGAGCGCATCAAGGTGGAGCAGGAGATAGCCATGCGCAAGATCGCACCCTCCGCATTCGTCACCTTCAAGTGAGTGGGTTCCTTCATGTGCGGAGCAATCCTTTTTTTGTATGTACCCCAATTAGCGGATTGGCCTCCATCACCTTGTCATCGTGTTTTCGCCTCCTTACTCTTCGCACGCCTTCCCTCCCTCCCTCCCCCGCCCCTCCCAGCACCCGCATGTCCCAGGCCGTTGCCGCCAACTCGCTGCTCTCCCACGACGAAACCTACTGGCGCGTGCAGAACGCCCCCGCGCCCTTCGAGGTGGTGTGGAAGAACCTGGCGCTCACGCTGCCCGTCAAGAGCGGCAGGCTGTACATCCTGTGAGTGCGCACTGTGCAAGTGAGGGGTGCGTGAGCCTATCCCTTTCATCGCTATGTGAGGCGCATGCTAGTGGGGCATCATGGGCATATAGCATGGGCGAGGGCATGCATGTTACGGTCTCAACCGGCATCCCTTCAGGCTCGGCCATAACATCTTGCCTTGTTCCATGTCTGGCAGGTGGGCAGCCTTCTGGGCGATGGCGATCTTCTTCATGATCCCCGTCACGGCCATCCAGGTCAGTCGTCAGTGCTTCCGGAGGTATGCATAGATACGTTACTAGGTTCAAGGCTACTTACTCAACGCTTAGCGTTCCTGCTTCCAAAGCCATCAATCTTGTTAGCCATTAGCGAACATTCCTGTTGCCAACCTTATTTCCCTGCAATCCTGGCGGCCCCATTGCAATTTTTGATTAACATCATGTACCTGTGTGGGTGCGGTCGTCCCCTTCCCAAACCTCCCTGCCATGTCGCAGGCGCTGATCGAGGTTCCCAAGCTGGCCAAGGTGCCGGTGTTGGGCGCAATCGTGACCGCCCCCGCCGTACGACAGATCTTAGAGGCCATCGTACCGGGTCTAGCGCTCAAGATCTTCCTGGCGCTGGTGCCGCTGCTGCTGCGCATCATGGCGCTGCTGTCGGGCGCAACGTCGCAGTCGGAGATCGACTTCGGGGTCACCAAGCGCTTCTTCCTGTTCCAGGTCATTGTGGTGTTCTTCGGAAACATCATCGCGGGTTCCTTCTTTAACCAGGTGGGTTGTTTTGAGGGCCGCTTGGGATCCGGGAATACGGTTTCTTTGCTGGGGTTCGACATTTTACTCTCCCATTTTCCACGCCAACTACCGGTGCTAATCTCCGGTGTGCTCTCCCTGCTTCTCTCTCTCTCCTTGCTCCCTTGCAGCTCAAGCAGTGGGCGAACGACCCCGCCAGTGTTGTCCCCACGCTGGGAAAATCCATCCCCATGACCTCCACCTTCTTCATCACGTACCTGCTAATCAACGTGAGTGGGTTCCCTTCACGGAACGGGTAGAGGAGTAAACTCCCCACAACACGAGCCAGGCATTTAGCATTGCTGATTCGCAAGACAACCTTTGTGCATGTAAGCGCTAAACGGTTCCCCCAAAACGTACCGGTACCCTCAGGGTCTGAGCGTCAAGGCCATCGCCTTCTTCCGCCCGCCCGCCTTCATCCTGTTCTGGGTGCTGTCCCGCTTCGCCGGCAGCCCCCGCGCCCGGCAGCGCATCTGGATGTACCAGTACACGGACAACGGCACGACGGTGGTGGACCATACCATCGCAATGATGATCGGCATGGTAGGTGTTGGCATGGTTTGCTACTGAGTGGCAAGCGCTCTCCTTGTAGTGCATCAACCCCGCCGCACATCGTCTGCGGCGCACATGCTGCGGTATTGCTCGCATGCGCTCATGCCTCTTGCGCCCAAGCCTTATGTGCCACCCCTCCCACCCCTTGCAGACCTTTTCCTGCATCAATCCCATCGTGTGCCCCGCCGCGCTGTGCTACTTCCTGGTCAATTATGTTGGGGAGCGCTACAACAACATCTACGTCTTCAGGCGCACATACGAGAGCGGAGGAATGCTGTGGAAGACGGTTAGTGCAGTCGGTGTGGTGTGGCAGGGACAGGAAGACTTGGGGATGCATGGCGGAGACGGTTGCCGGAGCTAGCTGCATGGCCGCATGGTTGCGTCGTTGATGTATGGCTGCATGCCAGCTAGCCGTTTTTAAGCCCAACCGGACTTGAACCAGGATTGGCCTGAGGGCTAAGGGAGATAAGATGGGAGTCCGTGCGCGAGTCCGCACTTCGGTCATAGACCGTCGCTTATGGCCTGCGCCTGCGTGGTCGCTTCAACACTACTGGACATTGCGTTGCTGGCCTTGTCCGCCATCCATTCCCTTTCCTCCTCTCCTTCCCTCGCCAGGTTTACAACCAGGTGATGGTGGGTCTGTACATCATGCAGCTCGCCATGCTGGGCCTGCTGAGCATCAAGAAGTTCCCCTTTGCGCCGCTCATCATTCCCCTGCTCATCTGCTCTATCGCGTCGCACATCAGCACGCTTAAGCTGTACAGGAGGCCATGGTAAGGGAATTCCAGAAAGTGCTTATTTGGCATGTCACAGCTGCCTCGGGGCTGTAGTTAAGGTCATGCTGGACAGTGTTGCTGCCATTGCGTGCCACTTCATGCGGCTAGTAAAGCCGCGCGGCGCTTTCCAACGTTTCAACATTTCACCCTGCCTGACCCATGGGTCACTTCCCCCCCCCCCCCACACACAGGTCCGTGGCTGCGCTGCATGACGCGGCTGAGATGGACTTGCTGGAGGCCGACCAGCGCAGGATGCAGCTGCTGGCTGCAGCCAAGGAAGTGAGTGCTGCACTCACTACGCGCACGCATGTGTTATGGGTCGCCTCCTGGTATAGGCAGGACTTTGTCGGCTAGTTTGATGTATGCCTACATGTCACATCGTATGACCGCTTGCCTCCCAAACTTGTCGCCTGACCTTAGGAGCGGAAGAAGAAGCGCGACAAGCGGAAACGGGAGGAGGAGGTGCGGGAGGCCGAGGCCGAGAGCCTGCTCCCGCCGCAGCCTGCAGACGCGCCTGAAGCCGAGAAGCCAGGTGAGGAGAGCTCTTGCGATGTATGTGGAAGTCATGGCTGCCGACGCACACCACGCGACACTGTCTATGTCCTGCGGTTGTGGCTGGGGCCGGTGGTCACGCCGATTCTATTTGTCCTATCCCACTGCTGCACCGCAATCCGATTACCCCGCGGCCCCACGCTGACACCACCCCTTCCCCTCCTTCTGCTCCCAGGCAAGGCTGAGCGGCTGCTCATGGAGTCGCTGAAGGGCGACGGCTTCGCTATGACGGCCAAGGAGAAGCGGGAGATTGCGGAGATGTACCTGAACCCCGCCTTTAAGGTGCGTACCAGGGCTAGATAGGCGACATAAGGACGCATTACGCCGCATCACGCATCAAGCCTCCAACTTGCTCTTCCTCACATGCAACCGCGCCATACCCACACGCAACACACTCCGCATGCACCCACGTTACACCGTCCAGGTCAAGCTAGAGGACGTAGAGCGGCTGGCCCGGCTGGCTGCGGAGGTGCAGTCACGGCTGCCGCGGCTGAACGAGTGGGTGGCGCAGTACAAGGCCTACCAGCGCGAGGTGAAGCGGCAGAAGCACCGGGGCAAGACGGCGCTGCCGCCGCCGCCCAAGATGCCCGAGGACCTTACCATCTATGACATGGACCTGGCCCTGATGGACAGCGACGAGGATGAGGCGGTTGTTGGGACGAACGGGGCCTACCCGGGGTCTGGTAAGGGTTCGGCTGGAAAGCAGCCCTCGGTGGAGATGAGGGATGGGGCGGCTGAGGTGTGAATCGGGCTTCCACATGGATGACTGTGTGACCGGGTAAGCGGGAAGAGCGTCCTTGCTTGAAGTTCCTAGTACTGGTAGTGAGTACCGGCAAGTGCGCACGCAAGCTATGCCACGATGATTTGGTAATAAATAAGGTTCGAGTGCGGACACGTTCAATTTTGATGCGTGAAACTACCGTACTGGAAAATAGTAATGTGTTGCTGGCGCTTTAATAATCCTGGAGGATAAACGAATGCTGGAAAGGTTTTTTGGCTCCTTAATTAGGAAGGACGACTGCAGTGATGAGGCGTGTGGCGAAACGACTTGATCAGACGGGGCTCAACCAATCTTTTATGGCTCTTCTTATTTGTGTGGAGAACACATGCAGTCACTTCGCGTGTCCGCAGTCGGCTGTGTCTTGTGCATAATGTGTATTGCTCGTACGGGATGCTACCTAGGGATACGGGCTGTGCCGTGACCGGCGTAGAGGCTAATCCTGCCAGCCATCGGTTCATTGTTCCCGACGTGTAGTAGGTTCATAGCTAGTACTGCTTGATGCGTCGGCACCTCTGATGATACTGGTACTTTCCCCGTACCATGATAACTGCTAAGGAGTAGTGCCCAAACGGACTATTTATTCGTTCTTCCTACGTTTTATGCGGATGGTAAGAGTTGCTCTGGCATTATGCAAGTGCTAGTCCACGACCCCCCGGAAGCGACTGAGTAGCCTATGAGCAGTATGCTACGATGGTGTAGCAAGATGTTAATCTGGGTAAAACCCTCGAGCGAGGAATAAACAGGTGGCGCTTCTGTTCCTTAGCTTAGACCTGCCCCTCATTAGCTAGCCAGCGACGTGGCATCAGCTTGCACTTACTCAGTTCTGTACTGCCCCCTCAGATCACATTTTGCATCCATGCATTTCCTGTCATTGCAAGTATGCCGTTTAATATATAGTCCTACTGCCGACGCAGCATGTACCTAACTATAGTTACCTAGAAACCTGGAATAACAGAAACCAGAGACCATTAAACAAAGCTTCCACCTGCGTCCTCTGCTTGGGACTGATGCAGAGCCGTCTGAAAACCTTCCGAAGCCCTCCTAACCTAGTAGGGTATATGTACAAAGCAGCACATGCAAACACGCCTGCTCACGCAGTGCACCTATCCTACGGCCTCATGACGTCTCCTTGCTGGCCAGCTCGCTTGCTCGCTGTCTCAGTGGGCTTCAGCTGCTGGCTGCTGCTGCTGCATGTTCCTGATATGCTCGGCGGCAGCGGCCTGCGCCATCTGGCCCACCCGTACAGCCTGTTCCTGAGCCTGCAAGGCAGCGCAAACAGGGCGTCAAACACGGCCTTGCTCGTTCGTCTACATAGGCAAGCACCCGCATCATCAACCTATGCTGAGCGGCATTCCGTTCAAGAGCCTGCCTGCATACATCATTCCTACCCCATGCACGCAGGAGCGGACTCAGGGTAACCAGCTGCATGTGCATTCCATGTGCTATACAGGCAGGGATTCCCAATCTCCACGACCCAACCCTAGCCTAATCAGGCATGTCGCATGGCATACGCCCTGAGTTCAGCAGTTCACACGCACAGCCTTGCCCCTCCCTTGCTCACCTGCTTCATGGCCTGCTCCGCAATGGCAGGTCCGTGCTTGTCCACGTACTTGGCGATCTGGTTGACGATCTGGCTCTGTAGCGCCGCATCTGCCTTCCCGAACACGGGATCAATCTTGTCGCCGTACTTTTTCAACTGCGTGGCGGAGGGGACGAGTATGCGGTAAGGAAGGATGGCTAGCCGGCAGCGCATCAATATTACAACCGATGAATGGACGGGAAACCACATCCAGAGGAAGCTCTATCAGGTCGTCAATTGATACCAGGCACAAGAGAGCCGCAAGACGGTCTGCTCCGTAGCGGACAGGACGCGGCCACGACACGCCTACTGCATCCGTGTATCTCCTAGTTACCAAGCCAAACCTAGCCCCTGGGCCCACGTGGTGTCATGCGCGCATGCTCACCAGCGGGACGATGTACTCCTCGTAGATCTTGCGGGCGCCCTGCAAGCAGGCGGCGGGTTGAGTCAAACTGAAAAGACGACAACTGAGATGGCAGGAGGAGGCTAGGCTAGAATGTGAGCTTGCTCCTCGTGCAGCCATAGACACGGTCTCCTGGCCCTCTACATACTTCAGCTCATACCGGTAACCACCTGATGACCCTAGTCAGCTTCCAATCTGGGTCAAGGCAACTGACAAGCATCCGCAATTAATGCTCGGAAGCCAGAATACCCCGACCCATTTCGTACCAACAACTTTTTGGCCATACGAACGTCGGTGACACCCCACAGGCAGGATACTACAAGAAGTTCACGTGTATACGGACAACATGGTTGGCTCAGCGTACCTGTGTCTGTGGGGCGATCAACCAGACCACGAAGAGAAGCTTGATCTCGTAGTACAGTGGTATCCTGCACAGGACGCAGTTTGGATGTGGCACGAGCGGAAACACCGAAGGCCGCAGATGGGGATATCCAGAGAAGCTCACAGCTGCTACCCTCCAAACAGGGAAACAGGGTGCCGCCCTCAGCGTACGCCCCAGAACCCGTCCAATAGACCAAACCCAGTGCGCATGGACAAAACCGCATCCGATACCCCATAGGCATTGTCCTTAGCGTGGAATTCAGTTTAAACACGCGTCATGTCAGCAGAACACCGCACTCCATGGTTGCATCGTCTTAGAGGAAGTTTGCGAGTCACCCCTACCAGCTTAGCAGGAACATGCCAACGCTCTCAAAGGTAGATAGGAAGGCGTAGACGACCTGAAAAAGCAAAAGTATTTACCAAATAACTGCTGAGGCAAGGATCGGCTCAGCAGCGCTTGTCAGCCAGCGGCCCAAAAGCTGGACGATATATGACGGATCCTACCCAGTAGGTAAGCCACTGCAAAGGACAGGAAAGGATATGTTACGGTGGATCAAGGTGTTGCAATGTCGCCAAACCCCAAAAAACGACCACACCTGTGTGTCGTCCAGTTTTGTTGTGCTCTGTATCGCCTTCAACGACATATATGTCGGGTAAAATAGCTCCGCAAACAGGCAGAGGTAGTAGGTCAAGCTAAAGGACAACATGATGTTGTTTTGGATTGCGATAAATAGGTTTCAATGCTGCGTGGAGATGTTTTAGGGATAGGGTATGGAACTATAAAGGCTAGAATGTCCACAGCTTTTACTTTGTAGCTCGATGGCGTCCGTACCTAAATGCAACACGCATGGCCGATCGCGTAGGCCCAACGAGCATAAACATTTTTACACCCTTTTATGGACTTAGTTTGTCGTGGATTGCGCCAAAGATGTGTATGCCTTTCCAACTGCCATGTCAAATTGCAAGATGTTTCCTCGGCTTCACACAGCCAGACATGGGCCTCACCAAAGGATGGCCTAATCCTATTCGAAATATACAACCACTGCATGCTGTATGTGAGCTTAGTTAGCGCAAGAAAGTGCGAGGACGAATTGCGAAAGCTTGGAGCCCAAGTTAACGCTAGCTGCTTTTAAGAGGGAAATGAGTTTGGTGTACCCCGTTCCCCTCGTAAAGTGTACAGGCCAGGGACTGCCTCATGCCCAGGCTGGGGGTTGTTGCTGGGCCCTAACTGTCGTGCGGGTTAGTGTTTGTGTGCGATTACCTACCCCGCTACCCGTAACAAAAGGGCCTGTTTTCGGCTGTAAGCCTGACCCTCATTCCCTTCCAGCGCGAAGGAATTCGTCAGCTTGGCCAGAAAGAACGTTCCAACTCGACGTGACTGAGACCCCATTGTCGCTGTAGACACTAGGAAGGGTACGCTTCGTACAGGTAGCATATTGCGTTCCTTGTTTGTAACGACCACAGGGCATAGCAGGGCGGGAGCAGCCCCTTGGTAACCGATAGGTCCTCGTTGGAATGCATCTACCCACCACCAACTACCACCACCACATCGGGAAGCCGCTTATTTGGGCGGAAAAGGGTTCCCAACATCAAGACATCTTATGCCACGAGCAGTTCACAACAGAGACGTTATGCATTCTTGAGCGCCGAGCAAGCAACATGTCAGCAGCTCCAAGAGCCTAGTCCGAGGCATACGCTTAGGGACCCAACACATCCAAACAAAGGCTTTCTATTGCCCAGCGGGCCCTCCCAAGCAAGATGGCAGCGGGTTCAGCAGCTGTGTTGAGCTCCTTCGTGCTCAACCTCTGCATCGCGCTCGGCGTGTTCGCGGCCTTTAGCGTCATCCGAGCCAGGCCTTGGTGCCGGCGCTTCTTCGCGCCTAGGAGGTTGGTTGGTTGGAGTGCACGCTGATTCCTATTGCGCAGAGCAGGCCTTAGGGCGTTCTGGGAACTGGGATGATAGCCGGGGGCCCGCGGCAGCCGGGTCCAAAGCGACCCAACCTGTCCGGTAGGGCTTTTGGGATAATTAGAGGAAAACGCAGAGGCCTCCTAATTTCCATGAGGAATGGGTGGTTGGTCGGGTTTTGCTTTGCGCTCGGCAGGGCAGGGTTCGGCTCTGCACTCGATTGATAAGCGTGCACGTACTCGACAAACACCAAACAACATAACACATGCAAAGAAACTGAAACCCAAACGGAAACGCGCTTCACCCCAACAGGTTCGCCAAGGACTTGGATCTGAAGCCGCGGCGGCTGCCCGGGGCCCCGCTGGGTTGGGTGCTGCCGGTGCTTCGCTACCCGGAGGAGGACATCATAGACGAGGCGGGGCTGGACTGCGCCATATACCTGCGCATACTGACGTTTGGTGAGGAGGGGAAGATTGGGAGGACCTGCAAAACGTGCCGTACCGTATGGGCCTGCAGTGCTGGGTGACCCATGGGTCAGTCCCACAGCTCGTGCGTTTCTCGGCAGCCACCGTTAAGTGTCCCGTGCGCGGAAGTTCTCAGTTGTCTTTTGAAATTAATTGCAACTAAGCTCTTTGGAGGTCACATATTTCCGCCCAAGCCTTTTGGCCGCTGACCGGGCCCTTACCACGCGGGCTAACCTTGACTCCCCTGCCACACCGTGTTTGCTGCCCTCCCGCCCCCCCCTTCCCATACAACACAATGGGTATTCATTATTTCCCCCCCGCCAGGACTGTATCTGTTCTTGGGTCTGACCCTGTGGTGTTTGCTGGTGGTGCTGCCAGCCAACCTGACCAGCGGGGAGATCTCCCGGTTGCTGAGTCAGCAGGTGAGGGGGCCGAGGGGGGGTTGTGCGGAGGTGGCAGGGATGGCAACTGGCAAGGCAGGCTGCAGCAGGAAGGGGGCTCCTCAAGGTAGACTGGGAGAAGGAGGGAGGACAAACGGCGCATGGTGGATCAGCGAGAAGGAGCATGCCGGCCCTAGACATGGCATCGTTGCCCCACATGCGTCGGCGGGTCGGTGGGTCGGTGGGTCGGTGGGTTGGAAGGTCACAGCATGAAGGGGGCGTGCCGTGGGTTTGGTCAGCATGTCCGGCATTGGTGGGGTTTTAGGGTTTGTCACGCGTTGCCTTTCCCTCTTCCTCCTCCTCTCTCCCCCGCCTCCCCTTTCCTCACCCCCGCTCCCGGAGGTATGTCTCCGTATGCGCTCACTGCATGTGTCGGTATATGAGATTGGGACTCCAGTTGCTGCACTTCTCATTTATTTTGCCCCCGCCCCCGTCCCCCTCTCAGGGCGCCAACCCGGGCCAGGTGGTGAATGGCAACGTCTATCGCTTCACCAACTTCGACCGCTACTCGCTGTCCAACGTGGCCCCCCGCAGCCCCAAGATGTGGGCACACCTGGTCTCCGTGTACTTCGTGGTGCTGTTCACCCAAGCGGTGAGATAGAGGACTACAGGAGGCCTGGAGGGAGGGGGGAGCTAGCATTGACGTATTAAATCTTTCGGGGTTGACTCTACTTGCACTCCATTCGTCAGGGGCTTTCATCTCGAATGGCCCCTATATCGTTAGCAGCTTGTTTCCTTATGATTGTTTCCCTCGGCCCTTCCCTTTACTCTCCTACTCCCGCAGCTGTTGTGGCGTTTCAACAAGGAGAGCGTGCTGCTGCGGCTGATGTTCCTGGGCAACGCCAAGCGCGGGGGGCCCTCGCACACCGTGCTGGTCACAGACATACCGGGGGTGGCGCAGGTGGGGGAGGGGCGGGGGGGAGATGGCTCGTGGGGAAGTAGTTAGAAGGTATTGGGCGGGATAACGAAATGTGAGTACCATGCGCCGTGCACCATGTGTCGCGTGCCGCCCCAACCCCACTAACCCTCAACTGTTTTGTGGCACCCCGACGCCTCCTCACCCTGTTGTGCTGTGCCCAAACTAGCGGTTTCACTCATTAACGGTTTGGTTCCCCTCTGCTCCTCCCCCCCCCCCCCCGCCCCCCAGGCCGTGTCCCGCCTCTCCCGCAAGCAGCGACGGCAGGCAGCCCGGGCCGCAGCAAAGGCGGCGGAAGAGGCGGAGGCGGCGGCGCCAGCTGCGTCCTCCGGTGCGGGGAGGAGCCCTGCAGGGGCGGGCGCAGCAGACCCTACAGCAGCCCCTGCTGCTGCTGCTGGCGGCGCTGGCAAGGCGGATGCGTTGGCGGTGAGCGAGCAGGGCTTTGGGGGTTAAATTGATTGAGCCGCGGAAACACTGGAGGAGGGGCTGCGCTCTCCCCGCACAATGCACGTGGCTAAGAAGGAAGCCCGATACAATCCTTTTCCAAGCACGTTCCCTCCCTTGGCCCTCTTCCCCTCTCTCACATCTGCGTCTCCTCTCCTTCTCCGGCCCCACCCCTCAGCTCCCAGTGAGCTCTCGCTCGGTGTCCTTCCGAGGGGAGCAGCAGCGGGGGGCAGCGGGGCTCCCAGCAGGGTGAGACCGTGTGGGACTGTGGGGGTGGGGGTGGGGGTGGGGGTGGGGGTGGGGGTGGGGGTGGCAGCGGTGGGCTCCAAGGGTGAGGCACCAACCATTAGACCCAGTCGTCGTGTGAAGGAGGGGCCTCCTTAGGGTTCGAGTAGTAGTACTGGCCTTCATGGTGCTGTGCGGCGCATAAGGCTGTTTCTAGGGCCAGTAACAACACGTATGTGGGTATGATACCGGACCATCCACAATTCAGCAGGCAGCTCTGCCACTCTTGCCTGCTCCTTTGCCCCATCCCTCGTTCCCTCCTCATCACGTCTCTCGCCCCCACCACGCCGCTTCCTCTCCACCCCCCGCAAAACCCAACTTGGGCAGCAGCGGCACCGGCGCCGCCGCCCCATCCCCACCACCCGCTCCCGGCACGTCCGCCTCTCCCAACCCTGCCTCGCCCGCCACCCTCCGCTACCCCTCCACCAGCGCTGCCTCTGTGATCTCCTCCGCCTCCCTATGGAGCCTCGGGCGCGCAGGGTCCGCATCGGCCGCAGGTAATGGTAGCGGTGGCGGCGACAAGAGTGGCGGTGGTGGCGACAGGAGCGGTGACGGCGGTGGCGGCGGCAGGGGCAGAAATGGAAGCGGGGAGGGCGGCATTGGTGGCGATGAGGCAGCAGCTGCGGCGGAGGGAGCAGCAGGGTTGGGTGGTGGCAGTGACCCACGGTTCGCTGCCACTGGCGGGCGGTTGGAGCTGCCTCGAGTGGGGAAGGGCAATGAGGAGATACTGGCGGAGCTGCAGGTGGGTGGGTGGGTGGGTGGGCGAGGTGGGTGGGGTGGGACGGGGGCACGGGGCGTAGGTTAGAGGAGTGATGGCTGATTGTGCCGGGGTTGGGCGGCGGATACCTCATGACATTGCATTACCGGTACCCATTTAGCCCATGTCGCGTGTAAACATCCACCTCCTTTCCCCCATCTTCTCCATAACTCCCTTCCCTCCTCTCCATTGCCCTCCCCCTCCTCTCCCTCTCCCTCCCCCTCCTCTCCCCACCCGTGTAGGCCGCCACTGCGCACCTGCTGCCCCGCTCCCTGCCCGACACCGACCCCAACCCCGACAGCGGCACAGAGCCCCCCGCGCTGCGACCCGAGTGGGGTGTGGACACCTGCCCGCTGCCGCCCAGCCGCCGCACCGCCAAGCGCTACAGCTACTACCTGGGGGATGAGAGGCTGGACGTGCTGAAGCAGGCGCAGAGGAAGCTGCAGGTGTGTGGTGACCCATGGGTCAGGGCTGCAGCCAGAGGATCAGAGCAGCCCTCCCAATCTCATCAGCCCTGGTGCTTGTTACCTCGCTCCGACTTCAACCCTTATTCCTGAATGTCTTACACTTACGCTCCCTCGCCCCC